CCACGTTTCAGCACCTACGCCAATACCAACACCAATACCATTGCCAACACCAGGGCCGACACCATGCCTTTCACCGCATTCACCAACAACACCCTTTCGCCGTCGAGCCTTACCTCATCCATGTCAAACACCAGCCTTCAGGTCGAAATCTCCCAGACCTCATCCAGCATCGGCAGTTTGGATGTGGAGTTGTCCATTTCTGGTTCAAACGGCTCCAACTTTCATCATCATAGTGATGAGGGGCGTGAGGACATCGAGTTGCCAACTTCTCGCTCAAGCTCTTCAGATGAGGAACACCATCACTCTCCTGCCCCTCAGGATGAGCAGTTTGGGGTCTTTCGCAGTACTGGCTACTTTGATGTGGACTGGATGGCCTTTACGCTCCCTACCACAAAGCTGACCACCCTCTTTGGTGCCTTCACCTTGGTTGAACTGTCTGGAGTGATGCAGCATATCAAGGACAGTGAAGCTTTCGCCGGTTGGATGCGGATCGCTAGCAGACCTTGTATCATTAGCATTCCATTCAATCCAGAGTCAAAGGCAAGGATTCTTGAGTTACTTCACAATGAACATTCGATCATCGTGAGGGAAAGCACGGATCACTCACGATTGATTGCTGGGCGGCAAAATCTGTTGATGTCTGGATTCCAGGACATCATTGGTGCTGTGTCACCCTCTGTACGCATTGTGCAGTATGGAATGAAGCAACGCATTCGGACTTTGCCAGCTTATTCCTTTGATCAGGAAGTGAGCAACCATCCCAATGCTGCACTGAACACATGGGACATTGGTCAGACGTTGAACACTCATGGGGTCATTCCTTTGGTTCGCTACAATGGACGTGGAGTTGGCGCCACCTTTCCCATGCTCACCATCCTTGGTGAGGGATTTGGGTCCACCCGCTTTGACATTGCGGGTCACGCCAATGTTCGGGTTACTTGCTACCCAAAGCTTGTTCATGCGCTGAAAGCCTACTCCTCGACTTTGTCTTCGCGAATGCCCCAAACCAAGTCCAGCCTTGGTGATCGCAGTGAGACACTGAGAGGTTTACGTCAATGGCTCAACAGTCACCCGCTCCACATTACTGGCATGCGAGTTGAAGTGCGAGTTCAGTGCGCCAGGTTGGAATCAGCGGAACAGATGGTTTTGAATCTCCATTTGGACCAGATCGAGACCATTTTCCAGCACATGGGCGCAAACTCCTTGAAGCTTGTGCCGGTGGAAGAGTACTACGGTCTCATCAATGGCATCATGGACGCTGCCACCAGAGTTCTATTCAGAGGAGATCGCAATGGACAGACTACTGTGACAGACTGTCAGCGCTTCCGAGATGTTCTCAACTCTTTTGGTTTCAATCCCGGATGGTTCAAAGGCATTGCACCCGTCATTGATCCTGCTCGTGCTTGGTGGGGTCATGGGGATGGGGAAGTGCCTGATGCTGCTCCCATTGGCAATATCCGTGAACTCTTCCATCAGCATCGTGATCAGCTTCAATGTCCCAACTGTGGAGGCTCAGCTTTTCATAGCATTGGCGGTCAGCATCGTTTCCGTCTCCGCTGCGCCAGGTACCCTGAGTGCCGTACGACTTTTGGACAGAACCAAGTCCGTGACATGCTTGCGGAAGTCCTTTAGTACTGTTGAATGTCGTTGATAACTTTACACCAAAACCCTTTTCTGAATGTGCGCTTTTCCAATGTACTCTAAATCAATAAATGCAATACTACTTTCCACCATTTTAAATGTTCCATGACAGAGACAGTTTGGCTGAATTTAATAAGTGATCTGGGAAATCTCTAACCCCAACCCTCTCACTCTGCGTACCCTGCAAGCAAGCCCAGGTCACGTGCTCTAACCTGCATGGACAAACTGTAGAACACTGCTTTAACCGGAAAATGTTCAACAGTTTTGGTAAATGACATTCCGCAAGGGTCCTACAAACAGTCTACGATGCACAGCGGAATCACAAAATGTTTACTGGAGAACACAGCCAAACCCCTTTGCCTGCACATACGTACTCGTGTCTTTTGTTAGGAGGTCTTGGGGGTCACTACTTGAGAATTGAAAAGGGGCCCTGTTCTTCAGCCAAAAGCGAGGTTACACAAGATTTGCTACCACATCAGCTATGCAAACCATAGGCTACAATCAACTTTCATTAAGTGCCCTACACTGGATAGTCAGCCAGATGTTGAGATATCACCACATTTTCCAACTTTTTACCCCCCGTCGCGTGAAAATTTCGTTTTTCTAAGTTTCTGAAGCCGTTTCCGCACGGATTGCCAATCCGAGAGTACTTCAATTAGAGAATATGATATGGGGCCAACTTTTCAATTAGGACGCCAACTCCGGATCGGCACTAGAAAAATCCCAATTTGCACAAGTCCTATAACGTATATATAACATATATGTCCCCTTTATATCAACCCCCCCCCCCCCCTATTGGCACCCCTGCCGCCCCCCGTACCCGCACCACCGCCCATATGACCCATCACTTGCCCTTGCACACCTAGTCCTCCCCGACTTGCCTAGGTGCGCAACACCCCCCGCCACTACATCCCTCAGAGTCAAAAATTCGAACTGTAGAACACACCCAAAAGCCAAAAAACTCGAAAATTTCTAAGTCCCTAGGGTTCCAGGCAACCCAATAATAAAACCCAACCCAGGGGGTCTTGTAACCCTAACCCTAACCCTAACCCTAACCCTAACCCTAACCCTAACCCTAACCCTAACCCTAACCCTAACCCTAACCCTAACCCTAACCCTAACCCTAACCCTAACCCTAACCCTAACCCTAACCCTAACCCTAAACTATTGCCTTTAATCGAATTCGCATACAATACCGCTCCGAGGGAGGAATATGAAGGTTTATCGCCATTCGAAGTAGATCTCGCACGCTCTCCAATCCTCCCGGGTTGGAATCCAACACTCGAAGGACAAGAACTCAAACTTCGAGCTGTAGATCGAAAACAAATCGAACTCTTCAAGAAAGGGCAAGAAGACATCGCCTGTATCGTACGCGAAAACCTTCAGAGATCGCAAGATCAATTCGCACGTCAACACGACAAAGGTCGAACGCCAATTGCATATAAAATTGGCGACCTCGTCGATCTAAATCGACAAGGAATCAACCTAGAAGTAGACGCTCGAAGAGGACTTTGATACTCAGCTACTTGGATTGGACCATTCAAAATTATCGCACTGGGAGCACATCCTGATACCTACGAACTCGATTTATCACCATCAAAGATCAGCGGCATCTGGCCCGTCTTTCACGTCGATATTTTACGACCACATCGCGAAGAGCAATATCCGCAACGTGCAGTTCCACAACCTCCTCCACCAACTGAAGAACGCGGACAACCTGAATGGGTTGTGGAAGATATCATCGACGAGCGATGTGCCATACGAAATCTTCTAGTCAAATGGCTCGGTTATCAGGGTTAGGGTTAGGGTCCAAGTTGCGGGAGCGCCGACGGCGTAAGTCGTATTGTACCACTCGAGAGCAGTACCCTTGAGGTAGGTAGTGAGCGTAGGAGCGTACTCTGTCATAGTAAAGGCTATGGCGTTGGCAGCTCCAGTACCGTCTGGTCCAGCTTGTACAGCCGGGACAGTGAGAGACTCGAGGAAGTTCCTGTGAGGCGTAACAAACTCTTCGATCTTTTTGGCAGCTTTGGCGCCATCGTATTCGACGAGCTTGTTCTTGCGAGCGTCTGTAAGAAGTCTGAAACGTTCGGCTCATTGGGTGTCTTGCGTAACAGCACGCTCCCGAGTAGCGAAAGCAGCTGCAACAGCCGCAACGATAGCTTGAGTTTGGTGGTCCATTCTTGCTTGTGAACGAGTGTAAGGGCGACGTCCGGTAGAGGGGCGACGTTGACGAGGAATGTCTTGGTGATGCTAGCGGTAGGTGGTGCTACCATATAACGTCAGAGGAAACGTAGACGATATTGGGCCCTTCTGAGAGGGCTGAGAGCAGTGTATTGTAGTGAAGAAAAAAGTAAGAAGCTCTTCGCAGCGGCCGCTCGACTGACAGCTTATCATATAGGCTGCCAGTGGGGCTTGCGTGGCTTTAGTGAGGCTTGGCGCCTTATGTAATGTATCACCGAGAGCTTGGGTGGCCAGCCCGGGTCTCGGATCAAGTAGAAGTAAAGAGATATAATATGAAATACAAGTGAAGATGAGATATCCCCGAGAGCCTACTTACAAAATCCACAATGTCTTCCATGTCTGCCTTCTCAAACCCTGCTACACCATTGCCAAACGACACGAACCCAAACCTGCGCCCCCCGAGAACGTTGAGGGGCAAGAAGAATGGGGTGTCGAAGCCATCCTCGACTCCCGCATCCATTGTCGTCACCTTCAGTACTTGGGCAAAGGGCAAAACTGGCCTGACTCCGAGAACACCTGGGAACCCGGGGAACACCTCACCCATACCAACCCACTCCTCAAAGACTTCCACAGCGCATACCCCAACAAGCCTTCCTCCGTCCCCGGTGCTCCTCCTCTGTGACCACACCAGACTCGACGCCGCCGCCGCCGCCGCTAAAGGGAGGGGTGATGTTATGGACGACGCGCTCATACCATAATCTTACCTACTGACAGCTGCCAATGTCAAACGCCAATGTCAATGACAATGTCAATGCCAATGTCAATGCCAATGTCAACGCCACTTCCCCTCTCTCCTCTCATTTCGCCAATCCTCCCGCAATATCGCCACTCCTCCTCTCTCCTCTCATTTCGCCAAGCCCCCTCTCTCCTCTCATTTTGCCAATCCTCCCGCAATATCGCCACTCCTCCTCTCTCCTCTCATTTCGCCAATCCCCCCATGGCTTCTCCACACCCCCACTACCTCTCCATAGCCAGCAGCTGTAGCAATGCTCTCTACGCTCGCCACGCCCGCTCTAGGAGCATAGCTGGCGCCCCCCCAGTCCCCTCTTGTTGTTGTTCTTTGATCTGCTGGGTTGTCTATCTATAAATAGCCGGCCTCTCTTCGTCCATTCCCTTCCTCCCCAGCAGATCAACACCAGTTCTTCTCGTCTCTTGTTCTAGTCCTTGTCTCTTGTTTCGCCAATACAATCTCTTGTCGCCCATCGCTCTCGCCTTGTCTTCTCTACTTCGCTTCCGCCTCAGTCGTCGAGATCATAACACGCTCAAGCTACACGGTCCGCATCAAGCAGACAACAAATGTCGCGCCAGACCCGCACGACAAACACTTCCTCCACATCCGGCTCTCGCGGCTGGGTGATACTTACTCGATCTACCCGTCTCGATGCGACGCCACGAGCCTGTTTTTTCGTGACGACCCCGTCATCTTCCACGACCCGGCCCCCCCACAGCCGGGGGTAGCGGTGGTAACACCCGCGATGGCTGCCGCACGTGCGCAGGCAATGAATATAGTGACACAGAACAGGATGCATTGGAGTGGATACGTCGGCGCCCAGGCAGATGTGAATCTATTAACTCCAAAGCCATTGAACGTACCCCCCAAGGCGCTGCTTGTGGAATTGCGTGAGACAAGGACGGATAAGAGCGCCGAGAAACGGCTTGGACACATGGTTATCCAGGTGGAAGAAATACCTGCAGGACAGACTAGCTCGATGCAGATACAGTTGTCTGGCGGCCTTGTTTGGCTGGAGATCACTCGGTCGTGAAGGAAACGAGGAGACGAGGGGTATCGTACGCTCTCATATGGATCAGAGCAATCGCTGCATACATATACTATTTGCAGATACATTCTTGGCGTATTTTTTTACGATGTCACAAATACATATCCGGATGAAAGTCTAAATGTGCACCTACAAGCTGCGGAAGCCGCCAACTGTATTAGCTCGAAAAAGTCAGGAGACATACACGAAGGCCCTCTAGACCATCAAAGACAGAGTCAAGTGAGCCGCCGGAAACTTTCGATTTATACGCGCTCCCATTGTGCACCGCCCACCTCCCCATCCCCCGCATAAAGCTCAACAACTGTAGCTCGCGCATCGCATCCTCCGGTCGCTTATCGTACGATATCGTACAGAATTTGAGTGAGGCATTAGCGAGCGAGATCGGCCGTGACAATTGCAAACGGTGCCCACAGTGCAGGATTCAGCCCTTTCTTAACGCCTTTCATCATGGCAATTCGATACGCCGACAGCTGCGATTTCCCATTCCTAAGCCACTCGTCGTAAAAAACTTCGCAGAATTCGGAGCTGAACTGATCGTTGATCCTCCAAAGCGAGGAAAGGACGGCGTGGCATCCAGCCACCAAGCATGCTCGACTCAGACCGATCGTCCCATCGCTGGACCCTCGACCAAGACCCGTCTGGCAGGCACTAAGATAGGCCAGCTGGCAGCTGGACAGGTCTGTTTGCTGGAGCTCGGTTGCGTAGAGGGTGCATTTGTCTCGGGTTGGGTATGGAGGCTGAGATCCTGGCGGCGCTAGCAGGAAGGAACCTGGATGGTAAACGCCGCCTTCCAGAAAATCCGATTCCGAGCCGTGAGTTCCAATGTGCAGAAGGTGCAAAGGATCTGTCGACTTCAACTCCGCGAGAACTGCCGACTTCGTAGCTGCAGCACCAATGAGCTTGGTGACTCGCGCGTCCCGTTCCTGAAGTAGCTTATCAAGGTCGTCTGCTTCTTTTTTCGTGCCCGGAAGAGGTATTGACACAGGTTCGGAGGCGCTAAACGTCGGCATTTTAGGATCCCCGACAATCAAGGCTTTGTGGTTTACGGGTTGAAATGCTTTGTCCTGGGGACGTCGAGTGTGTAGCAAGTGCAATAGGCGCAAGGAAGGCACGGTGCAGACGTGGAAGCGCTCGATGAGATACGTTCCGGTCGCGGCGGGTTTCAGTGCTGGGAACGGCACCCGACACAGTATACCGTAGGGCACAAAAACGACGGCACCGTTTTCTTGGGCAGGAAACAGCTGTTCCCGGCTGATTCGCGCGATTAGTATGCTGTACAACTTATGCAAGCAGCCGTCATTGGCCTCGGAAGCATCCATTCGCTTCTTCCGCTCTGAGAAGCTCGACCCGCTTCTTATCGTGTCTTTAAACACTGCGATCAATCTCTCCAGCTCTTCCATTCCGCAACCTCTGGGCGTGTTGAACAAGTCGTCGAGCTTCTCACGGAAAAAACGTACGGAGGGTATTGGACCGGTCGGATTTGGCACAGTGACCCATGTATACAGACACCAGTCGTGGGCAACTTCCTTCAGCAAGATGTACTGAACCACTGTAATTTCAAGTTTGCGGATTAAGGCTCCGATGGACTCGGAAAAGGCGCTTTCCGACGCGGGCAAGGGGCCAAGATACCAATCAGGAAACTCTGAGACCTTGCGCTAGCAAAACTTGTTGAAATGAAGCTGGAAATAACGTAACGAAATAGTAACATCAGCACTTACAGCTTGCAAAAGACTAAGCGTGTTGATGTTGATCATACGATCTCCGTAAAAGGCTGCTTTTTGAAAGCGCTGGCTCTCGTTGGCGCCAACTAATGCGAAATTACACAGGGAGTAGAGCACTTGAGCAAGATCGGACCAAAGCCCGTCTGCGCCGCTGATCTGATGTTCTTCGTCCGTCAGAGTTCTCCAGTTTGCCTCGCGGTGGTTCTGCATCTTGAACGACGGTTCCAGATCGTCCAGACGGCCGTTCCCGCGAATTACCCGTGCCAGAGCGAGACGAGTCCGCACGAAATCATCATCCAAAGAGCTCAATCGCGTCTCGATGGCGGTGCGCTTGGTCTTCCAATCTTCCGTTTCCTCATCTTGCAGCAGCTGGAGGTAAGCACATAACACTGATGACAATGGACGGGGACTGGTTTTATGGCACCATTCGGTGATGTTTCCAATGCCTTCGCTGCTTCCAATCCGCATGTCCATATCGTTTAAGATCTCCTGGCAAACCTTCATCGCTTGTTGTTTCCGGTCTGGATCGAGGCGGGCAAGTTCCGATGCAAGATTTGCCTGCTCTGCACGGATAGCCAGGTATAATTGAGTTGGCATCGAGGTAGAAGCTCCGTACGATCTGATTTTGTCTTGTAGCCAGCCTTCAAAAACTTTCATCAGGGCGATATCTCCGTTTGAGGGGCTCACTGGGCGAAGAGCATGCACGAGCTCCGCTGCTAGTGTGGCTTCGAGAGGAGCCTGCGACTGCAACCGGCAAGCTTCGGTCAGGTACCACCTGGCATTACGTTTGTCGATTTGTTGCGCAATCCCATGCAGCTCTACCAGGATCTTAGCTTCAAAGACTGTACTGCCGCATTGGCGGGCCTGGTCCAATGCGCCCCGTGCCGTTTTGTAGGCTTCCGCCAGCCTTCCTCTCGCCAACAAAGTACGAACCAGAAGATGGAGGGGAGCGACAAGATAACCCGGCGCTTGAGGTTGGAGTTGTAACCGCTCCCTCAGGAGTGTATCCGCTTGTTCGTACTGTTTCCGCCCGAAATGCGCGTTGGCCCTGTTGAACAGAAGGCTGGACCGTTGAACTTCAACGAGGCCACGGCGCTCGCGTACGTCCTGCTCGCAGATATGCTTTTCCCTTTCCATTCGAGAAATGGCTGTTGCCATCCAGTCCAGCTGCTGTGATGCCTTCTGCGTTATTTCAGATGGATCGTCTGTAAACCCGCGGTACTGCAGGTTTCCACAGTAGCACTTCAGATACTGCAAGCTGAGATTGAACGCGTGCGTTGGCCTGCTCTCTCTCTGCTCGTCACTTCCGATGTGCAGCTCTATGATCCTCATGCAGTCTTCATTGAGTTCAATGCATTTAGGATCATCCAGGCTAATGTAGCAAAGGGCCTGCCCAGCCTTGGCGGGAACGTTTACGTCTGAGTCGTCCGTAGTCTGCTCGAGGAATTGGAAGATTTCTAGTGCGTCCTGAAGCCGACCAATTTCGTGCAAATTGTTTCCGATGTTCATCACAACCTGGAAGAAGTGGTCTGCTTTTTCTGGAGGGACGTTGATTGATAAACAGATGCCGCCGGTGGCCGGTGGAGACGAGGAGAACCCGGGGCGCAGTAACTGAAGAATGCGCTTCGAAAACTTGATTTGTAGCGATGGAGGTAACTCCGCTCGATATCGAAGATGGGCGTCGATGAAATCTTTGATCCAACGCTGTCCGGTCATCAGGAGCTCCCTGACATCGGCTTCCTCGGCCATTGGTCCAGCTCTGCGCGTAAGGATAAGGCCCGGACGGGTACTGATATAGGTCGCGAGCACGGACAAGGCATTGGGATTTTACGCTTGTCCAAAGGGTATAGCAGGTCGTGCCTAGGATGGCTTGACCGGGGGGGGAGAGATAGAACAATGCAAACGGAGTCTGCAGGGTCTGTGTGACTTCTGGGACTCGGAGATCCTGTTGTAAACAACCAGTTTCAGCCACAGCTTCCTTTTTATAGTTACCGTACCCCTTTTCTTCTCTGCAGATAGAGAGCTGGTTGTGTGTGTGTGCAGACCGTCCGATCGAATGTCTATAAAACTAGTGGTGTGTGTGAAGGGGAATAAAGTAACGAGTTCCACAACAGATCCGCAAGTGGTCTATTCTATGGCTGCAAAGCAGACAAAGCCCTATGGTGAATTGTTCGGCGTCCCGTACGGGGGAAACGCGCAGGGCTCATAAGACCAGCGGCCGCGACTCGTGCCGCATCTGACTGACAGTGACTCTTCTTCCTCCACCATTTCAAAGACCATTTCACAGACATCTTCCCATACATACGTGAAGAATTTTTTTCTTTGACCAGCTGGGGATAGTCAGCTACATGCCACCATCTCACGCTTGAACCGGTAATGCTGTGAGTGCCTTTGGGATCTGCCTGCGGCTGATGAATTGCAATCTCTAGCTCCATGTGGGGGATTAACCCTAACCCCCTCCTGACATTCCTCTAAGACATTCCTCTAAGGCAGAGACTGTCCACTGGCTTCCAGGCAACGTGCACTAGTGTGAAAGTGGTCGATTATTCCCTGAGATAGGTCCTAAATTGGGTCGTTCGCGGGTGGAGATGATCTACTCGTGGAGAGTGCAAGGTAAAAGGTAGAGACCAACTAAATCCCTATTCTCACCACACAAGTAGACACGCTTGGGTGTACTCCGTATATTGGCAACCCCGGACTGCTAGGCGTTGTAGTAGTGCGCTTCGAACTGCGCATGAACGACGTCCCCGCGCACGTACTTCCACATGCTTTCGCAGGTCAGCGGGAAGGGGTTTGTGCATTTTCGGCTGGGTGAGGGGCGTGGGGGAGGGGTGGCGGGAGGGGGAGAAGGGGCGGAGGCGGAGGTGGGGTTGGGATGAGTGTGGTTGGACATTGCGGGGACCATCCTTGAGGTGAGGGATGGTTGGGTTATGGGGATCGAGATGAAGGTGGACCCGAGGCTGCTGCTGATGTGGAGTTGCTGGGTGGCGTAATTGAGCTGCTGGTGGAGGTGTTCAAAGGCTTTCAAAGAAGCAAGCCGGCCGACGATGGTCCGAAAGTGCCAGTCGCGTGTTGCTCTTGGACATCAAAAAAGACGGGTCTTTCGCTTTACAACCCCAAGGACACACGTTGCAGCGACAAAATGGTTTCTTATTTACAGGACAGACGGTATGGTATGATACACCGCTGAAAAGCATAATCAAATAGAAAAAAAGAATGCAGTCGTATGTATGTACTCCCGTCTGCATATACGGGGTGCGCGCGGGTACCAATCCACATCAAACGTGTCTCCCAAAACGCCCTTCCTAAACATCCACCCCATTCTCGCCCCTCTCAACTCTCCTCCTCTTCGCCTCCCTGATCTCCTCCTCCCCACCGGCCTTCCTCATCTCCCCCTCCACAACCAACCGATCGCTCCCCAACAGCTCCCCAACACCCGCCTCCACAACCCCCACGATCTTTTCCAATGTCCCGTGGACTGTTGAGGGTTCCGCGGGCGTGGGTGTGGTGATGTCAAGCGAGGTGGTTTCATGGGAGTGGGAAGACGGCGAGGTGGGGCCTTCGGCGGCTTCGGCGAGCTTTTTGCGCTTGAGGCGGGTCATGGGGCCCGGGGGCGTGCCGGTGAGGGTGGTGGTGGTGGACGGGGAGGGGCTGAGGGATGTGCCGCGAGTGCGCTTGAGGGGTGTGGAGCCTGCGGCGAATTCGGACATGGAGATCGGGGCGGCGATTTGTTGCTCGTGGACTATGGGGGCTTTTACGAAGGTCTCTTTTATGTTTTGTGTTCTGGGATAAGGAGGGGAGTGGATTAGCATCCTTCGCTCGTACTTTACTGCAGTAGTCCTCGCTTCGCTCGCCCGTTCGCTCTCCGTCACTCCATTCGCGCGTTCGCTGGTACTTACTCCTCGATGACATGAGTCTTGTTGATGACTCTCTCAATCACGGGCTGAACCTCCGTAATGACTTTTGTCTTTACCACCTCATGAATAATGGGGGCCTTATAGACCTTCTCATGGACCACCTCTTCCCTGCGTTCCTCACTGAACGCCTCCGCCTGCTCCTCATATTTCCTAATATCCTCCTCGCTCGCTTTCTCGCGGTACTTGTGGGTTTCCTCCTCGAGTTGGACCTTCTCGACGGTGGGGGCCTCGGTGACGACGTCGAGGACCGGTTGGACGACTTGGACGATCTCGGTCTGGAGGCGCTCGCGCTCGATGATGGGTTGGATTTCTTCGCGTTCGATGGCGGTGATGTTTTCGTGGACTATGGCCTCTGTGAAATGGGGAGGGAGGGAGGGAGGGAACAATGATGTTGGTGTGTGTGCGCATTGTGTGTTGCGTACGAGGATGTTGGGCGGCCACGTGTTTCCTTAAGCATCCTTGCGCCTCGCTTCGCTCGGACCCTCGCGCAATCCTCCGCAACCCTCCCCACCCTCAAGCAACCTTGCGCCTCGCTTCGCTCAAACTCAAAAGCAATCCTCTCGCTAACGCTCGCCGTCCACTTCTCCTTTGTGTGTACCTTTGACTTCCTCCTCAACAACCTTTGGCTCCAACACCTTATCGGTCGCCTTTGGGGGCGCACTCCCACCATGGTATTCGTAGGCGGAACCGGACTGGGTGTCGATCTCTGTTTTGGTGATGTTTTTCTGTTCCGACATGGTTGTTTGATGTGAATTGGTGATATGTGAGGGGGGTTAAGTTGTAGTTGTGGAATTGGCAATAAGGATATATTATGTGTGGGGGGGGGGGGGGGGGGGGCGATATGTTCGATGCTCGAATAGCGGAGGGGCGGGGGGGTATGGGAAGCCAGCCAGCCCCTTTTTATACTTGGCAGACGGAGAGAGTTGAGCGAGGGGAGGGACGCGCGTGGGGGGCACGAGGGATGATGATGAATGATGCTAAGCCCTGCCTGCCTGCCTGCCCTGTCTGTCCTTGCAGTTACTTGTTACGCGTGGATGAGGTTGACAACCTGCCTATGACATCATCCATTCTCCCTTCCTTCAGGTCAATTCAATTGGCTCATGTGAGTGCATGATCCCACGTGCTATCAACTTAAAAACGACAGAGCCCGAATGCATGAATGGATGGATGCCGCACACGCACTTCAGATTCACTCATCCCTCATCCCTCAGCATCAGCGAGCGACTCGCGAGACTCCTCCTCACACGAGACAAACTTGCGCGGTGTCACTTCGCAAAGCCGCACGCCCGCCAGCCAGCCAGCCGTCACTCACTTCTGGTTACCCAACCGCCTCTCCACTTCAGACACAGAACCCCCTCCCTCCCTCCCAAAGTAAACCCCCCCACTGCTACCATGCTGGTACGTTGGCTACCCCGCACCGCATTCTATATCGGTCGTCGCACCCTCCGTCGGGTCAGCGTCACAAAAGAACCTTCTAACTTGTTTTGTTGTACGCAACCCCCCTCATGCTTATAGGCCTCCAACATTCGCAGGAAGACCGTCAAGAAGGGCTTGGCCTTCACTATCATGACCGTTGGTATGTTGAAGGGGGGGCCGGAGTCTGTGGTCGGGACGCGGGAGTTGGAGTCGTGAATCGAGCGAGGGCCGAGTTTGGGGAGTGGAGGGCGGAGGAAATCAAAGTTGGGCTTGGAAAGGAGAGGGCGCAAGGACGGCGAGAGAGATAGAGGCTAGGCCGGACGAGCGAGGAAACGCAAACGACAGTGAGAAAAAGAGCGACAGGGACTGCGAGCCCGGAGGCGGGGTTGACGAGAGAATGTTTGACACAGCGCGGTCTACAGCCTAACCTGATGGGATGGGATGGGATGGGAGGGGAGGGGAATTGGAGAGTTGGCACGGGGCTATTTATTCCTCGGTCCAACTCCTTCCTGCTCGCTGTCGTTCGAAGGATGTCGTGCGAATGTCGGTTTCCAACTGGTGGAACACCCTCTTACGTTCTCATCAAATGTACAGGCTCCTCGGGACTCGGAAAGACGACCTTCCTGAACACCCTATGCGAATCACCCGTCGTCCGCAAGTACGACCACTCCAGCCCCGAAAAAGCTGCCCTCGAAAAGACCGTCAGCATAAACCCCGTGTCGGTTGGTATGTTGGGACTGCGCTGCGGGGTGATGATCGAGTTATTGATCAGAGCTCAACCTGGCTGACGATGATATACTGTTTTATACTAGACATGGAGGAAGATGGTATCAGACTGGCATTGACGATCGTCGACACCCCTGGGTTCGGCGACAACATCAACAACGAGGGAGCGTATGTACCAGTCACCGGATTCTTCGCCCATTTCCTCTCCATTCAGTCACTCACATGCGAATTCTTTCCTACAGCTTCACGGATATCCTCGCCTACATCGAAAAACAATTCGACGACGTCCTCCAAGAAGAGTCCCGCATCAAACGTAACCCCAAATCCCAAGACAACCGCGTCCACGTCCTCCTGTACTTTATCCCTCCCACCGGCCACTCGTAAGTACCAATACCCTCCCTCCAAATCAACTTTCTCCCCCACTAAACTCTCCCACCCTCTCCCCCCCTTAACAGCCTCCGCGAAATCGATATCGAATTCATGCGCAAGCTCGCCCACCGCGTGAACGTGATCCCCGTCATTGCGAAAGCCGACACCCTCACACCCCCCGAGCTGGCCGCGACCAAGAAACGCGTGATGGAGGATATCGCGCACTACGGGATCCCGATCTACAATTTCCCGTATGATGAGGGGGAGGATGATGAGGAGACTATTGAGGAGAATCGGGAGTTGAGGGCCGCCCTGCCATTCGCAATCGTCGGATCCGAAGACGAGGTCGTCATCGACGGACGGAGGATCAGGTGTCGTCAGTACCCATGGGGTATCGTCGAAGGTAACTACAAATCCCCCTCCCCATCCCGTGCCCTCCCCCCTCCCCCTCTCCCCAAATCTGACCCCGTCCCTATTTTTGATTTCAGTCGACAACGCCCGCCACTGCGACTTCTCCCAACTCCGCTACAGCCTCCTCTCCTCGCACCTGCACGACCTCAAAGAGATCACGCACGATTTCTTGTACGAGCAGTACCGGACTGAGACTCTCAGTGGTGGGAATGGTGATGGGGACGAGGGGGAGGATGTGGTTGTTGATGATGATGATGAGGTGCCGTTGAGGGCGTAGTGGGGGAGAGGGAGGACATCATTGGCCGCTGGCGGAGTGATGGAAAAAAAACAAACATCAGGATTTGGGAGGAGACTTTGGCGTAGTTGCATTTTTCGCCGACGGCAGTATAGCTTCCCCTAGATAGCAGACACTAGACACTTTTCCCCGCATATATATAGACTTTTTTTCACTGTCCCGTTTCCTGGAATCTCATTTTTTTTTGTATTACGTTTTTGTGCAATGCATCGGTTCTGTTTGAAAGAAAACATCCACCGACGGGGAACACCTGGAGAACACTGAGGGAACATGCAGGTCAGCAGGTGCGCCCTGAACGCGTCCGACGGGAAAACGGGAACCTCCAACGTTGGGCAATTCTCGTCCTTGACCGGCATCCCCCCCCCCCCCCCCCCCCCCCCCCCCTACTCCCATCGCAACAATGCCCCCACCCGCCCCCCACCGTCTCCCCACCCTCACCACCCTCCTCACCGCCGCGTCACGACACCCGCCATGCCGCACCCTCCGCCCCCGCCCGGCGCCCTCATCACCCTCCCCACGCCGGCTAACCACCCCCGCCTCCAAAATCGGCCAACCGACGCCGGACACGCATCCGCATCTCCTCAAACCGGGTGAAGGTAAACGCCCCCACCCCCCCTTTCTCTTCCCATTATGCACAACGGACGCATTGGATGTTGATTTTTTTTTTTTTTGGTTTTCAGTGACGCGGGGGATACAGGGGACGGAATACGCGGCGCGGCGTGCGCGACTTGTGAGTGGGCTGCCCGACGGCAGTGTGGTGGTGGTCGCGGGGTATGGGTTGCGGTATGCGACGCAGGGGATCTTGTACGTATAACGGGTGTGGGGGGGGATCAACGTGCGAAGAGGTGGGTGGGCTGACGATGTTTGTGGGTGCAGTTACCCGTTTCATCAGAACACGGACCTGTTCTATCTGTGTGGGGTGAACGAGCCGGATTGTGCGTTGGTGCTGGGTAGGTAACCGTGCGGTCCCAACAACCAACACATCTATGGTCGTTTTTCAACACACTGATGGTACTTTGAATGGTAGAGAAAACGACGGGGGCGGGTTACAAGATGATCTTGTTTGTGAAGCCGACGGACGCGCATCGGGTCGTGTGGGACGGGCCGCGGGCGGGGTTGGAGGGCGCCGTGGGGTTCTTTGGGGCTACCGAGGTACAGTTCGTCAAAGCAGGTCATTTACGATTCCAATGGGGGTGAATTTTTCGTTCTGATGTTTCGTTCACGGCAGGCACGCTCAATCGACACATTCCAATCTTACCTAACCACCCTCACCTCCCCGACCGCCACCCGGCCCGTCTACACCGACCTTCCCCTGCACGGGCCCGCCGAATCCATCCTCAACAACACCGCCAAACCAGACCCCAGCACAACCAGCTACGCCTTCCCGCCCCGCGCATCAACCCCCCACCCCAAACCCAACATACACCCCCTCGCCCCGCACCTCACCCCGCACCGCCTCCTCAAATCCCGCGCAGAAACAGCCCTCCTCACCACCGCCTCCACCATCACCTCCAGCGCCTTCAAAGCCATGATGCGCGAAACCCCCCTCCCCAACACGGCAGAAAGCGACCTGTGGGCCCTCGCGGAGTACACGGCGCGGCGCGCAGGCGCGAGCGGGCTGGCGTATGTGCCGGTGGTCGCCGGGGGCGTGAACAGCCTGACGATCCATTATGTGGTCAATGATCAGCGGTTGCGACAGGGGGACTTGGTGTTGGTCGATGCGGGCGCGGTGAGGATCCATTCTTATCTTCCCCCCCTCCATGTCGATATCACAGGGGTAAACTAACACCTATGAAACTCTTTATTCCCCCCCCCCCCCCCCCGCAGGAATACGCCTCCTACTGCGCCGACGTAACGCGCACCTGGCCCACCAGCGGGGTCTTCACCGCCCCGCAACGGCAGCTCTACGAGGCCGTGCTGAGAGTTCAGAAGCAGTGTGTCGCCAAATGCACCGTGGAGAGCCGGACGAGCCTGGACGCGATCCAGCGCGAGTGTTGGGACGCGTTGAGGGTGGAGGTGCAGAAGGTGCTCGGGAGGGCCGTGGGTGTGAGGGTATGTGCTGGGTTGGCGAGGATAGGGTGGTTGGGGTGTCGTGGATTTTTTTTTTTTGGCGGGGGGGAGACTTGTATCCCGCCCACCGGGATAGTGTTGGGTGATAAACAAAGGCAGGAAACAAAAAAAAACGGACGACTGTTCATGCTTTTTTATTTCCCGCTACCCACAGGAAATGAACACCCTCTACCCTCACCACGTCGGGCACTACCTCGGTCTGGACGTGCACGACACCTTCTCCGTCTCGCGCTCGACGCCGCTGCAGGCCGGGATGGTGCTCACCATCGAGCCCGGGCTGTACATCCCCGACACGGCCGCGTACCCGCCGGGGTTGCGCGGGGTGGGTGTGCGGATTGAGGATGATGTGCTTGTCGGGGGGAGGGAGGAGGGGTGGGCGGCTGTGGTGTTGAGTGGCGGGGCGCCGAAGGAGGTGCGGGATGTGGAGGATTGTGTGAGGGGGGTTCTGTAGACGTGCGGCTGCTTCTTTGCGCAGTGTGAGATAACCCTGGCGTATGACCTGTTGATTGTACTGTATGTGCCATGTGTGTATATGTAGTAATTGTTTAGATATAGAGAACTCTAGCCGGTGAAGATGATATAGAGCGCTGAACTGCTACACTTCATGAACCTACGATGCCATGACGGAGATAATGGCCTAGACAAACCACGCAAAAAGTTAATAGAGTCACGGTGGGGAGATGTCGAAAGCCCAAAATGAATATATGTGTGCGTCTAGATCTAGGGAGTCCTCAGGTACGCCGCGGGGACCAGTCCTTTGCGAATTCCGTTGCTTGCCTGCATCCGAGATTGGAAATGAACAGTTTCAGCAAACCCTGCACTGTTGCCATCTCCCATCTTGGGATGAACAGCGAATCCAGCTCGATGATGCAGCTTACCATCACCCACCCACTCCCATCGACATCTAGAAAAGCAACATCGCAACCATTCAGGAAAGACAAGCACAGGTGTTTTGCAAAATATAGAGGGATCCTTACCTTCTTCAACAACCCAAACGACCTGCTGATCAGTGATGCTCATCTCTTCCTCCGTTTGGGCCGTATAGTCGTACGCCACCACCTGCGAAAGTAGATATGGGATCGTTGGGGACTGACAAAATGCTCGAACGGGAGGGACGAAAATGACGTGACGTACCACTTCTGTCCCCAATTGCTTGCCCGATGCCGTAGAAGCAACCGCCTCCACATCCGACCCCTCCGCAGCAACAGCGACGACAGGCGCCTCACTCGCTAACTCCATATAACTCGTCGGCACCAGCCCCTGTACAACCTTCCCTTTCTCGTCCTCCTTCTCTACAAGCGTCCAACCGGATCCGTCGTCGTGTTCTACGACTTTCACGATCTCTGCTTCGGCGACTTGTAGTTCCTCGGAGGCGGTGGCGGAGGGTGTGTAGTCGTAGAGTATGTAGGCGGAGGAGCCTCCGTACCATTTCGTGGAGCCGAGGATGCTTGAGACTGCAATGGAGTTGTGAGGTTGTAAGGCACAAAAAATATCGAGCGCGTGAGAGACGGCAAAGACATACTGGATCCGACGGAACTCATAGCGAGGGATTGCCTGCTGTCTAAGAAGGTTCGGCGCTTGTTCATTACGCCGGGACAGAGCGCGGGGATTTTGAGCTCGCATTTTAGGTGGGCATGGTACCCGCTGGGAAAGACATTAGTCAGTGGGCGGGAGTGAAATAGATTGTTGGGAGAACTACTACAAACCAATCTGCAAAAGTGGGGAAAGCGGAAGTCAGTCAGATCCAGGGACCATAATCTCTCGAACCAAAACATACCATCACAAGTCAGCCCCGGCTTCCCAACGCCCCATATCGTGCCGTGGCAATAGTCGCATGTTACGGGATGTACAAATGTTTTACCAGTGAGGTTGTGCGGGTGCATGTCCTCCAGGTCGGAAGAAAGGAGGCTGTATATTCGATCGATTTGGACTTGGAACTTGCTGCGTGAAGTTTGCTGCTTCATCGTTTCCCGTTTCTCTTCCAGGATGCTCTGCAACAACATCCTAGTTTAGAACCAGTATTGGGTTCATCTTACAACACCGATATGGAGTATATCGTACCTCCCGCACGCGTCCAATGTCTCCCTGTGCTGGATCCTTCTCGTAAACGTCCAGTAGTCGTTTTAGACCTTGAAGTGTCTTTTCCCTTTTCTCAATGTCCTCGTCAATCTGTGCCACACGTTTCACGAGTTTCCGGTATTTGTTTCCCAGGAAGATTGTGGCTGATTCGTCTTTCGTGAGGTGACTCTACAGTGATTTAATAACGGACGTCAGTCGTCCGTGCCGGGGAGGGCGAGAGCCTGTGTGAACATTACAGCTCATACCCCTTCTTCTGCTAATGCATCCAGTGAAAACTCTGCTGCCTCTGATGATGCAACGACAGCGAAATTGTTCCGCGAAACTGCATACGCTTGTGCATCAGCCTCGACGTTGACTTTCCCCACGGCTTCCTTCATGGACTTTGCCGACTCTTCCACAGAGGATGCAAGTGTTTGTTGGAGTGAAGTGGCGGATTGCCAGGAAGTTTGTAGCCGCCCCAATGTGTGCTGCAACAGTGAGAGCATGTCCTATAGTCGAAGACGTGAGTACACCTGAAGGAGTGATGACAAGCCTTGCCATCTTGTACCTCAAGCAATGCTGGTACATCCGTGTTGTGAAATCGACTCTTTACAGTGTTCGCGGAAAGGACGCTCAGAATATACGTGTTCTGTTACGTGAAGGGAATAAACATCGTGTCTTCATATGCGGCCCACGAGATGACCGATTCACGGACCTTGCCATTCCCAACATCAATCATCTCCTCCTTCAGTCTTCGTCGCAACTTTTCGCCAGCTTTACCATCCGGGGTCATGGCAGCCTTCTCCCTAACGGTCGCCAACGACGTACACAGCTGCTTGTACTTGCTCTCCGCCTTATCTTTCTCAGCATAGGTAAGATCCCGTGCAGCACACAGATCCATGAAGAAAGCTTCGTGCTTCTTTCGGGCCTGGTTCGTTTTCGACACGGCTGCGACTAGTTGATCGATAACCTGGGAGTGCAGGGTCTGCGAATACTCCTTGTGGGACTGTGCGATTCCTTCCGTCTGCTTCAAGAGAGTAGCCCAGCATGCTTCTGTCGACAAGGTGCTAGCATTCGATCCTGGTGTAGCGGAAATATGTCCTGCGTCGTGCCGCTGAGCATATTTTTGCGCCAGAGCGCCAAGCCGACGAGCGTAGTCATTCTCCAAGTCGGCCCGTTCGCGGGCAAATGCTGCGGCCGAGTCGCAGAAGCTGACGGCCTCGCCCTTTGATAGAATACTTCTCTTAGTCTCTGCAAGCTAGCAGGAACTGCAAATGGATACCATGTTTCCCAGGACGAAAGCTTACCAGTCGACGGTTTAGCGCCTGTACTTCCTGGGAATAACAAAGACATGTTGAGCAAGGTGCCATTCAGAGGTATCCAGAGCGCGGATAGTCCCCAACGACGGCCGGCATACCTGGACTTCTGGGCCGCCCGCCATCTCCTTCATTATGTGTTGCTGAGAGTGGGAAGCAACTTCGTTTTGAGTCTGTCGAAAACCAAGTAGTCCCAGGGTTCAAGTATATCAAACGCGACTTGGCCCAATAACAACTCGTGGCTAATCTCAACCCTAACCCAACTGCAAGTTCCCCACTTGCTTGTGGAACCCCAGGTGCAACACTTGCGACTGGGGTTTTAAAGATCGACGAGTAGATTCAGGCAGATCACACGCACATACTGATGTGCCAAATTAGTTCCATTGAAGACTTGGCCTGCGTCCCACTTGTTGTTTACACTTTGGCTAGGATAGTGATCTGTTGTTCCTTTCGTTGTCATAATAAATATGATGTCGTAGAACGAAATTGGTTCGGTTTTGCAAATTGCATGATCGCCGAAGAGGTCAGGAGGTAAGCGGAGAAGGAGTCGAGCGTACAGTCACCTCGCAAAACTCTGTACCCCCCCTGAAATAAATCAGCGACTGCCGCGACGCCAAATTCACGTGAGTGACCAATGTTGATTTCAATTAGAGGGGGGGCACAGAGTTTTGCGAGGTGACTGTACCAATCCATTCCTGCACCTTCGAGTGGGGTGAAAAAGGACGTGTCGAGACGACGGTCTCGGCTCTGCCAAACACCAACCGCGAACTCGTCGGTTTCGGGGTCATCGTCCTCATCTTCATAGTGGTCGGCCGCTGCCTTGATATCAATGGCACGGCCTTGGACAAGTTCCTTCAAACGACCTGCCCAGCGCTTAGCCGCAATGAAAATGCAGGCAGCGTGAATAGCCGATGCGCGGTTCTCCAAATCCAGGACCCCATTGTACAGTCACGTGTACACGAGTTGAAACCGAATTGAGGTGTTCGGATCCGGAGCGGCTATGGTGCGCAACGTCATTGCGCCGAAGACCGCACGCCATTTTCCGAGCGTGAAGCCCATGACACAGACGTCCTCTAAAGGGACGCCCGCAGTCAGCAACATAACCGCTTGGCCCGCTAGATACATCGCAAGTTGGGGTTCCGCGACGGTAGGTTCGACATCGCCTTTGAATTCACCAATCACGCACGAAGGTCTGTACTTCTCATCCCCGAGACAGTAAGACCGCGACAAATATACTGTGAAATCCGGCTGCATCTGACGCATGCCGGGGACGCACGAGCATGGGACCAACGCCTTTTCTTGCCTGATGTGGCACCAAAGTTAGGAAAAAACTTCTCTAAGGAGAATTCCAGACCCGATTCCAGTACTCACGCGAGTGGGTAAAAATCTACAAATCCCGCTCCGGGAACCTGAAAAATGGACTGCAGCACGCTGGTGATGTGCTGCGTAAGATTTGGCTCCGACTTGCGATAGCCGGCGGACTTTGGAGGCCAGGGTCCCCCAAACAGGGGTTCAGCCAGCAAGCACCTTTCCAGAGTTCCCAGTTCGTCGGTGGAGAGATCGGACCGCTACGGGTTCATGAGAGTTAATGTATTTTCAGCAACGGTTCAGTACACATCACTTACCAGGGGAAGGGTGCCTTTCTCATGCTCGTCTGGGTGAACAAAGCGTGTAACGAGACGCAAAGCGTAGTCGGAAAGATTTCCAAATGCTTCCCGCACGAAAAGGCCATGGGCCTCCAAAGTTGCCCAACCTTCCTCGTCCTTCAACGTGTGCGGTGCGGGATATTGACCGACGTCAATACCCACGCTCGCTACGCGCTCCGAGAGAGAGCTGGGATTCCCCGCTGGGTCGACGCAAAGAACGAAGCGCTCTCGGGCCGCCCTTTCCGGATACGACAGCTCTTTCCCATTCCCACCCCCGCTGTTGTTCGACGAGCCCGAACCAGAAGAGGAAGACGAGGAAACGGCAGACGTCACGGACTCCGACATGGCGTAACCCGAGGGAAAGAAAAAGGAAAGGAAGGAAGGAAAGGAGAGAAAGTCGCCCATAGTTCTATCTACTCACGTGCCCACCACCTGCGCTGTTGTTGAAGTTGAATCGCGATCAAGCAAGGCAAGCCGTCAAAACCATGACGTGTTGCTCGTCAAAGTCGCCCACGACCAAAGCCCCACATCTCCCTCGAAAAATACACTGTACGAGAGGTAGCTAAACAGCTTCTGTGCGGCAAAGAAGCTGCAAAGCCATAAACGCAGCTCCAAGTCCACTCTCAAAGCCTCGAGCGAGAACAATTGGCTATACCTTGAACGAAGGATGCAACCCGCGGGATCGCCAGACCCCCGAAACAGCCGTGTCTGGCGGAAACTCTCGCCCGAAGCCCTAGACAGTCTACGAGGCCCGATCCTGTTACGGCAGACGAGCAGCATCGAGGAGAACTGGAGGTGGGGCGCGGAGGACTCTAGCGCTGTTGAGGAACACGATGGTATGTATTGCCCATTGCGGGCTCGTTGTGTGATGCCCGTGGTTTGAATTGTACTGAAGTCCGTTCGCCGACTCTAGGAGCAAGTTGGGATGCTGACTGGGAATGGGGGGTACGTGGATGAATATCAATGGCACTATGTCTGGCCATGCAGTGGACTCACACTCTCTGTTCTAGGCCGAGAGCAAACATCAAAACGGAAACACCCGCCCCGCGTTGCCAACCTCGCCAATATGCCAGTTTGCCTCACTATCGCATGACGCAAACTATCTTGTCTGCGCCACGGATCGCTTGTTTGTGGTACTAAAAGCGGGACAGTCACAGGAGTACGCGCTGGTTGGGAAGGGGGTGCCTGAGGATAGGTTAGTGGAACGAATGAGAAAAGGGAGAGACGACGGACGGACGTGGGCTCATCAATAGATATCGATTAGGGATGAACAGATCACAGCGGTCACATGCGCACCGCTATTCATTCCCTCGAATGTAAAAAGCAAGTAGGTATGCGAACTGCAGGCTAAGCTGCATTCCTCTATGCAAACGTGTTGACGAAGATACGTGGACCAGACCAGGCGGTGTATCGATATCCGTGATAGTTGGCTTCTCGTCCGGCTACTTCAGGATATACGATGAGGTAACATAAGACCGCGGCGTGAGTGCGCATGGAGGATGACCCGATACTCACGGACCTTGGGCTTACAGCGTGGTCGGCTCCTAATCTCCCATCTCCTAAATCTCTCCCCCGTAATCGGCATCAAAATCCGGACAATCACGCCCACCTCCCTCGCCACCTCCATCGAACCCGACGGCGACGAAGTCCTTATCATCTACGGCGACTCCAAAGCCGTCAGCATCGACGGCCCGAGCGTGTGGATGGCCATCAAAGTGGTCGCGGGTTACAAAGACTTCGGCGAAACCTTGGAGCAGCCCGCCCTCGTGTACAAGAAATGGCAGTTCGATAAACAGAAGCGGATACTGGATATGGTCAGTTTGGGCCCTGCGAGCGCGACGGTGATTAGCCCGCCGGCTTTTCACCCGGTTTCGAGCACGTTTCTGAGCACGAGACGGACGGCGAGGTATATTGGGGTGGGGAGGCCGATGATTACGTTTTATGCGACGTCGGAGGCGGGGAGGTCGCATTCGTTGAAGAATGTTGCGACGAAGGTTACGAGTGCTGTTACAAAGTACGTTTTTCAAATGGCCCATTTCCATACTCGGGAACGCTCTAACCTCCCCCCTAATCCATTGTCCCTTTTTTTTTCTCGCAGCGCAATGTTCTCCTTCGCCAAAACAATCTGGACCCACACCCCCACCTCCCTCACCTCTGCCTACCCGCCCTCCACCCCCTCCCCTCCCGGCACTCCCACATCCTCAACACCCACCCTCCCCGACACAGTAGCCCCGCCCGTGCGCATGCCCGCCCTCTGCACCCTCTCCGACACCCAACGCCAAATCACCTCCATCAAACTGTCCCCCCCCTGCACGCTCACGGGGAAATCGAAACTGGCGGCGGTGACGGATTCGCTGGGGAGGTGCATGCTCGTGGATGTGGAGGAGGCGATGGTCGTGCGGGTGTTCAAGGGAGTGAGGGATGCGCAGTGTGGGTGGGTGCAGGTTGAGGCGGGGTTGCGGGGGGGCTCAGGCGGGCGACATGACACACCAGAGGGATCGAGACGGAGAGGGAAACCCCCCACCCTTCTACTTGCAATCTACGTCGCGCGCGGCGTGCTGGAGCTGTACCACGTACGCCACGGCCCGCGCGTCGCGGCGCTTGCGGTCGATAGGGAGTGTAAGTTGGTGCAGACGGCCACCGGGGTGTTGGGTGGGGCTTATGGTGGGCAGGGCGGGCCGGGGACGGGCGGGTTGGCGCAGTGTGTGTTGGTTGGGCCGACAGGGGAGGTGAGGCGGGTTAGGCCTGAGGGGTGTTTCTGAAGGCTTGGGGTGGGATATCATCCCCATTTACGCTTTGCCGTTCCGATATCATTTGTACATACGACATATTTGGGTCTCTGGGATCTACCCCTCACTGCGAATCATAACGGCAATAGACGCAAAGACCCCCGCCATTAAGCTGTCTACTTATACTGTCGGAAGGGAGTAAAGGCGGGAATCAACACTGGGCCGGGTCGGTACTGAGATTAGTGGCTAGTCCACGGCGCGGGGTATCTTATGTACAAAAAAGGGGGGTTAAGGACATCATGTCCCTGCTATATTTACAGTAACGCCGATACGCTACGCCGCGACGGGTATTCAAAAAAACGCCGATCGATGTCTGCGATGGGCCCAAATGGCATCACGTCCTCACGACAGCATGCTAACGTACGGCGCCGGCTTAATATCCAACGGCGACGTCTTCAGATGGACCGGCGACCTCCCATCCTGCTGTTCACTCATCTCCGCCAGACACCCGCTCGGAACCCAGCCCGTCCGTCCATCCTTCTCCACCTCACACCACCCCTCACACCGCCGTGCAATCACGAACCGGTCCCCGATCGATACGTCCAGCTCGTCGGCGAGGGTGGCGTTGTACTCGTAGACCGCGACGGCCTGCGCGCGTTCGGAGGGGGACGCGCTGCTATTTGTGGGTTGTGATGGTGCGAGGGATTTGGCGGTGTTGGTGTCTATCCGTAATGGCCGCATCGGCGCCTTCCCGCCGGGCAAAAGAATCATCTCCTCGACGCCCTCGGCGCGCTTCAACACAAACCGCGCGTTCGGCATATCCCTCAGGATATCCAGCGGCCACTCATACGTCTCCAATCGTCGTGTGCTCCCATCGTCTCTATCCAAAACGATCATCTCGTAGTTCTGCGGGTCGTCCCAGAGCTTGTACTTGCGCAGGACTTCGGGGATGATGAGGTTGATGGTGGCGTGGTTGGAGAGATGCACGGTTTTGTAGGGTTCGGATTTTCGGTTGAGGGAGGGGTCAATGTAGACGCGCATGGCGAGGACGTTTGTTACCTGAGGTGATGGGAGACGGGGCGTTATTTTTGAGGAGGGGGACTAAATTCTGGTTAGGGGCGGGGGAGCACTTACGGGATGCCGGGAGGTATCAACGGTATATTCGCGCTTCAGTACATCTCTGTTGGACACCTGTGGCGTTTGAGGTCGAAGGTTCGTCTTTGGCTTCAAAGTCTCTGTATGCTCGCAGTCCTGAAAAAGGCAATTGAAATCAGTCAACAAAGCAGATGAAAACGCTGTGCGAATGTAGTATGATTGATACCTGTGGCTCGCGGACCAATTCCCATACAGGTTTTAGATCCTCCCTCAGCTGTTCTAATGAGGCATACATTTCGTCTAGTTCTTGATTAAGCCGTCGTATTATAAGGTCTGATGGTAGCGAACGAGGTTTAGCATCGACCACGTCGGGTACATAAGTGTATAGATCTGGTTGCTCACTTTGTTGCGATATGATGTCCTTCAGTCCGGTTTGCTCTGGTGCCGATTAGATATGGTTGATGAGTCGATGAGCAACGGGTGGTTGGATGCGAAGCGAAGCGAAGAACAAAGGAAGGGCGAAGCGAAGCGGACGGAGAACGAAGAACGACTGTTCGTTGTCGCTTACACATTCACAGCTCGCTTCGCTCCTTATAAATGCGCCCGCGTTCGTCCTCAAGCATCCCCTCCTCCTCGCTTCCCTCGCCGCAGTCCCGTACCTTTGGGATGCTCCGAAACATAATCCCCGTCCTCAAACGGCAGTTCCAGCGCAACCTTCATATTATACATAGCCGTCAGAATCCTCAACCTATGCCCGACCGAGTGCACATTCAGCGCTCTGAGCATATCATGGTCGGCTCTCAGCAACTCCTCGCCCGTTATCTCGTTCTCTGCGAAAAACCCGATTATTTGAGGAAATGAAATGGAAGCATGGTTGTGGGAAAACTAACTCACCTAAAAACGACCGCGTGTATCCCGCCAGCCCGAGTTTAGCGATCCAGTGCCCCACTTGCTCGGGGGTTCCGGGGAAGTGGGCTTGGGCGAGCATTGTGATAGAAGCCGTGTCTATTGCGGAATATTATAGGCCGAATGCGGTGCGTTGGTGCTGTGGGTATTGGCCAATTTCCCACCCAGTGTACTGTACCTGAGGTGCTTTTTGGGAGAAACGTATGGGACAGTTTATAGTTGCCCGGTGGACGCGCGAAGAATGCGAAGAATCGAATTTGGGTTGTCTGCGTTTGACCAATGACCGCCAATGACCCCCTTGCCCACTTCCGGCTCTTCCGGCGCCAAATCGAGCCGATATGATATCTGCAATCTACCTAGTACAGTATGTACAGTCAAATTTATCGCCTCGCTCCGAGTGTTTGTAACAGTTCTTGAACGTAGGCAATTTACGTACAGCAGCAGTAGTTCCCAGCCATTGGCCATCGGTGAAGGTTTTAGAAGACCTCTACAGTAAAGGACGACCAGGGGTCCAGAACTCATGAACTTGGAACACCTCGGTAAAGAAAGAAAGAACGAGAATGGAATCTGGTCACTCAGATCTTGTTCTGATTTCTTTCAGTAGACCCGTTCGGCCAGCACCATTTGGAGAAAATCGACGGAACGCTATCAGATGGGAGTTTTGCGACATGCTGTAGTTTCAATCATAAAGGCAGCTTCATTGCTGTAGGAAATCTGGACGGGGAATGCGCCGTATGGTCTTTGAACACCAGAGGAGTGACCCGAAAGCTTGTTGGGCACGTTCATCGGATTACTTCCATCAGGCACGAGCTCCGACGCCGTTTTGCACTCCAAATATTTTCATTGTCTCATTATCAAGGCCTTTGATCTGTAGCTGGACTGACTGCGGCCGCTATCTTCTAACGAGCTCTGCGGATTGGAATTGCATAGTATGGGATCTGGACGATGGGTCTCGAATACAAACTGTGCGGTTCGAATGCCCTGTGGATTATGCGCAGATACATCCAGCACGGAGGTACTGCAGTTGCCGGTCGCTTGTTACGCAGAGGCGCTTGCTCACAGCGTATTGCCACGACCCTCGCGGTCTAGAGACACCATGATTGCAATCTTGCGAAGTGGCGATGCGGTATTGATGAAAGCCAAAAATGGTTCATCGAGTCAGATGCAACGTATCTCGCTCCATGCTTCTTTGCAAGTGGTACTGGCCAACTCGCAGGTACGGCACTTGCAGAGCCGTCCACTGATTTTGTTACCACCTTAACAGCGGACTTCCAATATGCAGGCACAACACGCAAGGACGATATGCTTTCATCCATCCGGAAATGAGATCCTGGTCGGAACGCAGAAGGGATACATCGTAACACTTGACGCCACAAAGTTTGAGGTAGGGTTGCCGTACCGAATGGAAGAGCTCATCCCATTGATGCTGACGTCCTGTTTTCGCCAGGTTATGAACTTCGTGCGAGTATGTGCTGCAGGCTTGCGGACCGTTCGATTTGACGCGAAGGGAAGGTAGGCACGGGTCGAGCACCGCTATAGGGCTACGGGACGAGGCGCTGAACATCAACCCCAGGGATCTTGTTGTCAATGCAAATGATAAGACGATACGAGTGTTCACGGTGCGGATGGACGAAGGCAAAATGCTTCTTGAGAACGAGCAGCGTTTCCAAGATTCGGTTAACCACCTCAGCTGGAAGGAATGCTTGTTCAGCGCTGATGGAGAGTTTGTTATTGGAGGTGAGGCATACGGCATTTGTGCTGGACATTTTGAGAGTCACCATGGATTCACCCTGATCGTGCAAACAGCATCCGATATCACATATACCCAGCGGATATACATATGGAATAGACATGTCGGGAATCTAGTGAAAGTGCTGGACAAGGACAAGGATGGCTTAGTGCAGATTGCGGTGAGCATTGCATTCGCCGCCGGCTCGGTCCCATACGATACTGATAAGTGCTGGGTGCGTTGCGTAATGTAGGCGCACCCGTACAAGCCGATGCTAGCGTCAGTCGGAACGTCCGGAACGGTGGATTTGTGGGGTCCTAGTTACAAACAACAATACTCGGCGCTTTGTCCTGGTATGTTCCCGGACCCGGCCTTCTAGGTCCCTTGAAAACCCCCGAGACGAGAAACCCAACATTCAAGCGTGCTAGATTTTGGTCTGTTGGATGAGAACTTCGAGTACCAGGAAAGGGAAAGCGAGTTCGACGAGGTACAACATGGCTACATGAGGATGGACGGGGGTACGCATGTCATGGTTGCAATTGACGTGCAATCACTATGTGTACGCAGGAGGAAGAGCCGCCAACAAAATCCAGCGAGGACGAAGAGCAGGATCCGGAAATCGATATCGTCACGATCGCACAAGTGAACCCGCATGATAGTGACGAAAGAGAAACGTTCGTTCCTCCTCTCAATCTGTTAGAGAAGCCTTCGCCGAGGGATCAACAACCTGCGGATTGGCAATGGCACATACCGGTGTGATCGAGTGGGTGCTTCGCAGAATACTGTGCTATCAATTTTGAGTCAGAACCCAATCCGAGCCGTCCAGCGGCGACGGTTGGGTTCCTCGACGCAGCACTCGCAGTGGCACTCGGTGGCGCAACAACGCAGCTTCCAATGGGTCCTCGAACGGGAACGGCGGCGGGAGTGGCAATGGCAGCGTGGAGAATGGCGAGAATGGCGGCGGTAACGGCAACGACGGCAGTAACGGCAACGATGGCGAGAGTGGCAACGGCGGTAACGGCAACGACGGCGAGAGTGACAACGGCGGCGGCGAAAGTGGCAACGGTAGCGGGGAGAGTGGCGAGAATGGCAACGGCGGCTCGAACTTCAGCGTCGGCGGGTGCATCAACATGTCCATCACCACCTCCAACACCGAAAGGCTGACCATCAAAGAATGGGGGCAAGGATGGTGGAGAACCCTTCTACTTCAAACTGGACGCCCTTTCCGTTATCCGACTATAGCCGATGGAGCATCGTGGTAATTCGACTCTGAAGTTCCTCACTTCAAGACAAAGATAAGCATGAGTATGATTTGCGATGCATAGTATAGGTGCGATGATCAACACGACCCTGTTCTGCTTTTTCGACCGCTTGTGCCTCGCAGCCTCCTGTTGCTGCGTGTCCTCCGGCTTACGCTGCTCGATGGCTCGTCTATCTCCCTCTGTCGCTGCTCTAACGCAGCTGCATTCCCTAGCTCTTGAGCCTGCGCGTCGGCCACCCGAAAGCAGAGAAAACCTGTGCGAAAGTAGATACATTCCATATTATCCATCCCTTTGCGACGAAGTAATGTATATGCAAACAGTGTTTCACATTCCCCCCCCACCCCCCCCCCCCCCCCCCCAAAAAAAAATATATATAGAGAGCTCTACCTACAGTTTCCTTATACCCTGCACTCCTCCTCCCTACTCAAAGTCAAACAAATACATCCCCACCGCAAACCCCACCGATCTAGCCACCGCGGCAACCGTCTCATAGCTCATATTGCATTTACACTTGACGCCGTCCAACTTATCCGGCGGGCTGATGCGTATCAGGAGGCGGAGGTTGACGAGGGTCGTGAGCTGCATGTACACGTCGACGGTGGCATCCATGTCGTCGGGGATGATGGAGTAGAAGATGGCGAGAAGGCGTTCGAGGGGAAAGGCTTTTGGGCCGAGGAGTTGTTGGCGGAGCTGAGTGATTAGGGGGGATGAGTCGGTGAGATGAATGAGCGTTTAGAGGTGTTGATCATGAAAATTCATGGAGATGCGTTACCTTCCCGCCCTCCTTATTAACCCTCCCCTTAACACTCCCGCCACCCCTCTTCTTCCTCCCCTCCTCTCCCCCCTTCGAAAAGAACCGCATATCCAGCCGTGGCGGGTTGTACGACGCCAAAAACGACGCAATGGCCAAAAATTTCGTATAATGTGGCAGATCGACCGCTCTCGACGTGGCAGTCAAGATGACGGAATGGGTATAGTCGGAAATGGAAGTTTTCATCTGGTCGAGGCTGGAGACTTGCCGGAGGTAGATGGGCTCGAGGGCTTCTTTGAAGTAGGGGACGAAGCGGCCGTAGAGTTTGGAGGTTTCTTCTCGTGTGACTGTGTCAAATCGTCAATATAAAGCACGTAACCCCCAAAACGAGCCGATATGACAGCTAATGACACTTACAAGTCCCATTCCGCACCGGCTCCAAATACTTCGGAAAGAAAACCTTGACGAGGTACCTCAGCTCGCCCAGATCCCTGCACGGGTACCGAAACATATCATAAAGCAGCTCAACGAAATTCGTAAAGAATGCCAGTTCTTCGTCGGGCGGGCAGTCACGCTCGAGAATGCGTAGGGTGTCATATTTGCCGTAAGCGGGGAATGCGAGGGTGTAGGGCTCGAAGGAGCCGGCGGTGGAGCGGAAGTCGTCCCAAGTTAGGTGGCTTATTAGGAGGATTGTTATGTTGGAGGCAACCTGTGGGTGTGGCGGCATTTGAAGCCGCTGTTAGAAAGGTGGTTGAGGGGACGCAAAACTGTATCAGGAAACTTACGCAATCTTCCAGACGGAGGAGGGCGGGTAGTAACAGAGGATTGATAGTCTTTAACCTCTCGCAGTCGTCAAACACCTATTGGGGTGAACAATCCGGTCATAAGCGAAATCACAACCGCATGAACAGCTCCCACATCCAACCAACCCACCAAAACCGTTTTTATCCCCTCCCCAGCGTCGCCCCACCCTCTCTGCACCTCCCCCAACCTCGCCCTAAAATCCGCCACATTATCACACCTTGCCCACGTCCCCCAGGGACCCGCACAATCGTTCCCCAGCGGTTCCGGTTGGAAACCCGCCAATTGGGCTAGAGCGCTCTCGAACAGCAGCCGGGGCGTGAATCGCTCGACGCAGTTTAGCCATGCGTAGCGAACGGCGGGGTTGGCATGCAGGAGGGATTTTAGGAGAGTGGTTTTGCCCGAGCCCCGGGGGCCAGTGATGAGGAGGGCTGGCGGGGTTGGGATGTCCTATCAAACCATATGAGCGAGATTGCAGCGGACGAGGAGAGGGTCGGGAACACCGACCTTGTCGAATAGCAAGGAAAGAGCCTCGATTTGCTCTTCTCGTCCCGGAAAGCGGCTGTAAATGCTGGTGTGATCAACGCCGTGGTCGAGTTCTTCACTCTCAGCGCTGCCTGTCCCCAACATGCCTACTTGCGTTTCTGATCCGTTCGATGCTTGAAACGAAAGGTCGCGTTCAAGTTGCAGAAACGAGGGCCGAAGTCACGTTGGAAGCCGATATATTTTGTCCGAACGCGGCGGGACAAATGTCCCCCCGTGGGTGCTGTGCGTGGTGTGGAGTCTGGACGGGACGTCCGGGATGGGACGGAACGGAGAGCCCTACTGTAGACCGAGGAGCTTATTAACCAGATCAAGCCTCTCTGGCCTTGCCGATCTGCGAGATATGATTGGCCACGCAATCTGTTCCGATAGCAAGGTTGTGCGAGTTCTCAGTCACGTGGAGCGTTGGCAGACCTTTATTTGCTTTTAATAGTCTGCTGTGCGTTCACCTTGTTGTGACATCATCTCCGACGGTCTCTCGCACCTCTTCCGACCCCCCCAGTTCGAACAACAGTCGCAAAAACGCATCGCTCCCCCCCACCACTCCCCACTCCCAGTCCACCAACCCAACCATGTCAGGTACGACTCCCCCATCTCAACTGGCCAGGGGCCCGTCCGGCTTGGTTGGTCAGAGTCCCCAGTCCGTCTGTCCTCACCTCCCCCGCCCCTCACAGGAAAGTACATCGTCGTCTTCAAGGAGGGGACCCCCCAGTCTGAAATCGACCAGGCCGCCAAGGACGTCGAGGCCCAAGGTATGGGAGGGAGATACGGGGCTGGTTCAAGAAGTTTAGCATGGGTCTGAACAAAACGCGTTTGGGGTGTTTGTTGTGTGGTTATAGGAGGCAAGATTGGGCATCGCTATGATACTACCATGAAGGGGTTCTCGGCGACTGTGCCTGACAACCTTATTAGTAAGTATCGCGTGAGGGACAATGAGTAGTAATGGGGTTGGTGAGCGTTGGGTGGGGCTGGCCCCATCTCTTTCTGCACGCCAGCGAGCTGCGGTGTGAGTGCTTCCCGGCGCTCTACCTCCTTGTCGCGAGCGGAATGGGTTGGGGATCTCATCTCATCAATCAAACCATCAACCGACCAACGTTCGATGTGAAGCAGCCGGACTCTTGTTTACTCATACCCTTGTCAATTCCCCCAATCAGCAACCTTCAAAGCCCACGAGAAGGTAGACTACATCGAGGCCGACGGCGAGGTCTCTGCCTACGCAAAAAGTATCGGGATCGGAAAGTAGAAACACACCTACAGTGTTTTGAACTACAGCCTCCTCTACGTTTCCGATGCTGCCCGACAATTGTAACGCGTGCGAAAGTGAACCTGTACTGTTTTCCATCAAATCCCCCATTTTGTTTTTTTTGGACCGGGCTCAATAAGAAAGTCAATTGCCATAGCGACATGTGCGATTTCGTGAGATCGACGAATGCGCTATAGGGGGGTTAGTAAAGTTGAGCTTGCCTAGGAGGAGCGAAAACGAAGGAGAGGAATCCCGGCTTGACGACGATGCAAGCTCCTAATTTGGTCAGGAGAGCCTGGTTTTCATCTTTATCGTCTTGACGGGGGTCGGGTTGCGATATTTCTTATGCAAAATGCTACGTGATCCGTAGCGGCATAGGGCGTGTATGGTAGGTAGACCGGCCAGTAATCTGTCTTGCGTTGAGGTCCACGCAAATGACTTTCCGCAACCTGCAAGATTTCTGACGTGCTCAATCTGCAAGTGGCACGCCAATCTGCTCATGAAGCGAGGGCCGATGTAAGGATATGCGAGCTTTCATGTGCTCGGCGATCTATTTTGCCGTTGGTGAGAATATCCGCAGTCCTTCTAATCCTTCACATAGTCGAGATTCCACCTCTCCACTCGAATCCGCCCCCCATTTGACCAATCCATCGCAAAGTTCTCGCGACACCAAACTGCGTTGAACGAAGGCGCCGCATCCATTCATCGTCCATCTGACTCACACATCGCCAGTCTCCATACGTAATAACTCCCATGAAGTCCCAGTCTATTCTTCAACAGTGTAATCGGGTTCTATTTGTAAAGAGGCTTCTCCTTCAAATGCACCGGTGTTTGTCCCTCTGGTGTCTCGGGTATGACCTTCGTTATGCCCTGTAAAATTGACGGCGGTGTTAACGACTCGATTCTCAGTATACTCCCTTAGGTATAAGGGAAAACATACCAGTTTCTTGAAAACACAATCGTTGAAGGCCTTCTCCTGAGGCCGGCATTGGAAGAGGTGGTGGTTGTTCATGTCTAGGCATTCCCAGTGCTGGGTCCATTCCTTGTCGCAGTTGTCTTTCAGTTTCTTGATACTGCGAGAGAGAGAGAGAAAACAGTGTCAGGATACGTTTCCTTCAGTAGCGCCGTGCAACGTGATTGAAGTAGGCAAATCGAATCCCCAACTCACAGGTCAAGCGCACATCTCGTAACCTTCCTCCCCTCCTTCAAACAATGCTTGGGATCCTGGCTCTCATTCTTGCACAACACATAATCGTCATTGTACTTCTTGCAGTACGAGGCGAAATGGAACGCCATTGACTCCAGCGGGGCGGACGTGCACCCGACCTCGGGGACTGCTGGCGCAATGTCGCTGGAGAGGGGGTTTTTTTCGACCCAGAGGCCTTCGACGAAATTTCCTTCGCGATGTGTCGTCATGGTGGTGGAGCGGGGGTTGGGTGGTGTACGTGGGGGATGATGGGTGCGGGGACCTGAACGTGAGGGATGTGCTGCAGTGGACGATCGCAGAGGGTATCTGAGCGGTGAAGTCAACGAAAAGCTGGGTGTTTTGTGCGAAGGTTGGGGGATAGAACAGAGGGACATGAGAACACGGACACGGGTCCCACATGAGAACACGAACTCCTTGACGGTGGACATGAGAACACGCCCTTCAACAATCAGGATTGTGGACGCAGGTGTAATTTCGCGTGTGTGTGCGGGGGGGGGGGGGGGGGGGATGGGCGAAACATGAGAGCGTGTCGTACAGTAGGGCTCTTACGGCAGGAACATGAACAAGGCGATGTCCACAAACTGTTCCAGCTGTTGTATGGAACACTACCACCTCCTCCATAACACCGAAATACAAGTTAGCCTAAGGGTGCTGACAGGTCATCCCCACCGCTGTACATATATCCAGTCACAAAAGAAAGTTTTGCAGTTCAAGAGTCCGGCGCAAGTCGAAGCAGAAACGCGGAAAACAACACGGCAACATGTTGGGAAGCACCAACGCGGACACCGTCGGGCGGCAGGACGTGAAGGAAGCCATTGCCCGTTCTCAGGCAGTGCTGAAGGTCGCCAACAAATATAGAGTCGCCCTGTGGTCACTGGCAGGGGTCATGCAGGACATGTCCGAGGTGTTGGTGGACTTGGGGAGATGTAAAGCGGTCAGGGTGGCCGAGAAGACGAAGGCGCACGGGCTGCAGCAGGGTACGAATTCTAAAGGCACCTGTCGAACAACCTTTCAAAGGAATGGGTTGTTTGCTCACCCATTCTTCACGTTAGACGCCGTTCAGCACTGTGGGGAGCTACATTTGACAATGTCGAAGCGGTTTAGGGAAATCGGAGACTGCGTGCATAGAGAATTAGAAGAGCCTCTGCAGAACAGCATAGAGGAGCACGCACAAACGGTCACGGTAGGTTCTCACCGGATGCCTGTCAATTCGGCGAAATGCCTGCGCTGACATCACTGTTTTGCTTTGCGTAGGCGAACGAGAAACGTTTACTACAGATGGAGAGGGAGATCCAGGATAAGATCAAAAAAGCCGAAGTCAAATCGAAGAAAAAGTGGATGCGCGACAACACACAGACCCAGCAAGCAGCAAAGGATCACGCTCGGTATGTCGCAGAACTGTCGGATCTGAAGTTCTTCAACCAGAACATCATAGTCGGGGAAGAGGCGCGGAATCTGCGGGTGATGGAAGGGCATTTGGCAAAGCTCCTCCAATCGATGACGGGGTCCATGGATCACTGTGTGCATGGGGCGAAAGCATGTGTGGAGGAGCTGAAAGACAGTAACTGCCAAAAATCACTCTCGTCCCCCGGTCGGCCGTCACCACTTGACCGCGTCAACACGGCGCCGGTTTTGTCCACCAACCTTCTCGCCACTCCGAGCCTGCGTCGCGGATCACTAGACAGCAATCTCGGCGAAGTGGCGCAGGCGGACGATGAGCCTATCATCCAGTACAACAGTCTCGGACGGAGAGGGGCCAAAAGGGAACGCAACGCTTCGGCCGGTGCCGCTCTCAGCACATCGTCGCCGAATAAGAGCAGTCCGGTCTCGGCAGGCTTCCCACAACTATCCCTCCCGACATTCACTCCCCTATCCGGCGACTCCTCCCCAACAAAAGTCTTCACCCGCGAAAACTTCTCATTCGGCGCCGCAGCGCCGAAATCCATCATCAAACAAAACACCAACAACACATCAAACACCACCACCGATCGCAGCGGGACACCCACAAGCACCGGGTCCCCGCGAAGCAGCAGCGAGCAAAAACGCCGCGTAGCCTTCCCAACCTCCAAACCCATCGCGACCGTCCAATCCGAATCCGAAACTCCCATCACCGACCTCCTAGGCGGAGGCGCAACACTCTCCTCACTCTACCCCGACATCTTTGCCGCAGAAAGCATGAACATCGCCTCGGTCCCCGTCATCGCGCACACGGCGGTGGTGCGCAACCCGGCGGTGTATGTAGCCGGCGGAGAGGGCGATGCGGCGAGCGAGATTGGGAGTGTGGTGGGCACGACGGAGAGTTTGGTGGGGATGATTCCGTTGAAGAAGGGGATGGATTTGGTGTACGCAATACACGATTTCACAGCGAGGAGTGCTAAGGAGATGAGTTTAAGAAAGGTAAGGCCCCTCTTTTTCCCAACCCCTTCTCGTCTTTGAAAACTCCAGCTAACCACCCCCCGCTTTTCTCCATCAAAGGGCGACGTAATCGAAGTCAAAAAACGCCACGGCACCTGGATCTACGGCACCAAATTCACCCGCCGCGCCAAAATTCCCGGGCCATCCACTCCAACAACACCCACCGACCCATCTCCCCTGGGTTCATCAGACCGTTTCCGCCGTGGCCCGCCACAACAGCAAAACAACAACACCCCCGCCGACGCAAAACCGGAAGTAGGCTGGATCCCGATGGCGTTTGTAGCGAAGTTTAGTGCTTCTTGAGAACCACACAAAAACATCAACATCATCATCTCTCGCTAGGCGTATCTCCCCCCCCCCCCCCCCCTTCCCTTTCTTTGTAGATTTAGAACTGTTTCTATGTTTTTTCGTCGTGTCCTTTCTGTAGCATGTAGACACTGTGTATAGTTTTGTGTTTTCGTTCTTTTCGTATATTGTTTTTTTTCCCCATTTCCCCCGGTTTCCAAGTACGAGAAAAGAGCGTAAGATGAATGCAAGTCGCGGCGCTTTTTTTTTTTGGTAGTCCTTCGTACAGATGTTTTCGGTCACAGTATATATGTGTTGATGTAGTCCTTTTGCAACCCTGTACATTGAGGTCATCGTGAGAGGTAGGTCCGAAGGACCCGTTTCCGTCTGCTCCGGTGTTCTACTCATTCGACTAGCCTTCGTACTCGGAAGTTTCTGTCATATATATATTTGATTGTATGCTGTACAAAAGGCATCACGTCCACCATCCGTACAAATGTACAAAAATCCAGTCTCCTCGACTCGCTTATCAAAAATTCTCTAGATACCATCCATCTCAAAACTCAAACCTCCTAACCACAACCCCGATATACAGTCCCGCCGTCCACTCCGGCATAACCCTCTCAATGCGCGCCAACACCTGCGCGCTGCCAAACCTATCCGTCCATTTCCACGGTCTTCCCACCTTCACGGGGCCCACCGCGCTTCCATACGTCGCCTCACCCCTCCCCTCGTCCCTGTTGTCCCCGTGGTCAACAAGCTCATGGAACCCATCCCGCTCAAGTCCATTGATTTCAAACGCGATCTTTTCGTGCCCCTTGACGCGCAAAGAGAGCGTCCACGAGTTGGTCCCGTACCCGCCCGCGTTCCGGATCATGTATCGTTTATGTTGTGTGGAATCGATCAAGGATTTGTCTTTGAGGGACCAGTCGACGACGGTGGCGTGGAAGGTCAGGACTGTCCATATATACTGCGGGAAGTGACATCGGAGATTCAGGGTGCGTGTGTCCGTCTCTGCATCGTAGGTGTCGTCATCGAGGACGAGGTCGGGCGCGGCGGGCTGGGCGGGGTGGGTTGGGGCGAGGTGGGAGACGTTGAAGGAGTAGGATTCGAGGAAGTGGGAGAAGGGGTAGAGGGAGGCCCAGTCGCGGTCGGTTGTGAGCGGAGAGCGGCGGATGGGCGGGGAGCCGGTTTCGGCGGAGACGAGGGCGAGGAGGGGAGCGAAGAGGGCGGGGTCCGAGTGGGCGAGCATGACTTCGCGGGTGCCGTCGGTAACGTTTTCTTTGTATTCGATGAAGATGCGCTGTGGGGGGAAGTACCATATAGTGAGTTACACCGTCTTACTAGGCGCATTTGGGCCATCGACCAAAGTCAACTCACCTTAGGATGCATACGATCAAACGGCTTTACAGCAGTCAAAAACACCGCGACCGCAATCACAGACGCAACAGCCAGCCCCCATATCGTCTTCCTCATCGACCTAACACCAAACCGATGCGCGATGGCCACTACCGGGTAGCTCATCGCAAACACGAAATACCCCGCTAAAAAGCTGACGATGATGTCCACGGGCGTGTCTGCCCCCGACCGGCCGCTGATGGGCACAAAGAGGTTAAGCGTGCACGCCGCGAGCTCAACGGTGAGGGCAAAAGGGATGCTGACGACAAAGTAAGCCGCCGGGTGGAGTGGGGCGCCTCCCCCCGGCTTATGGGAGGTCAGGGCGATGTCCACGATGCGGCCGAAGAGGAGGGCAGCGGTTTTGATGGAGAGGACGTAGGCGAACCCAAGTTGGTAGTGGTCGGTTACAGCGATGCCGATGCAGAAGAAGAGGATAGTGCCGTTGAAGACTGTGCGTTCCCATTCGGCGTCGGGTGCATCTGATGTGTTTTGAGCCCGCTTGTCCTTGATGACAGGCGTGGAGGTGGTGCGCGACCAACTGCGGTACACATATTGGCTCGTGAAGATACCTGAAATGTAGGTACCCCATGTGTAAGCTACTTCAGATGGAAAACCAAAGGCCGGACGGACCGAGATCACCCACCGAGTAAACCCAAAGGTGCATACAAAGCAAGCGGGTACCATTCCTGGCCATACCACACCATCGGCTTCTGAAGCCCAAAGTGCAATGCTCCTCCCACCGCTAACGAGAAGACCACACTCCCAATGAAACTCGTCGCTACCGATCCCGTCGCCACCAATGTTTGGCGGACGTTCTTCGCGAAGCTCGTTGGCCGGAACGGCCCGAAAACCGTAAACAGCGAGATAAGGATGAGTACGGCGTGAAGGATGTGCGCATCAGCCCACGTGTAGTGAATGAAGATGAGACCTGTAAAAAGGCGATGTCAGACGTCGGTCGGCGAGCCTCGTGGGATTAGTCCAGCAGTTTGTTCACTTACCGAGAATATCGAAGAAAATGAGTTCATTGTCAATCTTGACATCAGCGATGTCTGCTTCGTATATCAAGTGATCGAGGATCGCCATTGCGTTCTCTCCAAAGTTCTGGATAGAGCCTTTCTCTATCGTGTCTTCCACATCCAGCATGGTGTGGTAAAGGTAGCTGTTTGTGTAAAAAGCCATGTCCTACGGATCGTGGCCACGCATGAGTGGGTACCAGATATGAACGGTGGGTTGCGAAAGGATCGTCAACGAGGGGACTTACAAGTCCGGCGATGCCTCCATGTGTGACAAACTGGCCGAAATCCGTATCGGCCATGACCAGACCCGTCCGGAAAATATCATTACTCTGAATCCGGTGGGACGAAAGGCGGTTGTCAGCGTAAGACAATACAAGCACGCCCGCACCCACAGTCATTTATTATCGCCTTCCATACCAAAACGCTTCCATGAGGATGAGGAACCTTTGCGTATGCGTTGATGAAGACCTTGGAGTTTGCTTGGAATAGAATCTCCTTCCCGCTCTGACCCATCGCTTCCAGATTGATCACACCTCGGATTGTGTCCCGGTATGGATGCTGGGTGATGAATGCATGGGATGCGTCTTGCAATGTTTCCTCGGCGCCGTTCCACACTATACCGATCGAATCGCGTTAGTGCCTGGTATCTCCGGCCAGTAAAGGTACATGCCCATTTGAGACTAACGGAAGATGACCGCATTCTTCAGCGGTTTCTGACGCTGCGAAAGCAGTCGAAGGATCTCGAGCATGACAGCCACCCCTGCGCCGTCATCAGATGCGCCCGGGCTCACAATGGTGGAATCGAAATGCGAGTTCATCAGCACTGCGTTCTCGTTGCATTCCGGGCCACATGAGATGCGGGCCACGATGTTGGTGATGTTCGTGTATGTTTTCAGTACGGCTGCGGCGGAGAGATGCTTTAGATAAGCGCCAGTTGGACAGCCTTCTGGACATGCACTCAAGGGCCCTACCTTCACCCAAAATCTCAAAGCGATGGCTCCCATCCGCTAATTGCACATCGATGTCGAAAACGGGCAAATACGGGTTGCTCTTCGCCTGCTCTTTGTAATGGTATAGCTTCTCGACAATCATATCGCGCGCCATTGCTTCCTGTTTCGTCCCGACCAGCCGCATGCCGATCGTATGTGCGAGTTCACGAATGGTCTCGCGAGCGTTGCACTCTGAGAACTACCCACACCGAGCAAAAAAGTAGTGATATGAGATCGGCCAATTGCAAACGGCGGGCGAAGTCTCAACTGACCTTGACGGTATCCTCGGAGCATCCCACCGGCGTCGGAAGCGTCCCGTGGCGCCATAGGTCCAGGGCACCCAAAAACAGCATGAACAAGGCCAGCGGTCCTAAGAATCGGTTTCGCGACAGCGGCGAGGAAGCCTTCCGCAAGCCCTTCCCACCGTCCAGCCGAATGGCATACTCGTCCTTTTCCGCCGGAATCGCTGCGTGACCGGCCTTCTTGCTGCCGCCGTTCAGTCTCCGCTGGTGCATTGTTCCCAGCATTTTGAAAACAGGGTGTCTGGAGACTCTCCCGAACCTTGGACCTTACGGGAAAACAGGCTGTTCTCTCGTTCTTGACACGTTGACCGGCGGTGATCTCCCGTGTATATGATATGCAACGCGCACCGGCTTTTCAAGTGGAGGTCTGGACAGAGGATACCCTGTGGGGAGACCAGAGGGATTCTTCTATTCGCACCGTGGTTCATATAGGAGCGGCTTGTGGAATATTCAGCCGCGGGCTTACGGCCTTTCTGGAGCGGGCGGGCATCACCGAAAGCGACAGCAGACGTCAAGGATCTGCGTCCGGCTACTACTGCCCCCAAGCCTGGCCCAACCACCGACGTGGCTTCTCGCAAAATACGCATGCCCGAAGGTTAGAGAAAAAACGAAAGGAAGGAAGGACGAAGCCGCCTGGACTGGATGTCCTTACGGCGTCCCAGGCCCCACCCCATCATCATCGTTCGTAGTGCGGTTAGTCGGCCATGGAAGTTTGCAAATTCCCTGTTTCCTCAACCGACGTCTCATGGCGGACTTTGCCTCCAGATCCAGATCCAGATCCATATCGGCGAACGCGACGAACCATCGCGTCTGGAAAGAGCGTCAGGTAAGAAACAGTGGCTTATCTTGCAGATGAGTCACCGACTGCGCTTCCACATTTCTTTCCTCTTCACCACGCATTGCTTTTTCGCAACTCCCACTCGCTGCTAATTCGACAAATCCCTTCGCCAGCTCAGTCGTAAAAGGAGCCACCAACCATGACCCCGGAGGACCTTCCTCCCTGGACGGACTTCTTCAACGAAGAGGAGCTTCAAGCCGCACTCAAGATATTTCGGCTTTACGCTGAGAGAGAAGACCTGCTCAAGCATGCCCAGCAGAACCCTGGTTAGTTCCCTTTCCTAGAGCGTTTCGTATCGGTCAAGCAGATAGGAGACTTACGTTCTTTTTCCGAAAGAAATCGCGACTCTTTTCGCGCTTGCGCAAAAGACGGTGCTGCCCTCGGAAGCAGATCTGAAAGAGAGGAAGAAACGACGGAAGCAGACAAAAAAGAACAATGACCAGGAACTGCTGGCGGTTGCTGGTATCCGCCAAATGCGAAAAGTCAAAATGGTGGGCTACACGGGCGGGTCTGTCGACTTGCCGTTCCCGCCGAGGATCGGAACACCGGAAGCGAACGAGAGATTCGCTATTGAGGATGAGCAACGGTCGATACAGGCGGCGCAGAGCTCGACCGGTGCGTCGACCGCTACTTCTGTCACTGGAGAGGACGACGGGGAAGCCGGCGCCGTGCCGCCAGCACCGCCGATGAAAAAGCTCACCTATAACCGTTCATGCCACGTCTGCGGCGTGCATTTCCGCGACCTGCACCACTTCTACGACCAGCTGTGCCCCGTCTGCGCCGAACTGAACTACACGAAGCGCTTCTCGGAGGCGGATATGCGCGGCCGGGTATGTATCGTCACCGGCGCTCGGGTCAAGATCGGCTACTGTATCGCGTTGAAGCTGCTCCGCATGGGCGCGACCGTGATCGTCACGACCAGGTTCCCTCACGACGCGGCCAACCGGTTCGCGCGGGAGCCCGACCACGAGGCATTTGCGGGTCGGATTTCCATCTACGGCCTGGATTTCAGAGACATTGCGATGTTGCACCACTTCTGCCGGCATGTGCAGCAGGAGTTCAAGAGGTTGGATGTCATCATCAACAATGCCGCGCAGACAGTGCGTAAACCGCCGGCGTATTACGAGCATCTCATCACGGGTGAGGCGGAGGATATCACCCCGGAAGTCCGCAAGATCGTCGATGTCGTGGACGTGTACAGATCCCGCAACGGCGGCTACGTGTTCCGCCACGGAGGTTCAAACAGCATCACCGCCGGCGGTAACGAGACGACGTCCCGGTTGCAATCCTCATCAACCGACACCGAACTCACGGAAATGGACGTCGTCCCCCCCAATTCCGAGGAAACGACTGGCCTCGCCCTCCCCGCCGCCCAAGCAACCGCCCACCTCCAAGACGTCAACGCCTCCGCCGCCCTCTCCCAAGTCGCCCTCCTCCCCACCGACGCATCCACCCTTGCCTCAAAAACCCACCACTTTCCCCCCGGTCTTTACGACCGCGACGACCAGCAACTGGACCTTCGCCGCGAGAACTCGTGGACTCAGGAGATTGGGCAGATTTCCACGATCGAGATGATGGAGTGCCATGTGATCAACACGTTTGCGCCGTGGGTGCTGATTTCGGAATTGAAAGGGTTGATGGAGCGGACGGGACCCGTGGATGGGGCCGTGGGAGAGTGGGATAAGTTTGTGGTTAATGTGAGCGCGATGGAGGGGCAGTTCTATCGGAATAAGACCATGTAAGTCGGAAGGCCCTGAGAGGGAAAGAACATACGCATACGAGCGTCTACTAATCCACCATCCACAATCGCAGTTTCCACCCCCACACCAACATGGCCAAAGCCGCCCTTAACATGATGACCCGCACGTCCTCGTCCGGCCTCGCCGCCGTCAACATCTTCATGACCGCCGTCGACACGGGCTGGATCACCGATGAGAACCCCGTCGACCAGTGGCACAAACGCGAGCACCAGCCGCCACCGCTGGACGAGTGGGATGCTGCGATGAGGGTTATTGATCCGGTTCTGATGGGTGTAAGGGGCGAGGAGAGGCTTTGGGGGTGCTTTTTGAAGAATTATAGGAGTACGAGGTGGTAGAGTTTACTTTCGCTAGCCGTCTATATAGTGAACCTTAAGTTTGTGTTTAGAGATAGGATTTATAGGATCATGCTTCCTACGGTAAGGCGAATAAAAGCTTAGCATTGTGAGACAATCCTATAAATGTGCAAATAAACGTTTGGGACATCGCGCGAATCGCGTTCGACAGCTTTTGATCGTGTCTCGTGTCTCGAAAAGTCGTCCTCAATCTGGTCCTCAATCATCGAGACTCATCTCTTCACATACCGGCAGCTGACCAACACCACAATGATGGCCACAAATCAACCGTCCACCCCAACCGCCACCCTCCTGGCCACGCACGCGGACCAGTACAAAAAAGCCACGAACCACCTATTCCTCGCCAGCGTCGCCCATGCCCGAACGACGCGGAAGACAGTGGCCGCCGAGGAGGGATCCGTGGACGTGAGGGTGGATGATGCGTTTGCAAGATGGTTGACGCAGGATTTCCACTTTGTAAATGCGTACCTGAAGTTTTTGTCCGGGGTGCTTGCGAGGGTTCCGACGGAATGTGGGGAGGATAGCGCTGAGGTGCGTGAGATGTTGGTTTGGGTTGAAGGGGCTTTTCCCTCCATACGATGTCGTATCTATCGGCGATGCCCAATCTAACAAAAATCATCGGCAGGCCCTGACGGAAGGCTTTCTGAAAGCCATCGGCAACATCTCCGCCGAAGCCCTCTTCTTCCGCACCGCCGGCGCACCACTGGGCATCACTCTCGACTACACCCACGCCACGCTGCACCCCACCACCGCGCGCTACCTCTCCTTCTTGGAGCGTATCGTATCGTCGGCCTCATGGCCCGCGGCACTTGTGGCCTTGTGGGCTGTCGAACGCGTGTATCTGGACTCGTGGACGTATGCGAGCGAGCGTATGCCGTTGATGAATGCGAAGGAGTTGAAGTATGCGCACTTTGTGAGGCATTGGGCGAATGCGGAGTTTAGGGGCTTTGTGGAGTGGTTGGAGGAGATTGCGGATGCTGCTGTTGTGAGGGCGTTTGAAGGGGGGGTTGAAATGAAGGAGAAGTTGGAGGCGGAGATTGATGCTGTCTTTAAGGAGGTTGTCGAGGTACGACAGTGTTGACTTCGCTTTGAAAGTTCGGGACTCTGGAGGGTACAAGTTCTAACATCGAACGTTTTCTCAGCTCGAGATTGCATTCTGGGATATGGCACTGGAATCCGCCAGTGTTGCAAAGGAGGCAGCATAAGCAGCATGCTCCACTGTCCGCATCAATTTACCTGCACCGTTCCTCTCTTCCGTAGCCCCACGAGCCTATCCTGAGACTCTCGGCTTATCTTCATTGTAGAATTCCCGGCGGCGTATCTATAATCTAGATCACTCGCATAATAGCATTCATCGTTCATCATCAATCTGCTGCACTGCCCTTGCTGCACTGCTATGCAGCTGCTATGTCATCGCTCATTCTGCGTGTTCTCCAGTGCTATGGGACTTGAATGACATTCACAGCCACCTGACGGGAAACGGGACTGCGCTTTCAATGTCATTTCCAAAGCTCAGCCAAACCGCCCGGGAACTTTTCAACAATGAAGCGACATCTATCCGATTGTTCAGGAAGCACAGCGAGCCCTTCCAAAAAGTCTCGTCTGGAGACCGCTGAAGAGGCTGTCATCGACCTCACCGAGGTCCGTGCGTGGTCAAATGTCACTGAACTGCAGGATGCCAACTCAAACTTGTTCCTCAGGATGCTGACTACGACAGCGATGCCACAGAGATAGTCGAGACCGCTCGAGAGAAGGAGAAGCGAACAGAAAGTGGGAGGCCTCCAGCGCCGTCCAGGTACTCTATTTTCGTGAGGTTGTTCGCTGGCGTAAGCATCCACCTAATAGGACAACGATTGACTACAAATAGACCTGTCCCGTACGTTGATCCTCGTATAAGTCTCACAAGAGTGGAGGCGTTGGGATCTGCGCAGAATGTGGGATCCAAGACTCTTGGGAACGTTTTTGGCCTGGTTGGTAGAAGCAGCGGCTGTTACTGTTCCCACGCTGCCAAAGCTAATCTGACTGCCTTGACCATACAATGCCAATCTGGAAGAAAGACATAGAATGCATGCTGCAGCTCAACTATATGGTCCAACTAACCTGGATGATGCGACACTTACCGGACCAAAGCAGTAAGCGTTCAGCCTGCGTCCCATTAGGCTGATCTCGTGGCAGATGAGTGAATGATGCGATGCATCACTTTCCAGTCCCCATCACTTTTGTTCATGGCCTTCGACAAGCAAGCGCTCAAATGCTGAGGGTGAGCATTTTGCTTTTGCAATGCTTGTATGCCCGTCCGGTGTCACCAACTGATGGCTTGTCAGGCAGAAGCAAGTCAATTTCCGAACGTGAAGCTCGTGTCCCCAGATCTGCCCATTGCGTACGGCACACATCATACAAAAGCCATGTTCATCTTCTACAAGGATGGCGACATGCAGGTTATCATCCACACGGCCAACATGATACAACAGGATTGGAAGTAAGTTCATCTCTCGGCCCTGCATCCTCGGATGTATGCTGAGTGCATTGTGAACAGGAACAAAACGCAAGGCATATGGAGCAGCCCCGTGCTCAAGAAACGGACTGATACCAGCAACGCAGAGAGCGCTTTCGGCACCGATCTGATAGAGTATCTCCGCGCATACGGGTCTTCATTGCGTACGTGGTGCGACCGGCTCGAGGGGTATGACTTTACGCCATGCAAGGCCGTGATCATTGGATCTGTTCCGGGGAGGCATAGTGGGGTGAACTTGCGGAAGTGGGGGCACATCAGGTTGCGAACGTGCTTACAGCAAGTCAAAATACCGGAACAATGTTGCAAGAAATCGATTCTGGTCGGACAGGTATGTACATCTCTACATGTCTCATGTGTGATATTGTGCACTATCTCATCCTCACGGGTGCAGTTCTCAAGCATCGGATCTCTCGGCGTTACGGACGATTGGCTCACGAATGATTTTGGAGTATCTCTGTCAGCCGCTCGCAACCGGCAGGAGTGTTCCACGCCCAATTTCAAGCTAGTGTTCCCCACTGTCGAGAACGTAAGAACGAGGTAAGTAGAATCCTCCGAATCTATAAGATCCACTCAACCATGTTCAAATGACGACGTACAGCTTCGAAGGCTGGGCCGCAGGGGGTTCGATACCTTTCGATTCCAAGAACTGGGTCAAGCAGGAGTCTTGGATGCGGCCGCGGCTCAACGTTTGGGCAGCCCAGAAGCAAGGGAGAGCGAGAGCTATGCCTCATATCAAGGTACATCACATGCTCCCACCAAAAGGCTACCAAGTTTGTTGACTCACGATGATTTCCTTCAGACCTTTGCTAGACTGGTTCCCGACACGGGTGAAATAGCATGGATCTTACTCACATCGTCCAACCTGAGTAAAGCAGCCTGGGGCTCATTCGAGAAGAAGGGAGAACAGCTGATGGTGCGTAGTTACGAACTCGGTGTTCTCATATACAGTGATCTATTCAAGGTATGAGTCGAAGTCTAATAACTATCGAGTGCTCCCTAACCAACCACTGGCTACCGCAGGTTGAAGATTTCCAGAACGGCACAATGAGAAACGTATCAGCATCCGAGCTGCCCTCTCTGTCATTGACCGCCCAGCCAGCCGCGGGCACCACAGACTTCATAGTCCCGATACGCCTTCCCTATGACCTTCCCCTGACACCGTACCGTAGCAACGATGTAGCGTGGACGTGGGATAGCAGGCAGAACGAGCCGGACTCGCTGGGGTATATCAAGGATTGATATCCTTCCGCTGAATATATCTGCGTAGAGAGCTCTCGTTCATCGTCCGGCGGAATCCGCTTTACTGGCAGTTTCGCTGCCGCGTGGCCGTTTACTTGCTGGTGGCTCATTGTCTTCTGCGATCGGCCGTTTAGAGACAGGACAATCTTGAGCAGACCCCGTTCCGAAACTCGCTTTCGTTTTCGACTGACTGTCTACGATCGCTTTGCCGACTGGATTCACTTTCCCCTTTTCCTGCATCGCGGGCGTGGCGGGACTCTGAACAGGTGTCACCTTCCTCTTCACCAAGCCTTGGATGCTGCCAGTCTTTGACTTTATAAGCCCTTGAATGTTGTTGACCGGCACCACCGTCCTTTTGTTTTCCGGGGGCGCGGCCATGCTCTCGTTTGATGGCGCCAAAGTGCCACTCGCCGCTCGGACACGACGTAGGTTTTGCAACATAGTTGCAGAGGACTCCCGCGCAGCCGCCACATCGTCAAACGACAGCCCAGCATTGCTTTCCAGCAGCCGCTCAAACTCCGCTCTCGATTTTGTTGTTGGGAGAAGCATGGGTGGCTCCGCACCGCTGCTCCTGCCGCCCGCCTCAGCACTCTCGATGGTAACAGTAAAGAATCCCGAACGGCGCCCATTACATTCCCCAGTCAACGGCAGCATCTCCTTCATCTCCGCCACGGTCGTCGTCTCATCCGCATGCTCCGTCAACACTTTCGTCCGCGCGTCATCTGGAAACCTCGGCACAACTTGCAACGCCAGAGCGTCATCGTGGTAGGGTAAAAACCATGACCACACCACCGTCGGGGATGAATCGCCTAATTTAAAGACCTCATTGAGGGTCCTTGTGGATTCACCAGGGACATACAAGTGTCCGCTCACCATCCTGCTTGACGCCGAGTCGACCTTGAGAAGGCTCAACGTCTTCATCCACCATTTGAGCAGCCCCAGATCAGAAAGCTGTGTCTTGCCAGGATTCGAGTCGGACCGATTGAACAGGTATTCGGGTTGGGGCCGCGCAAACACATGTATCGATACCGTGGCTGATATGCCCAAGGCGTGCAGGATATATTCGAGGTAGCCGAGGACGACTGCGCGGGAGCTGGAGACTTTGGGCTGTGCGTCCCTGTCCATCGCCCCAGAGGTGTCTACTTTTTCGATATAGATGTAGTGCTCAACGGCCGGGCGGGCGTCCTTTGTGGGGGTTATCGTATACTCCGAGACGGACATGGAGAAAATGAAGACTTCATCCTGCTGTTGCGCATCCTGTGTTTGGGGAGTAGCAGGAGTCGTGCTGCGTACTGCAGATAAAGAGATAAGACGGTCTGTGCGATCAACTTGGATGGTTGGGTCGGTGGGAAAGAGACTGGCGTCGGGGACGACCGGTGAAGTTGCGGCGTGAACGTGATAGGAGTGCGTGTAGGTCCCTTTCGGGAGGTAGCCTGAGATGGCCTTGCAGAGGTCGTTCATTCTTGATTATCAAGGTTTGGATGTCGACGGAAAGATTGCCGAAAGTTACAGAACGTCGACTCTTCCGACACATGATGAGTCTTCTGCCGGACAAGGCATTTTGACGCGTCGCCAACGCGTGGCTTTCCAGAATGGGTTTTCGACTCTTCCTTGGGCTTCTTCCTCATGACCCGCTTGACCTTTGGCAGCTGGTTCATCTGTGATGCGGACAACATGGTCTGGGAGAACCAGCTTCTGGACGGCGAGTTGGCAAGCGGTTTTCTTGAGTGGGCGTGTATCGGGTATACCATTGTGCGGACGTTATACGAATATGGAGGCAGTCAAGTTTTCCACGGCTCTACAGTGTGTACAAGTGGGATTGTTTCCCAGTAACCCACAAATCTATCATTCTGACTCGAACATTGCATCGTTTGCAATATCTGCCAGTCTTGTGAATCGATTTGTCCGCTTTCGGCAACCGCTTTGATTCTTTGCGCACGGTTGACGACCCAAGATCGTCAGATTGCCCGGTGCGGCGACGTTACCCAGCACGTTGGTTTGCGGCGGAAACGTTAACTGCATGTACAGTCGATAGGGGAACTTTCCCTTTACAATGGCTGCGTTTTTGGTGACGAAACTTCGAAGCGCTTGACCCACTCTCAGATTGTAAACGCCCTTCTTTGCGTCGACATTGTTGATGACATACTGTGGCAGCTCCTCAAAGTACTCCGAGTAGAAGAATATTGAGAGCAGTACTAGACCCTCACATATCAGCGTGATTCGATGGAAGGTATATGGCTAAGGCACATGGATACATACCATTGTCGGGGAAGTTGAATCCTTTCTTGTACTTCCAGGTGATTTTGAGAGAATCTCCTACGTGCACACGCTTTGGAGTGAAGTCCAGCTTTGTAAAGTACGTGTAGTTTCGCGACGGTCGCTTTACTCGACAGTCGAGGGGGCAAAACGTTTGCTCGCTGTATCCCTCCGGATTTCCGAGACCATCAACGTCCTTCCCATACGGCAAGCTCGTGGAAAGGCTGTTTATCAAAGCGATTCAGCATATCCAGCGCCAACTTGATCAGGCGCCTCAAAACGACGGGCATCTCACCACAGTTTCTGATTCGTGTAATTGACCAGCCCATGTGGCCCGTATTGATACCAGTTCAGATCGCCCGTAATGACGCCGTCGGTCAGCAAGTTGGTGCTCTGAGGCCCATTCACTGGGATCCCACTTTCATCTTTGAATGCTTTGGTGACCGCGTTCTGCGCATAGATCTGCCATGAGAAGACACCTCGGGAAGGCTTCGATTTGTCTTCTCGCAACTTCCATGTGATGTTGACGGAGCTACCCAATTCAACCTTGGCAGGATTGCATTCGATGTCGTAAAGCGTGGGGATAGCTTGCACGCATATTGCCAGGATTGATGACAGAGCGAAGAGGGCTGCTATTTTGTGCATTTTGGTTCTCAGGATTGGGATTTGTGAAAGGGGAGATACAAATGAGCGCGAAAGCAATGGTCTATATGAATATTGGCGGCTATCGATCTCGAGCACTCCCGACAATATGTTGGGTTGGCCTGCATGTCCATTTCGTCGAGGAGTAACGCGTTGGCTCGGGACGAGCGGCCAGGCGACTCAGAACGCGTGAAAACTAGTATTCGGCCGCCAGAGCCTACATATGTACATGCATAGAGAGCTGCAATATCCTCTCCACTGTCCTCCTCCACCAAATGAAGATATGAAGATGCACTCCACATCATGGCTTCGGACCGCATAACGTTTTCCCCAAGGGGGAAGTGGGCAGGACGTTGAGTTTGACGGCGGAGGCATGCCCGGATCGCTCTTTCATTAAGGCCGACGGCGAGAGCGACTTTCTGCTGGTTGCAACCCGGTGCCGCTTCGCCGAAACGTCGAAACGGACGTCTTCCGGCAACACGAACGGAGATGGACTGAAATGTGAGACTTCTGGCTTACCTGCTCTGTCTCTTCCATTTCAGTAACGTAAACGGAGGTTCGATCAGGACGTTCGACGTCGCCAAATGCCATCCAACATCGATGATTCCAATGCAGGAATCGGTCTTTGGCAGACTAGGAAGTATGTGGAGGACGAGGAGAAGATGGAGGATACAAGTGACGGAGGATAGGATGAGAATGGACTTCAATGAGGCATCGGCATACATGAAGGATGCGGAGAGGACGGAGTTCAGAGAAAATATGGAAGGCAGATTCTATTGAGGGGACGGACAATGGCGGAACAGGAGTAAGAGTACGAAGATCTCCGCTGCACCGCGGATTCAGAAGACGAGCGGCGTACACTTTTCATTAGAGTACGAATAGTCATATAGCAATTAGAATTACAAACTTTGGACATACACGGGTTGATGTCCGCTCACATGGTGAAATCGGTGAAACGGCTAGGAGGAGTATCTGGTCCAGGATGAGGTCGTACTCCCGCTTATCGCCTCTTCTCGCAGTTGATGAATCTATGTGTAAGATCCGATGAGATCAATGGCATGAAACTAGTGGGTCGAGCAATAAATGCGATCACCGACCTTTTCTCCATATTCCAGTCTTCGATACATCTTGGATTGCTGCTCATCAATATGAAAATGATCAGACATGGAACATTGAAATCCGTGCTTCGCTAAGACGTATCCACAACTCACAGCCTTCTTGAAGTCCTCATCCTCCCTCCGCGGCCCCGTCCCCCTTGGCATCTTCATCTCGCTATCCCTCTTCTTCAAATTCTCCCAATCATTCAGCGAGTACGGCGTATAGTCGACTTTTCCTCGATCCTCTGATCCTGGGCCGGCGCGGTACGTCGCATACCGCTCTTCCGTCGTCATGGGAGCTTTCTGCTCGGGTTTGGGTGTTAGGGTGTACGCTTTGGAGAGAATGTCGGGGCGAGTGGATGGGGCGGCGGCGGAGGTAGGATCACGCCGTTTTGTGCGAGCCGGTAGAGGTTGGGAATGGGAGCGGGTATGGGGCTGCTGTGTTGATATTGATGCCGGAAATTGCTGCGATAATGCTGACTGTGCTTGTGACTGCTGGTAAGGAATGGGTATCTGGGAGTGCATGGGTTGCGAGAAGGAAGCTGGCGGATATCCCGGGTGCATTTGAGAATATGGTGGTTGTGGCGGTGCCGCCGCCGGTTCAGGGATTGTAGAGAGCATTTGGCGCCGGGATTGTACTTTCGCAGCGGCTTTGCGCGGTGATGATTGTGGTGAACCGTCATACCCCACATTCGCCCCTGCTGGGAACGAATGCGGTGGCATTTGCGGTGTTTGTCCCGCTTGCATCGGCATGGGATGTTGCAGCTGCTGGAACCACACGGGTGCACCGCCACCTGGTGCGCTCTGCGGCTGATGTTGCTGTTGCAGCTGCTGTTGCTGTTGAATGTGCATTTGCATCATCATTCGTTGTTGCTGCTCCATAAAGAGTTGTTGTTGTTGCTGCTGCTGTTGGAAAGCTTGCTGTTGACGATGCTGTTGAGAATACGATTGTACAACGCCATGATGTCCATGCTGCGGTAGCATTGATGATGACGGACTGCGCTGCTGCTGCTGCTGCGGGTGCTGCATATAGCTTTGATGTTGCCCCCCAAACTGCTGAGGCGCTTGAGCGTACATATGCTGCATCTGCGGCGGCACACCTGTCATTGCATACTGCTGTGGTTGTGCAGCTAAAGGGCCTGCCGAATACTGCGGACTTTGAGAGAACTGCGGGTTGGTTCCGAATTGGGGCTGCTGCATCAAATAGGGTGGTATCGAACCCGACGGATGTGAATCGGTATTGCTGGCATCGGGTCGAGCCCGGCGAAAGGAAATTGGGGAGCGAGGCTTTTGCGGTGCCATGCCTTTAGCTAACGACTCAAGTAGATTCCCGTCAAAGGCCAGTCAGGAAGTCAAATGAAATGTTCATCTGTTTGAACTTTGAAGTGCTTTTCATGCCCTCATCAACCCCGACGGCATAAGGGGTTTTCGCCTAGATTGACCGCCGTTAGTAACGATCGGAGGCTATCGGAGTGACGTAAGAGAAATTTGGCCGCGCTGTCGATTTTTTTCGGACCCATGCGGCACTTCGGATCAGTATTTTAGGACACCCACAGAGAGTAGAACCTATAACACTCCAAATACAATGGCAAAGTGGTGCACCCATCATCATTGACGACGCTGTAATTCCGAATATGTCGGACCGCAACAGGGCCATAATGATAACGGTAGTTTACTTGAGCTTTCTACCCTCACACCCCTCGATACTTCACCTCCCACGTGAAGTAGCGACTGCTGACTGGGAATAAGCGCGCGGAGAAAGAAATTGATAACCACATGAAGCTCCTGTGTTTTTCCCTGACGTTTGAAGCAATGGTTGTCCTGCATTGCTCACATGCTCGATGTGGTTTGCTCCTTTTGGCTCTGCTAGATGCAGGCAGCACGCGTCGGAGCGGTTGACGCGTGTAAGGCCTGATCTGGGTCTGGACATGGAGTTTCGCATTCGGACTACGAAAAAGAGGTCCAGAACACCGGACAGTGTTTGACACGATGGGCTCCAAGGCTGGCAATGCCCATGCCGCCGGAAAACCCAAAACGCCAAGAAAGGCATGGGGGAACTTCAGAATCGGCGCTGAATATGTGCTGAAGGAAATCGCCCGCAACAAGCGTTCCTTTTCCATTGGCTGGTTGACCGTTTTTCTCACCGTAGCCTTCCTGAGGTAGTACATGTAACAGTGGTCTTTCTTTTCTTTTCATCAGTATGATGCAGGGAATCAGTCATTGCCTTCGGTGATAAGGAACAGTCAGAGCTTTGAAACTGAACGTTCATATCCTTAGCTTCATTCAAAACTTGATAGATCGAGCATCCGTCATTTTCATCAAATTTTCGGAAGATTCGGTACGTCTCATGCTCTCAGTAGAAATCCAGCTTCGGGCAGTGAGCTTATAAGATTGCCTACACAGGTTGGGCAATGGGATCTGGTAAGCTGAAAGGGCTTGGAGCAGGGACAGGAATGGACATCAGGACTTACGCCAGTCGGATAAGCTTTTGACGCCAGCGGCTGGATCTGCACGGCTGCTTCTCAACTTTACCAGCATAAATACTTCTGTATCAACTGCTCCGAGAGTGACGGGCGTAGCCCCGCGGTGGATCTTACCCGCCAAAGCTCGCAAGGCAGGGTATGCAGAGGCGCCCGTGTACATGATGGCGATGGATTCGAAATGGGAGAGCGTAAGATGATGCATTGCTTTCATGCATGCGCTCGGTATATCGATCTTCTACCTAACACTTCTGACCAATAGAGGATAGATCTTGCGGCAGCGTGGCCATATAGGGAGCTGAAAGATGGGGAGATATCGGTATCATCCGGCCTCTTAGCAAAAATGAAGATAGAGCCCAATGCCGGCGAAAGGCTGACATTATCAATATCGCTTGCAGACGTCTTACAGGTACATTTCCTCATGTTTCCAGGCCTGTTCTTTGAAGTCTCTCACCCTGCCTTCAGTCACTCAGTCAAGGAAGTCCAACGGGCACGAATGCAGACAACACAACGTCATCTGACGGCACCTCGAGCAGTAGCAACAACTCACCACTTAGTGGCATCATTCCGGCCGGGGGTGTTTTGATCTCCAACCGAACGCTTTCTGCTCTGCCTCCCGCTCAAAGAAACGCAGCCAATGCGGCCTTTACAACAGGCAAGCGACAGCTGCTCAAACGCATTATCTGGAGGTGTGCGCTTACATTCTCTGCGAGCAGACGCAAACGGTAACATCAACGTTACATCGGAAAACGCGTGGGCTGCGGTTTCGGCAGCGTTGACCAACTATTCACAAGAGTTTGTCGGTAGGCGTTTGTTTCGGCTAAATGATATCGTCGGAGCTTCGAGTGACCGACAGTGCATTCCCTAGTTGTTGACGCAATAGACTCGACGTACGGAAAGTATCCAGATTCTCTCGGGAATGTAGCCATAATGGGGAGAGAAGCGGCGCAAACGATGGTCGATCGATTTGTGTCCGGCACGAGCTCCGGAAACCCAGATAGTCAAGCCGCTGCCAGCCTATTTACAGCGGTAGCCGCACAAGGCCTTATCCGTCAGAACACATCAATCGATATTATGGTAAGTTTCAATCAGCATTTTCTACTTCTAGAACTCCGCAAGCTAAATCTGAGGTCAAGTAGGAATATGCCACTACGATCATTGCCGTCATGAAGGACCGCATGGCAATTTATTCGAAAGACGATAAGCCCAGACGGTCTGAAATTGTCCGCTTTTCGAACGAGGTGGCAACATACATTGGCCTGGAGACGTCTGTGGACTTTACAGCAGTCTTGTTGACGGCTCTGGAAGCTACTTCGTTCATGCAAATCTTCCTCGGGCAGGTATGGACGTGAGCCCGAATCTCGATCATTATAAAGCAATCATATAATCGGCTTTCACTAGGCGCTCATTACCGTCATGATCGTCCTTTTGGCCCTCGCAGCGCTGCTTATATTCTCCCTGCTTTTAGCCGATGTCGAAGAGAAAACGTTTGAGTACGGCATGCTGCGGACTTTGGGGATGCGGCAGCTCTCCCTCATCAATCTGCTCTTCTTCCAGGTACAGTGATTCGTTCACTGTGTCTCCCTTCACCGTCCTTTATGTTGATTTGTTGAAAGGTTACGTGGTTCTCCATCCCCGGGATTCTGTGCGGCCTCCTCTTCAGCTACCTGGGCTTCATACCTGTTGCGTACTTTCTGGCCCAATTTTCCAATTCGGATATGGACGCATCCATGAGCCCGGCCGCCATCGCACTTGGTGTATGCTCGGGCGTCGTACTGCCCATCCTCGGTACGATCATCCCAACACGACGGGCGTTAGGGAAGACTTTGCGCGATGCCTTGGACGTCTTCCACATATCCAGCAATGAGACGCTCGTCCGCGTGGACAAGCTGGAGAAAATGGGACTATCCGCCACGGAAATGATAATCGCATTCATTCTCGTGGGAGTTGGATTCTTAGTGTACTATATCGTTCCTCTGAGCTTTGTGTTCAACGATCTCAAACTTTTCTTCAGCATCATGACCTTGATCCTTCTCGGTGAGTTAAACTTAAATGCAACTGGGGAGTGCCGCCGCTAACATCATGCTTGCACGATAGGTATGCTCCTCGGAACGATCCTCCTTGGACAAGTATTGCAGCATTGGCTCGAGATTGCCATCGCCAACATTGTGGTCCGCCCATTTGACGCACCGTTAGTACACATCGTATGCAAGAATCTCGCCGCCCACATCCGCCGGAACAGCAAAACAGCGTCGATCTTCACGCTCTGTCTTGCCTATGTCGTGTTTGCATCCACGATGTTCAATCTGCAAGCGAACTCATTGCGAGAACTCGTTGAATGGCAACTTGGAGCGGATGTGGTGCTGACGGCGCCTGACTGGGACAACGCTCTCCCGGAAGAGACTTTGAGAAACTACCTCACAAACCAGAGCTTGACTGATCGAGATGTTGCGCAGGTTGTGGATGGATACACTTTCATGACTGTAAGTGTGTACATCTTCTGTTGTAAATGAGCATCTCCTTACTTACTCTCTTTCTTAACAGTTCGGGCTCAGCACATATTGGGCGGTCAACTACCTCAACATGCGGTCACTGGCATCACTGAACGACCAGAAGATAGAGGTCTACGGTTTGGAGACCAACTTCCTGTCGTCGACGTATCTCCGGTACTTCGTCGTCGGCAGCGCTGACGTACCACAAGCCGTGGATTGCATGGCCGGAGATTGCGCAACGCCGAACGTGGTGCAGGGATTGTCTTCTCACGTGGATCCCACACCCTATGCGGATGTACCGCCAAGCATGGCATCGTTATTACCGCCCTACATAAACGTGTCGACGAACTACTGGGTGAAGCCGCCAAACACGGACCAGAAGGCGGCATACGAGACAGCACTTCCGATTCTCATGTCTCAGAAGCTCCAAGGACTCTTATTCACAGACGTGACCTCCTTGTTGCAAATGTTGCTGAACTTCTCTCCAACTGGAGACGGACAGAATGGGGTTGAACACAAATATCTGTGCAAACCCATCGCCATTCTCAACAAGTTTCCCACATTTCCCTCATCACTGGCTACGGGTACAGCTCCAGTGCTCGTGTCCATGACTGCTTTTCAGTCATTGATGACGGATATTCGCAGCGTCCAACCCGCTGCAACGCGGAACGATACCACCATACCAAAAAGAAAGATGCTAATCAAGTTCCGCGAGGGCACCACAGACCGACAGCTTTTGGCTCTCGTCAATGATCTGACGAGCGTGCTGAACAACGACAAGATAACAGTAGACATTCTACGGGACAAAGTGAAAGCGGCTACGGAATCTGCAAAATACATCACGTATCTTTTCTACATTGGTGAGTGCAGGATATCTCGCAGGCTCCTTGAGATCCGTGGGTTGTCGCACATTGTTAACATCGACATCTCGCAATCTAGTTGCGGTGGTAGGGCTCATCTTCTGCTTCTTTGTGCTGTGGCTATCCTTCACTGCGAACATAAGAGAGAATTCTTGGGAGTTCGGTGTGCTTCGAGCACTTGGCTTTCCGGTACTTGGAAAATGACCTATATGTCGTTTATCTCTGAATAGGCCTAACGGTCACTATTTCTAGGTCAGCGCTGTACAAAGAGTGTATCTGTACGAAGCATTTTCCATCATCGCTTCGTGTGTGATTTTGGGAACTTCAACAGGTACCGAACGAATAGTCTCTGGCTTCCACTGTTCTCATATGTACTCACACATCTGTCCTTCTTTCAGGCATTTTGGTAGCGCTTGCCGTTGCGCTGCAATTCAATCTGTTCACAAGTCTCCCTTTCGAGTTCATGTTCCCGGTGCCGCTGTACATCGTGGTTGTCGTCCTGTCCTTTGTCGTTTCGATGGCTGGATCATATCTCCCCAGTCGACCGTACGCAAAGGAGAAGATCGCCGTCGTTCTGAAAGGACACTGAGCAGAGATGAATGGCGGTTGTTTGAATCACTTCGGTTGATGAGGGACTTCAATTTAGTATGAGCCGTTATTCGGTATTCAGCTGTCATGTATAGTTCTGATAATGTAAATCTGTCATGTACAGTACATCCCATCATTGGTTATAGTCGTTTGACTCCGAGCTGCTTCCATCAAGCCTCCTTTACGTTTCCACATCGATGGTATGTGCAATACTATGCTGCGCTACGACTTCTAAACTCTACAGGGGTGACTTGACGAGGGCCAGTCATGCGACTACCACGCATGACTGCGGTGCGACCACATCCGCAGTCTTAGGGTGAATCGGCGCTCCGCAGCGTGAGTGACGTGGGAAGTAAATTCCATCCAGTCCTTCCTTTATACCCCGAAAAGTCCCCAGTCAATCACATTTAGCGACTGCACGGATCTCTTGAAATTCTCAGCAGCGACGTCCGGAACGCCAATGTGGCCTCCGGCTTCTGACAAGGCCGCAGCGGATGAACTACCTTCCCCTAGCGCGATCGGGTGGTTATACGACACGAGCACGTCGGTGCCAACTTGAGGTAGTCGAATCACTGCAAGGTATATAACCACGGTGTTCACCGCCGACGGTGTTCTTTCATTGAACTTATTGATCTGCTGTCGACCGACCAGGATACTAGCCTGTGTTGTTGGGCTATAAACGGGCACGTCCTGGATGAGTTGATACATCGCTTCTTAAGGATGCGACCAGAGGAAAGCAACTCATACGGTAGGTAAGGAGTCGCCGAGGCCACCTCCAGCTGCTCCACACTCAAGATCGTAGCCTCCCCAGAGTCGTTGTCCGCCGCAAGTTGTTCGAAGTGGTATTTCGCAGCATCCTCTGCAGCTACTCCCTCTGGAGACTCCAGCAGCTCTACGACAATACTTTGATCCGTCTCTACGTCGACAAAAACCTCCTGGTTATCTGGAATTTCTCGAATATGGCTGTGAAGGTGCAAGTGGGGTCAGTCACATAGGCCCGTTTCAGAGAGATTCTATTAGCTTGAAAGAAGTACCTTACATCGAGAAATGACTCGGCAACTGAGGCCGTAATGGCCCCACCGAATAAGCCCCTGCTAGTCGCTGCCGTCTGTGGGTGTTGTCTGCCTGGCATCGTGCTTAACTGAATGAAGCCTGGGCGAAAAGGTTAAAAAGATGGGAAAGCTGGGAACGCGCGACGACCTTCCTGGCTTGCAGGCTTCCAGGCAGGCTTCCCTGCAGGCTTCCCACGAGCCTCAAACTCACCTCAAACTCTTCCTCTACTCATCCTTGACTTCGGAACGGCTATTCAAACCTAGCCATCTTCTGAGACACGGCCCTCCCCACCACTCTTCCGCAGCGTTCTAGAGACACACCATGGCACCACCATTCAAAGGGCACCCCGAAGGAAGGGAGTCCCACGGCAAGCGAAAAGAAGATGTCGAGGAACTGGGCGAAGCGGCGAAGAAATTCAACGGACTCTTCTCAGAAAAGGTCGGGGCCTACAACAGTCAGCACAGTGATCAATAGGCGGTGGGACTGATCGAGAGCGTGATCGAACGCCGTTCCCTTGCGGTTCGAACCTCTTTTTCTGTGAATGACGTGAACAGGACTGGAAGTGCAAGTTATGCTCTAATATCAACTGGGCGCGGCGAATGACATGCAATCAGGTCGGTTTCTTACGACGCACATCACTGACTTTCCTAATTGTTGTCCTCACCTTCTTTTCTGAACCTTGTCCAGTGTCAGTCACCAAAGCCAGGAAGTGGAATGGATGCCAACCGTGAAGGTTATGGAGGAGGATTCATGGAGCGAGACAAAGGTGGGCCATAGCAGCCTGCCCAAAAGCACCGTTTCGGCATGATGGGAGGGCTAAGAAATTTCTCAACTCTGCAATAAAGTCGAGTATCGCGAAACCCGTTTCAACGATGACGACGAGTACGACGAGTTTGGGAGGAAGAAAAAGAAAAAGAGGAAAGACAGCAGCCAACCAGAAAACGGCACGACGCGGGAACGGGGAGCGCACAGTGGGGAACCTAGGGAGTCCAATACCGGGGCTGCCAAGCCGGTTGAGCAAGAGGCCGACGATGACGACGGGGAGGATGATGGGAAATGGGATGCATGGGCAGAAGTTCTTGGAGACCGGATAGCGGATGATGCGCCGGAAGAGGCTGCACTCGCACGGGTACGAGAACCCTCACCACCGTCAGCGGCACCAGCACGCAACGATAGGCGCCGCGATTATCCCGATCGGAATACATCCAGAGACCGAGAAGACCGGCATTCTAGTAGTGGATGGCCCGAGACCCGAGAGTGCGAGGCGGGAAGGCAGCGGTGGCCGGAGCGGAATCGCAGCAGGTCACCAGTTCGCCACGGAGGCAATCGGCCCGCGAGGATTGAACGGACATATGAGAGGCCATATGCGCCTCGTCCTACCGAGAGGGATGTAGATAGAGGCCATCCCAGGCGAAGCCGATCCAGGTCCCCGGGTTACTACCGAAGGAGATGAGGAGGCGGAGATCTAAACGCGTTTCCCGCTGTGAAATCATGTTTGTAAACTATATTAATCACAATGCTGGAGATGCAGTATGTATATAATGGCTTGTTCACTTCTTTGAGGGTACCTTCCCTCCTTGCTCTAAAGACTTGAAGGAGACTTCTTGAGAACCTCGTGGTAAAGGCTGCAGATGGAAAGTAAGAACCATCAGTCCAACCTTGAAACGAAACAGGTATCAACTGTCGATCCGGACTCACCTTCGGCTGTGATGGATCAGGCTTCCATCCAATCTACGAGCGGCTTTTAGCATTGGAGGGAGTACAGTCATTTGGTCAATGCGCGCCGCGTACCATGTATATTATTTGAAATGTGGCCGGTATTGAGCCATCCTCTTGGCCATAGATTCCCTTGTACGCGGCAGCAGCCGCTAGGAGAGTGTCTCGGGAAAGGAAAGGTTTCCTGCAAAATACTCACTGTCAGGCTCGAGAACGAGCCGCAATGAACACTGCATTTCGTACCTTGCCATTATGGCGTTGCTTTCTCCCATCGCCCTTAAATCATCCATAAGCTCGAACATCGATGGGTAGCTTACGGCAATCTCATCGACATCAACTACGTAAGGACTTCAGTGCATCGCGCTGCAGACGTTCGCACATAATGACAGTGATGCTCACCGGTGATCAAGTTATACTTGGCTCTCTGAAGTAGAGCGGCGACATCTCGACTATCTGTGAAGCGGGTAGTCAGACGTGAGCATCAACAAGGGCGCTGAGAAGATCGTCAATACCGGTCATAGGCGATATATGTGGCGAAACGCCACCTTCCCGATCGATCTCAGCCAACTGCAACGCTGTTCTGCCAGGATGTGCTGTCGTAAGCCTTGATGCAGCACAGATTGTGAGGCGTGAAACACACGCAGACGGACCTTAGCTCAAAGAGCGTTTCACCCCCAAACATAGCGCCGATAAACAGTCCATCCGGCTTCAGCGCGCGCTGAATTTGTATCAGCGTCCCTGGAATGTCGTTCACCCAGTTCAAGCTCAAGCTGCTGATGACGGCGTCCAGACTGTTTTCCTCGAATGGAAGCCATTCTTCGTCTCCGACTATCCTCTCAACCGGAACTGCGGGGAACCACACGATATGTGAATTCGATGCTCGTCCATCGACATCTGAGCTGAGAAGGGCCGCAATGGCTAACCTTCGTATTTTACATCTTTATCCCGATACAACATCTTTTCTGCGCCGAGATATCGTAATCAGTAATGTTATTTTGGAATAACATTGGCGGTGCATTATACCTGACATGTCGAACATGATCAATTTGTCCATCATGTCCTTCTCCGCAAACTTCACGATATGACCCGCTCCGGAACCCAAGTCCACGACTTTCGAGAAGCGCCGTTTGATGTCCTAGAGGACATGAATGTTGGTGAGACCACTTTCTTCGATTAAAAGGAAGGCACACAGCCCTTCCAGCGGAGCAACTATGCGTTTACGCACCAGCAGGCGGTCCACGACACGGTCCGCGACTTCGTCTCGGATGTAGTCAACATCTCGACTTTCCGGTCTTAGAGCGGCCCTGTCTCTTTGCAACTTCTTGACTGACCGATTAAAAATCTGCTGAGTTGGCGGCAAAGCGGAGGCGGTCGCAAAGGCGGCTCTCCCTTGCCGTGGAAGTCGCCATAGGGGAAGCAACGGGGTGACAGATCGCGGACAAGCTCTTCGCATGTTGCCGTGAAGTCGGAAAACGACGGGAGACCTGGTGTGACGACGACTATTGGTCTCGGAAAGCGCAAGTTCCGCAGGGTTGAGCCTGAAAATGTCAAAATGTGCCAAATTGCCGATGCTCTTTTTGGGGGAACAACCTGGGGAAAAACAGACGGCCTTTTTGATGCACGCGTTACGACTCAGAACTTCGTTCCTCTTTCGGACTTTGAATTACAGTAAAGCAACGAAATCTTCCTTATAACCGCTAACTTGACTTGTACAGACGTGCAGCAAAACTGCTCAGCGCTTACAAGTCCTCTTGACTGCGTTGCGGGTCGCGCAGGCATGCTAATGTCCATATAGAAAGGCCATCTTTGGAGCGAGGTTCGCGCGTGAGGAGGGGGATAGCAGCGAGCTGCGACGTACGGATTGTAGAGGCGGGTGCATATCTTTGACCATCGCTGAGAACTCCTCAATGACTGTGCGGTCGTACCGTGATCTTGTCGAGAAAGTCGGGGTATGTGGGTCTCGCACATCACCACACACGCGTGCAGGGGACGTGGGAGAGAAGGCACCGTCGTATTGACTCAATACTCTTCCAGACATCATGCCTAGCTGACTTGAGTCCCGGCAAGATTGTGGTCATATATGCAGTCGTTACTTCGTTCAAGCCGCCGCGGAAGACAAATGGAACCGGTATGACGGTCGCCCGAGTGATGGACCTCTTTTCCCAACTGCTTCCGGAGCTTTTGAGCTAAACCCAATTATCCCACAGACCACGTTTTGAATGTCAGCCTAGCTGACCCATCGCTGTCATCATCACGGGCCGATGATCTTGGAGTCAATATTTTTCATCGAAGGGAGGAGCTTCCTGCAATTTTGGGAACGGGGCAGGTTTTGAAGCTGCGCGTGAAGGTATTCATCTGGGACGTCAACACACGGGATGCAGTGCCAGTAGCCAGGAAATCTGATTGCACTGAGACAGGTTCAGATGTACAACAACAAAATGCAAGGGTTGAATCCGAAATTCGATAGCTACTTAGCCGAAACCCTTGAGGATGCGACGGCAAGGTCACTGGGGGAGAGGGAGATACTGGCTTCTCTACGAGACTGGTGGGCAGCCGAATCCGCTCCACTACCTCATGGTATTCCGGCAGCTACAAATCCCATACCACGGCCGATGTTGCAAGGGAAGAGGCCAACACTGCAGATAGACCAAGTAAAAACCGCCAACCACTTTTGCGATATGTTCGCGCAGGTGTGTTCTACCACTACTGAGCAGGTAATGAGACTTTCGAATTCAGCCGTGCTCATTCGGATCTTCCAAGGTTGTCTACCTCTATCCGGTGGCACCAAACGGTCAACAGATAACGACACTTCTGACTGATTATACTGAGAATCTGGACCTTGGGTATGCAACATCCCGTGCAACTCCATGGTGTTGAATGCCTAACATCCTGCAGCCTCCCAGATTCACTTCCACCGTCTATATGCATCCCAGCTACGACGTCCCTCCTAGCGTGCACTTTGTGGTCAGTTGTTTGCTACTGGAATCTGTTTGTTGGTGACATTGATCTAGAATGCGAAATAGGGACGAACACGTTGAAAGAATGCAGAATGTTCAGGCTGGCACCTTCATATTCCTGCGAAACCTGAGAATCAAGCCGGGTAGGTTTGGCCTGGAAGCAGCCATGCATGGAACGCGCCAGCCGGGCGAATCGAAGTATGGTGTCACTGTCCTTGACGCCGACGACCCAGGCCTTGAAGCTTTGCATAACAGAAAGGAGCTTCTGTTGGCTTCATTCAACCGTGACAGGTCGTCGCGGCCGACATCACCACCGTCAATGATATTGCCGCCGCCACCTCCATTAGCCGCAAAGCCATTCACACCGCTCTCGTCTGTGATCGCAAGTCGCGGCGGGGACGAAGTGTTTCGATGCAACGTTAAAATCATCGACCATCTGCCGCGCGATGTCAAGGACTTTGCGCGGCGAACTTGTCGCAGCTGTGTCGAAAGCTCCGGTCCGAGAGATCCTGCATGTGAAGCCTGCGCATCATCGCATTCCTACGCATTTTGCTTCTCTTTGATGCTCGTTGATGAAACCGCATGCATCCCCGCAACAATAACTCATGGCGCTGCGGTGGGTACATATTCTTCTGTATCATGGACGATGTGGGCTCGATCTAAATTGCTGCCTTTATAACCAGGAACAATGTCTCCGCATACGAGCAACGGATTTAAGCTCGAATCCCGTCGCATTGGCGCAAGTTGCTCAAACGATGCAATCTCTGGTGCCATTGTCGCCACAAGTTGCCGACGGACATTCAGGTGGAGAGGTGGAATGTCACTTGATGTCTTCCCCTATCGAACAGGCAGGACCTCGGTATCGAATAGTGAGAATACAGAATTGACTTCAAGACCGTGGGACGCAGATGGGGCATTCGCTTGACAGCAAGGCGCTTAATGAAGAACTAGATCTTGGGTTGTTTAGCTATAAGCCCATCTCCAATCCATTTGTCATTTGTCGGCGTATGGGCGCACTTTAGAATTCAGATCGTACTTGGTTCATCAGTGACAGTTACATACAATGGAGATTGCTAAACGGGGAAAATTGCCAGGTGACAGAAGATCACATCATGATAATAACGTCTATGAACGTTCATAGCGGGGAATGTCCGGTGATGTCTACGTGTACTACGTTTAAACCATGAATGGGGTATCTATGCTAAATCTACGCCAAACGTCCGCCCTTCACACTAGAAGACCACTCAAAGGGGACCAGCCCACTTCGATACGTGGTAAACATCCTTACTACCATGTGTTGGGGCCAAAAGTTCCGTTAGTAAGTACGATCGTTCGAGCCATCCCGTTGTGATCCAGAGTTTCCTTGTCCACTGTGTTCCCCCACCATTCGATGGTTGTTCCGTGATAGGTGAGGGCGAAAAACACAGCAATCGTTGCAAGCGCCAGCCCACAATCGAGGGCGGCCGACGTGACGAAATTGTAGTTGATCCACCAGCCTCTGTGAGATGGAGGTAAGTCAGCCAAAGCACGTGCAACAGAAGGCGCATATACCAAGCACAAGCCCTGCTCCTCACCTGAATCTGTCGCGGAAGACTTTGTTGAATAGCCAACCGACGAAACCCCAGGACACATAGTTCATGATGGTCGCTGGGGGTATGAAACTACCGCAAGCGAACAGGACGGGTACGTCTATGTACCGAAAGATCGAGCGCGGAAACTTCTTGGCCAGATAGTACACCAGGAAGGGCAGGAAGAAGCCGATGGGGAAGAACCACAGAAGGCTCGAATAGATTTCACCCATCGAAAACATCCGCTGGGGTCCAATCACACCCCAAATGGCGGAAGCGGTGTAGAAGGTTTTAGCGTTTGGGCACGTATAGCCGGCTGGTTGTTTCCTCTCGCAGACCCCGGGAATGTTCTGCATGGCCCAGTTGTAGACGATCACCTGGACGATCGACGACCAGACCGTAGCGACAATTTGCGAAGTGAACAGAATCTTTGGCGGGACTTTCATGTAATGTCCGAGTTTCAGATCTTGCACGAAGTATAAAGCTTGCGCCATACTAATGTAGCCGTATGTTTTGAAGAGCATCATCGCCACCGGACGACCTGGTTTCAAGTAACCTGACGAAGACCAAATATCAATGAGCTTCATTACGCAAATGAGCCACACTTCTCCAATCTCTACCTACCAATGACGAACTCGGTGATGACATTCAAACCGACTTGCATGTTGGTGCATGCTTGCACGATGCCAACCGGAATCACCCACAGGAGGGCCATCAGAAGCGACAGCGACAGCCCCCACCAATCCAGTTGGGTGTCCCAATACATGACAGTGAACAGGCTCGCCCCGAAAGTGACCAGGAAAAGCACAAGAAACCACCAGTCGGCGGCGTCCTTGTATCTTTTCATCAGCTTCATGTGAATGTCATCTTCCTGGTCGCGCGCCTCCTTGAACCGGGTCATGATCTCTTTTCCGTAGAAGAGCCAAGTATTTGTCAGAACACACGCCACGTTCGCGAAAGATAGTCCGTAGCCGAGCGCGAAGGTCGTGCTCAGGATCATAGGGCTATAGGCCTTATAGGCCGCAATATCGAATTGAAAGGACGAGGTGAGAACCTTTGTCACGTCGTACTCCTCTCCGAAGCGATCCCAGGATGAGCTGTCGCTGATGCTCATGTAATGGCCGTACCAGAGACCGCTAAAGTTTGCGGCGGTTGCGAAAATAACGTAGAAAATTCCGACTCCCAGCATGGTGTTGGCGATGGCGTGCCAAGGGAACGTGAGAGGCGAAGTCAGATATCCCGAAATCATCGTCCAATCCAAGGTGATCGGAATCAAACCCAATCCGGTGCTTGATCCGAAGATCTTGTTTACGAGTACATTCTTCGGAGCAATCCAAGTTGGGAACGCTCCCAGATTGGAAAGGGCCGTGAAAAATGCCAGCGGAACCCAATGCCACACGAAAGTGAGGGAAGCGAGGACCATGAACCACTTGTAGCGCGACCATCCCCAGCCGTTGGCCTGTTTCGGATTCATTGATCGCCGCTCGTGTAGCGTATAAAATAGCGCAGTGTTGGCGAGGGTAGTCGGCCAAATCATCGCTGCAGGCCAGACTAGGAATCGCCTACACATTCCAGCCATTCCGAAACCGATGCATTGTGAAGTGATGGTCAGGAGGAGTTGGAATGCCCAGCCGAATTTGATGTGGTAATATTGCTCCATCGCGAGGATGACATCCGTCGCGTAGGCTACACCACCTCCGAACGCGGCATTCGCCATCACGGTGATGACCACGTGTTCCTAGCTCCCCATGTTAGGACCTGATGTGAGTCTGACTGACAGAAAAAATGCATATGTACCTTATGATTGAAGTGGCCAGGATTTAGCCAAGTGTTCTTGGGGAGCAGTTTTTCCCATATAACGCCGAGAGGGAAGGCGACCAACTGAATCACGATGGCCGTGATCGTGATGCTAGGTTCCCTCAGTGAGAAGAGCATATTCAGCCCAGATGCAAGGGTGGTGAGAATAAAGCCCAGAACCCAGGCCCGGACTGTGTTTGCCGGCATATCAACGTCGTCGTAGTTGCGAACCGCCGCTCGCACTTCCGGATATGGAGAATCTTCCTCAAGCGCAGGATCATAAGCCTCCTCTTCTTCAAATTCGCTCTTACCGAGAGCGGCGAGAACTGCATCCCGTTTTGCTTGAGGGATGGTGGGATCCCAGTCCCCCTCCAACTTGTCGTCATCTTCTGGTGTCTCCCATCCTCTATGCCCAGCGTCAGATGGAACAAATTTCCGAACAAATTTCCGATGGTCGCTGTTGATACGCACGCGGAGATTTTGAGTAGCGGCCAAATGCTCCTGAGGTGAACGAAAGGCGCTGTTGGCTGCTTGCGCGGTGAGATGTTCTCGAGGAGGGCGAGGTTCTCCAGTAGAACGGGGACTACTGGTGCTCGGCGAGTGGCCTTCCTGGTGGTATATTAGGTGTTCCCGAGGAGAGCGGGCACCGGCGGTGCTAGGGGTATGGGCTTCCTGAGGGAACTTCAGGTGGTCTCGAGGAGAAAGGGGACCGTCTGAATGTGGGGAATGCGTAGATGTCGACTCGATCAGATACCGACGAGTCTGAGAGTCAGGAATGGGCTGCAAAGGAATAGGCGCATTCGTGTCTTTCAGATATTGGCGTTGACCCCTGCCACCGGGCGACGTCGCAGTGGCAATTGACAGGCCATCTGGCAACGGCGGCCGAACGTTGCCGACACGACGAGGAGACCCGTTTGGGACAGTTGCCGACATCGCGAAGGTTTGACTCCAATTTGTTTGACGCTAAGGATGCAGGGAATGACTAGAAGAATGGCAGGGTTTCCTACTCGTGCATACATATCTATCTTGCACAGCCCCGCATGCTTGGACGCCTGCCTTCATCTTATCTAGATCGGCAGCCGCCCGTTCACAACTTCACACCGTGGGGAAGTGTGAGGCTCAGGTCAAGCGGACGAGGTCGTGCGCATGGACGCTCTGTGGCACTTCATCAGCTTGAAATTGACAGGTTGGAATTGGAATCTCACGGTACCGACACAACAAGTGCATCTGGACGTCGGTATTAGCTACATACCAGGGAACGGAAAGTCGGGTACACTGAACTGTATAGATACAACACTTTTCGTTAATCTTAAAGTTATTTTAGATTGCCTGATGACACGACGACAAACGATCACAGGCCGCCCGAATAGAAGCTGGTAGTAGCCTGGTACCCGGAATCCAGACCAGCAGGCGGCTGACTGACAGCATGTCGCGTTTCCGACGACAACCTTGTGAGACATCGACCGCGACTCTGTCGAACATCTCAAATATTACATGTGCACAGAGAACGGACTTCTTTCACGGCATCTGATGGGTTCCGCGTGGTGTATAAAAGAAGAGCGTCTAGACGAACGTTCGCTTTCTTGCACTCTGAGCAACCGTTTTGCATCGACTCCCAAAATGCGCGTCCTCAGTCTGTTCACCGTCTTGTTGGCCTCCGCGTCAGCCGTCTTGGCAGGACCCCAGGCGGAAGTCACCAAGAAGGTCGTCCTGTCCATCGCCCAGGGCGGCCAACCGTTGGGGGATGTCACGATTGGTTAGTGCATCAAAAACCTCCCGTCTGTCGAAGTAAGCCGTGGCAAGATCTGACCGTCATTGCTTGTTTTCAGGACTTTACGGAAAAGAGACTCCAAAGACAGCCGAGAACTTCCGTGCACTTTGCACTGGAGAGGTGGGAGGAGTTGAACTAGTTGAAAGCGACTGGGATGGGAATTGATGCTCTTCCTTTCGTCAGTTTGGTTATGGTTTCAAGGGAAGTCCATTCCACCGTGTCATCAAGGACTTTATGATCCAGGTACGGATATCGCAGAAATGGGGTATCGATCATCGAAACAAAACTCATGGAGCTCGACTCAAACATGTCTTGTAGGGTGGAGACTTCACCACAGGGGACGGCAACGGAGGTGAGTACCTATCTCAAAGATATTCTGCAGATCTCCAGACTCGTAGAGCCCTGACATCGTGGATTTGGTGTTTTCTAGGCTACTCCATCTACGGAGAAACCTTTCCCGATGAGAACTTCAACCTAAACTTCACCGAGCCCGGAATTGTCGCCATGGTGCGTAACCACATCGAAATTGATTTGGAACCCTTTCTTGTCATGGAATCTGACATCTCCGTACCGATTCGGGATCCTTCAGGCCAACGCCGGCCCGGACACGAACGGCAGCCAGTTCTTCATCACAACCATCATTACCAAGTGGTTAAACCAGCACTACGTTATCTTCGTAAGTCCGCACAACCCTTAGTATGCATTGATGGCAAACAACCCATTGAACCAACCTCTTCTGCTGTGATAGGGCTACGTTTTAGAAGGAATGGACATTGTGTACAAGATCGGAAACACGACCACCAACGCAGGTAGGGTGGACGCATGACTACGTTGTCGGTGTTGCGCAACATTCTAACCACACGTTCCCGACCGCCAGACGACCGTCCCCTTTCGGAAGTCATTGTGACAAACTGCGCGGAAGTCAAAAGTAAGTCATCCTCTCCTTTCCCCCCCGGCATTTCCATAGTACCCACGCTGATTGGAACTTTTTATGAACAGAACAATGCAAGAAGTCCCGCCACTAGATGGACCTTTCCATGCCCGCTGCGGCCGGGATTTGAGCCTATGAGATCATCTGCTACTTATCGTCCCTCATCTATGTGCATCCATTCCATAGACATATACCGTAGATACATACCCCTTTTTGCATGGCATACTGCCGGGCAGATGTCGTGCATTTTGGGGCAGCGTTGCTTACAGTAGACATACATACATATACCAGCTTTGAATCGAATCAAATCGATGAACTGCAATATCTGCAGATGGGAAATCACGGGCGCATATCGATCCAATCATGACTGCTAATGTGTGCCAGTCACTGTCCGTTGGGTTATCCAGCGCTGCGGTTGTTGTGGAATCGAGATATCTGTGCGCCAAAGCCAGGTGAACAATGAAGACAGAAGATGTTGATGCACTTGAGCCTATCGATTAGAATATAAAGCTGAAGTACGGTTGGGACATTAACGTATATACTAGGTCTAAAAAGGGAAGACTCTATCGACAGTCGTGAACTGGAGCGGGCAGTTGATCTACATTTACGCCGTGGCTTATGATGGTCGGTTGCCGGTTGACTCTACATACGGTGAAGGTTGCCAGCTGCGCGCCTAGGGGCAGCAGATGCTTACGCAGATACGGTCGATGTTCAGTAAGGTGTGTGGTGTTGTGTGTGCGGGTTGTGCGGGGCATGCATATGCTGATGCTGCGGTCCAGCCGCAAGCACAGGTGGAGTAGGCGGAGACCAGGGATCAGTCATCTGCACAACGGTCGTGTTGTTATCCCCCATTTTAGGCTGGTAGGTCGGGTCCGTGACGCCTGCAGCAGGTGGAGGGTACATCGGCGGTTGGTATTCCGGAAGCGGGTACATGTAGTTGTTGTTTCCGCCTTCGGGCGGGTATGGTGCGCCCTGAGCGACATAGACTGGAGGGCCTGTGACTGTTCCTCCAGGTGCCACTATCGTTCCTGCTGGCGCTCCGTTGTTGTTGCGCTGTCGGATATAGCAGCACAATAACTGTGATGGCAACGTCGGGAAGTGGTCGAATGAGACGAGGTCCCTCGGAGAGCAAAACGCAATCGATTTAGAGAGCCCACTTACGGAAAGGAATAGAGAGACACCAACTCCAACGAAGATCAATGTATAGTTTGGTCGGGTAGTGTAGCAGTACCCGTTGTAATCGCAGTAGTAACCCATGGCTAATACGGCTGCGAGATTTTCCTCGACGATGAAAAAGAAGTTCTCTGTCCCGAGCTATATACGTCGTCTACAAGTAGGAAGGTCCACGGGAAGCACCGCTTTGCTCTTATATTTGTTTATTCATTGCCGTACTAGCCTACTAGGCCACTGAGGCCAGGCGACCGCTGTCCATGGTGTCTCAATTTGACCGCCAATTCCGCGCGCCTGAGAATGGGCAACAACATCATGTTCACCGCAACGACAAAATTTGCTTTCTTATTTTGCACATCCGACAAGTCGTCCTCGAACGGAAAGACCTTGACATTCAGCACAAGGAAGCAGCAATGGTGTTGGAAGAGAGCAGACTACCGGAGGCAGCACCCAGCGAGACTCCCTCCCAGGCCGTCGAGGATGAAAGCTCCGCGGTCACTGGCTCAGCATCGACAGACGACGCGGTGGACGCGGAAGCCGAAAAACACGATCAAGTCGATGTCGTAGCAGACGATGGTGACTTTGACAATGACGACGAGGAATGGGACACGAATGCAGACGTGCCCTACGTGGCGTTGAGTTCAGGCAGTCTTTCGGATGACGAGGAGCTCGACCCTGCAAGTGCAGAACTCGATCGCGAAGAGGAGGCTGAGAGGTGTCCGGCTCCGTTGACGATAACCGTGTCGAAGGAAGCGATGATGAGTGAAAATGACGTTGCGACCATTTCTTCCGTGATGGCATCCTTCAGTTTTCCAGCGTCTGCTATTCCAGGTGAGGTTTATCGAAACGATATCTCCCTTTCGTCCTTATTGTCCAGATTATGTCTACGCATATAGACAAGCTACTAATAATCCCAACTGGAATCCATCTAATGATACCTCAGCATGGGCAAAAGATGTCCCGGAGGAAACCTGGATGCCGAAAGTTCTCTACGGCGCCGATCCAGCATCCCGGTGATGTCGCCTTCGCCGCGATCCATACTGCCGATAAACACATACACACTCGGACTAGGAACGCCGAGCTTTCTATCCGAAGAGCTGAAGCAGCTCGTTGACCGAGAGCTTCTGGTTCTTCTTGCCCTTCGTGTTACCTAGCGCCGACTCGATCATCGTTCGCTTCAAAGGAAAGCGAACGTAAAGGAAAGCGAACGTCAGCCGCAACGCGAGCATAAACCATTTGAATGTGACGAAATGGAGATCGTACCTTTCGTTCCTGGAGCGCTAGAATACGATCCTCGACCGTGTTCTCCACTGCCAAGCGGATGACTTCTACATCCTTCGTTTGCCCGATCCTACGCACATGGAAAAGCAAGGTCAGACCGACCACAGATGTACATGGGGAATTTCTCGGATGTACCTATGCACGCGATCAATGGCTTGATCTGGAGGTCGACTGTTAGACATGCATTTGAATGCGACTGTAGATGCGTGAAGGTTACATACCTTCCAGCGCGGGATTCCACCTTGTATGATTCAAAAAATATTAGACAGGGCGAGGCAATTAGCATACTCTCAGTGAGCACACGGAACATACCACATGTCCAGCATGATAACGCGGTTAGCAGCTGGAACGAATGCTTCACATGAGAAACCACATCAAAAGCTTGTGCTGAGTATTGTATCATACCCGTAAGATTCAACCCTAAGGAGCCGCACTTCAAAGAAATGAGCAATATCTTGGTCTCCGGGTCGCTCCTCAATCGCTCGAGCGCCTCCTCGCGATGCGCATTCTTCATTGATCCGTCGTCTGCCGTTTTCGAAAATCGTCAGTCAGTGCTTTAGGATCGAGCGTCGGCGAAGATTGCACTCACATCGGCAAAACTTGTATCCCTTGCGCTTCAACGGTTTCTCCACAATGTTCAACATGCTCGTGAACTGAGAGAAGATGATGATCTTGTCTAATGGGTTTGTTAGCTTCCAATCGTCGATGATGGCCATCATCTAAAATATGCCAGAACGGACGGGCAGGTTTAGCATCAGACGATGTCGAGACTATACATGCGGTGACATTTACCTTGTCGACCTTCGCTGATGAAACCCATTTCGCGTCTGCCTCCTCTGTTTTAACCTTTCCATCCCACGTCCGTTCCAATGTCTTCGCACAGGTATTACACTCCTTCTGGCCAGCTGGCGCATCCTGGATTCTAAACGAAGGCGCATCGCGTCAAAAAGAGTTCATCACCGTAATGGCGACCTGATTATCCTTACGGCTCAAAGCAAATGGAGCACTGCCGCTTCGTTTGCTCGACTTCAAGAGTTTTGAAAAGAGACATCATCTCATCGACGTCGTCGTCGAGGTCAGCGCCTTTGTCAGGTTGCACTTCTCCCTCTTTGTCCACGCCCAGGCCGACGAGTTGGCGATGATCACATGCTAGGGTGTATGCCGAGATTAGATCCGAGTCAGGCAACTTTTGCCGGAAGTGGTCACCCACGTACCTTGACGCAAACGAAGAAGCAAAACCAAAATGTTCGTGAAGTTCTTGCCGTATCCATCCTGCAATATGGTGGTCTTACGATGGAAATCCATTCAACGTCTCCATACGAGTCGCATCTCACCTGTTGGAACCCTTTTAACGTGCTCTTGATTCTCGTCTCCAGCGTCGTGTAAAACTCAAGCTCGTCCGGGCCAAGTGACACCTTTTCGATATTCACATTGCGAGCCGGAAGCTGCAACAGCGGTTTGCCGTCAATCTTGGATGCCTTTGTCCGTCGGAGCATGATGACTTGAAAGATCGCGCGTAACCGATTGTACGCGAGGACAGAGCGGCCTCGTGACATGGGTTCTGAGATCTGCCTCTTGAACATTGCTGTAGAGCATTCAGTTTCATAGCTCTCGACACCACGGCTGCCACACCGTACGGCATACCATAATCATGGAAGGGTCTAAAGCGCAGGAACTTTAGGAAACTATAGAATTCGTCGATATTGTTTTGCAATGGCGTTCCTGTTTGCTCCGATTAGTCCAGGTACTGAACGTTGCATGCTAGTCGAGCTTACCTGAGAGACAAAATCTGCGGTCGGCCTCCAGCGCGCAGCATCCAATCGCACTCTTCGTCTTTTTGTTCTTGATCGTTTGCGCCTCGTCTATACCGCGCGGTGAGTCTGCGATTTCGTAATGCACTCAGGATCAAAGGGCTTACCCAGTACAACACGGAACCATTTGTTCTTATACAGAAGCCCGTCAGGGTACTCGGATGCCACCACTGTGACGTTGACCGAAATGTAAGACACATCGTCGGGAAGCCCAAGGTTTCACACACGCACCTTGATAAGTGGTAATGACAACATCGGTCGCCCGAAGCTTTGCGATATCTAGTATGACTGTGAGCTGTGGAAGTGTTCTCGCCGAGCTACAACGCTGCATACCTACCTTTAGGTCTGCTCGGCCCATGATACACGAGAACGCTCAACGACCCTTTCTTGGTCCTCGTCTGAACCTCAAGCTCCCACTGCTTAATCAACGCCAAGGGTGCAACAACCAGCGTGGATTTGCACTTCGCATCCTTCGACCGATTTGCCAGTATCAGGCTGATCGTTTGGATCGTCTTCCCCAGTCCCATGTCATCGGCGAGGATACCCCCCGCGTTCGTGCTCTCCTCCCTGCTCTTCAGCCATGCTACGCCTTCGAGCTGATGCGGGAGTAAGGTGATTGTCATCTCAGGAGGTTGGTGCTCTCGCACCAGGTCTGGATCATGGTCGGGGATGTCAGCTAGGAGGTCAACAAGATCCTGCGGATTCGACGCTCCTCGCCCGTAGTTCGATGCATAAGTTCCGCCAAGGTCTTGAATGTAGTCCGGACGGGAATAGTTATTCACAGGGACGGAAACGGGCACTCCGCCACTACTACCCGCGAGTGCGGATCCCTTCGACCAGTATGCGGAGTTGGGTTTGTACGCCGTGATAGGTTGCTGATTACCCCGAGAGAACAAGGTTGACCAAGCTTGTGGGTCCGGGCCCAGCGGAACGCTAGCGGACGTTGGAAGCGTTGAACGAGACCCAGCTGGGGCATTCGAAGCCTCGAGCGGACGTGTATCTGCGGGCGTTTTGTAGTGAGAGGCAGTAGACGGGCGAGAGTGCTGATACTCAGGCTGCTTCTGATGGTTAGCACCCGGCGCTATGTTCTCCTGCGCAACCCCATGATAAGGCCGAAGACTAGCGCTTGAGTGGCCAAGATAAGATGGCTTGAAGGTCTTAGGACGATACTCCCACGGGCGCGAGGAGGCCTCTGCGGCCCTTTGCGGGGGCGGCGGTTGTTGCACTTTGCCGTCGGCCTCAGTTCCGTGACGGGTGGAAGCAGGAGGCCCGCCCGGTATCTGATAAGGCTCCTCGCGAGGGGGAGGAGCGCTCATTGTCTGCGGTGTTGGGTGGGCTCCTTTGCGGAATTTGCTCTGAATTTGAACTTGGAGGAAAGCCACGGCGGACGGTTTCAAGGATTGTCATTTCGACCCTCGTGAGTCATGCGTGCGGGTTTGTCCGGTTGGGTGGACGCGTTCCCCCCGCCGTTTTCACCGAAAGTCAAAGATTTCCGAGAAGTGCAGCTTCGGTGAAAGGTTCGACGAACCGAGGTCCGGCAAAACGGAACGATGCATAGACGGAAACCATATGCATCATCGTACATATAGTACGTTCGGATTTCAGGAGGAACAGATATGACGGTGCAAGTACCCATTATTGGCCAAACCCATTGCAATCCTCCGGATCATCATAAGTAACATCCTGCACAAGAAGAAGAGCGCTGGAAGTCGATACTCTTCAAAGCCAAGGTGTCAGGCAAGTTCCGAATTGGGCAGGTGGTGTGTGGGTGGGTGCCAGACAACAGAGACACGGAGGTCGGTGGGAGAAGAAAGAGAGGAACTCAAGAAAGACTCGTCGACGCGTCCCTCCATCACGATTACGTCACGCAACCCATTATCAATAGCCGTCTCGCGCGCATATCCTGTATACGCATGCAGGCAGCCCCAATACCCATCCCCATAATGGATTATGGATTTTCCGGCGCCCTTTTCTTCTCTCTCCTTGGGTCCCATGTCCACAGAAATGGAAAGAGCAAAATCCACTGACAATCTAAAACGTAAATAATGGATCCCTCATAGTTAGCGTATATATCCTTAGAGTAGGTGGTAGCATCCTTTCAATCAAGAAACTGCATAGCGAAAAATCGTATATATGCCCCTCCTCGTCCATCGCCTGCGTGCGAACCTCCCACGTCCAAGGACTTCTCGATTCATAACTTCAACGGGTTTTGGATCCTCTGTTTGCATCAAGCCAGGAACTCCGACCGCTCATCCGGGTAGAGGACCTAGTCATAAAAATCGCACGGTCCTATATCCTTCCATCAAGCAGAGTAGATCGTTCAAGAGTAAGGCAGCAGATATGCCGGCGCCAGACACCAAAGGTTCGCAAATTCTATTTCCGCAACATGGGTGGTTTTGCATCAAATCCATGATCTGAGATCAAAATCTCTTGCATGAACAGACGTCCACGAGCAGCTCAACAAAGCGCGCAAACATACCGGAAAGCCATTGACAAATGTGGTCGGTGACGGGACTGGCGGTAAGGAATCATTGATTCAATCATCTCCATTTCGCCCCAAGTCGATCGATTGACGTGGGCCCCCCTCCTCTAGGCATCGGCGTCGGCATCGCCCTCCTCCTAGTCGACCTCATCAACGACATCGAGTTCGAAGGGAACGAATACATGGTCGAACATGCCAAGGAGATGGCGCCGCGGATCAAGGACATGGCGCAGGAGTGCAGGGATCTGGGTGTGCCGGTTATCTATTGTAATGATAACTTTGGGAAGGTGAGGTCCGGAAATGGGATGCGTTGGGATTTTGATCAGTGCTGATTATGGGCGGTATAGTGGCGATCGAACCTGGAGCAGATATACGACACGATAGCGTCGGGAGATACACCAGGCAGCTCGGTTGCGCAACTGCTTAAGCCGTCAAAGGTACGTCTCGAGCATCTGCCCAGAAACCGGATTGCTTTTTGACTTTTAAGGACTGGGTGTTGATTTGTTGGGCATGTGCAGGACGACTACTTCATCCTCAAGCCGAAGCATTCTGCATTCTACGCCACAGCGCTCGAGTCCCTCCTCACATATCTGCAGGTATGTCCCTCTGGTCTCTCAGTCATTCTCATAGACCCATAGGCTCATCAACTCGTGTCATACGCAAAGGTGAAGAGTCTCATCATAGTGGGCATGGCGGGGAACGTGTGCATTCTATTCAGTGGTAAGAGTCCTTGTCCTTCGCCGGTCATATCGGACTCTGGCAGCATTCACATCCACTAAACGAAACAATCTCACATCACAGCAAACGATGCGTACATGCGCGACTACGCCCTATACGTCCCGCGAGGTACGTCCCAGCCCGACTCCACATCTTTTCCAAAAAAAAAGGGTCACTGATTCAACTCCGACACCATCTTTTTCCCAGACTGCATCGCCTCATCCTCCCGCGAAGAAGCCGATGCCGCCATCCTGCTCATGGACCGCGCCCTCGGCACCTGCACGAAACCATCAACCGAACTGAATCTGCGTGAGCTCGTGCAGGCGCACGAGAAGAAGGGGTTGGCGAATGAGAAGGAGTTGAAGAAGCGGAGGGAGGGTAGTGCGGAGAAGGAGGGGGATGGGAAGAAGGCGAAGACGGGGTTGGCGTCGGATCCGGGGGCGGTGGCGTAATCCTTTTTGAGACGTGGTTTTTCATGACTTTTTTGGGCGTGCGGCAAAGGACCCTGCTGCCCGTGTGGTATTGTCTGATGGAATCTGATACTTTCGGAGAGAATGACATCTTGCATGTGCACACGAGTTGGGCGCCGGGAATGGATTTTTTGCGAGGATATGTGCAATTGTTGGTAGACATCAACCGAATAGGAGGTCCTGTTAGATTTGGCCGGGATTCCCGAACTCATATCCCGACTGCCCGTGCTGGGGATTTGAATCCTCTGGCTAATGATAAGACCGATAGTTCCTCGCCTTCGCGGTAATCCCGGGACAATCCCGATAAACTCCCATGCGCAACCGCAATCATGCTGCCATCTGTCCCGACGTCGACGCAGGCAGCACCACCGTCCCGCTCTTCCATGCAGCCATTCCCATCGCAAGCTCCTTCGTAGCGCGTGTAAGCTGATGTAACGCCATCATGGATGGTTTGGCCAACGGATGCATTAGAGCCAACGACCGCGCTACAGCGGTCAATCCAGTCACACCCTATCATCAAGAGACAACAGTGAGTGTTCAGAACTCGGGTGGCAATGCATGCCAATATCATGATATACCCATTACCTTGACCAATTTCCCCGTATCCTCCACAAACCCCCGTCCCACATTCACATCCCCCACCTCACTCCCCACCTCCGAAACCCTCGCAACATCCTCCCTTACAATCGCCATACTCGCACTCAACCGATCCGCCAACTCCATCTCAGCGCCCAATTGCTCGTCCGATGCGTCCACATCGCTCCGCTGTCGTTCGCGTATACTGTTCGGCAGGTCTTGCAGGTGTTCGAGGGCGGTCGAGGCAGCCGTGCATGCGTTGGCGAGGAGGGAGCGTATGTAGAGAACGCTTGCTGTAGGTTGGTCAATGTCGTTTGAGGGAGCGGACTGTGAGGGGTCTGGGTCAGATTGTGCAAGCTCTTCGCCACAGTAGCTTTTCTCCGACGCGTTGCCGATATTGAACAGCGCCGTTACTTCCGCAAGCTCGTTCGCAGCAGCGTACCATTCGGCAAGAAAGAACCGCGCTTCGCGGATCTCAAGGTGTCGAACTATGTTTCCCACATTGTTCAGCAGCATTGCGTTCGTTGAGATTCCGCATCGCAAGAGGGAAAGAATGCTGTCCTTGATTTCTGCGCTTGAGGGCCGATCTGCTGCATCTGGCGCAAATACTACAATCTTGCCTTCACTTTGACACCGAAGGAGGGTCAGAATCAAGGAACAGCAACTGCTGTTGAGGTCCTCCACTTCTGACCAGAGATGTCTGGATTCGAAACCCGACGCGGCCGTGTCCCGCAAGACCTCTTTCGAGATCTTATACAGTCTCGCGAAGACGTAGCCTAGCCGTTGCGAGACATCGATCAGTCCGAGATCCTGAATCCCATTCCTGATTTCGCCCGTTCTGATGTCCGTGCGAAGATGACTTCCATTCGCTTGCCATAACGCGAAACAGTCCTGCCGAGAAACTGGCCAGTCATGTCCTGTTGACGCACCGGATTTGGATGGGACCGCTGTTTCAACAAGAAGTGGTTCTTGTGTGAAGAAATCTGGGCGTTTCGCTGGACTCTGATATAATCTGTTTTCCGATGAAACGGCATTGGCAGATCCATCTACGGCTGTCATGTATTCCTTGAATTTCTGCAGCCAAACCTCATGCGGCAGGTCGGGGGGGCATTGCACCACGACGGGTGGCGGCCATTGAACCGGATTATGCTCAATCTTCAAGACTTTGAGCTGCGGCATTGACCCAAGATACTTCGGTAGCACTTGGATCCTATTCCGGGCGACGCTCAAGACTTTCAAGTTCATGAGTTTTCCAAAAGAGGAAGGCAGCCCCTTGAGCTTATTCCGGCTGATATCAAGGATCTCTAGGCTCGGCAACTCGCATATACACGTAGGGAACTCGCGAAACTGATTGGCACGAAGGTTGAGGTACCGCAAGTGCGTCAAGCCGGTTATTTCGTATGGGAGGCTGGCGAGAAGGTTGTTCGATAGTCCGAGTCTGGGAATCGCTGAGTCAGGACCGGGCTGTTTATCCATTCTGATCGGATTCCCATCACCACCAACCTTTCCAACGTCACCAGTGCCTGTATCTCGGGCGGCAGTTGCGCCAATTTCCGTTCCGATAGGTTTAGACTAACCGAGCCCTTGACACGCTCCTCCTCCAGAATCTTTCCCACAGCTTCAACGTCCTCCTCCGCCTCCGGCGCTACGCCGCGCTCAGCTTTCACTATGGAATCAGGAACCACGCTGGGTGGCGCTGGGCTCGAAGTTGAAAGGACCTGCGCCGTCGCCGGGGCTCGTGACGTTTTCTGACGTTGTTGGGCGGCATCGAGAGATGTTGTTCTGCTGTGGATGCGGAAATGTATATCCGGAGGACCTTGCTTTGGCCCTACCGGTATGGGGTCCAATGCTGTCCGATGTTGGGACACCGGTGGGATTTCTGCCATTCTTTTGTCGATCGTGCTCCAGGCTCGCGCAACGCGAAGCTTTCAAAGTTCAGGCGGCATCCCTCAGCCTGCTCCGCCCCGAGCCCCCAGCAATTCCTCCCACATCGCCCGTTGGTGCACAATTCTGCTTTGGCTCGCTATGTGAAGGGTTATCACCTCGAACAACAGTCTCATCACCGCCAGCTTGACTAAGGCATACCGTGGACTCCGCTTGGAACAGACATCGGCAAGCACGATGGCGCCGCTTCCGTCCCATCCCCTTGTACGTCAACAATCCAGTATGCCTTGCACGGTACATAAGCGACTCAGCCTTTGCCAAATAGTACATCAAGTTTCTTGAACAGTGTGTGGATTCCCCGCCAAGGGTTAGGGGCCTCTCGTTTCAGGTTTACACCGACCTTCTGCTAGGTACTTGAGGCTCGCGGGGTGGTCAAACTGGCTCAAACCCTTTCTGACGAGTCCTTGAACGCAAACGTAGCAAAGCAGTGGTGGAGTGTGCAGCCCATAGATGTGCCCTCTCTTGACAAGATCGTGCTTGTTGCGCGTAGTCAGCAGCATGTAGGTGGCGACCTTTGCGAAAAGTGAATTTGATGTGGCCAATCTGAACTGAGGCGTTCTGCACCTGCAGGATAAGCGTGAGTGGATCATCCCAATGAATCCGCAAGAAAATTGGTCGATGGAGTGGTGAGTGGAGTGTTCCCATCATGTACATGGAGAACGCTAGCCGATATAAAGGCATTCCCTATGCAGGCTGTCCCGAACATTCGCCAATCTTTCATCTGTCGCCCGAGGCGTGGAAAGGTACGTTTCCCAACCAGCATGAGGGGCCGGGACCCCATTATTGACTCAGCGTCCAATAGCGTGGTGCTTGCAATCGTCTCGACAGACGCAACAATCGTCTACTACCGGATTCATAAGGGATTGGTTCCGCCAAAGGAAACCAAAGAAGCTTAATCGCGTAGCTTGTTCAGGACGAAGCCCTATACTTCATCCGTTGGTCTATCCAGACGCTACTCCGCTATGGATGGCTCATGCTTTTGGCTTTAGTGTCCTCTCATTCTGCACTCCTCATTGTACATAGCGTTGCTGAAGACACGGTTCGTCCAATCAGCCCTCATCAAAAGATTCATACCCAACCTATCGTTGATGGATTGACTACAGGTGTCCCTCAAACTGGATTGCTGAGAACGAAATCCGAATCCGGTGTCCGGTCGTCGCAGTTACCCCTAGGTTGTGTCGTGTTGATGCCCGGGGTGGGCTGGTTTCTAAAATCTAGATTTAGGAAATGTACATGGCTTCGTCCAGTCCTAGCAGGCTCTCGGTTCTCATCACTGGCCACGGAGCTGCTCAAGGAATCCACCTCAGTCATCACCACTGCGAGCACCCCTGGTCGTCAGGTTGCGAAAGCTCCATGCATCCGCCGCTTGAATTAACCGGGGAGATTCCCAAGGGCAATGTTCCGATTTTTCAAGCCGAGCCGAGACGCAAGTAACCCGATGAAGGTGAAAATGCATTGATCACTGGAAGATGAAGCGTGGGGGACGCGGGCAACAGACAATCTTGTCATGTGGGGCATTTTCCTATCTGCTTTCGAAACGGATGATGTCCAATTCCGGAGTCCATCGGCTCACAGACCGCAAAGGACACCATATCGCTCCCCACCAGCTGCAATAATAAAACCCACAGTCACAACAATCTTTTGCGTTCAGCAGCTCCCGCCCACACGTTTACCGCCGTCCTCGTACGTACAGTAGTTATCTCCGGACTGCACCTCGCCCCTCCATCCCTTGCACCTTCCTGTCTACGTAAGAATGTGTCTCGCTAATCTTACTGCCCCTCCTGTTCATCTTCTTCTGCTCCTGCCACTCTCCTCTTACTCTCCTGCCCCAACCCACCCAGGAGTCGAGATCCTGCAACAAGTGCTAGATTGACCCCTTTTTCCGCGATTGACGGGGTCTGAACGCGTGGGTTTGGTGCTTATGTAACGCATTTCCCGACGTGCAATGCGGATTCAGGACAGGGAAGAGGACATACGCACACCCCAACCATGTCCATTTCATCTCGGGAGCCGGGAGGCTACTACTGAATATCACAGAAGCGGCACGACGGATATTTGGCATTGATTGGCTCCAAAGATTCCTGCCCATAGTAACCTGGATAAGCGAAGCAAATAGAGCGACTCCAGAACATCACGGAAAAGGTAAGGAAAAAACGCCCACGAAAACAAAAAGATTTACAGGAACGAAAAGCAAAAAGGTATCATGCAAACAAAAAATCATACTAACGAAGGAAAAAAGAAAAGGAGAAGGCGGGGTGGGGGCCGGTCAACTTGTTAGGGACCCGAATATGCGGTGGGCACTTTCGCAGTTCACCGCGTTTCGGTCTACGTCCATGAGGTAGCACATGAATGTTGCGTCGACGCTGTAAAACAGAATTCAATTATTTCAGTCCGCCGGTGAATACTGCGCAATCATGCCGACACCCAGCATGATTCCCCTCGGCACTTACGTGTTCTGCACAGCATGATTCAGCACCTGCACCAGATAATACGGAATAACCGTCCCCACCGCCCCGACCACGTACGCAAACGGGCTCTCCAACCTCCTGCTCGCAAAAAAGAAGGCCACACTCCCACTCGCCAACGCAATCCCCGCCGTCGCCAGGCCCATAATCAAGCGCGTCACCGTGCTCGTCACCAAGCCCAGGACCAGATTCCGGCGGAATACGCGGGTGGTGCTGTAACACGAGGCAGGGAAGGATGAGCCCGTGAGGCCGGCGTAGACGAGGGCGTAGGAGGTGACGTTGTCGGCGAGCTGGCCGTAGCAGTCGAGGCAGGCGGTGAGGAGGCGGTGGAGGGCGCCATTGGAGCCGGTTAAGCGGCGGGCGAGGCGGATGGACAGTTGGAGGGATTGGATGAGGCCGAGGATGAGGGAGGCGAGGCAGATGGAGCCGAAGGAGGTTGTGAGGGAGGAGGTGAAGTTTTTGTAGGTTCGGTTGTGGGAGACTGAGCCTTCCGCTCTGAAGTGGGAAAGTGCGCAGACGTCAGTAGGCGATACATTTCGCAGGAAAGTAACTTACCTCCAGGTTCCCTTACCGTTGGAAATACCACTCCCCAACCACGCCAGCAATCGTCACTTTCTCGACATTCTTGAAAACAGACGACGTCCAGAAAAACATGAGGATGTAGTAGGAGACCGCCCATCCGGTCCCGCCGGCCATATGCCAGTGCGCAATGCCTGAATCACAATGTCAGTATACTCGTCGTAAGTCGATGAGCGAGGTCTCGCAAAACTACGCACCAGACGAATCATTATCTCCCCATCCCCGCAAAAACAATCGATTGAACATAAGCAGCCATACGACCGCAAATGCAAGGTACCCCAAGGTTAACGTGATCGAGACGATGAAGATGCCAGGATTCGTTCGAAGGATATCGCAGGAGAGCTGCGAGATAAAAAAAAAAGGCCGAGAAACATGAGCATAATCATCTAGACCCATCTTCCAGGCCGCCCAAGTCCCACCTGCAATATATGAATGGTCTGATCAATCTCCCTCCTCTTCCGCACAAGGTAGTACCCAGACGCAACGCCTCCCAATAAACTTGTAACTGCGACACCAATCATGCCATCGTACTGGACGCCCAGATACGGTTTATCGTGCGCTTTGCCGAGAAGGGAGAGCGTGAGGATGGTGGCGAAGAAACCGATGCATGTTACGGGTATCAGTGCGATTGTTAGCACTACAACGGGCTGGGAGTGGGGAGGTTTTTGATGGTGAGTGATTGGATAGCTGGCTTTGGGTTTGCAGAAGCGGAACTTACCCGCACAAAGGCTTTGAGTGTATATAACCATATGAAACAGGCTAATAATGACCCGGATATCGTCAAGCAAAGTAATTCTGGATGAATTTGTGCCAAATTAGACGAATCTCAGCTGTAAAAGTGAGTACACTTATGCTTACTGTAGGAGTCTTTGAGAGTACTGTAGATCGGTCGGGGAAGGATAGGATCCGTTCCGCTGCTCTATTATGAGTTGCATAAGCGATTGCAACCCGTAAAAAGATATCCGGCAAGTCCATCCTCGGCAGATCTTCATACCTCAGTCGTGGCAAAGAGAATGATTCCAGTGATTAACATGGCTAACATGGCACCAGTGTAAATTGCGGAAAAGGCGGTGTCCCTATATTGTCGATTCTCGACATCGACATATATCGGCGTTTCATCTTCTGAAGGTAAGAGCTTTGCCAGCATCGAATCGGCAGGTCCAGCCATAAACCCTGCTGGGTTGTTTTCGAAATCCGCATTCCGAGGATCTATATCCTGCTCGATTGACGAGGGCTCCGCATACGGGCTCATGTACTTTGAAGGCCCCGGTTGCGACGGACGTGGATATCCATGTCTTATCTGCTGACTCTGTGTATAACTCTGAGAGGCAACAAACCCTCCCGCAGCCGCTCCTGCGGCCTCCTCCTCCCCCTCCTCTTCCCTTTCCAAGGCAGCAAATCCTGCAGAGAATGGGACGGCTTCCGAGTCTTCGTCGTATTCGTCGGACTCATAGGATGCGAAAGGGGGTGCAGCCAAGGGAATGTACACCCCCTTCGAGTGCTTGGGCATTCGGAACGACAATCACCGCCGATAGACTCTAGCTTTTGTTGAAGGGTGTAGAGGTCTGTCTGGCTGGTTGTGGTTGTACTGCGAGGGAGACTGGAACTGTTCCGATAGGAAGCGACAGATAGTTGGAAAATCGCAGCAGGAGGTTCGGAGACGGAGATATTGGAATGAGTTTTCGAGAGTTTGCGTCCTTGACTTTGGAGCGGAGAAGGACGACCCAGTGCGTCCGGATAAGTTGTGCTTATGGGCAGAGCGGTGGTGGTGGGTGGGAGAAAGCTGTGTTCTGAGGATATGCAGTTGCAGTTGCAGGTTGCCAAAAGCACAAAGCACAGTTCCGGGGGTTGTTGTTGTCAGCATCCTCAAAAGGGGGGAAGGGGGGGCGGGGGGGGGCATGACATTCCCGCATTTTGTGGTTGTGACGTTTCGCGTGATAACGCACGCCGTCCGATTCGGCATCATGAGTCTCGCTCGGACATGGGCAGAAGACTCCCAGAAGATAACCCGGTCACGTGAGACAGTGACTTCTCGCTAGTGATTAGTAACAGTGATGAATACGTAGAAAACTGTGTGTGGCCACGTCGATGGCTCAATAGTAGTCGGAGGTGCTCCATATCAAATCATAACAAGGGGACGACGGCCCGACGACCAACGAACGGGCTTTCCCACGCACCCAATCCTGCAAGCTATTCCCCGCATATAGCTGCCCCGCCGCTAATTAAAACCCAACGACTGTAGCCTCATCCCGCCCCGGCTGCGGAAAAGGATAACACCCTGCCCCGCTACGTTCCTGCCGGTCCATTAGCAGCACCACCAACCCGTGAAGTACTGTACGTGCGCCGCTTTTGCGGAGTTGCGACCGCTTCGTATCCCACTTCAAGTTTCGGCAATACAAACATGGGGAGCCAGCAGTCGACAATACCTCCGCCCGACACGCAACCCGACGAGCAGGAAGCCTTGCGGTCAGCGGCACCCAATGAAGGTAGGTTTCTGTGAGGCCGGTGGTTGCGGGTGGCAGTCGTTCTTGACGTGTTGACTGATAATCCTACGCAATCATACTCGTAGCTACTCCTCAGCAAATAGAATCCCCGTCTAGGCTAGTGCACCGTCACTCGGATCACAGAAACAGCCGCAGGCGTGAGCTTTCTAACTACTTGCCGTTGATCCCATCCTCGCTGATCAGCCGCGCTGCCCAGAATCGGGGCCAAATCGTGACTTCGGAAGGACTTGTGGTGCACAGTTCAGGGTCGAATCCGATCGGTAACAGCTCTGCGGAAGAAGACGGACCGTCGTCGCATGCGCGAGCACAGGCTCTTAGAGTTCTCAGAAGGCTTCGCTCCGCGAGAGACGCGGGAAGTTCGAGTTCTCAGGCAACTCAGCCCGGAAGTTCTGAAGGTTTACGAAGGAGGCTTAGGCGGAGAACTTCAGTGCCTTCGAGGGTCGTTGAGGAAGATGAAAGTGAACCCATGGACATGGACATCTCAACACCGCAGCTTGATAGCCGACCCAGCGCCTCGGGATCGTCTGGTGAGTCGCATGGGCTGTGGAAGAGGTCTTCAGAACCTTCGAGATGAGACTAACCGCTTGTTTCCTCCCTGCCAGATCCAGCATCAAGCCAAGAGGCCCCTGAAACATGGGAGCAGTATCACACACCGCCATCACCCACATCGGCAACTGTTGACGAATCGCGTGCCCGAGAAGCTCGGACTCGGACGGCGACAGATCCCGACTCAAATCCCGCGTTTCGAGCCATGCTGGAAGCCTTCCTCAGCTCAATGGATGCCCGCACACCAAACCCCGCCTCCGCCTCGAATCCAGAGACCAATTCGGCGACTCAACCACCAGCGATCCCAGATTTTTCCGAGTTACTGAATGCTACACTTGCGCAGAGTGCGGCGGGGGCAGGACCGCAGAATGAAGCAGCTGCTGAGCCTTCCACAAGCCTCAGGTCTCCGTTCCTTCGAGCGATACGTGACCGTATCAGACAGCGGACCGTGCGGCCAGGTCGTGGCAGTCGGTCTACGCACGCTACTCTACCCGGGCCTGATGCCTCACGAACTCCTATCCCGGTTCTGATCCTCATTGGGCGATCAAGTAGGGATCGAACAGCGGGGGCCAATCGCGCAGCAGGCACTAATTCACAAACAAGGAACGCAGGGGACTCGAGCGCTACCTCATCGGCAGAACCATCATCCCGGAGCAGAGGCCTCTTTGGCGAGTTCTCCAGCGACTCCGCTCCAAGTGCGTCTGTCGGTCCGTCTTCCACAGGCATACCAGGCGGGTTGGGAATTTCGGATACATCTGAACCAACAGCCGAGAATGCGAATACCTCGGCGGAAGGGACGGGTGCCACGCCACCTGCAGACCTCTCACCAGCAGAAGCCGAAGCGTTAGCCAGGAGATCGATGAGTTTCATGATCTACTTCATCCCATCTGAAGCGGGAGCGGCAGCAGGCGGTCTGCCAACACAGACAGGCACACAGACTGGCGCCCCCACTGCGCAAACAAATCAAGGCAGTGGGCATCCGTTGGGACCGGGGCAACCACCGAGCGGAAGTCTAAGAGATGCCCTGAGTGAAATTGCCGTCTTGCCATCATTGTTCGGTGAAGCCTCCTCGCCATCGCAAGGCGCCTCAAACTCTACCCAAGCTACGGCCACTGCAGGCAATGCTAGACAACCAGGAACGGCTTCATCTGATCCACCGACCGGCGGCGCCGCTAGCCCGCATACACACCGCATCCTTCCGATGCAAATGCAAGTTAGCCCACGACCGGCACGCAACATCGTAGAAGAGCTCGCCATCTCCATCATGTTACAAATAGTCACCAACATGCTCCGAGAGGGCTCTATGAACGGGCCAGGCGGACTCTTAGGTGGAACCCTCAGTCTCGACATCGCCGACGAACTGGCCATGGAGGATGGAGCCGCTGGCGGTGGAACCGGGGCGGGCATGCCAGCCGGTGGGGGCGGCATGTCGTACGAAGATTTTCTACGGTTGGCGGAGTTGCTCGGTCCAGCGCGTCCACGGAACGCCACCATGGACGACGTGGATAGGGAACTGCCTGTTTTCAAGTTCAGCGATAACTCACAAGTCAGCATGGACATTGACGGGCCACCACCGCTCGAACCTGTTGAGGAGGATAAAGGCAAAGGGCGAAAAACGGAGACGGAAACGGAGATGGAGACGCAGGAGGATAAGCCGACGGAATCGTCTCGCCGCGTCTCCCTGCGGATCGAGGACTTGGTACCCGCCACCCGCGAAAAGTGTATGATTTGCCTGTCGCCGTATGAAGCAGATGATGAAATTCGCGTTATGGGGTGCCGGCATGGATTCCATAAACCTTGCTTGGATCAGGTCAGTCTCTCAAATCCGCTCGATCAAATAACATATCTTTATACGCGAAATATACTCACAAACTGCCTTCTCTCGCATCCAACAGTGGCTAACCCAATACGTCAACTCCTGCCCCCTTTGCCGCGAAAAGGCGGTCTCCACAACACCCACCGCACCCACAACAACAACACCCACCACCCCGCAAACCCCCTTCAACCCCTTCACCCCCCTCGGCCGTCCCCCGACATCCGACGAACCGCTCCCCTTCTCAGTGGACACCTCCCGCCAAACGCAGGATCAGACCCCGCCGGAACGAAGAGGGTTTTTGAGGAGGATTTGGGAGATGTTTGGGAGTGGGGGGAGGAATCCTGCGGGTGGGGCCCCTGCGAATGCGAATGCTGGTGTGGATGCAGGGCAGACGGAGGGTATGGAACGGGGGACGGGTTTGCCGGCGGCGGTTTTGGTTGTGCTCGGATGAAAAATGCGAGCTGTTGTGAAATATTTGAGGGCGACGCGTGCGGTGCATGAGACGGTCCCAGCGCGCTTTCATATTAAACCCCCTTGTATAGAATCGTCCCCTGGAAGGTCGGGGAAGGGCGGAACATAGCTACCTTCCCGTACATCCCCCATCAACATACAACAAGTTTCACAATTTTGTAATGGCCTGCCGGTGTACAGAATATAAAGAAGTTTCCCCCCCTCAGACCCGTGTTAGTGCCGAAATGGGGGTTTGTTTTGTGTGCCATTGTGGGAAAATTTGAAAGGAGTCCGGGTTTGTTCGCCCAACGTTGGGTCTGGTAAATGGCCCGGGGTTTGGTCGGTCGGTTGGAATGGAAGAGTGTGGAATATCCCGAAACGGTGATCTGGTCTCGGAGCCTAATCCTGCATTGCGGTGGGATGTTTTCATCAAAATCCCCCACTGTCGGTAGATCGGAACAAACATCAGCCCGTCCCCTTAATCCCTCCCGTGCTCGCCAAGCGCCGTCCGCCAGCCAGTATGGTTTTTCATCCAGCACTCCGAATCCTTGAATGGGACACATATCCTTTGTCTGTGCCCCCCCGAGTCTCCAACTGCTAAATCGTGCTCGACCGGGTGGATATCGGGGTTGTCCCTGGGTCCCCCCAAAACCAGCGTCTGCGGAAAGCAATCCCACGATTTTTTTTCCCGCTGCTTACAGACTCGAACTTCCCGCCCACCAGTAATCGGGAGAACGACGAGGGAGAGAAAGCGACTTTCTTTTTTTTTCCCATATGGGTATATTGGAGGGGCCTAAGAAGCGCACAAAAGGGGGGAAGAGTCTGACGATAAAAGAAACACGAGCCCGACGGGGGGGTTTTTTGGCGTTCCGATTCCCGCTTCTTTTTTTAGTTGTTGTCGAAGATGGTGACGCCGCGTTTGATAAGCTGCAAGATGGAAGAACGGGGGGTCAGGTTGGGGGGGGGGCTAGGGCGGTAAAGGAATGTGAGAAGAGGTTGAAGGCGCTTGCTTACCTCCTCTGGGAATGGAATGTTTCGCTCCCACTTGGAACCGCCTGGTGCTGCCGGGCCTATTTGTGGAAAGGAGAAGAAGAGGCGTCAGATATGCGTTGGTGACTGTATCAGCGGCGAGGAAGGCAGGCTCGAGAGGCGATCCTGCCGTGTCACCCCAAGGATTCCGCGATAATGTCCCAGCCCCCCCTTCTCCATATCCAACTCTCCCCGCTCCCCCGCCTCCAACTCCAGTCCTAGCATACGTACTGAAGTAAGGCTGCGGGTGATAATACGTCGCCAATATCAATTCCGTCTTCCCCAACAACGCCTCCACATGCTTCGGGTTGTCCAATTGTTTCCCCTCATCGAACAGCTGCCGGATCTGCACCGCCTTCTGGCGGAACTCCACTCGTTGCCAGTACCAGTCCTGTGCGAGGCGGAGGGAGCGACGGTACAGGCGGGTCACGTAGATTTTGTGCGCTTTTGTGCCGAGCTAGGGGAGAATGGGGGGTTAATCGCGGGGACTCGAGTGGGAGGGTGGAAGGGGCTAGCCGGAGTAGGAGGGTGTGGTGATGGTGGTATGTACCTGCACGGGGTTTGTTATTACTCCAGACATTGCTGTGCTGGGCTTCTTTGCGGAGGACAGATGGGCAAGCAATGTCTGCAACCTGGTGCGGGATGCCAAAAACTCTGAAGTTCGCGCAACTCGTCAGAGTCCACTTTCACTTACACAATTCTGACCAATTCAGACCAACTTGCAAAGCCCCGTCGGCGGAAGCACACATACACTGCACTACAATATACACTTCTGGAACCGGGCTCCACCACAGTCTTCCGAGTCCCTGAGCGCTCCCAGTGCATGAACAGGAATCAGCGAACATATCCACGCATGCCAAGATGTCTAGCCCAACAGCAGCGTTTTTGGAAGCTCCTTCACCGTTGAGGTCTATGGCACAATAATGCAAAGACGATTAGGGTCCGAGTGGTCACCACATGGATAGATAATCGGAGGGAGCAACGAGTTCGAGGATACGAAGATTACGCAATTCCTCGTGGCAAAAAGCAACCCTGCATTCCCTTTCATTCTCCGATGGGCTCGTGCTACAAGCTCAGCAAGCGCAACGGTGAGATTGTGAACAAAGAGCGCCGCAAGGTATATCGACGAGGAGGGTGTGCTGCGTACGCTGAAGGTGGCTGGATTTGGCAAGCCAGATCGGTGCGAGAACGCCAAGGAATAAAGGAATGAAAGATATTTAGATGTTTTGAGTTGGGCGAAGAGGAGGGGGCGGGGATTAGGATGGGTGGATCTGGAGTGGACAGACGAATCAATGTTACCATGTCCATCGTTTGATCGATACGCAAGGGCCGATATGGGATATTTTGAAGGTATGAACCATCTCGCTCGAACATTCCGCCTAACATCGTTCCGTCGGATATAGCACAGGTTAGTACCGTCAGCGAAATCATAGACACATACGGCGTACAGTGACAGAGGATGGAAGGTAACGCATAGAGGATGGAGATGCGACGATGATGGAGGTCTGCGGAAGGACCACCGCACCGTTGACTCGAGCAAATCATAACAACGGTATCGGTTGCTCAAGGGTGTGGGATTGATTGCGTCAGCAAGTAGGCGGCGGCGTTATGTAGTTGGATATGGGACAGACTTGTGCCCTTCAGACATCTTGATGGCAAAAACGTCAATCAGACCGGTTGCTTTCCTCGTACACATATGTACAATACCTTTGACATTGGAAACTGCATTGAGTTGGTTCCACTGCATTGAAAACTGACCGATGGGTGCCGAATGGGCGTCTTTCAGTTTATCTGCCACAATAAGGATTGATGGATTGAAGTCCGACTGCGGAGGCCATTGAACGGAAGCCCCGTATATGCAGACGGGAGTACATACATGCGACTGCATTTTTTTTTCTATTTGATTATGCTGTTCAGCGGTGTATCATACCATACCGTCTACTGTAAATAAGAAACCATTTTGTCGCTGCAACGTCGTGGTGGACTGACTGGTGGAGGTGTGTCAAGCGAAAGACCCGTCTTTTTGGATGTCCGAGAGCAACACGCGACTGGCACGTTCGGACTCTCGTCGGCTTGCTCCTTTGAAGACTGATGAAGCTGTTGAGCGTTTTGAACACCTCCGCCAGCAGCTCAATTACGCCACCCAGCAACTCCACATCAGCAGCAGCCTCCGGTCCACCTTCATCTCGATCCCCATAACCCAACCGTCCCACGGCGCGGATCCAGACTTCATACTCCCTCCCTCAAGGATGCTCACGGCAATGTCCAATCACAATCATCCTAACCCCGCCTCCGCCTCCGCCCCTTCTCCCCCTCCCGCCACCCCTCCCCCACGCCCCCCGCCCAGCCGAAAACGCACAAACCCCTTCCCGCCGACCTGCGAAAGCATGCGGAAGTACGTGCGCGGGGACGTCGATTGGCCCGGGGTCTACGGTAACGTCCCCCACGCACATCTGTTCACAGTCTCGAGCTTGGGATGTTGATAGAGTGGGTTTTTGGTTGTAGATAAGACGACACAGAGGCTGTTTGAGGCGCAGCAAAGGCTGCGGTTCCTGGAGAGGCGGGGGGAGCGGGCGGACACTCTGCATGTGCCTCCACCACCGCTCATAAGCGACCACACGCAGAGGGAGGGCGCCGACCTGTCCCGCTGGTTCACATCCGCATCCGACCGGAATGTGTCCACGCACACACATACACATGTACTGCACCCACTTGTACATCACACACTCCCGGAAAGGAGATGCGCCCACTGCGATCGCCCCGTAGCCGCATCCGACGGGCGTGCGGGTGGAACGGGAGGGACGCGGATCCCCCACGCAGACACCGCGGGCCGACGATGCGAGGGGTGCGAGGGGTGGTTTTGTGGCGTTTGTTCGGTTGTCAAGTAACGTACCCCCCGCAAAAAGTCCGCCGTGCTTGGAGTGATGTGAATGTACTGATTTGGTTTGTTTTTTGGGCGATTTAGTTATGATATGCCCAGGGAACGCGGGTTTTGTTTGGGGTGTTATCGGCGGGGGTGAGATGCGGGTTTTGCGGGCGCGGGCGGATGAAATGGGACCACGCACGGAGCGGGGTTGGGTTCGGGTGTCGGCGCAGAGCTGGCGGAGCAGAGTGGTGGGGGCATGCTTTCTTTTTGGAGCGTGCGGGGGGTGGTGTCCCTTCAAGAGAAGAAGGTCGGCAGGTTCGGTGATGATGACGCATGAGCGGCGAGATGGTCGAATGGACATTTGCGATCGATGGATGTGAACCCAGCGTGGATGTGTGGGGTTTTTTTTTGGACCGAATACATATATTACAGTACATACAGATGTACAGCAGATCGGGGGGATTCACCCAAGACCTGCAGACAATGCAATTCGCACCGTGTCCTGCTCATCCCACATTCCAAAAATCCCTCTGCGCTACCATAGCGGCGCCGCCTCCATACATCCATCCTCAAAAAGCCGGCTCCCCAGTCTGGCCGTGCCTTTGTCCACTCCCCCAATCCGGCACCTCCGAAATTCACCCCCCACTCCGAATCATAACAACAGCCACAAACGCCCCGACCGCCCCGGTCAGCCCCACAAACAGCACCACGGGCCCGCGGACCGCCCACGACGGGTCCGGGAACACGCGCACGAACGGGTGCGATGGGTCCACCAGCGGCTGGATGAATCATTCAATCATTCCGGGCCAGTCAGCAATCTGCGAACATGGGAGATGGGAAAGGATGCGGGGCGCTTACGAGGATGATCGTCCAGAGGGTGTAGTAGACGAAGAAGAAGAGGCTGAGGAGGCTGAGGACGAGGCCGGTGAGGCGGTCGGTGCCGGGGGTCTGCGTGCGGGTGGGGATGAGGATGGATTGGGTGGGGTTTAGGAGTGGGAGGTGTATTTTGAGGGGCTTACCAACATGGGAATGAGGGGTGGAAGGGGGGAGAGGGTGTGCGGGGAGGGATGAGGGGTGAGAAGGGGGTGTTGGCGGTCCACATTGAGGTGGCGGAAGGGAGGGCTGGCCATGCGGACGTGGATGCAGAACCGAGGCCCTTCCTCGCAGTTGTTCCAGCGCGCGTTCCAGCTTGCGTCGGACATGTCCATCTCAGGGCAACCCAGCATATGGACATCTCCTGTTCCGCCTTCGTGCACGTCCATCGGATTCATTTGCGTTCGCCCTCCCTGCATTGGTTTGTTCCCCAACAACTCCGTCGATATCCATCCTTGCCACAACAGAGTCAGTATGCCTCAGAGAGGCAAGTACAATAGGATTCCCAACGACATACGTGAGAAAATCATTCATTCAGTCATGTATGAAGCTCTTTCTCTCGGCGAAACCGGACGGCGCTTCGGATATCCAAGGGCAACCATCTCATCCATTGTCGAGAAGTGGAAGCGCACTGGGGACACCCACAGAGCCCACGCCAACAACAATAGAGTCAAGAAAATGACCGAGGAGATGGACCAGTTCGTGCGAGAGAAATACGATGCCGATCCCGCGCTCACCATCGCAACCGTGACCGACATGATGATTGAGCACTTTCATACGCACATTGCCCAACGAACCGTTTGCGCGCACCTCAATACAAAGGGGAGCGACCAGTATCGCCTGAAACTGATGCGAACGGAGCCTGAAGACTTCAATAACCCCACGAACATCCTGGCCGCCAGGAATGGTGTCAACAATTTGCTATGCAGCGCCTCTCGCTCGATAATTGCATTCATATTGACAAGGCATGTTTCAACCTCCAGCTTCATCGCAAACAGGGCCGGGCTCGTCGAGGCCGTCGTCCTATTCACGTTGACCGACAGAGAGGCCCAGACCACACCCTCCTTGTCGCAGTCTCAAGGGTTCACGGCGTTTTGGCATCTTGTTTAACTATGGGAGCTACCACAACGGCCGCCGTCTTTGAAGCCTTCTCCGAGAAGATGTGCTTCCCCGACTTGACGAGCCCAATCAAGTCCTCCTTATGGACAATGCGCCTCTTCACCGTCGCCGCATCATCAAAGACATCATTCAAGATGCAGGCCATACCCTCAAATTGCTCCCATCGTCCACACCGTTCTTCAGTTGTGCGGAGTGGGTGTTTGGGAGTGTGAAGCCATCCATACGCTGCCACGAAATCCGAGCCACCCAAGACAACCTGCCCCATCTTATCCATGAAGGGCTGGATCGCATTTCGGCGCATACGGTGGAGGGATGGATGCGAGACGTGATGCGAAACTTCACTCTGGCTCTCGGAGGAGAACCACTCGGGCGTATGGTTGACTGTCAATCCTACTTGGACCTCCCACAGTTTCAAGGGCTGGAGCCTGCGGCGGATGATGATGATGATGGGAGCCAGAATGGCAACGAAGACGCCGAGAACGACAACGAGGAGTGTAGTTAGTTCCATAGCAAAAGCGCACGATCTTCGTATACTGTTGTACGAAACTCCGCTGGCCGTGGAGCGAGTGCATAACATGTGCAGAGCGTATGGTACATATAAACATACAGGTACTGGCCCACATACCACAGAGCAGAGCGGGTAGTAGGAAAGCGCTGCGAGAGAAGGCACTGCTTTTTTCAGATATGTGACATCAGAACAACAGCATTCTGCGAACGTTTGGGTTCAGGAACTCCCACTGCACATCTTCCCGCGATCCGCTTTCACCGGAAACTTTTCCCAAGGCTTCCCAAAAGCGAACAGCACGCGCATGCAACTGATAGGCGTATGCACATGTACAGTACTGTACATCCAGTGTCCGAATCAAACATAGCGAAAACGCTCCCGTGCTCAAACAGTGCCAATTATACTCGGCCTGGATACTTTCCCGCTCTCTTTTCAACGCGGGCAAGTAATACCCTTCACACCTCCTTCGTGGCGACATGAATTATTGAAAAGATATCTCGGTGAGGTCACTCAGGCAGCGAAATGGGGAGTGTGATGAGTACGCTCGCCCCCATCAAGCAACGCGGTCGAACTCCCCGGAAGTTCAGAATCCTTCACGCTTTCAATCTTTTCCGGAGGTTCGGCGCCGTCCAATCCATCGGTGATTGCAAGATGCTTTCCTTGAATTTCTTGTCATGAGTTGTCCGATTGGGTCCGTCGTGTCGACTTGCAGGCATGGGCCAAGTGTTGAGCCCTTGATGGTGAATAAATCGTCGTCGTTGTGTCGGTTACAAACGACCTATACTCGGATCTCTCCATCGCTAGGACCACCACCATTGGGGCCCGATGGAGGATAGCAGCTCCTCCACGCGGGGTAAGCCACAACCGAGCCCCGTTCCACCTGGGCTGCGAGCAAAGAGAAGCAATCCTCCAAGTTTCTTGTCGTCGGCACGCCCGCGAGGACGGGGGAGATGGCGAACATGGTTGGTGGCGAGGTGCCCCATCGCGGTAGTGTTCCAGGACGACGACCGCCGGCGGAATCAACCTCCCCCTCGATGAGCGAAGGAATCTACCAGGGTATGCTGCGAAGGATGAAGATACGTCGGAGTTCGTCGCGTGGAGAAGGCTCGGAACTGCAGTGGATGAGCGTGCTCTGGGACGAGCCCAAGGGTCCTTGGATGCTTGACCTGACCTATGTTTCCGTTGGAATGGCGCTGACTCGAATGAACGGAAGTGTCTTCGATTCCCGCGGACCAGCGACACGGCGAGGTTTAGCTTTTGGGCGGCGTGCCTTCCAAATATTTGGCCAACCTTTCGGGCACCAGCGCGGGCGAGTACATGGTTGCTGGATTGACACAATTCGACGAGGTCTTCTAAATGTTCGCCCGTTTGCTCACGCGCCTGTTTAAAAAGAAGGGTTCAGACACGTGATCTGGCGTAAACGGCCGGCAGATTATATTCGCGGCGGCTTTTATAAGAAAGAGAGGTCATCCCTACCCATCTACCCTCTCAGCCCCCAGGTCTCTTCGCAAGAGAAACTCTCCGCAACCGTCTAAGGCAAGGTATCCCCAACTCCTATCATGTCGCAGCAGAGAGCTCTCACGGCAGGCGAAGAGTGCCAGCAGGCCGCAAAAGCTTTCAGCGCATTCGTCGACCCTCGCCAAGGCGCTATTCCTTCTGTTTACATCACGAGCGCTATGGGGTGAGTACCTGAGAGTATGCCTAAGAGGCAGTTCGATGGTGGGAGGTCAAGGGTCGAGGACGCTGTCAGCGATGAGGATGTCTGCGTTGTATCAAATTGGCGCGTACCCAATCGCATTAGTGCTGACCTTTAACCCCTTCCAGATGCGCCATCTGCAAAGGCAACCGCGGCGTTGCCGTCCTCCGTCTCAAAACCGGCGAATGGTCCGCCCCCTGCGCCATCGAGCTTGAGCAGCAAAACGGGGCCATCCAGCAAGGCCAAGAAACCGTGCTCCTCTTCATGACCGAAAGCGTGATCCACAAGCTCGTCGCGCGTGCCCTGCTGCGGCTAGGCGTGACGGACCAGTTTCGGCCCGGCCCACTCACGGGGAACGAGCCTATCAACCCGGCGGTGGATGTCTATGGATGGGTGCGGTTTAATGGGGGTTTCACGCCACCGGAGCTGATTGCGCAGAATATGGTGTCGTGGTTTGTGAGGGAGGATCCGGAACGGCACGGGAGGTGGCATGGAGAGAGTGTTACTTGGTTTGATGTGAGTTTCTGGCTTCCACTTTTCGGTCGGAAACGCTCTGAGTAAAAGATCACGGCGATTATGCTAAAACATCGCATATGCCCAGGTCTTGACGAATAAGATCACGGTCGACCGGAGCAGTGTCGGGAACGCCTTGTACGTGGTCCTCAACATGGCGGCCGGCAGCAACGCAGCAGTCGACGTCAAGCGGAAGAATTTCGCAGATCTAGATGCGCTAAGTGGCATCGCACCGTCCGTCATCACCGCGCGAGCGCAAAAACAGCAGCAGCAACAACAACAGCACCAATACCAGCAGCAGCAACAACAGCAATCCCCACAACAATTCCAACAGCAGCAATACCTTCAACAACAGCACCAGCTCCAACAACAACAACTCCAACAGCAACTCCTCCAACAACAACAACAACTGGCCGGCCTCTCTAATCCCGCCATCCAGGGATACCCATCGCCCCAACTCTACCAGCAATCGCAACCCCAACAAAACCTCTACCAGCCCCAACAACAGCAACAGCTCTACACCCAGGCGGCCCAACCCACATCCAACTTCTCCTACGAACAAGCCCTCCAACAACAAGCCCTCGCCCACCAGCAGTACGCGGCCGCGCAGCAACAGGTCGCGGCGGCCCAGCAGCAACTTGCGGCGTTGGGGCAGTTTGGGGGGTCGGGGCAACCCAGCCCGCATCAGCAGCCGGGGCAGTTTTCGCAGCAGCAGGGTGGGGGGGTTAACCCTGCGCATTGGAATCAGCGGTAGATAATTTAAGGCGTAGGCTAGGAGGGGAAATGTAATGGTGGGGCAAACGTCAGCGGCTGATCTTGTTTGGAAAGGAGTTTAGTCCCCCGTTTACGGCGTGTATATAACACACGCACGGCTTCCGCTGGTAGATTTTTCAAATACATGAAACCCATCAACTGAGAGTCTGTTACAATTTCGACATTCATTACAAAAGCAGCTGAAGCGGAACGCGCAAAGAAACGGGGAAAAAAAGGGGGCAAGAAAAGGCGCAGAATGACAAACCCAGCCCAGCCCCCTCCACATCCCATCCGCCCCGCCACCACCAGCGGAAACCCATCACTCCATCAGATTACATAAACCGCATCACATCCTATATACCGCTAGCTACCTCTGGTTTACGCCGCGGAGGGGATCATCCGTCCGAGTGGAGATCCGGGAAGGTGGCGGTGTGCTGGGAGGGGGGATATTGAGTCGGGATCCGCTGTGTGTCGTCGTGAGGGGTTCGGGAACTCGTGTAGTGATGGCGAACGGGACGGCAGGGCGGTTTCGGGAATAGGGGGGGTATATGCCTGTTTTCTATATTATTTTGGGAAGGCGTTGAGAGCCACGTGAACCGGACTGTGGGGTGTCAAGGGGCTTTTCCCCGACAGGTGTCTCGTCACAGAATCCCCATGTTGCACATCTTACGGCTCATCGGCCCCACCCTCCCGCTTGGTGTCCTCCCCGCGCCTCCGCAAGCTCCCGTACCACTTCCAAAGCGCCACGGTGGCGGTAGCGCCGAGGATGAGCGCCGCGCCAAGAACACTCGTGACCCTGGGCACCTCGCCAAAGAACGCCAACCCAAACACAAACGCAAACACGATGTCGAGGTTCCGCATCAGCGTCGCGGGGCCGGCGTTGGCGCGCTGCAGGCCGGCGTTGAGGAAACATTGCGCGATGAAGGCGGAGAGGCCGACTGAGCACATGGTGAGGTACTGAGTGGGCGTCCATTGGGTTGGGGGGATGGCCGGGAGGGACGAGGTTGTGGTTGTGGAGGTGGGGGAGGAGGTGATGAGCAGGGCAAAGCCGGAGAGAAGCGAGGACATGAGGCCAAAGTAGGTGACGTGGACCATGAAGTGGGCGCGGGAGCCGATTTTGCGGACGAGGACGTAGGCGACGGATGACATGATGGCGCCGGCGAGCGCGGCGAGGGGGGCGATGACTGAGGTTGCTTTTGTTTTGCCGGCGCCGGTCAATATCGAGAAACGGGAGTCTCCGCTTTCTTGCTCTGCTGCTGCCTCGTCAGGGTTTTGGAGGCCTTGATGGTGAGGGTGGTGCGGCTTCCCATGTCCGGGTTTCGCATCGTCATGCGCTCCGAAAAGGAACTCAGGCTGCGACACCAACGTCACGCCCGCCAAACACGCGACCGTCGCGCCAATATCCAGCCTCGTCAGCGGCTCACCCAAACACAACCACGCCAACACCGCCGTGAACGCCGGGCCCGTGAAGAAGATGGTCATCCCGTCGCCCAACGGCATATTTACGATCGTGTAAAAGTACAGCGCGAGACCCGTTGCCCCGGCGCTGCCGCGCGCAATCAGCCAGAACTTGTTGAGAGTGGGTGGACCCCAGGGCATGACGCCCAGAGCGAGGCAGGCGACGACGCCGCAGGAAAATTGGATGAGCGAGCGCGCAAAGACGATCTCGAGGAAGGGGAAGTCCTGCCCGGAGATTTTGACGAGGACGGACATGAGGGAGAAGAGGAGCGCTGAGAGGGCCTGCATAGCAAAACGGTAGAAGATTAGTAATCGATGCGTTGTTCCAAAAGCAAGTGTGACGGGACATCAAAACCGCACCATAAACGACAACCCAACAAGTTCCCTCCTCTGTAACAACCGGTGTTCAGCCGCCCGCGCCGCAGACCCAAGCAACGGTCGTCGTTCAGCTTCCTCATCCTCCTCCTCAACAATGTCGTCCTCGACCGTCGGGTATCTCTCCTCGTCGACATCGACCATGCTTGCCTCGCTGTATGCCGGCGGGGCCGTGATTGCCGCGGCTTCTTCGATAACGACGGGTGCGGCCATTGTATTCTTGGGATAGGAGGGTTGCCAGAACCTGGGATGACCACTTTGGAGTGTGGGGTAACAGAGTCGATGTTGGGGTGATATAAGAGCAGAAAGCTTGAGGAGCACGAGAAGGTTCTTGAAGCCGGCCCGGAAGAGAAACTCAGAGACGAGAAAATTCTGCGCGTTGTGGGGTCGGGCAAACTTTTCGCCTTGTACTGTACTGTATGTACTATGTAGTTGTGGCCGACCGAGCCAACTTGGGAGAGGAAAAAAAAAGAGGCCTTGGTGCTGGTAGGAAACCGCTGGGTATGGGTATGGGTATGGGTTGGGTGGTATGCACACGAGGGGAAAGTCTACGGATATCGCTGGCAGGAGGTGTGAAATCCGCGAGGTGTTCCTTTTTCTGCGAGAGGCGCGTGCAAGTCCGAACGTTACGCACGGTTGCTCTCACTCTGCGTATCGATTTCCTCGCCGCCTTCATATGCTTTGTGGCCCTATTTCGACTTCCGGGCGGTCCGCTCGCTGCTCGCATCAAGTTGCATGGCTTTTCCGCGTGACGTATACAGTACAATCCATTCCCCGTACTGCGCTGCTCCCAAAGCCCCGCCGTGGAAGACTGGTAGCGGAAGTTCGCAGCGAAACAGGGCGTGCGATAACGATCCTGATCTTCCTCCGCATACAGTATAGATGGCCTATGCTGAACACCCAGGGCCTCGTACTAGCTCGGACCAGTCATTGCATGTGTAGGGCTGGTTTGAATCAACACCCTAGGGGCCGCCACAACACCCCTGCGGAAAGCATCAACTCAGAAACCGTCCCTTTTTCACATGCAAGATCGTCGGGGTCCACAGATGGGGGACATCGCTCCGGGTCTGTGTATGTGATAAGATGGCATTTTCAGGTCCCCCGAGTATGTGGAGAGACGGTGTAGCCTCACCCATTTGGGGCTTGAGCCTCGACTGTCGTGGGGCATCCAATTGCAAGGACCACCATGCCGCTTTCATCCTCATGCATCCGCTACCCCTATGGGATCCCCACGTAAGGCATGAGTGTAGCAATCCCAGACAGCGACGTGGGATGTAGTCAACCTTGCAAGGGATCGTTCTGGGTATGACAAGCATGGTACGAGTCCTCTTCAGAAGAGCATAGATCTTCTACATCTGGACGGATGATCGGGCAGTGATGATAAGGCCTCCTTCCCAAACAACATCACCGAAAGAGTGGCAATCCCCGGGTGGGAGGGGCTAGCCACTCGCCCTGCTAACCCGCCCTCCGCATTGACCTAACATGCTCCACGAGAAATGCGTGAGCTCCGTTTTGGGACGCCGATACAGGGGCCGTCGGTGTCGCAGGGACGAAAGCGAGGAGCTAACACATGTATTCTGTCTCTTCTACTCACACCTACATACTGTACGGATCTCTACTGCTACATACAGTACACAGCAACCGGCCTCTGGACCGAAATCGCGCCCAGATGTCGGTGCCAAGACCAACGCCGTATAACAGAAAGAAAGAGAAGAAAGCAATGCCAGTCCCACATTGCCCTCTCACCTTCTCCCCAAAACTCATCCACCCAAGTTCCAGAAGTGCCTCCAAAATAACAGAACCACACAAAGACACATCCCACGAACCGTAACCAATCACCCAGGTTCCTTGCCTCATTCTTATCTAAGCAGCCATCCGCTCCACCACATGCCCCTTCAACTTGATCCTCACCCTCAAATCATCCACAGGGGGGAGCACACCAAAACCGGCGCGCGTCATATCCATCTCCGGCAAACTCACTCCCTCATCCACATCACCAACATCATCACCCTCCTTCCCATTCTTCTCACTCTTCTCATCCTTCGAATTCTTCCCACCAACAATCTCCACATCAAAAAAGTACATCATCATAGCCGCAAACAGCTTAATCTCAAAACTCGCAAAGTGACGGCCGGGGCAGAGCGAGGCGCCGCCGCCGAAGGGGAGGAGGTGGTGCCGGACGGGCTTGCCGTCTTTTGAGAATTTCTTGGCGGTGGGTTTCTTTATTGTTGGTTTCGCTGTTGTTGTGGCAGTTCTGGCTATATCCTTGGCGCTGTCCGTCCGTGTCGGAGTCGCGGTGGTAGCAGGGGTGGTGGGAGTATTGCTTTCGGCATTGACACCGGCCTCGACTTCCTCCACGACGTCCAAGAACCGATCGTCCACAAAATCCGCCGACCGTTCGAAAATCCCCGCATCGGTATGGATAAACCGTGTCGAAATCACAATCCACTCGCCCTTCTTAACGAGGTATTCGTGACCGTTCGAGCCGTGTTTGATACGTACGTCTTCCAATGCGACCCGGATGGAGAATGTGGATGATGCCATACGGAGTGTTTCGGAAAATGTTGCGTTGAAGCGGGGAAGGGATGCCAGAGTGGGTATGTCGACGGCGACCGAAAAGGGGTTGGAGGATGGAGTTGTGGTGGGCGTGATGGCTTGGTTGACCTCAGAGGTTAAGGCGGAGAAGAGATTGCCGTGGGTTAAGGCGTACGCGTAGTACCAGAACACAGTCGGGGTAGAATTTCCCTGTGTAGCCCACAAGAACGCAAGCGTCCACGCGCCGCGATCGTTATCACCAAACTCGAACCGGTCAAACACTTCGTCACGGGCTGTCGCGATCGGCGCTTGGTTTTGCATTGTTGAGTTGCGTAGTGTAGCGAGGTAGGCGATCAGTCGCTTGCGGGCGGCGCGGCCTTCCGGGACAAGGATGGACGGTGCACCCGCGGCAAGGATAGGGAAGTGTTTATCAAACGTGACGAAATCATCGTAGGTAGATTTCGTATCGAATGTGTCGCCGTAGGTCGCTTTGGCGGAGGCAGCGTAGATGACCCACCGCGTGAAACTATACAGATCGATTTCCCACCCGTCGCTCAACTCCTGGGACGAGCGGTCCTTGCATTCATCCCAGAGCACGGTGCTGAGGTGGGATGCGAAGGATTCGGACATGGAGCGGAGGGATTCGCCGGACAAGTATCGCGCGTACTGGGTGTGCATGGCAGCGTTCACGTTTTTGTTCGGCGATGCTTTGGTAGCGCCAAAAGCGTTCACGGTGACTTGATCAGCCAAAGGAGAAAACGAGAGCGTTTTGGTCATTTTGTACACGTTGGGGATGGTGAACGGGTCTGTGATCAAGATAAACCGCTTTCCGCCGATTCGCAAGCTAAAGATATCACCTGTAACAGGTTGGTTGGTTCGTTGATTGGTTAGACGACAAAGGAGGTTGGGCCATGTGTATTGAAAATGACAGTGAGCGACACGCGAGCGGTTGAGGAACATTTGAGTTCGCTCAACTGAAGACATCACAAATAAGACGACTGTTCGCGGTCGCTCACATTTACTGCTCGCTTCGCTCTCTATCGCTCGGGCTCCCATCGCAAACCATCGTCTCCCACTTACCAAACGTCTCACTGCATTTCCGTTGAAACGCATCCGGATTCTTGCCATATTGCAGCGCAACGCCCAACCAAGGGATCCAGCCGTTGCGGGCAGGCGGTCTCGAGAGAACTGTTCCATCTTCAGCAGTCCACTGCGTTGCTTTACGGTCGCCTCCGGTCCTCACGACGACAGTGACTGCCGTTGCGATGAGAGTCGCGGCCGAGACGAGGAGGAGGTCGTGGGTGGAGAGGGAGGTTGCTTTTTGGGCCAACTCCTCGACGAGGGTGTTGATGAGATGTGTGGCCGTGGACATCTTGGTGGTTGGATGAGAGGGTAGGGAGTAGTGCGGAGTCGAGAGGGGCGGCTGCGGAGTGGACGCAGGGAGATGACGGTTCTGCCCGAAGACAAACTAGTTGCGCTTTATATTTCGGGGGGCGGCGGCCGTCGTGGTCGTTGTTCGTGGGGGTGCTTGGATAATAAGAGTGAGCAGGCGTCCCTTTCCGCTGTCGCACCTCTTCCTTCCCTGATGATGTCCGATCGTACCACGTCGAAGTGCCAAGTCACGTGCTCTCGAGGGATTTTAATGACGCGTGAGCACACCGGCGGAAGGGGGCTGCTTTCTCGCGCGGATCTAGCATAAGAGAGAGAACGCTTTTCTCTCTGCAACCTTTAAACACTAAGAAAACTCGCTCGCTCATTCATGCTAAAATCATCGTCATCCGCCGGCAGATCAAAAGCCACCGGGTCAACGACCTCGCTGTCCGGCGGCAGCGGCAAGGACGAGGCCCCAGCCAGCCGCAAGGGGACACGAGATATATGGACGCTCGTCAAGGAGATGAAGGCGGCGGAGAAGAAGAGCGGTGAAGGTTAGGACCCGTTTACGATTTCCGACTTAGGCTTCTCACCTATATCACTTTTCCCGCAGCGCCCGATGCACCCATCGAGAGCACGCTCATCTTTGTCGGATCGCGCGGGGCAGGCAAAACCAGTGTCGTGCTGCGGTTTCTGGATCGAGGTGGGGATTCAATCCATTGACACCACTTGCATCAGTACCGACGTCTCTAACTCGTCGCACCGCTAGATGACCCACCAACACCAACGGTCGGCATGGAGTACACGTTCGCACGACGCACGCGGGGTGGGATGAACGCTGTGAAGGATGTGGCGCATATCTGGGAGATCGGTGCGTTACCGGGCGGAGGATGTGACGTTCCTACGTGCATTCAACATCGCGATGGGCCGAGCTCACATTTTGCCGTTGACTTATTGTTTATGCAGCCGGCGGCATCCGTCTCTCCGAACTAGTCTCAATCCCCCTCAAGGAAACCAACATCCACACCTCTACATTCGTCATCGTCGTCAATCTTTCAAAGGTAGGTTTATCTCCCACCTTCCCCTGCTTTCCCCCCTCCCCCCTCCCCCGGTATCCACCCCACTGATCATTTTCCCACTGATCATTTTCCACCCACAGCCCGCAGAAACAATCCACACCCTCACCACCCTCCTCCCCCGCCTCCACACAACGACCACTCAGATCCTCGCCCGCCTCGAAGCCCGCGGGTCAAAGCGGCCCAAGGCGCTACGACAGTTTGCGTGGCGCAAGTTTATGGGTGGGACAGGAGAGAAGGACGAGAAGGAAAAGGATGAGAAGGGGCTGCATCCGGATAAGTACGTGCAGGGGTTGGCGCGTTCAGGGTGGTTCGGGAATGGCGGACGGAAAGGAGTTGGACTGATATCTTGGTCGGTAGGGAATTCCTCAACCCCTCCCTGGTCCCCCTCGTCATCATCGGAACCCACTACGACCTCTTCAAAGACATGGAATCGTAAGTCACCCTTCCCTTTCCCCGGCCCCTAGTATCCCCATCTAACCCCCCTCCCCCCCCCCCGCCAGCGACCCCCGCAAACTCCTCCTGAAATCCCTCCGCTACCTCGCCCACACGCACGGCGCCTCCCTCCTCTTCACCTCGCCCTCTCCAACCCCCTCTCTCCGCTCCCTGCTCTCCCACCACGCCTTCAAGACCTCCGCGCCCCGCACGCTGTCCACGGACGCCAACAAACCGGTGGTTGTGCTCGCAGGGCAGGACTCGCTCGCTGCGATTGGCGGGCCGCCCGGCGTGCTGAAGTCCCTGGGCAGGGAGGACGCGGTGGGCGGGGGCCGGGCGCGGGTGGGGTGGGAGGCGTGGAAGAGGGATGTGGACGGCGTTTGGCCGCCGCCTGGCAACGTGGGGGATCGGGAGCCGGACGAGCAGGTGGAGGTGGAGGGGGGGATTGAGGGCGAAGGTGTGGAGGAGGGACGAAGGACGAGGGTGGAGTTTGACAAGTTCCCGGAACCGGCCGTGGATGCGTTGCGGGCTCAGAAAGAGTATGTTGGTCGCGGCTTTCCTTTCAACACCCCATCGGAAGTCTTGGTATCCAAACCCCCCGTTTTTCTCTCGCTTTGCAACCCGCAGAGAAGAACTCCAAAAACTCAAGCGCGCAAACGACCGCAAACTCAAAGACCTCGCGGCAACCACCACCACCCCAACCACCACCAGCTCCCGTCGCCGAGAAAAAGAAAAAGAAAAAGCACCAGCAAGGACATCCACCACCTCCGCCCGCCTTATCCCCGCGCAATGAGCAAAAACGTAGCGTACGATGCGGATGAGTCGATTGTAAATACAGTACATATATTACATATACACCGACGAGGGACGGAGAAAGGGTGTGGTGGGGAAGCCGCTTTGGGGAAGTATACGCCGCAAAATGCTTTCGTGTGCCGTAAGGATTCCACTTCGTTGCATCCCCAACGTGTGATGTTTCCGCATACGCTTGTGCGGTAACACCCCCCCCCCCCCCCCCCCCCCCCCCCCCGGTTATTTTCGTCCCGCACGGCCGCTCCTGATCCCTCTCTCTAAAGCAAAACCAACGCAACATCCTCCGGCTTCAGCTCCTTGCACCGGTAATTGTACAGGTAATAATGCAGGTTCCCATCCCCCTTCCCAAACTTCAACGTGTCGACAAAGCTCTGGTTGTGCATCAGGTTGAGGCAGTTGAAGACGTCGAAGTTTTCCTGTTTTCACACATCATCCGGCGGGAGTGGGGCCCCGAGTCAGTGACGAACTGATTACAAATGTCCCAACATCCCCCACGCGACAATATCACATTACCTTAGCAGCCAAAACCAACGCATCGTTTATCAACCCCCTCGTCCGCTCCTCATCCGCACCCAGCCCCTTCGGCGCATAGTAGAACAGGTAAGCGGCGTTGATGTGTTTGTGCACGGGGTGGCCGATCACGCTGGACGGGAGGGAGTAGAAGGAGAAGAAGTCTGTGATCTTCGTTGTTGTCGGGTCCTATTTTCATATGAGTCAGCGTCCATGCAGGAAGACAATTGACAAAGAACGGGGGGTGACGGGGACAGACAGACGCACCACAGCGACGTAGCTGAATACAACGGTAGGCACAGGTAGCAACCAATGCCTGACTTCATCCTCGCTGAACGATGGCGCCATCGGGAACTTCTGCATGTAGCTGTTGAGGAGGGCGGTGACTTGCGGGACGTCGGTGGGTTGCATGGGTCGGAGGCCTGGTGTTGTTGTTTCCTAGAATGCCAACCAGTGGTGTGAGATAAGGGAAAGCATGCGTCTGATGGGATCCGTGTGACGACACGTACCGTTGGCAGCTTGTACAGCCGGATAGTCCGCGCCATGGTCATGTTGCGTCCGATGTGGGAGAACCCGGTCTCGACCAGCTTTTTGGGGTTGAGTGAGCGGTGGTAATACCTAAAGAGAGCATCCCCCACCCCCAAAAACGTCAATTGTCCACTTCCCAACCCTCCTCCGGTCCCCCACACACGCATCAACCCACCTGGCCGTCCCAACAGGCGTCGGCAAATAAACGCCCGCAGTATACGCCGCCTGGAAAATACCCTCCAGGTTAACCCTCCGCGTGACCTCCTTGATCAAGACAGGAGCCAGGCGTTTCGAGCGCAGCTTCTTGTGTACGCAGAGGAAGTTGATTTCTACGAGTGTCTGGGCGCTGGGGAAAATAAAAGCGGCGGGTTGGGTGAGGTTGGGGGTGTATAGTGGGGGAATGATGTGACAGGGGGCTTACGCTGTGTTGACCCGCAGATGCGCGGGGATCCCGCTGATGAACGCGACAAGTTTCTTGTTGGAAGCGACACGGACGCCGATGTGCCATTCGCGTTTCCAGCCGGGGGATTTCAGCGCCCTATCCAGAAAAAAGTCACATCATCAACCACAATCCAGCATGCCATGACCCAAAAAGTAACATCCCCCATCACCCTCCCCCCGTACCAATTCAAAAACTCCGCCGAATAATCAAACCGAAACATCGCGTCATCATCCTCCACATAGTTCAGCGAGAGCAGCTCGTACAGCTCCTTCAGCTGCACGGGGTCCTCGACGTTCACGATCGCCCATTCGAAATCTTTGGGGAGGGGGTACGGCTCTTGTCGGATCTCGCTGGCGGGGCGGTTGGGTTCGATGGGGCCTTCGGTTTCTACCGTCTCGTCTGCGGAGTTCGGTGAAGAGGGTGGGGGGTTTGGTTAGGCGAGACGTTGTTGAACGGTGAGTCTTTTGGGATCGAGAGTCCCCGCCGGCTGTGTTTCGTCTACCCTTCCTCGTGCTCTGGGACACATCTTCCCCCCTTTCCACCAACCGCCCCGGCAACCACCTCCTGCTACAAATGGTTCCATCGCTCCTCCTCCCACCCTGCGCGCACACCCCCTGTAACAAATACCACCGACACGCACCAACACGAGTCACAGGCTGCGTCTTCCAAAACCGATAACTCTCCATCGTATCCTTCGCCTTCTTCTTAAACTTCGGATCGTTCGCCAGATTCTGAAGCAGGTCGATCTTCGCCAACTACCAAAAAAAAGAAGAGGTATATAGTAGTCGTTCAGCGGGGGTGGGTTCTCGAACAACAACCCATCACGGAATGAAAGTTTCAACAACAAACCTTCCGCAACACCTCCTCCAACCGCTGCTCCTGCTCCTTCTCCTCCTTCTTCTCCGCCTTCTCCTCCTTCTTGGCCTCCTTCAACTCCTTCGCCTCTGCTTTCGCGAGATCTTTCGCGCCCTTCTTTGCATCTTTGCTTTTGGACTTTTTCGAGGAGGAGGAGGAGGGTGCGGCGGCGGCGGCGGGCGGAGTGGTGGGGGAGGGCTCGGGTGGTGGGATGGTTTCTTTTGATTCTGCTGACATTCTGGGGTGGGTGGGGAGGGGTTGCCGGTGCGGGCTGTGTTGTGCAGGGGGCAGTGTGTAAGTAACAAAGGGTTGGGGTTGCGTTGGTGTGAGTTTAGAGGTGCGCCCGCTCGTCTGCCCTCGCGTCGTTCTCGCCGTAATCAGACTTATTAAAGCCTGCGCAACGCTCACGTGATGAAACCCACGTGATGGAACGCTCTCTCGGACGCTCTATTGGCGTACTATGTATCGCAACAGAAAGCAACCTTACCCACTCTCAAACAGCTCGAGCCACGACCATTTTTCCTCTGCCTCACGGTCCTTTTCGTTTTATTCCTGCTGAAACGGGTTGTTTATAAACACTCCCTCTCAGACTGCAGATCGAATTCAGTCGCCGTCGCTCTGCATTCTGATCTCATGGAACGGTCCGCTCTCAACTCCCGCGATCGATGGAGACAGCCCGGAATAGGGGCAGCCTCGCGATTTGCTCTATGATGAGAGAGCGTGTGTCAGGAGCAGTGGAGATGGCGGAGACAGTTGTCTCGGAGACAATGATGAACTCACCCTCACGCAAATGCATAATCCTCCTCCTCCCACAACTCGGAGCCCGCTGTCTCGTCGCCACCAGATGTAGATCCGTATGACGACACGGACTCCGAGTGTGGGAGGCTGCTCTCGACCGACGTATACTCCTCGTCATCATCATCGGCGTCGTCGGAGGCGGGGGTAAAAGCCCGCACTTCCTCGGCCTTCTGCTTTGCAGCGGCCAGGCGCGCTCGGTGTGCGTCGAAGAGGGGCATGGTGTGGGCCTTCATCGCCTGGCGTGTTGTTGAACCGCACGTCTCCCTCACTAGCTTTCCCAACGCCCTCCAGGGCCCCTCCTCCTCTTCAAGCGCGGCCAGCTCCTCCTGCGCCATCTCGTCATACCCCTCCTCCTTGTCACCGGTCGTCGGGGTGGGCGCTGCTGCTGCTGCTGCTGCGGCTGCGACCCCTGCTATGGCGGCAGCGCAGGTGGGGCGGGTGGGGATGGGGGCAGGGTTGAGAAGGGCGGAGATTGCAATGGGGATGGTGGGGATAGGGGCGACGGGAGCGGCAGCGGCGACGGGAGGCTGGGGGGCGGAGACAGTGGGAGCGGCGGCAGAGACGGGGGGCTGGGCGGTGGAGACGGGGGTTGGGATGGTGGAGGAGGGGTTTGGGATGGTGGAAACGGGGGGATGGTGGGCGGAGACGGGGGGCTGGCGGGTGAGGTGCGTGGTGGCTGGGGCGGGTGCGGGGAGGGTGGTTGAGGGGACGACGGGTTTGCCCGGGAGGGCAGCGATGGCGTCCAGATATGCCTGCGCGCGCCCACACTTATTGCAGGCCGCCCTGGCTGTCTTGACGTTGTTCACAATGCCCGTTCGCCACGCAGCGGACGTCCGAGCCCCGCAAACAACGCAGACTCCTCCAGGAGCAAGGCAGGAGTAGTTTCGGTCGTCCCTACCCGTGCCTGCTCCAGCACCAGATTGAGTTCGGCGTGGGGGTGCTTTGGGCATGGTTGTTGTCGTTGTTGTCGTTGTTGTTGTGTTGTCGTTGTTGTTGTTGTGTTGTCGTTGTTGTTGTTGCTGTGTCGGGGTGTGGATCTCGGCATGTGCTGAGGTTGGAAGAAGAGAGAGCGAGAAAGAGGTCTCAGAGACAGGGACCGCAAAAGTAGGTAGGTTTGACAGTATTTTGACAGTGTAGGCATATAATAATGACGTCTAAATTTACATATCACTTGGGTTTGGGGGGTTTGGGGGGTTTGATCGCTCCACTGGGCTCCCCCCTTTTGGGAAGGGCCAGCGGGCGACCTTCGCGGGCGAAACCGCGTACACGTATATTAACAACGATGAATAAATACATATGATCCAGCACATCTTTGGACCCAACGACGCCGGATCGCGCACGGCGAGACCTGACTTCGGCGAAATGGTAAATGAGATGCATATGACGATATGAGAGATGATATGCGTTCGAGAAATGAGCCCCGTGTGCGGTCCAACCCAAAGATGGCGGCGATATGAGAGGTGAGATGCCAGGTGGCCGGATACGCAGATGTGAAGTAGAGCGAATATGAGATGTCATTGCCGCCGTCGGGGGACCAATTTTCCCCCCACGCTGTACTAGTCAGCCCTCAATAGATTTTGGGGAGAAATTTGGCCCCCGCACGGCAAACCGGAAGATATGAAGTAGATGTGAAGTAGGGCGAAGTGGCCGTGTATTGAGCAAATGGCAAATATACATGAGGATGGGCGGAGATGAGCCACAGATAAATAGGAGATCTAATATACAACCCCAGCTCGGGTAATAGGAGCGGAATTCTGCCGCACCGCTAGCTGAACGCTGGGGTGTGTGCGGATATACCGTTCGAATGCGTCGGAAGACCACCGACCCCAGCGTTGAATCCACAGCGTTGTACTGCCTGTCTGCTCTTTGCTCCTTTAAAACTCCTTTTTACTTGCGCAATGCTGGCTCTAGACTATGATCATATTCGCAACGGTCTGCTGTTAGAGGGCCATGGCGGACAGGAGACCGTTCTGAAGCGGTCCTTCAAAGGCGTTGTCCCGGTGTCAGTTATGGAAAACGAGTCCACAGCAGGGCCATTGAGACCTCTTGAACTGGCATCATGCTTCCGATGCAGGGTAGAAATAGGTAGCAGAGTCCCGTCAGGCCCCGTTTGTCGTAACCTTTTTTCCATAACTGACAACGGCTTCATTAAAGGCAATAGAACCAAGCACATCGAACCCAAGGTTGATGCCTACATCCGTCAAGAGAATGCGAAAACGATTAGCGTCACTCAGATCAATACGCATGACAACGTTGCGGATATATTTACCAAATCCCTAGATGAAAACAAACACTGGAAGTTTGTTCACGCTCTAGGATTGCGACGAACAGCTGATGTTGCTTGATAACAACGAGGACGCTGAAAAGCCGATGTTGCCCGATACGAAGATGCGCTCTTTTCCTACTCCCAGGATCCATTTTTTCCTCACGGAGGTTTTTACATCTGAGAGAGGTTTTTACCGAGGCATCCACGACTACAACGGCAAAGCGACAACACATCCCATGCCGGTCAACCTCCCGCAAGCGGCGGTCGTGCTCAGCACTGGAAGCGTTGAGATCAGTGATTGTAAAGTTGATGGCGTAACGAATCGCGAGCCCGGCTCCTACTCCGATCTGGACTCAAGCGATCGTGACTTGAAGAGCGAATCGCGAGTCCGGCTCCTACTCCGATCTAGACTCAAGCGATTGCGGAAGCTGAGAGCGGAACGTTCCATGGGATCATGCAGAGTGACTGCGACGGCGACTGCGGACTAAATTCAATCTGCAGTCTGAGAGGGAGTGTTGTAAACAACCAGTTTCAGCCACAGCTTCCTTTTTATAGTTGCCGTACCCCTTTTCTTCTCTGCAGATAGAGAGCTGGTTGTGTGTGTGCAGACCGTCCGATCGAATGTCTATAAAACGAGTGGTGTGTGTGAAGGGGAATAAAGTAACGAGTTCCACAACAAACCCACGTCCTTTACACGCGTGTAAAGGACAATCCTCACTCTACTCTTCCTCACTCTACTCTTCCTCACTCTACTCTTCCTCACTCTTCGCACACCTCACGCTCTTGATTGCACCTCATCATGGCCCCCAATTGCATACCAACCCTCCTTCCCAACCCCCTTCCTTCCCAACGCAATTGTGAGCAGTAAGCAACCGCCACCAGGTAACAACCGCAATTCCTCACCGTTCTCAGCCTCATTACCACAGCGCTGACGCGAGTTCTTTGACACACAGCTATCACAGCAACCAACTGCAACACCTCTCTCGACTGACTTAAGGCACAGCACAGTCATCATGTCATCACACCAAGCGCTCCAGGGGTACCTGTGGTGTGGCATATTTACTGGAGCAACCACACCACGGCGGAAGAGGAGGAAGGTTGCTCCGGTTACCCTGCGGTTGCCCATACGTCTGCCAACTGTGCAGACACCATTGCAATCACCCCCGCGCTTCCAGTTCCCACCGTCTGTCCAACGCCACTTGCCCGAAGCCATTGCAGACATGGTCAGCGAGAGTTCCGGCAATGACGACGGGCAGCACCAGCATCGAGGGCTTTCACCCGTCGACAGGGGTCTGCAGCATCCGTTGAACCTCCCGGCTCCCATCCCTTTCCGTTTTCCCAGCACACCGGGTGGACCCCTGGCGTATGAGCCCCCGCCTCCACCCCCGCCTCCACCCCCGCCTCCACCCCCTGCTCAACGACCCCGCCCGCAGACGCATGCCTGCACCAAGGTTTCCCTTCATCGAATCCATAATCAGAATCATCAGAATCAAGTTCAAAGGGAGCGCCTCAGAACATTCATCGGCAATGTTCACATCCTTGCGCGCCACACCACCTTCTTCCTAAAGTACTACCTTGGTGAGTTTTTGGCGTACACTACACTGTATATTTCCTGAAACAATGTCCTGACTACTACGTCTGCCCACCACAGCTGATCATCCTCTGCACGATTTCCCGGACATCACGGATAAGCACATCAGCGTGATATTTGAGCTGCTAAACAATCCGGGCTACAACGGCAATCCGGTCATCACGCAAGAGTTGCGTCCATGGGTTCAAGACTACTGTAATGTTCACGGATTCGCCCCCATCCGCATGCAATATTGCCAACAAACTGCAGCGTACACGGCTACGAGCATCTTCACAAACCTCAAAGTCAACGTACAAGAGCATTTCATTCAAATGCTTCTGCGCTATGTCAATGAAAGGCTTGGTTTGAAGCAAGTCGTACTGCATCTCCGTAGAGCTGGAGTCAACCGAGCGCAGCGGCGACACTATTATCAGCGTGTCCGTCAGTTTAAAAAGTATGCGACATTTGGAGAGTTTCCAACCGAAGAAGAGTTTGCGCGCCTCACACGACTTGAGCGGACCGTCCTCAACGAGTTATGGGCTCTGTTTCCTCCCCAGGATGAACCGCTTGCGTACAGCCTTGCGGTGGATGCAATGCCATATTTAGGTGAGTTACTAAATCCCCCCCCCCCCCCCCCCCCGCGGCTTCCTCTTTTGTCTAATCATGCTCCGCACCTGCCTCATCACAGGTGCCTACTGTGAGCTCTCACGTCTCTATGAGCGCTGTGGAATGCGGCTGTTTTCAGCGATCCCGCTACGCAAATCTCGAATCCAGTCATCTATTAGGATCGACACGAAGATCCTAGCCACTCATATCCTGGGCTTGAGCCACCATCGCATGGGGAAACTCACCGATCAACGCAAGCGGGAGCTGTGGGGGCAGTTTCTCAATGTGAATGTAAGTTAAGTCTGTATCCTTCTGCGCTGATTTCACTCACCTCACCTTGCTGAAGGACGGATTGCAGGACAAGGTCTTCAAGGATCGAAAGAAGCTTGGTCTCAAATTTGATGGGTCAATCAGCACAAACGGGTATTCCGCTACCATCCACTTCAAGAAGCCAGGGCTCAAGTATGGGCATCGGGCCCGGAAGCGCAGCAAAGCCCAAATGCAGGAAGAAGTCAAGCAGCTGTATTTTGAGCACCACATCGCCGAACTACGGGAGGCTCCAAACATCGTCTGCATTGAACCGGGCAAGCGTGACCTCTTGTTCTGTCGAGCCATCAAGAAGGAGCGGCCATTTCGGTACGTTTCAGTTGATTACTACTGCCCTGCTGTCCCTGCTACCCCCCCCGTCTCCGCCCGCCAGCCTCCCGTCTCCGCTACCCCCCCCCCCCTGTCTCCGCCCGCCAGCCCCCCGTCTCCGCTACCCCCCCCCCGTCTCCGCCCGCCAGCCCCCCGTCTCCGCCCGCCAGCCCCCCGTCCCCGCTACCCCCCCCCCCCGTCTCCGCCCGCCAGCCCCCCGTCTCCGCTACCCCTCCCCCCCCCCCCCGTCTCCGCCCGCCAGCCCCCCGTCTCCGCTACCCCCCCCCGTCTCCGCCCGCCAGCCCCCCGTCTCCGCTACCCCCCCCCCCCCCCCCCCGTCTCCGCCCGCCAGCCCCCCGTCTCCGCCCGCCAGCCCCCCGTCTCCGCCCCCCAGCCCCCCGTCGCCGCCCCCCAGCCCCCCGTCGCCGCCCCCCAGCCCCCCGTCGCCGCTGCCGCTCCCACCGCCCCTATCCCCACCATCCCCATTGCGGCGACATTCCGTTGCAGCGTCCTCACAATGCACCACCCCATACCAGATACACATCCAATCAACGGGCGGTCGAGACAAAGTCGCGGTACTTTCAAAGAGACATGAGAGAGCGAAAGATCAATGCTGGCATCGCCGAGATGGAATCACATATTCCGTCGCACAAGAGCATGAAGATCGAGGCGTTCTCAGCGTTCATTGTGGATCACATACATGCAGGTATGATGTATTATGCATTGTCTTCATATTCCATAATACATGGGCTGACATCCATATCCCAGATCCCGCCCTGGATGAGTTTTACCGGGATGAGATTCATGTCGCTCGCAGATTCAAGGCTTTCTCACTGCGGCAAAAGTCTGAGAGCAAGCTCATCAAGAACATGCGACGCCGGTATGGAAAGCATTTTTCGGTCGTCTTGGGTGATTGGAGCGATGCTGGGAAAACAATGCGCTTTCAGGAGTCATCAAAGACCAAGGGGTGAGTGACCATGATTGGTGGTATCTACTATGTATTCTATTATGCTAACTCATCATGGAAATTAGATTCCGCACACTCTTTGCGAGAAACGGCATCCCATGCTACTTGCTAGATGAGTATCGAACGTCCTCCGTGTGCCCAGACTGCCACGGGCGTGTGAAGAAAAACATCCGACGGCGGCTGTCATCTCGGCCATGGCAAGCTAGAAAGGGAAGAATGGAATACGTCCATGGATTGGTGGGTTGCCCCAACCCCGAATGTATCAACCAAGACTGGACGCCATTTGAGATTGCTGGAAGACGACCACTACGGATGAAAGTGCACAATCGGGACGTCCTGAGCACCAAGAATTTCCTCTCGATTGTGCGTTCGGTGGTGTTTGGCAATGGCCGCAGACCAGACGCATTCTCCCGTAACCGTAGGTAGTCTAGATTTCACCCCATCCCATTTTCCGTGGTGGTTATCTGCCATCCACATCATTGTACCTCTGCCTGAGGCGTCGCCGATGAAGGCAACTTGTACTCGTAATATCCGTGCAAGGCATACATACAGACTCCTGTACCCCTGCCAGACTACTTTGACCTGCACAACCAGCAACCACAAGACGGACGAACGATGCAAAAAGCAGCTGTGTTATCTGATGCTACAATACACATCCAAATCCCAACAAAACCTCCGTATCTCATGCATACGAGAGGGAGGTAGGCAGGTGTGGATCCATGAAAACTACATACAAAATTCCCAAAACCGTAACAGACAAACAGACAGACAGACAGAGAGAGTGACCTAAACAAAAAAGAAACTCCTGCAAAAAACCCACCCTCCCGAAATGACAGACCTCAAGCCCCACAAGAACACAACCGCGCATCAACAACCCCCGCACACCCACACCCACACAACGCAGTGCGCATCCCATGCATATCGAACGCGTCCATGCTGTTGCACGGTTTGATCTCCTTGCCCGTGCTTGGTAGGGGGAGCGGGGCGGGTGGGAAGGGCGATGGTTGTTGCTGATGTCCCTGTTGAGGCTGTTGAGGTGGTTGTTGGGTGGAGGAAGAGGGCCGGGCGAGTAAATCGCCCAAGTGTAAGGGACACAAGTCCTTCTCGCATTCTTCGCAGAGGAGCGTGGAGGCGTGGCAGCCGCAGGGGCATGTTGCTTCTTTTTCTTTCTCCATCCCGACTCCCGATCCCGAGGGGGGTGGTTGGATAATGTTGTGCAAGGACGGCGAGACGTCCGCTTTGGGTGCATTTCCACCTCCACAACATCCGCCTTTCTTTGGTTGTTGTTGTTGTTGAGGAGGGGATGGTGACGCATTTCGAGCGCCGCCGCCGCATCCACACCCACCGCCGGTATTTCCACCACTGTTGCATCCACACCCACCACCGCCGCTGCTACAACCACACCCGCTAGTCGCAACAGCAGCACCACCACCGCCCCCACAACATCCACCCGCCGACGTCGACGAAGAAGGGCGACGACTTCCACCACAACAGCTCCCACCGTTATCTTCCCGCTCAGGCTCAATCGCAGCAGAAGCGCCTCCACCGCATCCACACCCGCCAGCCGCTCGAACAGGTATCGGTGCAGGTGTCGAATTGCATCCACAACCTCCATTGCTAACAACCGGGCGCGATGAGGAGCATCCACACCCCGAGGATGCTACTGGTGCCGCGTCAGTAGTCGCGCCCCCACAACACGATGCCACAACGGGCGCGGCAACGGTTTTCGGCCCGCAGCACCCGCCTTTCGCCTGTGGTGCCGAGGCGGTGGAGAATCGAGTATCAACCAAACTACTGCTGCTGCTGTTGTTGTCCCCGCCTCCGCCACCACAGCACGACCCAGAAGCCCTGCGTGACGAGACTGATCGTCCTGCACCGGCGCAACATCCACCCCCAGTATCCATCTCCTCATCCGTCTGCGATCCCGAGCATCCGCACGATGTCGCCGCAGCTTTCGGCGGCGGCGGCGCGAAGGATTTGCCTCCTGAACAGCATCCGCCTCCTCGGGACACTTGCTGGGTTGGTGGTGGCTGTTGCGTGTAGTATGCATACTGCTCGGGTGTCATCATCGGTTGGGGGCCGTTGCTCATCCCAGTGGCCCATGTCGCGGGGGATTGGGGCTGTGGCGGTCCGACTACGCCTCCTTGATGTAGCGCGAAGAGGGCAGAGAGCAACTCCGGGTCGTGGCTGGAGGAAGTGGGTGGGAGTTGTTGGGGTTGGTAGGATGGGTCCGGAAATCTCTGGTGGTAGGCCATGGTGAGTTGCGTTGATGGGGAGTACATGGGCTGATATTGCTGCTGCTGCTGCTGCTGCTGCTGTTGTTGTTGTTGATGATGCTGATCCATTTGCGAGGGCATGGGTCGGATGGTGGGGTAGCCTGACATGCTAGCATATGCTTCATTGGAAGCCATCATGGGGGAAGGGGTGGCATTCGTTACGTGGAACGCGTTCCCGAGGTCCCCCGGCCGAGGCAATCCGGCCACCATTGGCAGGAGAGGAGGATATGGTGATCCCGTTAGACCGCCCGCCGCAGCCGACGCAGCAGGGGAATGGCTTCCTCTTAGATTCAAATTGGAGTTCGAAGTGGAAGCCGAAGCCGGCCCAACGGACGCCGACGACCCGCGCTTTATCCTGCTCCCGCATCCTCCACCAGCGCCCCTGTTCGCAGGCAACTCCGAACAGATGCACGATCCTCCAAATTGGCAGTTGCATGGGTTGGCCATGAGTTTCTGCACGTCCAGATCTAGCGTCTCTTCCACAACTTCTGTTTTCACGTAGATCAGCTGTACGTCGGTGGCAGGCGCTGCGACCCCTGCTTTCGCCTTCTTCTGTACTGTCAGTGTCGACGTCCGCGTTTGTTCCAATTGCTGTTTTAACCAGTCCACGTTTCCTCGTTCAGGCGTGAACGTCAACACCACATTTGGATTGAAGTGAACTGCGAAAGAGGAAAAAGAAAATAAATCAATATGTGTGCAGGAGGGTGAGTATGGACGGTTCGTTGATGGGCGGCGAATTCCCACGGACCGCAATTTTCCCACGCCCGAAATTCCCGAAATGTACCCCGCCCACCCAACTCCCACTCCGTTTCTCGAACCCCTTACCTTCAACCTTCTTCTTGATATTAGCAGCGCCATCCCCACACATACACTTATGGTGCGAATGCCCGACCCCCTCCTTCCTCTTTGCTCTACAGTGCCCACACTGAGTCGCCGGCCTTCCCTTTGATTTGATTTCTATGAGTTTCCTGTCGATATGCGCACATGAGCCGTTCCTGTGGCCGTTCTGACACTTCTCGCAGGCGAATTTGAGGTTGAAGAGGGACCAGTGTATCATGGTTGAGGGATTTGTGGGGTAAATTGGAGGGGCTCAGTTGTGAGAGTGAGTGAATGCGAGAGGGGCTTGAGTTCTCTCCCTTTCTTTTTCCGCGGTGGTTGGAAGAGTGCGAAGGAGCGCTTGGTATCCTCCTGGAGCGTCGCTTCGTCTTTGACTGGGAGAGTAAACTGCGGGTTGGAGTACTGTATAAGTGCGTGTGGGGAAACTTGCGACATGCGGTTTGATTCTGCAGCCGGAGAACCCTTGCAGCCCTTGCTGAGCGACTTACAGTATAAGGTTAGTTATGGATAAGCCGCTTCTTATTTGTCAGGAGGAGGTGCGTCGCAAATGATGATGGGACTCGGTGGATTCTTGAAGTCGCCGTTCGGCCCCCCCCATCCATGTCATCAACAGCAATATTATTTATATCCTCCGTGGTCTCAAGCCACGTAAGTTCGTGCCACATAGCATCATGATAAGTGTCACCCATTATGTATTATCGCTGATGACCTTCTTCCCCCCCTCCCCTTTCCTTCGCTTTCCTTCTCAACAACAACCCTCCCTCATTCCTCATTCCTTATTCTACACCCCCCGGTTCAAACACTCGCCCCCTTCACAACCCTGCCGAAAGCCCCTCCGCAACCCAAGAAGCCTCAGCGCCGGGCGCACAACCAGACTCTTCACACCCGCGGCGTCCAACATCACACCCCCATTTCACACCTCCCAGTTCGCAGAAGTTGGACAAATGCGGCACCATCTCGAAGCATACCACACCCACCTATGGGGCGCCTTCTACCTCACGCTTGCGATACTCGGTGGTGTCTTTGCGGGGGCGCTCAAGTGGCAGGCGCAGACCGAGTTTACCGGGGAGCAGGTTTGGTAGGTGATTCAGGAAAAAGGGAGGTGTGAGGAAGGTGGGAGGAGGATGAACAGGGTGTGGGATGGTCCTCGAGCGTCAGCGAGGTTCTCGAACGAAGACTCGTTGTCGTCGTCGTTTTCTTCGGGCTGCTCGTAAGCTCCCAGGCGAAAAGTCAAAAAAAGTTTCGTAACTTATCTCAAACCCAATTAGTTAAAAGCGCCCGTAAATTGTCCGCCTTAATCATTCAGTGGCAAGCCCCGGCGGAATAGAGTAAGCTTCGCTGAGCGAGTCGTGCCAGGATCTGGCTTACTCTCGTTGGCATCCTTCTCGACTTTGCCCCTGGGCTGGACTCGATGTTGAAAGCCGCTGGAACCCCGCCAAACGTCGTACTACGGACCCAGGTGGAACAGCAGGATCTCGTTGCCATCCACGAACTTGGGCTTGGGATACACATGACGATCAAGACTCGGCTGAGTTGCGGACCGGGAGTGATTGCCAGTCTCTGCATAATCGGCCGACATCACTTACAATGACGAAATGACACTTCAAAACTTCTCCACGGCAAATCCCCCGGGCATCCTGCCCCGTCATCACTTCGGAGAAGCGCGTTCGCCAGGTGCTTCTTCCACGTGCCTTTGAAAGGGTGGTTTGATCGTCGTTCCTAATAAAGTCGGCGATCAAATGAGACGGCGAAACTGCTGAGGAAAGGATAGTCGCTCAAATGACGATGCCAGCAAACGCCGATGCGCCCATCGCGACTGAAAGACGGAAACGGAAACGCGCGTCCGGAAACGGAAACGCACGCAAGGCAAAAGCGTGCCAGCGAAGCCGCAGCCGCAGCCGCCATCAATGTCGTGGGCAAAGCTCGTTGCGAAAAAATCAAAAGATGCCGGCCGCTCTCCAGCAAGTAGCCGACGGATATGTCGCAAAGTTCGGCTCAAATGAGGAAGTCATGGATCTCCGGATGGTGGGTGGAAAACTGGGCCGGTTGCCAAAACGCCAAGTCGTCCCTCTGGGTACCTTCCTCGACGAGAAGTTCGAAGACGCACGACTGGACATTGTGCTCACGTTCTTGGAATGGATTTTCTCCGACGTGCGCGCCACGGAGCAGGACCAATGGGAAAAGCAGATTCTGGATGATGCCAGGTTCAAATTCGAAGATCCCAAGTGGGTCAAGAATCTGAGCTTGGCGGAATCAGCTGCTGCTTTCAGCCCCACTGACGTGAAGGAGATTTGCCCGGCCACTCACCACGTCGTTTGCGCTACCCTTCCCGTATTTGCGGGAGTTTGCTTCCCCAAGCAACTAGAGGGAAAGTACGACTCTTGAATGCCACTTACTGTCCCAATTTGTCCATCCCCTGTTTCAAGAAGCATTGTTCGCATTTGCCCACAAAACGAAATGGGTAACTGAAGAGATCGGAAGCTCATATCTCGCTGGACTTACCCAAGCGGACGGGCTCGGCATTGCGGCGACGAACGACGATGTCCCGGTGTGCTACTTCGAGGGGGACGCGACTCAAGGTCAAGGATCCATCCAAAAACGGGGCCGATTCTGGAAAGTTGCTACGGAACGGGCAGAACATACTGAAGACGATTTTCGAACGACTCACTCAATCAAAGCGTCGACCGCCGGCGAAATTTTTTGTGGCGACGGCGCAAAGCCACGAGACTGAGGTACATTTGACCATTTTGGAAGTGGTTGGTACGTGTCCCTCCCTATGCATATCTTCCCTTCCTGAATTCCTGACGACATTCAGGCGGCCACGTTTTCTTCTTTGACTACGATGTAGTCACTATCCCAAAGGACCGCACGAGCTCGAATATGTTCCCAAGTTTGATTGCTGGGGTGATAGGATGGGCGGTGAGTTTCGGCGGAGTTACTTCGCAAAACCACCGGAGGGAACTTGCACTCAGCTGTGCCGATTCTAGATGCTGGTTGGACCGATGGTGCAGGGGCTACAAACCAGCTCCGGCCGGTTCCGGCGGAAGAGCCTCTATGAGAAGCGCATCAGCAGTTGAGTCGAAAGCATTACCTTCCGAATCTGACGGTAGCACTGTCTCATAGAGGCTCTTCCGCGAGAACCACCGGAGTTACTTCGCAAAACCACCGGAGGAACTTGCACTCAGCTGTGCCGATTCTAGATGCTGGTTGGACCGATGGTGCAGGGACCACAAACCAGCTCCGGCCGGGTCTCGCGGAAGAGCCTCTATGAGTCGACGGAGATGGACAGGAACGTCGGTGGGCCGCTGCCCGCGAACTTTGCGGGGCGTAGCGATGGGGAGGTTGGGCGTGAGCCGGAGGTCCTTCAGAGATATTTCCGTAGCGTTGGGAGGGATGGTATCATTGTGTGGGATCATGTCATTATGGAAGGTCGTAGCCATGGGAGGGATAAGGGTATCGTGGCCCTTGGCAGCGACGGAAAGGGCGGCGGGCAACTTTGCGGGGCGGAGGACCGGGACAGACGTTGATCTCGTTGTGCGCATTATGACTGTGAGGGATATGTGGTAAGGATATTGAACGGGTTTGTTGCAATTCTTCTTATCGGCTGTGTTATAATCAGTAAAAATACCGGGGTAGGGAAAACGCTCGAACATCTTGATATCCTCATCCTGCTTTTATTCACCCATATCGATTGATGATGGCACTTGGCGCAAGGTACGCGGCACCCCCCAAATAGCGGGACACTGTTCGTAAGTCTTCTGGCAAGCTTGTCTAGCGTCCTCCTCACTTCGCCACCGGCTTGACTTGCCTTCAGCAAACCAGTCGGGAAATGTCCCTCCTGGTGTGGCGAAGGCGAGCCAAGCTGGTCTGTTGCGTGGTCAAGTCCACGGTACAGCTGCACTGTCCGACATGCCCAATGGTTGCCAATTCGCTGCAACTACGCATCTGAAATGCATGTTCGACGATCTCCGTTTCGCCCTCCAAGTCTTACCCATGACTTTCTGGGCGTCGATAAGCACTCTTATTGATGGTAGCCATCTCAAAAGCTGCATCGGCCCCTGACCGACAAGCGACGCGGGTAGTGCGGTCGATTCTGTTGATTGATTTCAACCGAGCAGTAGGAATGGCCGGTCGACACCGATTCATGCTTTGCGTCTGCGTCTTCCTCGCCGTCTTCCTCCCGGTCCACTGCGTCTGGGTCTTCGTCGCCGTCTTCCTCTTCGTCGCCGTCCTTCTCTTCGTCGCCGTCCTCCTTCGCCTGGGTCGCCTCATGGAAGCCAGAATTCTCATCCTCCAATTTCCGCTCGCTCCTTATCAGAGCCTGTGATCTGAACAAATGGCTTGTCCGGTTCTTCCTCCTTCGAGTGGGGTGCCATAACGTCATGGTAGTCGATGCGCGTGGACGTGTCACCCCTGCCATGCGGCTTCGGTTCAAATTCAAGAGCCCTCATGTAGTCGAGGTGCGTAGGCCCGAAAGGGTCAGCATGTGGATGTAGGACTGCGCCCACGTGTGCCGACTGCGTTCCCCGCTTTCGGTAGTGGGTGTTTGGTTGCCGATCTACGCCCCGCCAAGGCGTTTTCATGCCCGTCATTGATTCGCCAAGGCATCTCATGAGATGTCCGGTTACCGATGTATTCATCTGCTTGTCCAGTCGTGCGATGTTCGTGGCGTTTACATATACGGCCCTTGCACGTACGGGCATCCATACTGGACGTATGGTTTTCGGTCGAGACAGTACCATAAGGACGGCAGGTTGAAGCACGTCCGCTACCACTTATGCCCACAATCAGTTCTACCCGTGACTCCCGGTAAATCCATCGACGTCAAATTCAGGCACATCCACGATGCTAGGTTTGTGAGGAAACCAAACGCCCATCAGCGCTCCCTTAAAGAGTCCCTGCGCAATCGGTGCTTGTTTGAGCATGTGCTAAGCGGCTCGCGAACAGTGGTAGATTTGCCTAGATCGAAATGGTAGTCGCTTTTGGGACGCTTGCAGCGGATCCAGCCATGCATTATGTATGTGCTGGGACCTTAGTTCACCCATGATCCGCTCATAGTTTCGATGTGCCCCCGGGTCCATTCTTTCGCCAAAAAAGTGGTGTTCGAGGCCGATCTCCTGGGCCGCCGGCCACAGCAGGATCGGATTCATACCGATCCCATCATCAAGGACTTGGATGACCGAGTTCGCTTTGATCATCGCACCTGCAGGTCGCTGGCGTCCGTGCGCTCCCAGGTCACTCATGCAGAGGGTAGACCCGCCGTGCCAGAGCAGCCAGACACCATGCCCGACGTCTCCCTCTGGCAGCTGTTGGATCCCGCAGGCATTCCACCCGCCAAAAGTTTTCGCCGACCCCGAGGCGCCGAAGCTGCCAACTGCGGATTACCAGCGGCACACTTCTGACGATGATGGGCGATACGCTCCTGACGATAATCCGAGTGTGGTGTGTGGCCGGGGACATGGTCCGAAAACCATCCCACATAGATTCGGTTGTCCTTAGGCTCCTGGGGCCGACGTCGCTCCATGAGCACTGTTCAAAGATCAAACAACCCGGAAGCAGGTGTGGTGCGGTGGGAATACGCAACATGAAGACTGTTGCGTAAATTGGGCAGGTAATGTTGGGAAGCCGGTTTCGCATGATGGCCTCGTTGAACTCGTCGTTAATTTCAACATCCCGTAAATGCCCTCAACAAACAACTTTAGCACGTACGGCATCCCGGCAAAATTTACATCTTAAACCGGTGGGTGACTTCTCTGTCACAGACAAGTACACTTCACGTTGCTCGCCTTCACCTTCACCTTGTTGGGGATACGCCCGGTACGCGTCGTTGCTCGCCTTAATCTTCTCCTTGTTGGCTAGATTAGCCATCTCATTCGTTCAAATACATCCCAGCCGACACCCGACGCGCCGCCACACGCCACGCTATCCCAAACATTCGAACTCTTGTAGGGACTGGAAGGCCCCAGTCGAGCCTGTCAAGAATGGGTTGTGTTTCTCCTCGGGGACCCTGTATTGTCGTTATGTTCTGCATCCCCAAGCTTGCGAAGGTCCCACCCAATAATTCTGTTGATGATTCGGTCGCCCCAGAGTTCAGGACCTTCATCACCAGGTGGCGGGGCTCACGTGGCGGGCAGTAACCTTTGAGCCCAGCTCGTTTCTGGTGTGTTTGATTAGGTCACCCTTTGCTTGGAGAAGGCAAGCATCTTTGCATACCCCGGGATTGATATGGGCGTGCGGCTTCAGCCGAAGATGAACCGCCATCTTCGGCCTCAGCTAAGGCGCACACCCGCGAGTCATCCAGTAGACGGTGCCGCGGGACAACTGCGGGCGGCGAAAAGGTTGATCGGGTGTGTCACAACGCCCGTCACTGCGTAGTGAAAGTCCTCCCTTCCTCGATGGTCTATAGTGTGCGAAAACAAAATACTCATGAACAGCGGTGGCTTGTCCTCGAAAAGAATCGGCAACATGGCCCGAGATCGCCTGTGATGAACTCGGGATCTTCACGAGGAGGCAGTTATGACAGCGACCAAAACACTTAGCAGCTTGTCGGAACCGCGAACCTCTTCGAGTAAAATCCTTGGCTGCGCAGGATATCCGGAAGAAAGCTCTGATCTGAGAGAGCTCTGATCTGCAAGCCAACTTGAGCAAGTTCAAGGCTCCATCGGTCTCCGTTTACGACCGACAGCTTTGTCTCCTGTTTGGTAACGACGTCGTGAGAAGAAACGCCGGGCAATGTGCGTGCCCGTTCGTCCCTGCGTTCAGGCTCTCATTTCGAGAGCTATGGTCCAGTCACGATCCTAGCATTCCAGCAACGACGAGCCGTCCACGTCGATTTTGGCTTGTCGTCCACGACGCCATGTTGCGCGCCGCCAAGGGAGAAGAGGCATCGTCGTCGCCTGCAAGTCCCTGCGTCGGTAAGTGCGACGGTTTCACAGATAAGCGTCGTTGAGACGACCTCCGAGGACACGGCCTCCTGCCAAAGCTTTTTCGAGACCAAGAGGTGCGATATGCTCAGCTGTGGAGTTGTTGGAAACCCGCGATGGAAAGAACCGAATGAAGTCAAGGGTTTGACGCGCCGCCCCCTGCGAAATACCTCTCAGGTCCACCCTGGCTGCGCGACCCAAACGCTCTACGCGTTACCTTAAGGCACAATTAGGGAAATTAAAGCAGTTTCCTCACAAAACCCTCTTTTTGGAGCAGCCATACCATCCCACAGACATGCAGGACAACCTATTCCATTTGCATACGGCTCCAGTTGCCTACTTTGGCCAAACCCCTCTAAGTGTCTGTGGGGGTAGCTGTTGCAACAAACTTAACACAGAGGCCCAAAAGTCTGAGTAGTAAAACTGTCTTTCCTTGGCCGTTTTTGGGTAAAACTTGCCAGTTAGAGGCGTCAAACCCTGAACCGGTGCCTTCTTCACCAAACTGCCTAATCAATCTTTCTGCTAGCATGTCTGGCTGTCAAGATACTGCTCAACATGTGCAGCAACTTTGGGTCTGCAAAAACCTCGTTAAGTGCAAAAGTCGTCAAAAAGCTGTCAGTGGCTTAGCCAGGGTGGACCTGAGAAATACCTTCCAGTTAGGGTGCGCGAAATAACTTTTAGGGGCTCGCGGCCTTGTGAGGGAGACCATGGCAAGCTCTCCCGCAAGCATACAGCAAGTACAGCACTCTCCACAACGGAAAGCAAAGGACACTTCTCTCAGCCACAGCCGGCATGTGGCGGCAAACCACTCCCTCCCTCCTCACCGCCACAAAAAGCGGCTGCTTCCGTCTCACTCTTAGAACAGAGCAACGCCGGACAGTCATCCTCCCAAGATGGCTGCCGAACCTGAACCTATTCCAAGGCGCTATCAAGCACCAGGACAGAGTCGCTATCATAGCAGAGTCGAAGAAATACACATATGCTAGCCTGTTGCGCCATGCCGCGAAGGGTGCGAAGCAGTTAAAAGGGGACCACACCGAGTGAGTGTGATAAACCCGTGGGAGAAGGCATACAGGTCTTCAGCGGTCTCTGACCAATTCAATTCTCCGCCGATATGGGTGCTAGGAGTGCAGTGAAGACGGGTGAATATCCACCACGGGTAGCATTTCTATTTTCGCCGGGGTTTGAGTACGTCGCGACGCAATGGTCAATATGGGCTGCCGGTGCCATAGCCGTTCCGTTGGGTGGGTTTGACGTCTTGTGCGCCTGTATGCCCGGTTACTTGTGTGGAGGATGACTGACAGCAAGCGTTTCCATAGCTTCATCCCATCCGCCAGCCGAACTCGAGTACATCATAGGCGATGCGCAGGCAAAAAAGGTCCTGTATCAGAGCAAATTCGCTGAGAAGATTCAGGCGCTCCAGTCAAAGTTCCCGCTGGTGGAATGGGAGGAGATCCCGGATGCGAAGCCGTCTGAAGGCCAAGATTCGGACTCGAGACCCACGAACATCAACGAAGAAGACAACCTGTCCAAAGACCGGGGCGCCATGCTGATCTACACCTCAGGCACCACCGGCAAACCCAAAGGCGTCCTCACCACCATCAACAACATCGAAGCCCAATCCACATCCCTCATCGAAGCCTGGAAATGGAACTCCAAAGACAAAATCCTCCACGTCCTCCCCTTGCACCATGTCCATGGAGTCATAAACGCCCTTACATGCCCCCTGTGGGTAGGCGCCACCGTCGAGTTCTTCCCCTTCGATGCGCGCAAAGTCTGGGATCGGTGGATGGCGGAATCAAGGGATTTGACCGTCTTCATGGCTGTGCCGACCGTCTACGCAAGGCTGGCAGCAGAATACGACAAGATGCCCCCCGCAGAACAGGCATACGCCACAAAAGCCTGCGCCCAGTTCCGGCTCATGGTCAGTGGGTCCGCGCCCCTCCCCGACACCCTCTTCGCCAAATGGGAGAAAATCTCTGGACACAAATTGCTTGAACGATACGGCATGACGGAAATCGGAATGGCGCTAGGCAACCCATATGACGGACCTCGCATCCCCGGCACAGTCGGCAAACCCTTCCCGCACGTATCCACCCAAATCATCTCCGACGCTGGCGCCGACGTCACGGCCCAACCTGACGCGACTGGGGAGCTGTACGTCAGCGGGCCGCAGGTGTTCAAAGAGTACTGGAACAAACCGGAGGCCACGGCTAAGGAGCTGCAGGATGGGTGGTTTAAGACGGGAGACATTGTCAAGAAATCTGAGGACGGCATGTACACTATACTGGGACGCGCGAGTGTTGATATCGTTAAAAGTGGGGGTTATAAGGTATCCTTTACCCCTCCTTCTTTTCACCCCGTCACCACCTAACGTACGGCGTATACTTTTCTCCCGTTCGGCAGATTTCATCCCTAGAAGTCGAACGCACCCTCCTCGCCCACCCCTCCATCGCCGACGTCGCTGTCGTCGGCTTACCGGACGAAGAATGGGGGCAGATCCTCGCCGCCATGATCGTCTTGCGGGATAAGGTGAAGTGGTAAATCATCCGTTCATCGTGTTTATGGGAGACTGATGTTGTGATTTTGAAGACGAAGGAAGTTACGGTGGAGGATGTGAAGCACTTTCTGCAAGATAAACTGGCGCATTACAAAATTCCGAGACGGGTTGTGGTTGTGGGCGAGTTGCCGAGGAATGCGATGGGGAAGGTTGATAAGAAGACAGTGCTCAAAGGATTTTAAATCACATTGAACTGATTCCGGACTCGGCAAACGGAAATCTGCACGCCCATGTGCTTTTGGTGGGTTTCGCCTCTCCAGACGCCCACACCATCCGTATCTCTCAGCAGATATACTCAAATTCTACGGCGTACGCTCTTTGCCGCGTTGGAGATTGCCAGCGAGGGTTCTTGTCATGTTTTTGGTGCAACTATTACGGCTCACCTCGTAGTCATACTGAATGGTCTGAATGAATTGTGGAATTCGTTTTCACGAACCACTCAGAAAGCACTTGTTTGTAGTAAACCAGACTAGTCCTATCCTGCACTTGTTTGTGCCAAACTGGCGTGGTTTGAAGGATGACGGTTGAATACGACAGCGCGCACTTATGGCCAGCGTAGACGTTCCGCTCATATCATTGGTGAACGCTTGATTACGGAGTTTGTGGCCAAGCTCTGAGTACTACACCGGCAATCTCATCAAAGACTTCCTTTTGGTTACCCCCCCTTGAGCGAAGAACACTGTTGCATCTTTGGCGCCGGCGTTCTTGAGCTGGCAGTACCTGTCCCTTGATGTGATTGAGTTTCGGGGGCTGGAATTCCGGCGCCCGTACTAGTGTGGGCATATCCTCTCCACAGTCCGCGGCCCATGGAACTTCGTAACCTGCTTCGTAACGCGGTTTGGGCCCACGTACGGTACGTCCTTCTGAGCAGCGGCCTGTAGCTTTTGTTCTGCGGAAAGGAAAGGAACACATGATACCTCGGAATATAAAAGGAGAGGGAACGGGGGGCCATGCCTTCTGCACCTCCAGCAAATACCACCATGCTAGTCATCAACGCCTACCTCGGCATCCAAGAAATCGTCACGGTCCGCAGGCTTAAATAAGTCTGACTGGCCTTTTCCTTCCGCGCCGCTTCCAGCAGTCGTCAAGTCTCAGGAATAACATCCGACAGTGGCCAGCTCCCCTTTGATGCACGCTATGGATTGCCACATTCATTCACATAGGCTCACAATTGAGCCGGTGCGCCTATCATCAATGTGCTCTCGTCTTTCTGCTTGCACTCGGAGATCTTTTCAATGTACATCCGATTCAAATAGCCCCACATGTATGTATGTACACAGATCTCCTCCTCCAAATGTTCGTAAGCCCCAACTCTTTTCCTCCGACTACAACCTCATCTGCTGTGTCCGATTATGCTTCCAAGCAGGCAAGACACCGGCCCGTGACATCCGCCGTCCGACGCCTTCCACTGGGCGTAGGCAGTCCAAGGGATATCCTTCTCATCTTTGATTCGCTCGAGGAGCCTAACGACTCGCATCCGCAATCCACATTGCTCGCCATCGATACTCCATCTCCCAACAGGCCCTCCTGCTCCACGATAATCCATCGTCCTCTATCGCTTGACGCCGTTCATCCCAGGAAGTTGACCACGAATCCAAACAGCACGATGCTAGCAAACGCAAAGTCTGCGAATGCCCGTTCTGGTGACATCTTCATCACTTCTGCGTTTCGTGGGTTCACTTGCATCCTCAGGTTTGCTAAGAGTCATAAACGAATGGGACGTCTAGATCAGTTTCTAGTTCTGGGACCGCCATCGTTTCAAAAGGGTAACTCACCAGCAAGCACGAAACTCCCCACACTCGCTCCAAAGCCCGCCAAGAAACTATTGTAAGGAAACGTTCCCGCCAGCAGCACATAGACAAACTGCACGATTCCCGTCAGCATCACAAATAGGAGGTAGGCGTCAATGAGTTTCAGCTTCTGCGGCGTGTTGGCGCGATACGAGGTGAGCAGACGCTTGATTAGGAACGCTTGTTGCGCTGCGGCGCTGGTGGCGGAGTGCGGGACTGTGGTGGAGGTTGTTTTTGCCATTGCGGGAATATAGGAGTTGATGCTGCCGATCGCGGGTGATGTTTGCGCGAGATCGTGCGAGAGAGTCGGAAGGAGGGCTGGTTCGACGATGGTAGTGACGCCGGAGTAAGCACGAATGAGAAGTGCGTGGTGCTGAGAATATCTACAGTACGTGGGGAGTTGCAGGTGCACGGCGAGGCTGCCCCTTCAAGCTTGGGTTGTGTGTTGGACAGGGGACGGGGAAAAGGGAGAGACGTGGCCTGCGGACGTGGCCGTTCTCGCCGCTTCCCATTTCTCCCATTCCATTCCCGAAGCATTCACAAGTTCCCACGACGACAACAAACCCCCCAGCATCGCACAGACAGCATTACACACCGCCGACAGACATATTCGGAGAGCCTAGAGCGCACCTGTTGTCCCCAACTCACCAGAAATATGCGCCACTCATTCTTCGCTTGCCGTTGGCGTCGGCGGCGACAACAGCTTACGATGATCTCCGCCATCTTGCCCTTCCTCCTCCTCCCCTCAGCAACCGCGACAGCGACACCCAAATTCTCGACGTCGGGCTTGTTTGATGTGCAGGTGGAGCTGGGGGAGGGTGTGGATGGGATGATTGCTGCGTTCGGGGATGTCAACGGGGATAAATTGTAGGTTTGGTGTCGGAGGGGTGGGAGGTGGAGAACCCCGAAAAGCCGAAAGATGAAAACTGGGGATGAAGGGAGGGGCGTTTGAGGATAGCGTGCGAGGAGTCCGTTCTTTCGTTGGAAGATGGTATTCATGTTCGCGAGCGGATGGCGCAGGATATGGTCGCGGGATTTTTTTTGCATTGCTGTCAATGGACCACCACCATGTTCCCCTTCGTTCTTATCGTTTGACTTTGTCGCTTTCAGCACGGACATATTCACGCTAAACACAGCGCAGACGCATGTGGTCGCGCATCAATGGGATCATGGTATGGGTGCAGGAGCTCTGACCAGCATCGCAGCATGCCCTCCAAATAATCCTCCTGGCCGCATCCCGCTCAGGCAGCTTCAAATTCCGCAAAATCCTAAACTCCGAGCTCAGTTTTGACCCGCAAAACCCCACCGCCGTCACGATTGTTAATGTCGTTCCGGGGGACTACAACTACGACGGCAAGCTCGATGTGCTCTTGATGGGGCAGAAGACCGCGGGGGCGGATCAGATAGAAATGCGCGTGTTCTACGGGGACGGGATGGGTGGATTCAGTGAGTTTGGCGGGAATCTCTGTCGGCGTGTTCACCATGGTCTCCGTCATGCTGAAGGGCCCTTTCGATCCCACAGACGCGAGCAGCTTCATGCCTCTAGATCCAGCGACGCATTTACAACCGTTCGCGGCCAACTACGACGGCACGATGAAGCCGCAGTTCTTGGGGCAGGCGGCAGGCACCAAGGCGGGGATGCTTGCCCTGTGGTCGCCGGTCGATAACGGTGCTGTGAGGTACTGAGTGTACCTCTGATGGGATAGTGGAGGGCGACCTACTGCCTGTCTGTACTTACAACGCGACCCCTGCGCAGTTCAGTCGCACTCAATAGTACCACCACGAGCATGTGCAAGTTGAAAGACCCGCATTCGAATGCGTTCGTGGATTTCAACGGGGATTGTATGGCTGGTACGCTTGGGCTTTCCTAAACCTAGGTTGTTCGTGCTAAATGTAGGGATGTGGGTGCTGACGGACGCGTTGGGGGGTGGACAGATCTATTCCTGACCTGCGACGACGGAAGTTTCCAAATATGGCTGAACACAGATACCAACGGCTTCACGTTCTCGCAAGCGGGGAAACTGCCCGCGCACGCTGGGCAGGTCACGTTCGCCGATATAGGTATGTCGCTGTGTTCAAATCAACCTGTTTCCCAAAGTCTTCAAAGTCGAGTGTTCGTTTCTCACCCCGATTCACGAAACGCTAGACGCGGACGGCACAATCGACATGGTTTTCCCAACCTGCGTCGACTGGGGCGGCGACTGTTTCATTCATGTGGCGTACAACCAGCAGATCCCGCTGTGCGCGGCAGGCGACGACGGGACACACTGTCGCGATCCGCATAACCTGTGCACGGCGGATGATAAGTTTACTTTCGATTTCACTGAGGATTCAAAGGTTAATCTATTGCTCCTGTGTGCATTTGTCGACATAGAGAAGTATTTCGTTAACTCCCCAGACAGGCCTATGTAAAACTCCCCCTCTCCCCCCTCCTCCCCAAAGACCGTCTCGTCCTCACTCTAGCCCCCGTAAAATCCCACCCCCCCATTCCCCTCCGCATCGGCGACTTCAACAACGACGGGTACCCCGACCTCCTCGCCTCCACCACCAACGGCGTGCGATTACTACGGTCGGTGCCCTGTCACGGCGACGTGTGCGGGAATAAGGCGACTGACGCGGGACGACGCGCATTTGAGGTTGTGCAGGGCGCGGAGGTGTTGGCGGGGAAGGGCGCGGAGGGGGCTTTTGCGACTTTTGTGGATTTGGATGAGGATGTGAGTTTTGGGGTTGTTTGTGGGTGTGGGAGAGAGGCCTCTCTAATGCAGTGATGACGATAATAGGGCACGCTGGACATCCTCGTCTCGACCGTCACCAAAGGCGTATACCACACCCATGCCATTTTCAACAACTTCTATAACGACGCGTTCTTCTTGAAGGGGCTTGGTAAGGCGATGCCATCCCTCGGGTCATCATCAGCATTCATACACTGACATGCTGCTTTTCGTTCGATTGCGTTCAGTATCCAACGGCGTATGCCCCGCTTGGTGTCCAACCGGGGATAGATTTCCGTCTCCTAAGGTATATATCTGCGTGGAATGGGAGGAACGCGAATGGATTTGTACTCACCCTCCGTGCGACCTCCCACGGACAACCTTTTTCAGCCATATGGAGTAAACTACGTCGGCGCGAGTTTCAAATACACTGTATTCGACACGGCCGGAAGGCGGCGGGCAACTCAAGGTAAGCTATTACCACACCATTTCTTCTTCCCTGCAAATCTACCTCACTTGTTATAGCATACCTCACCATCCTTCCACCCGCCAGCGGCTCAACTCCCGCAATCCTCCTACTTCTCCCTCCAAACGCCCTACGCCCTCTTCGGCCTCGGCCGCACCAACAACTACATCGAGGACCTCTTTGTCGGCGTGTCCCGCCGCAAAGGCAAGATATCCCATGTCGGCACGTTTCAGGGCGTTATTCCGAATAGCCAGTTGGTGGTTATTCCGTATGAGGAGGATGAGGGGGCTGGGCCGGGGAGGTATGTCGATATCATTCATTCATTCATTCATTTGTGTTTCGGTTCTGATCCCGATGCGAATGATTATTTTTTTTGTAGTTGGATCCTTGAACTCTACATCAACCCCTCCTCCGCCTCCTCCTCGGTTCTGCTCGTCCTCTGCACGTCGCTCGCGCTGCTCGCGTCAGTTGTGGGCGTCCTGCATTGGACGGAGAAGAGGGAGGATGCGAAGGAACGACGGCGGGCGAGGCATGCGATTAATTTTGATGCGTTGTAGAATGGCACTTGTGGACTGTGGGGCGGGGCTTTTTGGGTCTGGTATCATGTATGTATATACATTCCGGCCAGCCGGGGGTCATCTCTCAACCGGAAAAGAGCTGGGGTCCGTTCAAAAATCCCGCATAGCTGCTACTCTCCCCTTGCAGTCCGATAAGTTCGAGGTTCGTGCGTACCATTCGCCGGGCCGTTTCGGTCGGGACTGGCGCGGGTGCGGCGAGCGTAACGCTTATGCGCGCATCACACGCAAAATGGCGTTCACCATCCCATGTCATTCTGCAACCGCATTTGCATCCCCCACCGTCCTGCCGGCCCCTCTCGACCTGCAACCGAATGCTTCACCTTGCGCTCCATCCGTTTTGCCTCTTTGGCACCACATCTGCATTCCTCCGTCCTCACCCCGCAACCGACTGCTCAACCCCCTTCTCTATCCGTCCCTCCACCCCCTGCCCCGCCCTCGCCCCCGCCCCCGCCCCCACACTGCCGACACCGATCCCACTAAACCCCAACATCTCCCTTAACCCCTGGTTCTCCTTACTCAGCCCCGCCAGGAGCGCATCGGTATCGGTATCGTCCGCGGCGGCGACGGCCTGGCGCATGACATTGAGACAGGTGCCGAGGTGTGAGCGGAGGGTGGCGTTTTCGGCCCGGAGGTGGGTTATTGTGCCCTGAGTGCGGAGATGGGTGTTAGACGGGGGTGGGAATTGGGATGGGCGGAATAAGGGAGGACGTACCCGTTCGTCTTTTAGTGACCGTTCCATGCGGATCTTTTGCTCGTGTTTGTCTTTTTGGATTGATTGCTGCATACACGAATAGAATGAGTTCATGCCCAATCTCTTCGTGATGCATCGATTGATGCAAGCGAGGAACTCTGTATGTCGATTCAATCAAGAGGGTCTCATGCTCCGGAGACTCACCGCCTGACTCCTAAACTTCCCCATAACGACTTCCAGCGTCGTCTCGTACTGCTTAATGATCTGGTTCAGGATCTGGTTCTCTTTTTGCAGTTCTAAGTAGCGCGTGTCAAAGTCTGGAGATATGCGTTCATGTCTTTAGCTTTAGACGATGATGCGCACCAGATGCGTGGTAAATCCCTCTACCTCCTAAATATGTCGTTGGCGGCGCTTCGGGCTCTGCTGGCGGCTGGGACGATTTGAGCGTCGCGATCTCGGCCTGGACCACAAAAGGAAGAATATGAGCTTTGGTGGGTCCCAACCCATATGAGACATGCAAATAGCTTCGGCGGGAAAGGGGAGAAGAGGTTTATGACCCAGTTGTAGCGCACCTTTAGGCTCTCGACGACTCGAGCCATCTGCAGGGCGAGCTCCTGGCTCGTGCGCCATTTCTCGCACAGCTGGGCGAACTTTTGCTCTAGCTCGTCCTCTGCCATCTTCCGTGTGCTGGGGTGTGAGTGGGACAAGACAGCGGGAGTAAGGTAAGGGAGTGCTGTGCCTGTGCTTGCTGTATCGCTGGTTGGAAAGCGTTTGTCCTGTCCTGGCACTTATGATTGCTTATCAGTTGCTGGTGAAGTTGCGAAAGCTCGAAGACGGTCAACACTCCGGAAGGCCTCGTCTCATTCCTGGTCTCATTCCTTCTCCCCTTTCCCAAAACACCTCACAACAAAGTACATACAACACAATGCACATAATACTAACAGCAGCTCGCAGCTGCACACATCGCTCCGCCCGGCTGGCCTCGCACTCCACCATAACCGCCATCCTCTTCGCCCTCCCATCTTCATCCACCGCCAGAAGAACAACAACAGGATGGAACCCGCAACGTCACCAACGGTCAACGCCAACGTTGCTATTGCACACGATACCACCGATACCGCCGGTGGGCAGTCATAATAGCATGGGGAAGCTGCATATGCGGACGGGGGATGTGCAGCCGGGGATACGGCCTTCTGCAGGTGCGGGATGGCGGGAGACGCGCGGAGTAGTTGTGGTGTGGTGTGGTGTAGTGTGGGTTGACGGATGACGAAGGAGAATGGGGAACTGATTGTGGAGTTTGCTGAATTGTAGATCTCGCGGAGTATAAGAGCCAGGTCCGGCAGATGAAGAGAGAGGCGTCGGAAGGTATGGAATGGACGGGTGGGTTAGGAGGAGAAACCGGGATGGCCATGTCGAAGAACTGACCCGTCACCCGCATACTTCAGTGAAGCAACGGGTGAACGCAAAGCGGACGCTGCAGGGATCGCAGAAGGTTGTCGGTTTGGCGATGATCAGGTATGGGGCACTTGACGGCCGGGTCCATTACGCACGAGACGATTAACCGAGCGAATGCCCCTTGTAGCAACATCGCATTGTTCTCCGGGAAGCTGTATGCAGCATGGCAGTCTGGGTCGGCGTCGATGTTCTCGGAGGCGCTGCATTCGCTGGCGGATGGTATGTTTGGGCGTATGCGCGAGTAAGCCACTCATCCCAGGAGTTCTGGACTACCAAGGAATGTGACTGTCGAGCTAATCACACGTTTCGCTTATTTCATTTGTAGTGCTGAACGAGAGGTAAGCTGGTGCCAAGAGGAGGAGAAGGGCAAGTCGTGCACGCAGAACCGTAGATCTCGTTCCAGTGGGAGGGTCGCATTGTAACCAGCCTTCTCCCTGTACAGTCTGTTGATGTGGGGTATATGGAGATCATTACGGCAGCCAGGTGGGTGAATAGATCCTGGCATTCAGACTGTTTCTCAACATCGCCTAGTCTGGGCGACGAATATCTAACAACCGCCTCCGTCGTCCCTCAACAGATCCACAACATCCATACGGCTTCACAGCTGAGCGCTACGCGTGGGCCCTAGTAAGCGGAGTAGGTGGGTATGCGTAGGTCGTTTACGTGTTTCGCGCGGGATGTTGGAGTGTCAGGACTCAATGTATCTGGCATGTTGTTCGGCAGGCATCTTCTTCCTGGGCGGCGGCGTTTCCCTCTACCACGGCATCAGCGGCCTCATGTCCGCCAACCACGTGTTGGGCGACATGACGTCGTCGTGGTGTGTCCTTGGCGCATCGTTGGTGTTTGAAGGAGGTGAGTATGCGAGAATTGAGAAGCCTGGTTGGTTCATGGGTGTTAATCGAAGACTGCGTGAAACTGATTTCCTTTACTTGTTTGACCTACAGCTACGATGACGTATGCGTACAAGCATATTGCCCAGAGCGCGCGGACGGCTGGTGTGAGCGTTACGGAGTAGGTGTTCATTTGTTGACTTTGATTGTCATGCATGGGGAAGCGTTTGCTGATGCTTTCTGGCTCGACTATGATAGCTACCTAAAGAGGGGCGCCGATCCCACGGCCGTGCAAGTCTTCGCCGAGGTAAGGATTCACGGGACGGCATGCTTCGCATTGATCCCCCTCCACCCACTCACAACCCATCCCACCGACTCCCCTACACAGGATTGTGCCGCCGTCTCAGGCGTCGCCATCGCGGGCACCTGTCTCGGTCTCACCAAACTGCTCAACAACCCCATGATCGACTCCCTCGGGTCCATCACCATCGGCATTCTGCTCTCGGGCGTCGCTGCGTTTTTGATCAAACGGAACATTGCTGGGTTGGTGGAGACGAGGATGCCGGTGGGGAAGGAGAGGGAGATTGTGGAGGAGTTGGAGGCGGATCCAATTGTTAGGTATGCTCTTGGGGGAGTGAAGGTTGGGGAAGCTGTCTTGCGGGGCGGAATCAAGTTCCTGATACTGTATGTTTTGAAGCTCGGTACAGGACGTGAAGTCGACCGCCCTCGGTACAGAGTCCGCGCGGTTCAAAGGTATGCCTTTGCTTCTACACTACCCCACCTCTTCCACCATCTCAATCCCCATCCCCACTCCGCAGCCGAAATCCTCTTCAACGGCGAAGAAGTAACGCAACGCTACATCCAACGCAATCGCGCTCACTTCCAATCCGAAATCGCACTCTTGAAAACACTCACCACCGAAAAGGAGATTGAGGAGTGGACGAAACGACAGGGCGGGAGGATCGTGAGCACTTTGGGGAATGAGGTTGATCGGTTGGAGTTGAAGATTATTGTGAGTTGTTCAGAGGGAGATGGGGGCGGAGGGAAAGGGATGTGTGCTGATTTTTGGGTGTGTTTAGACAAAGCGGCCGGAAGTGAAGCATATTGATTTGGAGATGTAAGTCTTGTGCCTTGTCGTTTATGAGCAGGTGAAGACCCTCTTCTCTTTTTGTGTAACCCTTCCAAACCCTCTTAGATTGTGAAGCACCCGTCGAATGTTCTATATACGTACACCATCGCAGGATCTGCCCACCGCCCGTGATATACCTACTATGCACATACACGTCGGCAGTCCAGCACATAGGTTCCGTTTATGTAGATACGACGCATCTTCCTGTAATATAGTGTACACTTCTATGAAACTTCGTTGCCTGGGCCATGAACCGCTGGGCTGCTTCAAATCCACATTACGCAGCGAGACCTCCGCCTCCGGTCACAGTCTCCGGTGGTGGTGTCCGGTGAAGCCATCGGTCGCGCAGATTAGGCAACACGCGAGTGAATGTGCGGTTTTGATCAGCGGCGCTAATCACGCGCCATCATTTATTGGTCTCGCGCGCTCAATCGACTCGACGCGCCGGAGACACTGACACACAAGACATCCATCCGTCATCCCTGTCGACCTCCTGTGGACTCGCAGCAGGACGCTTGCAAAATTGGTATATAAAGGCAGGCATAGGTCGCCCCGCAGTGCTCAGGAAGCAAAATCCTCACTCATTAGTTCGCACAGAATAGACTCCTATATTGTGCGCCCGAGATCATCGCCTACCGCACTTTCGACACTTCACACGCCAAAAAAACCAAAAATATGAGCGCCTGCCGTCGAGTTGTGCTCTTGAGAGCCGTTGTCCCCAAGCCTTCCATCGCGGGAGCGCTTCGGGCTCAGCCTCTCTCTCGTACCTACTCTGCAGGACCCGCTGCTGGTCAGCCGTCCAGTCCTCCCCCGCCGCCTCCAAGCAACAGCGGCGGCAGCAGCAAAGGCCTTCTCTACGGCCTCGCGCTCGCCGCAGCCGGCGCCGGCGGCTACTACTACTACCAGTCCACCGGAGGCGATATCACTGCCGGCGCGAACCCAGAGCGCAAGAACATCAAGAAGAACATATTGAGCCCGGCGGATTACCAGAAGGTGTACGAGGATGTGGCCAACATTCTTGATTCGAACCCGGATTACGATGATGGGAGCTATGGGCCGGTGCTTATTCGGTTGGCGTGGCATGCGTCAGGGACTTATGACAAAAACACGGGGTCGGGAGGATCGAATGGTGCCACTATGCGGTTCCCTGTTGAGGGTGAATGGAGCGCGAATGCGGGGTTGAAGGTTGCGCGTAAGTCCGTCGTTTTGACATTTGGCAACCTGTTAGGATGACACTCATCAGTCGATGTTTCGTTTTCTAGGTGACATCTTGGAACCGATCAAGGTACGAACATTGCTGATGAGTTCTCCAAATCATGATTCCCTCGTTCAAACAGAACACCTTCTTGGTAATTAGAAAAAATGGGGCGACGCTCTAAGCTACTCTGATCTCTGGATCATTGCCGGAATCGCCGCCGTACAGGAGCTGGGCGGACCCACCGTAAAGTTCCGTCCCGGTCGCGTCGACTCCTTGATAGACACAAAGATCTCGACCGGTTTACCAGATGCCACCAAAGAGGATCCCAAGCACAGCCGAGACATCTTCTACCGCATGGGGTTCAACGACCAGGAAATTATCGCACTCCTAGGCGCCCACTCCTTGGGCCGGTGCCACGCTGACCGCTCCGGTTTCGATGGACCGTGGACGTTCTCGCCAACGACCTTCAGCAATGACTACTTTAAGCGTCTTCTGGGTGAGACGTGGGTGGTCAAGAAATGGAAGGGTCCTAAGCAGTATGCGGATAAGGCTACGTCTCAATTGATGATGCTGCCGGCGGAGATTGTGTACCCCAAGGACAAGGAATTCAGGTAGGTTTTGATCTGACATTCGGACGAAGCGCATCAACTGATGTCGATACTGATGTTTTCCGCGACGTATTTCGCAGGAAATGGGTCGAGACTTACGCGAAGGATGAGGAAAAGTTCGCTCAAGACTTTGCAAAGGCGTTCGAGAAGCTGACGGAGCTTGGCGTACCATTTCCGGCAGACACCCCGACCATCCAATTCAAGCGTCTCGAGTAGATCCACGCATGTACATGAAACGAAGCGCGTGCTGGCCGCGAATATGAGGGTGTTTGGATCCTGCTTTGTATAGCCTCGTATTTTTTTTTTCACAAATGAAACCTATACTCGAAATACAGTGCTGTTCATAAAGCAAGACCGCATTTGACAGTGCCGTCAGAGAAACCATAGCAGCTAGAGGAGGATTCACTAGATACAGTACTAAGGCGTAGATCTATATGGAGAGGCGCGTCCAGGGGGCCGGTGAATTGAATTGACAGCGGTCTTGCTTCATAACAGCACTGTATGTAGGCAGTGTTCTGGAGGATTGGCCCGAGCCGCATTCCCGTCATTCATCAGCCTCCTGCTTGTATATCATTCCCATACACCCTCAGGAGCTCCTCTCGCCAGGAACTTTATTTTCGAAATGGAAGCACGAGGGCAAATCATCAAGACACGGCAGCTCGGCGAAATTGCTTTTTATGAGCCTTGTGCCCGGTTTAACAGCAGACCCAAGTACTGTATGTCCTGCAATTTCCGGTGCAGCAACTGTTTTTCCTTGACCTCACGGGCTGAGGCGGAAAGATTCAAAACCTGTAATTCAATCTGAATAACCACTCGACGCGAATGGGGAATGGTGTTTTATACATCGCGTGATGCAACGGCCCTGATTTTCCGTCTAACGGGTCTTGTACCTCCCTGCTGCTTTTCACCTGCTCTATATTGGTGCCTAATCTCGGTTCGGATATGTCTTTCTCTGCTTGCTCTTATGATTCTCATCGCACGTAAAACTTGCCTCACGCGCGTTACATAAGCACCAACCGACGCGTTTCCAAAACTGTCAATCTCGCGCTAAAATGTGTCCATCTGTCTTTGCATAATCCAGATCCGACGGTAACGTAAGGGTGATTGGATTTTTGGAGTTGGAGATCGATTCCGGGCAAGAGGGATGGGAGAGGGTTAGGAAAGGAGCAGGAGAGACGAAGGAGAGAGGAAGGAAGGCGACAGGAGACTAGCGAGATTCGTTTCTATGCAGACAGGAGAGCAAGGGCTCAAAAGGAGAAACTGGTCTTATTGAACCCGAGGGTCTGAGCGAAAGGCATACCATCAATGAGGAAAGAAATCTGCTAACAACTCTGACACCGTTAAAAAGCGGCCCACCAGCAGCTGCCCCTGAAACTTTCGACAGCGTTCCGCAGTTTCCATCGCTGACATTCAGGAGGGCACATGCGGGGCGTGACTAGAAATGGGTAACTCGTGCTAAATGTGGGTAGCTCACCTCCAGAATAAGACTTTTTTGCAGCGAAAGTGAACCATTTGACTAACAAACCTAACCCCTTTGCCTTCGGTGAGTCGGCCTTACCCGGCCTCCTACAATCAGGGTCTACTCGCTCCGCTCGGCAGCTGTCTAACTAGTCTAACCCTAACCCGAGTTACTCACATTTAGCACGAGTTACCCACTTCTAGTCAATCCCGCACATGCGTTGTTACCCACTCGCAGTACTCCCGTCTGCTTATGACCACGGAGTCTTATGACCGAGTCGCGAGTACTAAATCTATGTATTGCGGGCGTGCATAAAAGTTGTGGCGTAAGGCGAGCGAGGCATAATCGAACCACGTCGCCAACAACTCCAAGCGCATGGGCATACTATTCACAGGCCATCGAAGGACATCAATCGATGTTCTCGGCCTTCTTCGGCTTAGCAGCAAAGAACTTCTCCAAATACTCCAACTCCTTCCGCTTATCCACCCGATGGCTCCGAGTATTATCTCTGGCATTGGAGCACCAAGTAGACCAATCCATATGATCCTCGCCCATAGTCCCCCCACGCTCTCCCACAATCTTCCAGTACGTTTTCGTGTCATCCACATGTAGAAACGTCATATGCGTATTCCCCCCGGCGGCAGCGTCCTCCCCGCTCTCATCCAATATATCAGCGGCCCGTTTCAGATCCTTTGCAGTAGATTTCATTTGATCGGCCCAGCTTCTCAGAGCCGCTTGTGTAGTGTTGGTAGATGCGAGGTGTTCGCCAAAATCGTCGCCTTGTTTTCAATGGGCGCTGATGTGGATGCGGCCGGGGTCGGGGAAGGAGCCGTCTTCTGCCATCCAATTGGGAAGCGGGGAGGGGAGGGCTTCGTCGTTTTCGTCGTCTTCCGTGTTTGAACGAGCTCGGGATCTGGCGTATAGGATGGGATGCGACGTGAATGGGCGTGGAGAGGCTGCAGTCCTGAGGGAGCCGAGAGAGAGGGGTGCGGGCGGAGCTGTCGAAAATCCCAACAGACGGAGAAATTGTGGGGTTGGCGGTGACTTCGGCGGACCTGGAAGGGAATCCGGAGACGCACGAAGGTGGATCAAGAGACTGCAGTCCGGAACTTGGAACGCGCGACACGCGCGTTGGACATGACTTCATTGACAAGCGCAAGATGCAGAAGACGGCGACTCCTTGGACGTTTACTATTAAGGCATGAAGATGCTGCACGGTTAGCCGGCCTAAGAATCCTAGCCTAAGGAATGCAGAGAAATTGTGTGTTGGATTGTGCTAGCGGAGCCGGACTTCCCTACCACGCCAGGGGCGGAACCTCAATTTCCTTGGCAGACTGGACAGGATGAAAGCTACAAAAGGTGACAGGCGGCCGACTGTATCGGAAAGGGCATCGCAAACCATGATCAGAATGTGAAGTCGCCGCCGAATTGCGATTGAATACCCCTTTCTTGCGAGCAGGAGCATCCGCGGGGCCGATCTTTAAGCCATCCTTTTCGATGCCAGTCCCCCGCGCGTCTCCATCGCCCAACCCCATCCATTGCAGCCGTCCTCCGACTTGTCCAGCTGCACATCCAGGGACACTGATAACCCATTCGCCAAAGTTGTCCAAACCAGCGTCGGAAGTAATATGCCCCACTGTTGTCCAGGGTCGAGCGCATCACACATAGATTCACATGATTCAGAATGCAATCAAGAGACTATAATGTATTTGATGTGGCAAAAAGGATTTTCCCTCCGTCTCGCCGCAATCCACGCGCCTGTACACGACCCCTCCACCCCAAGATGATGAATTCCTCATTGAAGAGAGATTTATTCTTGGCTACCGACAGGGAACTCGAAGACAACATCCTTTCCAGTGAGCTTCTTGTATGTGGAAGAGAAGGTCTCGAGCTTGTACTCAAGGGAAGTGTGGTCCTTGCGGTCCAAGAAACTGTGAAATGGGGTCGGTCAGAAAACAATGAGTCGAACGGGAAACAAAAAAATCGAACGGAAGCCTGATTACTCACACTTTGATCGTCTTGCTACCGTCAACACGCACTTGCGTCCTCTTGCCGACAATCTCGGTAGGGTAGACCAAATCCTCCAAGAGGGCCTCGTGGACAGCGGTGAGAGTGCGGGAACGGGGGCGGGGTTGGTGGACACGAGCCTTGCGGGTAGGCTTGCGCAGGATACGGCGCTGGGCAACAAGGAGGACGTGACGGTCGGAGAACTTCTTCTCCAACTCGCGAACAAGGCGCGTCTGGACCTTGTGGTACTGCTTGACGAGAGGGACGGGGACGAAGATGATGATGGCCTTCTTTCCGTGACCGACGTCAACCTGTTTTCGTGACAAGCGAGAAGCGATCAGCTTCCTTTTTCCAGACCACCCTGCCATTCCACAATTCCAGGGAAAAGGTCGGCCGTTTCGAAATTACCTCCTTGGCGCTGACGAACTGGAGACCCATAAGGTCCTCCTTGAGCTCAGGCACGTTGGACTCGAGTTCCTGAATGTTCTGAGCAACTTGGAGCTCAAGCTCGTCTGGCTCTTGGCCGTTAGGCTTCACGATCTTCGACCTGGCGGACATGGTGACTGGCCTACATTCGGGGCAAGAATCGGGTCAGCGAGCCTGAATTTTTGCGCATAGCTTCCGCACTCCTCCTCCATATTCTCTTTGGCACACTGTCGTTCGTCTTCCCATTATGCTTCCACCAGAGTGTGCTCATTTCGAGGGCCTAAAACCCCGAGCCTGCACAATGAAATATACGCTGATGTCGTAGAGTCGAATGTTGTCGTAGATGAACTGGCTGGCACGCTGATAGTGTTGCAAGACCTTCGTCGGGTTTCCGAGCATAGTCTCCCTCCCCATTCGCCCATTTCCATTTTCAATTCGCCATTCCCCATTCGGCCACTATTCTCTCTCCCTCTCCTTCCTTCGTCGATATCTCGTCCATTATCCCTCGCCGCTGTGCCGTATCGTCGAACATACGTCTGTCGTTCCCCAACTGCGATGGATGGATGGATGGATGGATGGATTGCCTGCCTTTGTCTACTCACCAGATATATGTGTCGATTGAAGGGGTGGGAATATGAGCTTATGGCGGCCTTGTCAGGCGTAAGTGCACAGCGCACCGAACGCGGGTTTAATGCCAGTCACGTGTATAAGCGACAGTGACAGCACATGGATTATATTGGAGGTCTTCTTTCTCATCACTGTCATTGGGGGTTCATACATGCTGGACGGACCACTCCGCCTTCATAAAGACTCCCCTCGTCATACAACAAATGGGACCTTCGAGAGTGTGTGCTTCCCTCGCAAAATGTCTTCCGGCATTTGAAAGATGTCATCCCAAATCATCAGGGAAAGTAGGTCTACAGGCTACTTACGGGGTACATCTACAGAAAGCATGAACGATTTGCGAGAGCCCTGAGCAAACCAGAAGGTCAGCGGCAATGGCACACATACTCCAGGGTAGAGTATCGAGGAAACCCGCATGCTTACTGTCGTTCGGGAAGCGCCATAGTTGGCTCCGTAGGCGTCTGGAACTCGATATAGCATCGGTGCGTAGGGCGCTGAAAAGTTAGTTTGAGGTGCGCATCCTGCACTCAGGACACTTGGCAGAAAATGAGAGGATCTGGTCGGTCACCTGAGGGGGTTAGTAGGAGGGGAAGTGGGAGTGGGCTGGGTCTGGGTCTGGGGGGCATTTGAGGGCGGGGTCGGCGGGGACGGGGAAGGCGAGGAGGGAGGGGTTTGGGTATGGGATGTGAGCGCAGTTTGCGCCAGAGGGCTGATTCTGAGCGATGTACGGGGTGCAATGTCTCAATTCCTCAAACCATGACAGTCCTCAGTAAGAGAACCTGCCGAATTCGCATGGTTTAACGAAACTTTTTGATGCATGCATAACATACGCATGATAAGTGTGAACAGCATGTCCAACATCCTTCATATCCTGAAGAACCTGGGAAATGAATAACTGCGATGCGTGCCCGCCGTCGGGGTGTCCAAGCAACCTGACGGGGGGGAAGTGCCTCTGCGGAGTCACTGTGATGCGCGGTGTCGCTTTCCCATTTCTCACAGCGTTATTGCGATTAGGGTGACAACTGGCACGATCTCGTCACGGTGATCAAAAGTGCTGCAAACGCTATTCCGCTACCCCACCCATCTTGCCGAAAACACTGTCCCATCGCCAATACAACAGTGGGCGGACCGGCATCCAATACCCACGTAACTTGCACTTGCCGTCTAGTAGGGGAAATCGCCAGCGTTTCTCTCGCCACATACCGTACATACACAGTGTCTATAGGTCATTTCTCCCGCACCCTCAAGAAACTCGCCAGGAATTGTGGACAGTCAGAACATGTTGGTTTGTCCTGACTATACCGTCTCGTTATCGTAAGCGCAGCGTTTGTTAGAGTGAAAGTCGGGTGAGTCCTGGTTTTTGGGACAGAGACAGGATACATAGGTGGTCTTGCTCCCGCTTCTGTCCTGCCTTGCTCATGCCCATCCTCCTTCTCAGCCTCTCCATACGCTGGTCTCTTCTGTCCATAGCTGCGACTCCATAGACGATAATCTTCATCGATTCCCTCCGGAAAATGGATCGAAGTCACTTAACAGCGCCTCAACAGGAACAGCGACCGACCCACCTACCTACCGGGTCTTCAGCTAGTGGTCGTTTCCTGGAGGATTTGCTGAACGAATACAACTATCCCTCTGCGACGAATAGCCCTCTAACGTCGCGCGTAGGGAGTGCAGCATCAGTGGCAGATGATCCGTCCCTCCAACTCCCGGCCAAACCACACAAATCGACGCGTCGCAATGAGGCGACACCGCTGAAGCAGGTGTCCATAGCGCCCGATGCGTTTCCTTCCTCCGCCTCATATGTGGGATCGTCTCGAGGGGCAGGGCCGGGACCTTTTCAAGTGCAGCACTCATTGCGTTCCGCTCCACTCCCTGGCGATGCCATCAAACCCACGCTGAATCCCCCGGACATTAGAGTAGGATCATATGACCCTCGACCCCCATTCGCTGGAGACCAGCCACTACCATGGCAACAGTCGCGCGAGGCACAGTCTGGCTCTTGGACTAGGAACGCTCCAAACGTGACACCGCGGATGGGTGTTCAGTCTTTCGAGGATTTATCGCCGACGACACACCCTAGGCCTTATGGTGGATCTTCCTTGGCAATACCAGAGGGACACACTCCCATATCAAAGTCCGCAGATGGGCTCAATCGTGCGATGAGCGGGTCATCCGCTATGCGCGACGCCCGCAGCCCTCTTTCCTCCAACAGGACCCCTTCAGCGACACATTCCGCACCTGGGACGAGTCAGGAGCATCTGGGACTAATAGCGGAGAAATGGAACCCGGACTCGAAAGAGAAGAAAAAAGGTTTCATGTCGCACCTTTTCGGCCGGCGGAAGGAGAAGCCAAAAGAGGCGGATATGGGATCGGATTCGAGCACCGGAAACTATGGAAAGCGGCCTGATGAGTTTCCCAGCCGGAATGAGTTGATTGATCCCTTTTTGGGCGGTGTCTTACCACCGAAGCCAGCAGGCATGAGCTCGTTCACGAAACGGAAACAGGGCAAGGTGCGGTTCCGAATCTGTGTTTGCTGCGACGTCACGACAGCATGCTCACATGTTTTCTTAGACTCGGGAGGGAAGCTCGTCTGACAAGCAAGTTCAATGTGAGTCAAAGCTCTCCGTTACGGTTTTGTTGCTGTATGCTTTCGCTGACTCCTGCATACCGTCACCTGACGAAATTCTAGTGGACCTTGCCGGCTTCTCGATGGACCCTGCATATGTGCCTCTAGATCTGGTCTCTATCAACAGCCCTCTGGAGAGCGCCAACACGAGAAACTTTCCCGGTGGCGAACTCGAGAGCCCTGGGATGATGAGACCTGGTGCAGCAGCGTCCTCCATCTCGCCAAATTCACGAAACAATATGAACCTTACGTCTCCAGCGTTATCAACATGGCAACCACCAGAGAGTTGGGGCACACGCGTGGAGGATCGATTACCGGGCAAATTGGGGCCTACGGATGGACCCAGAATGGCAAACGTGGATGCCAACTCCATACGGTCAGCAGCATCGTACGGACAACCCAATCCAATATTATACCGGCCACACGAGGCCAGGCATGACGATATAGCCATCGACACCCGTTACGAAGTAGAATCCATCAAAGAGAGCATTGCTGGCGACAAAGTGGTAAGTCTTTTGGTGTCATGTCTATACTAGGGAATGGAATTCAGTCCTCAAACGGTATTCAACCTCAGGGCGCACTTCGTCTTTTCAGGCGCGACGGGACGTTTGCGACCGTGTCTTGCCGAGAATCGACTACTGCTGGCGAGCTGCTGATGATTATGGCGAAGAAATCTTTGATCAGCGATTTTTCGAAATTCAATATACATATTGCGCGGAATGGCACGGGTACGTCGGGAGGGTGTTTGATAAGTCGGGAGAGACTTGACCGCTGACTGGAACGGAGCAGAACGCGTGCTAGCGCGTCATGAGCGGCCACACCTCATTCAGCGCCGGTTATTCGAGCAGCTGGGGTACACCCGCGTGGACAAGATCGAGTTCCTAGGAAGGGAGGATCACTCGTATCTGTGTAGATTTATTTTCAAAGAAACGGCGTTCGGGAATGAAATCGTAAGTTTGACCGAGTTTGGTACAGCCGAGCATCCCTTCCTCGTTATAAAGCCCTCTCTGCTTCCAGTCGGCCGACTTCTGGAAATCATCAGCATTCAACCCAGCGACATTATCGCTCGCTAGAATGAATCTGTCTGCGGTGCCACTGACGATATTCCGGTTCGCACATGAGATTGTACAGATGGACCTCTCATGGAACCCGAACATCCATGAGATCCCAAATGATCTAGCTCTCACGATGGACTCTATGCGGTCCATCACGTTGGCGCGAAACGAAATCTCAAAAGTTCCGAGGTCGCTTCAGTATATCACGAGACTAAGCGAGATCGATTTGTCTTATAATCGAATCGACTCGTTGGACGACACGGGATTGGGGAGTTTGACCGGCCTGACGAAGCTTCGTTTGGCCGGAAACCTGCTCGAATTCGTTCCTGACGATATTGCGCGGGGCTGCAGACGGCTGCAGCTAATCGATTTGTCGAATAACCGGCTCACTGCTTTCCCGCTGACGCTATGTCAGTTATGGGAGACGCTGCAGCATCTCGACCTAAACTTCTGCCGGATCGAGGGGTTTGTTCCAGAAGGCATTGGGGAACTTCGCAATCTGATGGTGTTGCGCATGGCGGGCAACCGGATGCGAGGTGGACTTCCTGGGCGGATGGCGGACATGAAGGAGCTTCGGATGCTGGATCTCCGTGGCAACACTTTTGGCTGGGCCAATAACGAGGAAATGCCCGTCATGGAGGTCTTGGCCACATGTCCGAAGTTGGAGACGCTCTACCTGGATGCAAATCGGATTAAGTGGATTGGGCCATGGAAGGCGCGGTCTCCTCACAGGGATACTGTCCCCCCTCCGTCGGATTTCGATATGTTTGACAACGACGACGATATCTCCTCTGCGCCCGGCGCCGCGCCGCTGGAGTTCACATCCCTTAAATACCTCTCGATCGGATTCCAACTGGACCTCTCACACGCCCGCCCGATGATGGCACACTTCTCAAACTACGCTGCTACACTCGCGGACCTGAATTTGAGTTCATGTGGGATCGAGATGCTGCCCAAGCGGTTCTTCCAGAGACTGCCGGCGGTTCTGAGACTCAATCTGGGTGGGAATCGATTGCGGGACCTGCCTGATTTCATGGCGCCTCCGCCGAACAATTTCCCGACCCGGTTGCCGTTGCAGGAGCTGCTGGTGAATAACAACTTTTTGGAAGATGTGCCGCCGGATATTGGGGATTTGGATCGGTTGGTGGTTCTTGACCTGAAGAGCAATTACCTGCGGGAGCTGCCGTCGGAGATATGGCGATGTCGAAGTCTGAAAGTCTTGAACTTGAGTTCGAATCGGCTGGAGGTTTTCCCGATGCCGTACCCGGAAGATGGGACGGTACTAGTTTCCATGAACACGCAGCAAACCATGGGTCGAAGCGGCGGCTTCAGCTACGGCAAAGGAGCGTCAGGGACACTAAGCCGCGCTGACCACTTCTCCCAATCTGCCCAATCGCTCAACACCATCTCGGACCAGATGCCCAACCTGCCACCACTCAGCCACTCGTTGCAACAATTGTATCTTAGCGACAACTACCTAGGCGATGACCTGTACATGGCCCTGTATCATCTTCCCAACCTGCAAGCCCTCCATGTGTCTTTCAACGAAGTCACCGATATCACGTCGTGGGTGGTCGCTATTCCCGTTCCTGTGCCGATGGTCCCCTGGTTCTACAAACTGCAAGAGCTGCATCTGAGTGGGAATCTCATTACGACACTTCCGGCCGAGATAGAGCGTATCCGCAACCTCAAATCATTGTTTCTGAACGCCAACAAGCTGAGCACTGTGCCGGGAGAAGTCGGCAAGCTAAAATCCCTAGAAGCGCTAGATTTGGGAAGTCAGGTCGGTGCCAGGGGAGAAGGCACCGGGCTGCGATACAACGTCTCCAATTGGCCGTATGACTGGAACTGGAACTGGAACCTCGATCTCAAGTACTTGAACCTGTCTGGGAACAAGCGACTGGAGATCAAGCCGTCTGCGAGTGCGTCGAGTTTCTTTTCCGGCGCGGATCTTGCGCAGGCCGCCAACCAGACGTCGGCGGTTGCGGGACACAAGGTTGGCGCTAAAGGCGGAGGAGCCATACAGGCCCCGGCGACGTCGGGTGCGTTGGTGGCCAACCCGTCTCAGAAGCGGAGGGACTTGACCGATTTCAACGCATTGACCAACCTGCGTCTTTTGGGGTTGATGGATGTGACCTGCTTGATTATGCCGCCGGATGAAAGCGCGGAAAGGCGTATCCGTACCACGGGCTCTGACATGTCTCTGCTTGGGATACGGGGAGGGGTCATCCGGTACGGAGTTGCGGATATGCTCTCGCGACCTGGACAAACTGGGAAGAAGGACAGAGCTGGCATCACGGAAGGTGCATCCGAAGGTCAACATCCATTGTCTACGAAGCTGGAGCCCGACAATTTCGCGGTTTGGGATCTCGTGGTACCGAAATTCAGAGGACGCGACAACGAAGCCCTTTTCGCCGTGTTTGATGGGAAAGGAACTCGAGGGGGAGCCAAGATGGCCAAATATCTCAATGAGTGGTTTGGATGGTTCCTGACTCATGAATTGGAAAAGGTTGAAAGAGTGGAACCGTTGTCGGAGATAGGTTCAAGTCAGCACGTAACGTCTTCTGCAAGTACGAAGCCGCCAAACGTCAAAGGCCCCACTTCCGCCAGCGAGCGGTCGCCAGAGTCGCATTTCTTAGACCCAGAGTCTATCCGCACAGCTTTGAGACGGACGTTTATTGCAGTCAACAGGGAATTGGGGTCTATGCACGACGATCTGGACGAAGGCTTAGGTGGACCGCAATTGCAACATCGCAGTTCCAATGAAGGTCGTCGACAAGACCAGCCCCGAAACGGGACTTCGAGAAGCAATAAGCGGACCGACTCGTATGGGATTCGGCCGCTTTACGGTGCCTCGGCGCTGGTCGTTTTCCTATATGGGCAGCCTGGCGGCCGCTCGCGCGGAGCCAAGTGCAGTATGTACATCGCGAACGTCGGTGACAGCATGGCTGTCATTTCGAAAGCTGGCGGCGTTGCGGACATTCTGGCGAAGCACCACGCGATGGACTTTGTGGCAATGAGCAAACTGGACCCCTGTGCACCCCTCGGCCGAACGCCCAACTTCGACGCGGGGCCGAAGTCGGCTGGTAGTGACAGCCTGTCAGGCCGGCTATCGCTTGACGGAGATCTCGAAGACCCGTCCCTGTTACAAGATGACAGTAGATATCCCTGGCCCCGGAGTGAACTCGAACGAGTGCACAATGCAAGCGGGTGGTTCTCGCCTTCGGGCCTGGTTCAGGATCAAGTGGAACTTACACGTGCGTTCGGGTATTTCCCGCTTTTGGGCCCAGTCAACGCGAACCCCTCCATCCAAACTGTCGAGCTGGACGTCGATCAGGATCCGTCGGACGATACGCGACGACATGGCTCAGATCTGCGGTTGCCTCGGTCTGCAAAACCGGGGGAAGACGATATACCCGAGAGCCCTGCTACTACCGCCTCCGTTGGAGGCGACGAGTTCGTTGTTCTTGCGAGCGGAGCCGTTTGGGAGGCCGCTCGTTGCGGAGGTTCAGACGAAGACGGCGCCCAGATGATGGTGGACATTGCGCGGAGTGCCCTAGCTCCATCAGCAGCTGGAACTGGGATGGGAGGTAACGCCCCGAACACAGGGGCCGGTGCCGGACTGGGTATCAGTGGCGGCCCCGGCATGACGAAGAGCAGCAGCAACCTCGCTGCGGTTCAGCAACAAAGTACCAAATCAAGTGGCGGCTGGGGAATAGCGGCCATGAAAGTTCGCGACGTGGCGCTCAGTTTATCAGGTGGGAAGGCCGGCGGTGGATACCTCGTCATGGTCCTCGGGTTGAGAGATCTTGCAAAGAAGAGCACCTGGTGGAACGCGTCTGGTGCTCGCCGTGGAAGTGCCGAAAGTTCCATCGAAAGTCTTGCCGTTGAGGACCGACATCGCAAGATTACTGGGAGCCAAGACTATGGCTCTACCGTGAGCTTGAAGGAAAAGCGGAGAAAGGGAACCGAAGATCCCCTGGAAATGGTGTGTTTAACTTTCTCGTCATATCTTCGCCTTCATCCCTTTGACTTCCGCAGTCGCTAACCTTGATGGTCCTTCAGCTCACAAAAGAGATCGCGCCGCCCGTCGGTCGGTTGGCTTTGGTGTTCACGGATATCAAGAACTCCACTTCTATTTGGGAAAACAATCCGGTAGCTATGCGGGCCGCTTTGAAGCTTCATCATCAAGTCATGCGACGCCTCCTTCGCCAGACGGGCGGTTACGAGGTGAAGACCGAAGGTGATGCTTTCATGGTCAGCTTCCAGAACGTCATCCAAGCGGTCGAATGGTGTTTGACAGTACAAGGCGAACTGCTGAGCATCGATTGGCCGGCAGAGATCTTGTCGACCGCGGACGGTATGGATATCTGGTGGCAGAAGAAGGGAGGGAGCGAGTTCGTGACCGGTGCCGGACTTGAGCACAACGAAGGCGAGACTGGATCAGACGTCGAGGTGGACATGACGGACGATGACACGACCAAGCCAATCAATCGTGGGGTGGTGCATACGTCACGTAAACGCCGGGAACTCATTTTCCGGGGATTGTCGGTTCGCATGGGTATCCATTTCGGCAATCCGCTATGCGAGGTTGATCCGATCACCTCGCGAATGGACTATTATGGGCCAATGGTCAACCGCGCTGCTCGTGTAGAAGGAGCATCTCAGGGGGGTCAAATACTCATATCCTCCGATGCCATGAAGGAGCTGAAGAAGTCTCTCGGTTGGTGGTACAAGGACACGGTGGAAGGAGCACTGACGGATGCCATCAAAAGCGGCGAGGACTTGACCGACAATATCACTGTGAAAGGGGACACTGCTACCAGCACTGGGGGCCAACATGCTCATGGTCATCCTATGATTGCTGGGCCCAATGATGACGCGGCTCGCTTGAAGAGACTCGGAGTCGTGACTTGGTGTATCGGGGAGATCAAACTGAAAGGTCTCGAGACGCCGGAGGTCATTTATGCGGTAAGCATCGCCTGAGTTTGTGAGCGAGGAAGACAAGGTGCTCACACCATTTCAAATGATGTAGATATACCGAAGGGATCTATTCACGCGACATAGATTCTATTCCCTGGAACAAAGTGGTGGTCTCAACCTCATGACTCAGGTGAGAACACACTTTGTTTTGAAATGCATGCTGTGCATAGTCCAATGCTTAATCTGGTCACAGGCGCAACGCAAATCCGACGATGCGATCGGAGGCTCGCTATTAGAGATCGACCGAGCGACAGTGCAGAGCCTTGGTGCACTTTGCTTGCGACTGGAGTACCTCGCATCACAATGCGGAGATGGCTGGCAGGACTCCAGCTCGTCGTTGGATGCCGCACCTGAAAGCTTAGATGGGGAATGGGCTGTGGAAGGTATCGATGAAGGGGACAGACCGGCTCTCATCAAAGCACTGGAACACATCGTGACACGGATAGAGGTAATACTTGGATTATTATCTTCTGCGCATACAAATGCAAGTCCTTACGCCTTTCGCTCCTTCATCTCCAGAACGCTATCTCGATCGTTCATCTAACGGATTCAGCGTTTTCCCGCGCTATCCAATCCCTCGGGGCGGCAATCGACACCGACCCCAGCCACGTCCTCCGTGCAATCCAGCTCTACGCAGACAAGCTGGAGGAACGCAAACAACGCAAAGCCGAGAAAGAAGCTGCCAAAGAGCTGAGACGAGAGCAACGGAGGCAAAGCAAGCAACGGCAGGCCGAGGAGGAACAACAACTCCACTCCGAAGCAAACAACAACGGCGGCGGAGGGAGGGAGACAAAGACACGGTCGCGGTCCGTTAGCAACACGGAGTCCCTTGCGTCCGCTTACGGGCGCCGGCGGAGAAGCAGTGCGTCGACGGCCCTCCATAGCACGGATGGGAATAGCACGTCAGTGACACGAGAGCAGCGGCGGCGGAAAACAACCCGAGAAGAACTCGAATCGTCGAGCCGCCGGGAACGGCGGTTGGATGAGTGAGAGGACACTGTTTCTTCCCGTTTCACACTCTCTCATCCCCCGGAAGAGGCCATCTTGAGGTTCTGGCCTTCCCTCAAGCATGGCTTTGACTGGTGTGTTGCACTGTACACTAGCTGCCTCAACATATTTTGGAAGCCAAATTTTGGATTTTCTCTTTCATGTAATATTGTTGTTCCATACGCATCATATACATATTGTATCCGGCACCCATCGCTACATTCAGAGCTGCAACATTCAGGTGTGGAAATACGAAAGCCTAATTGCAAATGCAAAGATATTTGATATGCTAGTTTCCTGCAGCCGTCTGAAATGCAAATCTTTCCAAGTTTCTTCCGCATGCTACCTAATCCTGATCCCTTGTCTACTACCGAGTCTGGACATCCCGTTCATTTGCGCCGTCTAAAACAGCGGTATGCCAAAACGCTCTTCATCCCAAGGACCGTGAGCCGTAGCAATCAGAGGTCTCCCGCTGCTCCTCGACCCAAAGCTCCGCCACTCTCGCTACGGCCCGTCCGACGGCAGCCTGACTCTCCATTGTCGAAAAGACGCCTTCAAAGCCATTCAAGTGCCAGGCCCCTTCGTCCAGCTGCACATAGGACTCCTTCGAAAGGTAATCCGGCTTGAGCAGCGGGTAGCTGTCCCACGAATGCCGGAAGACGTTCGCAGGCGAGAAGTCTTTGAAAATCTCCGCCAGGACCTTATCCGACATCCGCTGCAGCGAGAAGATTTTGATGGTGTTGTCGCTCAGCCACGAAAGGGACAGGAATGGAGTGTTGGGGTGGGGCTTCGTCAGGATCTGCACGGGGGGATCTGTTGTCCCGAAATACGCCGGCGATGCAGTTAAATTGGCGATGAGTGTCACATGCAGGTGGACATATTCGATAGGTCGGGGAACCTTCGCAAAATTTTCCAAAAGTATGAACGGCTCGTGTTTCTGCCTTCAGATGTTAGCGACGGAACTGAACTTCTCAGAAGTTCCGGATCTTACCCATGGCACCGCAATAACGACCGCGTCAAAGGTGGAGGTTTGGCCATCCGCAGTCGTGACTTTATAGGCTGAATCTGCATGTCCTTGAACCCTCTGCACCTCCAATACAGAAGAGTTCAGTCGCAATGCGGCGCCTGATTTCGCGACGAAATGCTCGAAGATCTGCTGGTTTCCGCCTTCGACTCTGACCGTCTCTCCGTTTGCGGCGGCCATGCAGATAAGTGCACCCAAGGAATCAATGGCATTGATGTCCTGTGCGTAATTGACCCGTGTAGCGGCCTGAATAATCTCATCCGTGAAGAGCTCCTTGATGTCTCGCTCTTTGAAGAACTTGTCAGCAGGTTCTCCCACGACTTCCGCTAGACCCCAAGATCGGACGAGATCTTGAACTCGCTTGATGTCGGTCGTTGTGCCATACGCGCCATGGGCAAAATCATCAGCGGCTTTGCGGGCGAGCCGAGCGGTCTTTACTGGTGCGAGCCCGTAGCGCCAAAACATCCGCGCGAGGGTCGCAGACGAACTCTTCGACGCTTGGAAGGCAAAACCGTCCCCAGCCCATACTCCCCACGGCGGTCGGCCGCCGCGCACGGAGCGCTCCGCCTCGAAGGTCAGGTTGAATTCCCTTGTTGCATTGTATAAGATTTGATTCTCCTTCTGCAGTGATGCATATTTCATATCTCGGTTAGCAAAAGATGAGCGTTACCACCGATCACCTTGATGTGGGAATATTCACCAAAAAGATCGATGCTCCCAACTCCACACTTATGCCATTGTACTCCCAAGCCATCGCTCGACCGCCAACGCGGAGAGAAGCCTCTAGTATCGTTATGGAAACATCATCCTGCACCTTGGACCGGCCGAGGGAGTATGCGAAACTTGTCCCAGCCGCTCCAGCGCCTGCAGCAGCTAGATCAATCTCCCGCTCGGAAGCACCGTTGGTGATTCCTCAGTACGCGATCCTTACCGATGACGGCGATGCGCTTCGGACTGCTGCATGTGCTAGCAAGCGGCACCTGTTTACCACGGCCAAGCGCGCCATAGCTGCCCAGCAAGCACACGAAGATGAAGCAGGCCGCTGAGATGCCCCTCAACTTCATTTTAACGTCCAACTACCGCCCTCCAGATGGCGTCAGGATTGCCGGAGAATGCCACAAACCTTGCAGCCTGTGTACTGTGCCTATGTACCTGCGAAGCCAGCAGCTTCTTCTACCTGTAAGGCTGGGAATTGTGACTTTGTCCATTCACCGTTTGAGCGACGTGTCCAACAGACAAAACGGTCAACCGAAAGATGACACCATGCAACCAGCTGCCGGTATAGACCCTGCTTCATGACTCGAACATCATGTTGGATAGATGTGAAGTTGGAGCTGATCCATCGGGCATGAGTCTGAAATTATCTGTCCCGCTGGATCCGATGCCCCTTCCACAAATGATAGATATCCGATTGACTGCTGAAACTTCACACAATAGCCAACAAAGCATCCGTCGTTTCCTCAACTTTCCTGGCCATTACCAAGAGCTGGCACTGTACAGGGGAGTATGTACTGTACAGTATTTATTGCGGTGTACCAAGGAGATGGCCCTTCCCCATGGAATTGCTTGATCACTGCCCCCATTGAGACTTGCTCATGATATCGCCGTCTCAGTGAAGCACCTTGTGATGTTGAAACCCTTCAAAGGTGCTCTTGTGAGGCCCGAAGTCTAATCATGAGGTTGTCGGAGGCTCATCGTAGCGTCAACTCGGGTGAATGATGACAGGCCTGCACCTCTGCAATGCGTCTGCATGCAGCTCTCTGTCGTGGTTGGCAAGACGAATGTCGATCAAGGGTATGATGATACAGGCGATCACAGTCATCCGACCCCGCCCTGATTGCTTCCCCTGGGGTTACCCGACCCATGGTTGGCAGTTTTCATCATCAACTGCGAGCGATACGACAGTGAATCGGTGATGACGAAAAGTTGTTGTGCTCCCGCTCCACCGCAGCACTCGTGCAACACAACACATCTTATAAGTTACGCTTGTGAATCTGTGTGATATTCGACGGCCGGCCGCCAGCTTGTTTTCGTGATCTGACAGGGCACGGCGGCGGTGCCACGCGCTGCCGAAATCTCAGAAGCGCAGTAGATCGTCTCAAGGGACACCAACATGCCGGAGGGCCAAAACACGTTCGTAGCGCGATGCCGAGACTTGATGCACTGGCACTCCTCGAGGAGCATCGAATGGCGGATCGACGGCGGGATATGAGGTGCTTTCTGGATTAGATTGATCGGATGCCCGAAATAAAGCGTTAGGCAATCGAGACACGTTTGGAGCTCCGATGATGATGTGATTGACCGAAAGGAGGTTGATGGGTGTTGAGGTCGTTCTCGCCTCTCCCTATATGGTGCATACAGCATGATGAATCATGACATCTCAGATCCACCGCTCAACAAGCAATGCGGTAACTAGACCCTGCAAGGGTCTTCTCATCTATTGGCCGATGCCGGTGAGAACCGCGAGATGGACATCGGAACTCCAAGGTGACTCGACAGGCACGGCCACCCGCGTCATATGGTTCATTCGCAGCAGCCCCCTTCTCCTTCTCCAATCTTTAGCGCTTTCAAACGGGATCGCCATCAAATTGATGAGTTCTTTCTTTCACAGTTAGGTAGGAAAGATGTTCGAGTTTTTTTTTTGCTAGCCTGAGCTCTTTTCTCCTTCGCGTTCTTCGATGGCTCTCGTGCTGCCGACTTGCCGACTTGCCAACTCCGCAGATCTTGGGAATCTTGATCTGCAAGCCCGTAGATGTGTCTGCTCTAGCATTAGGCGCCTAGTCTGGTAGAGGGGGCCTCCGGAGGTGTTATCGCAACGTTTCCCATTTACGACAGATATGCAGGCATCTGCGTACAGATTTTGGGCATGTGGTCCAGGCACTACTGCTTGCAGGTAAGTTGAATCGAAAGACACCCTGGCAATTTGGGGACCTCCCCCAATCCGACGCGTCTTCAAATGACGGGGGCAATCAAATGGCACAACCCCCGCCCGACGATCTATCCATTCTATTGGGAGAGGCGGTCGGTTGTTGCTCTGAATATGATGAGATGGAGCTGGGCGATGGGAGCATTTGTTCCTCGCTGGCACCCTGCTAGTAAGAGACGCAATAATAACCGACAGCCTTCTGTGTGTGTGTGTCTGTCGAATGTAGAGTTGTAATGTTCGGATGCATCCCCGGTCCGTGGGCCAAGTGTTTGCGGTGAACACGGATTCTCGTAGCACGTTGCACCGGCCAGGCCCCACCCACAACCTCGCCTCTCGTCAAACGCGACAGCCTCTCGATCTCCTTCGACATCAATCAACGAGCGAACGACGCATTTCGCACCAGCGAGCCCTTTACTGTACTTTGCACCCCCCCTGCGAACCCACCCCCTCTCTCAAACCCCTTTCGTTCTTGTGACAGAGGGCAATACCATATTGTGCGGTGTTAGGGGGAACCGAAGCAATCACAGGCGGTGCCTGCGCTTCCACGGCATACTTTGAATTTGAAGGGCGGTGTGGGTGGCAGACACCAGAACAAAGGAGTTACAAACGACCCTGACCAGTGACCACCACCGGCAGCGAGGCCACCCCCAGCCAGCCGACCGCCCGAACCGAGGGGAAAGGAAAGCATTTTTCTTGCCCTTCTTTGTGCGTGCACCTTTGGGTAAGTGTGGTGTTTACGGCTGTGTGTGCCCGGAACCTACATAAAAGCTTGTTCCCACGCCGTTCCCTCCTGTTCGACGCTTGTTTACACCACCTTTCCTATCACTACCGCTTATGGAGTCGCCTATATTCCCACAGAACCCTTACCGGGCTCCTACGTGATCGCCAGAGATCGTCCAGCGTCAAGCTGCTCTCGAGAACCTGGAGCATCCTCACGAAGCAATCAGCACCCACATACTGCGCACCCGTCCGGCACTACTGCTTCCTCACCAACCCCGCACTCCGTCGCCTCACAAACTCGAGTGAGCTACTGCACCTGCAACTGCATCGTCACCGCGATACCACTCCGACGCCGTCAAACTTCCGTGAGAATAGTCTCGTGGCCGTCTTGCGTGTTTCACCGGCGGACGTCAGCGGCGACCTATCGTCAGGCATTCGCACACCTCTGAAGCGATCGTCATCCTTTCCACAATCCCATTTGCATCATCATACCCAACTTTCATCAATATACATGCCAGTCATCATGATGCAGGTAAATCATCGTCGTCGGAGTTGCAATCGACCTTCATTCGATGCGTTACTGATCTCCTACAATACCACGTCTATCTCTTGAGCAGGAGGAGATCACCACCATTTTCGTCGTTGGGTTCCCCGATGACATGCTGGAACGCGAGTTTCAGAACATGTTCACATTTTCTGCCGGCTTTGAGGCCGCTACCCTCAAGATCCCTTCGCAGACTGACAGCGACGATGGGACAGGGATGCCGAATGCCCGCAAGCAGATTGTATGTCCTGCCCCTTTTTCGAGACCATGTCATCATCCAACTCACCCATCTTATACCTCCCAGATCGGATTCGCCAAATTCCGCACCCGACTAGACGCGCTCGAGGCTCGCGATGTCCTCAGCGGGCGTAAAGTGGATGCCGAGCGAGGCTGCGTACTGAAGGCTGAGATGGCTAAGAAGAACCTTCACACAAAGCGCGGTTTGTCCAACGAACATCAAGTTCTGGCCGCCGCTGGGTTTGGCATCAACCAATTCGGCCACCTCCAACGACGCGGGTCAAAAGACAGCGCAAGCATGTTTACGGATCCTTTCTTCATGCCTGGAACGACACCCCCTGTGTCTCGTGACATGTTCGGCGACCACGAGTTTTACCCGTCCATGGACGTCTGCGACTTTTACCCAGAGACATCATCAACCCATCAAGCCTCTGCATCACTGAGCGAATCCCCCTTCTCTCCGAGGGGCGGCCCATCCTTTGCCGACTATATGGAGGCAAATCGACCTGCCCTAGCAAGTTCTGTACCCAACCGATCGGGCATGGCACATGCCGCAGGTCATTTCAACGACATGCTCGACCTTGATCGCTCCGCACCCGCGCCAATGATTCGTAGTCAGTCTTTCTCTGAACAGCGTGGATTCAGCAGCGCTTTGTTCAGCAGCGAAAGCCTCCTCCCACGTCTCTCGCCTCCGATGAGCTTGGGTGTAGCCACCTCGTCGGCCAACAGCCACAGCAGTGGTTCTGCACCATCGAGCGCCTCCAACTCCGCTGGTGCTAGCCCCACCGGCTTGGCTCCATTTGGCCCTCGTTCAAACTCAGACCACAACCCACCCTGCAACACCTTGTACGTTGGAAACCTTCCTCCTGACACATCCGAGGACGAACTCCGCGAACTATTCTCGAGGTGCCCAGGCTATAAACGTCTCTGCTTCCGTGGGCGACCCAATGGACCAATGTGCTTTGTGGAGGTAGGTCACATTGTTTCATGCCCCATACTCGTTTGTCGCAAGGGGATTGCTTATTGATCGTCCTCTACACTCTCATAGTTTGACGACGTTCAATGTGCCACCCAAGCTCTCTTCCAACTGTATGGAAACCCATTGAGCAACTCCACAAAGGGAGGCATTCGCTTGAGCTATTCCAAAAATCCTCTGGGAGTACGCGCGTCGCTCCCTGCCTCGGCCGCCTCAGTCACCCTGATGGCCACAGCTTGCATCCCCATGGACAAGGAGCCGAAGCTCATCCACGGTTGCTAATATACACATTGATGCATCTCATATCCTCTCTACCTTTTGGTAAGTTTCACACTCTTGACATGCTCGTAGAGGGATCACGTACTCACTTTAGTTCCATTCAAAGGTCACCCCCCCCCCCTAAATTTACTTTTATATCCTTTCCCCGTACATATATCTTTTTGATCTTCCATAATCGTAGCGACATATAGCATACTCTAACATTTTGTCGATCACAACTCCCTCCTTCCAGCAATATCGTGAGAATTTATGAATTCGGGAACATGCAACAAAATATAAAGTAGGACGTTCTTGATGAGCATTTGTGCAGTGTCGGGGCTTGTCTTTTCCCTTTGAGGATTTTTTCGGCCGCTGTTTTTCGACGAGCAGACGCGGTGTACATATATACGACAGCTGTCATAATTTTCGCTGCTTCCCCGACGGGTCCCTTGCCCCAGAAACTCCCCACAAAAAAGGGCTCGGTCTCTCGCTTGGAACTTCCCTGAGACACAGCAAACTTCAACCCACTCCAAAAACCGTTTCCGCTCTCAATTTCTTCTGTCAATCATCCAAACATGGCCTCAACCGCCTTTGCAGATGCGAACCCTTCCTGCTGGCGCTGTCCCCAGTGCACGGCTGTCAATGCGGTAAGGGCGTGGGATTTTTTTCTGTGCGGTGTATGACAGTTTTTCCTGTATGTGGGGTGTCTGAACAGTCCGCCTTCTCTTTAGACGGGCGCCATCATTTGCAAGCTGTGCCTTTTGGCGCCGCCTCCGGCCGGTCAGTGGGCTTGCACTGAGTGCTCGCTTCTGAACAAGGTTCGTGGGAAAAATCGGTCCTGGTTTTTATGCGCGACTGTGGGGGCGTACTCTCAAAAAGTCTCATACATCAACTGACCCCTTTGCACAACTCTTATGTGACCCCAACAGAACGAAGACCTCGCGTGCGTTATTTGCTACGTGACCAAACCGACGGCTCGCTTCAGGAGCGTCATCTGGGAATGGACGCCCGACAATGAAAGGGTAAAAGTTCCCAACTGTGATTCGCCGCAATCCCCATATCTCACTCGTCATCGTGCTCCCAACGCCCCAGTGGATCCCCTACGACGAGCCCACCAGCACGGCCATCGAAAGAGCCTACAGCACCAACGCCAAGACCATCGACCTCAACACCGGGACGTACTTCTCGCAGTTCCGCGGCACGTACAAATTCTACCTCAACAGACCCACAAAGACGTACTACCAGAAGAACGTCCTGACGCATTTCCGCCGGCCCGCGCGCCGCCGCTCCAACGAGCACGTCTTTGTCACCATCGACCCGGCGACGCTGGAGGCGAACGACCGCTGCGTCATGTGCCAGGAAGACTTCTCGGATGTGGATGACGCGACTGTGACTGAGGCGGAGCGTACGGTGGTGAGGTTGAAGGTGTGCCATGGCCACTTTTTCCACAAGGAGTGTATCTCGCAGTTTGTGATGATCAGGGAGAGGTGCCCCGTTTGCTTTGCGAGGGTGGATGTGTTGTAGGATGCGGTACCCCCCATTCGACGAGCGGGGGGTGGCACGGGGGTGCCTCTCATCCAAAACAGAATTATGTAGGTTTTCGGTATCAATTTTTACTCGCCTATTGAGCGAAAAAAAAAAGGAGGGGATGGAAAATGAGAGAGCTGGGAAACAACGAGGTCGGAAAACGGAATTCTTTTTGGATGGATCGAAGCGGCGTGTACGGAACCAACCTCCCTATTCGCATCTCCAAAATAACAGAGGCTGGCGTAGGGGTAACAAAATTATATTTGCGGTATCAATTACAATATCGTCTTCAAAGGATATCATCGAACTGTCTCGGTGATGGAGCCTTTGATGTCGCTGCCCGACATGTTACGTACGGTGATTGCCGGACACATAAATTCGGCTAGGATCATGAGTTGCTGAACTGCCTGATGGCGACATGTCCTCTCTGCGAGAAGAACCCTTCCACGGTTCTTTGCCTGCTTTGTGATGTGGGCCACGGAAATTCCGACAGCGCGTCCTACAAAATCGACAGTCAAAGTCACGTGAGATGGGATTTGATGTCGGGAGTTCTAGTATCAGGAGTAAGGACCGTTTAGCCGGGGCGGCCAATGGGAAGCGGGCGGCGTTACTTCTCGCGCGGCCTCCTCGTCAGGCACTATGTATGTGGGAGAAACACGCGAGCGTCATCACCGGCATCTTTCCATCCCGCTATGATCTTTTTCGCAAAAATGGCCCCTCGGCATAGCATGCATGTCTTGTGCTATCCTCGTGCGCCGTAACTACAGTATCTATGTTTTTAGTATGCATCCCATCCATTGCGACGGGGCAGGCTATCTCCGCAAAATACATAAGCTTCGCAGGTCTCGCCTGCCTCCTCCTTTCCTTGTTGCATCTTCCTCTCTCAACAACTGTCTGTCGCTTGTAAAGAACCCCCGCTCATAAATCACACAAAAGAGGAGACAGCCGGTCTGTTCATCCCGCATTCCCATAATCCAGCTGTCGAACCAGTGAACGAATAAACACAGATATGGCATCCGACGAACTGTCTGCTCCAACAACGACGGAACTCACCGTCACGGACGCTGCAAAGGCTGAGATCCGAAGAGACTCGGGAAGTTCTTTTTCACCTCACCCTTCCAAAAGTCCCATCTCTCCAGCTCCAGCTCCAACTCCACTGCCGGCATCTACCAACATCAAACACCACCATACGATACCCAAACCCGTTGTTCCTCCAAAATGGAATTCGGTTCGTCAGATTATCGTCCATGCGACATCGGGTGGTTTGCGCTCGTTTTTACTAGGTATGTGGGCCGTAAGCGACCGACCGTGGCGAGCCGTGAGCGAAGCGAGGGGTGGTTTTCTGTCGCGAGCAAAAGGGGGTGTAGCCGTGAGCCATGCGAACCGCGAGAGGAGAGAGCGATGGGTGGCTGTCTGCAACGAGCGAAGTGGGGGTGTCTGCGCCGAGCAAACGCCTACGCGAGTGTCAGCGAAGCGCGAGCAGCGCGAGCTACATTGAAAAGGCGCAATACTCCCCTCGCGCAAGATTCCCCTAATAATCGTCGATGGTTGAAGATGGTTGATGATCCGACGATGGCTGATGGGTTGATGGGTTGATGGGTTGATGGTCGATTTGTTGATGGTTGTTGATGGTTGTTGATGGCTGATTGTTAATGATAATTATCTCTCCTCCTACATAGGTTACGCCCTCCGAGGCGGGATCGCATCGCTGATCAAAACCATCTTCTTCCTCCGGGGCAAGACGACGCTCAAATCCGCTCTTTCCGCATTCTACGCCCCAACATCAACCCGCTTCGCAGCCATGATCGGCTCCTTCTCCTTCCTCTGGAAACTCATCAACAACCTCCTAGCCCACACCTCCGACCGCTCCTCCAAACTGCACGGGATGATCGCCGGCGGAATCGCAGGCAGCGTCGCCCTGCTCTTTGAAGAAAAAGAATCCCGCATAGCCATCGCCCAACAATTTTTCGTCCGCTCCATGCAGGCCGGCTACAACGCCCTCAAAGCCCGGGAACTCGTCCACTTCCCGCACGGAGACTCGGCCCTCTTCATGCTCAGCTGCGCCAGCATCCTCTACGCCCTTATCATCCAGCCCACCACCATCCCGCCCGAATACTACAGGTGGATGGTCAACATCTGCCAGGTCTCCCACCCCATCCTCGATTTCAACCGCACCCACGTCGCCGCCTACTCAAAGGGCATCACTCTCCCGGATACCGCGAAACGCATGACATCCCTCATCGAACACCGCCCCAAATCCTTCACACCACAGCTCGTCTCCTCCGCCCTCGGATACCTCAACGCGAACAACGGCCAGCTCCCCCTCGTCCCCTGCTCCGTCCTCCACCCCTCCTCCGCCTCCTGCTTAACCTACAACGCCCAACTCTGGCCAACCATCTTCCGCGACATCGGCCCCGTCTACCTCGCCCTCAACTTCGTCCCGCTCCTCCTCTTCAAACCAAAAGTCCTCCTCCACGACCCCGTGAACGTTACAAAACGAAACCTGGTCGCCACCGCCCGGAGCGCCGTCTTCCTCGCGGCGTTCATCAGCATCTTCCAGGTCATGATCTGCGCGCAACGCAACCTCGCCCTCTCCTCCCTGCCCATCCCAAACGTGCTCCGCAGGGACCACCGATACTGGTACTACTTTGTCGGCATGTGCTGCTCGTCCTCCATCTTCCTCGAACACAAACAGCGCCGCTCGGAACTCGCCATGTACGTCGCGCCGAAGGCGTTCACGTCCGCGTGGAAGCTGTTACATCAACGCGGGGTGATGACGCGCATCCCGGGGTTCGAGATCTTGATGGGGGGTGTGAGCATGGGGCTTTTGATGAGTGTGTATCAGACGGAGCCGGAACGGATGAGTGGGTTGTTGTTCAGGGTGATGGATAAGATGATTGGGAGGAATTAGGGGGGATGGGCATACATTCACAGAGGGATGGGGGATGAACAAACTCGAGTTGGATTTGTACATACATGACGCCGTAGCTAGCTAGACCTGACGCCCATTTTTCTTTTTGTTTCGCATGCATTCGGAGACTTCGGAATAGAACCATCGTTTTATTTCATTGGCTTCAAGAAAGAATGATTTGTATAGCAGGATGAGAACAGGATCACTACGGGCTCGTCGTGCGCTAAGCTACTGTAAACGAGGCTCTGGGCTACAAGCTCAACTACGCCGATGGATACAAAGGGAGGAGAGAAAAAAATAGGCCGAAAGCATTCACCAGCGAAACGATAACCGCGCCGATCCACCCCCATCATAACAAAGCCCCCTCTCGAAAGGAAAATAGGAAGACGCAACAAAACATAACAGGCCCGAGCTTGAAGATTCACCCCTCCTGCCTCCAATCAGCAACCGAGTTACTCAACACCGCGATATCCTTATCCCTATATCCAAACATCTGCACCAACTAACCAAAAAAATTCACCCATCATTAACCGCCCCCTTACCCCCTCACACATCCCCCCCCCCAAAAAATTGCTTCCAGCCTTACCTTCCCATAAACAAACTCATTGAAACTCGCCGGCCCCGACACAATACTCCATTTCCCCTGTACGTGCGAATGGTCGTCCCGGGAGCGCATCCCGGGGCTGGACGTGCTGGCGGCGCCGCGAACGGCTTCGCGGAGAATGCGGTCCGTCAGGTGGCCGGTGTACGCGAAGCCGCTACCCAACGCAAACAAAAGGGGTCGAAAGTATCAGTGGATTCGAACCCCCACTCGACACCAACAGGGCTCAGAAAACGAGAAAAAAAGATAGGGACGGGGAGGGAGTCGCCCCCACGTACCTGAACCGCCCGCGACCGTCGGGCACGCCGCCGGCGACACAATGATGCACCTCCAACTGGGCCGGGTAACTCAACAGCACGGCGTCGATGATCTCCCCGCCGACCAGATCCCCGACAAACGACGCGCAGTTCAGCAGGACCAGCTTGACGTGCGGCCCGTGCCGCGGGACCGTGATCGGGAGCGGGAACACGCCGTCTTCGTTCGTGTCGAGGTTCGTGCCGTGCGCCCAGCCGTCGAGGTAGTGGTGGGTTACGACCTGGGGGCGGGGAGGCGCCGTTTAGGGAGGTGGGTGCAGGGAGGGGGACCGGATTCTAGAGGGATTCTGGGGGACTTACGAGGATGTCGTTGGCGCGTATGGTGAGTTCGTCGGGCATTGTTGGGGTGTATGCGGACGAGGCCTGCCAAATTGCGAAAAGGTCGTTTCGTTCGTGAGTGTTTTTACAGTACGTCCACGCGCGTGGAGTGAACGCGTCCAACATTCCGTAAGAAGGTCCAGACCCTCACCTTCAACGGCACACCGACCGGCAGAAACAGATACTGGCACAGCTGCAAAAACGGCGTGATCCCCGTCCCGCCCGCGACATACAATATACTCCCCCAAATCCAACTCTCCGGCTTCAAGCTCGGACTGATCAGATCCAGCAACGGCGGCCCAAACGGACCCCTGATCTTGAACTGCCTGTCCCCGGGGCGTTCCCGGCACACAAAGCTGCTCACCCCCTGGGTCGGGTACGCCTTAACCCACACCTCGAGGGCGGAGAGCGTGCCGGTGACGGGGGAGTAGTATCGCGCCATCGGCACGCCGTTGACGCGGACTTGGAGCTCGATGCACTGGCCCGGCAGGATCTCGTCGGGGGCGGCGGTGCGCGGCTCGAAGGGGTACAGGAGGCAGAAGCGGAGCCGGTAGATCTGGTGCGCGCAGTTTTGGGTGGGGTCGGTTAGGAGCTCCTTTGAAGTCAAGGCGTAGCGGCGGTATTCGTACGGGTCGAAGTGGTAGAGGGAGCCGGGATCATCCGGAGAGGACGCGGCGGGGGTGAGTTCGCCGACTAGGAGGTGGGCGAGACGCATGATGGCCAGCTGGGATGGATGGATGGGAGCGGTGAGTTTGCGCGTCGGGAGAGATCTTGAGGAATCGGACACACCTTGGTGTGAACATGCGGCCTCCTCGCCCGGGTGATCTTTGTCCAATCCGCCTGCGTCAACACCGCGGGCGCCGTCATGGTGTACGCCTCCACCTCCCCGCCCTGGATGTCGGAAATCGAAAGGCGCGCGTCGGGCGTGGCGGTCATGTTGGGCACGGGCGCTTTCTTGCGGCGGGAGCTTTGTTTGGGGGCTGGGGGGGCCGGTGTGAACCTGTGAGGGACGGAGGAGTGAAGAGCACTGGTTATTGAAAGCCATGAGATGTAAACCGAGGCTTGGACAATACTTACTCCACCGCATCGTATCCGCCTGCGAAAGGAGCGATGGAGAGGAAGAGCATACAAACGGTTAGCGCCGTGTTTCGAAGAGCGTGGGATGTCAGATTTACCTTCATGGAAGTAGTCGCTTGTGATGTCTGTTCCCGCAACGGCCAACAAGATGGACTGAAAGCGGTTGTTAGTATATCCGTCTAATCGAGAACGACGCCGAAACCCCCCCTCACTCACCTGGCCTCCGGGGTGACTAGTGATCCACTCTGACGTGTCGTAGATGTAGCGTGAGTTTGCAACGACCAAGAGGCGACTACCGACATCACACAGTTTAGAACATCAACAAGGAGCAAACGAAAGAAACACTTCTGTAATCCTTACCCATGACGAATCTCATTATCCAACGCCTTCCAATCATAAGCTTCCAAATTCGGATACAACCTTCCCCCCTGTCGTCTATTCAACTCCACAATCCCCGGCGGCTCCCTAAACTTCCCGCCCTCCTCGGTCGGCACGGCCGCATACGGCCTGTCCTTAATCACAAAGAACGCCCTGCGTCCAATCTGCGTGCACACAAACACGGCCACCCAGAACCCAATGACGACAAAATACACGATCCAGAAGGCGTCCCCGCGCGGCTCCTCCAGTGGATACAGGATCCGCAGGCCGAGGTAGACCTGCACGACGGCGCCGAGGATCAGGGCTGTGCCGAGCAGGCGGTGGAACCATTTGACCATTGTGCGGCGCGGGGTGCGCGGGAGGTCGGTGCGGAGGAGGGAGCGGTTGCTGAATCCAAAAAACACCTGCGCGGTCAATAACCCAATGAGCACGAGACCTAGGATGGAATGCGGGTGGACTCGGAACGTGCGGATGGTGAGGACCATCGTGACCAGACCGGCGAGAAGGGTGATGTAGCCGATGCTCTGCAGCGCGATGTGGACCCAGATCCATCTGGGGATGAAGCGCATGTAGCGGGAGTAGAAGGCGCCGGCGGGGAAGATGACGAGCGCGGCGGTGAACATCATGATGCCGTGGGCGAGGCGGCCGGCGGGGTTGGGCACCGCTTGATAGATAATGCTGCGGCGGTCGAAGTTGACGAGCATCTTGCCGTGGGTTTGGCCGATTTCGCTGGGGAGGCCGGTCTTGCTTCCTGGTGCGAGGGAGGCAAACAAAGCGTGAGTTGTGTTGGTCGAGGCGCACACTCGATGAAGGTCGACATACCTGGGTTGGGATTATGATACTCAAAATTCCCACCCCAATCATTCTTCGGCGAATCCACATTATACGCCCAAATAACATGCTGTCCATCGCCAACATCTCCCCTCGCCAGCGCAACATGCGGTCGACTACGCTGCGGGGGATCAAACGGGCGTCGGATCTCGCTGAAGAAGGTGCCGTTCACCAAGCCGCCGTTGATGGGCTCGATCACCCACGGCTCGGGGTTTTCAGAGGCCCAGGGGGGCGCGTATTGCATGCGGTGGATGTGTTCGTGGGATTCGACGGTGGAACCGTCGGGGCCGAGGTGCGTGATTACGAAATCGGCTATGAGCATGGAGTCGCCGAAGCCGAGACCCATGAATGCCTGCAATGAGAGCGAAATGTTTTGCTTAGCGCACATACAAGCCATCAAGTCTGAAAGTACATCCGTTCGCATACATGTCCAAGCTTAAACCCCGTCATCATCGTCATAAAGCGCAAATAGGTGTTGTTTTCGATGTAGTACGCAAACTGCAATTGGCCGGTTTCCGTACGAGCAAGCGTCACGGGCCGGCTGTACTGGCTCATATCCGGCAATTGCGTGGCCCTGGGAGGGTACGAATGAATGTAAGTAGAGAATAACGAGGGAACACGACCATGGGTTCCTTTCTTCATACCGATAGAGTGGCTGCCCGCTTGCCCCATAGCCTACCAAATTTCCCGTCTCGTTCCATCGCTGTTGGGCAAAGACAGAGCCGATTATCGAAGCGAGGACGAGGAACAGAACAGTTATGAATGTATGCATCGTGAGGTTGTTCGTTGTCAACCTCTCGCGTTGTGATTGAACAAAGAGGAAGTGTTGTACAGCTTTCCTTTAAACGATAAGACGAGTTGGTTTTATCCCTCTGAGCAGATCGCCGGAGAAACGAGAAACAAGGCGCTCTCCACAACTGCGAAAGGGGACCGCATTAATGAGGACGTGTGTGTGGAGGGGTCTCAGTTGATGTGACCGCAGGCATGAGATAGGCCGCAATTGACAGGGCTTTGACAGGACGAGCGGGGGGAGAAAACGCGTGAGGAAGTGCCAGATGAGTGCTCGTTGCGACATCGAAGAGGCCGCGGGTCGGAGAGGAAGAGAAGAAGCGAAAGAAACGTGGAACGTTCAAGTATGAGGAAAAAACGCTCAATTTGGCTTTATGATTTACAACAACTGCGTTGCATTCTATGTACAGAAAATGTCTAATGACGGGGGGCGGGGGAATATCCACAGAACTATAAACTCAAAGAAACTATACAAGGGGGGAGACGATGGAGCGCTATCTAATAGGGAGCTGATTTGGAAAAGCTGATCTACAGCAAGAGGGCAACAGCAGCGACGAACGAGCCAAAGCCGGCAGCCACGGAGCGGGCGCCGGAGATGATGCCTTCGGTGGCTGGGGGGGTGGCGGGTGTGTTGGTGATGGGGCCGGCGGCGGGAAGTTGCTCGACGGGGAATGGGTTGTTGGCGGAGGTGGCGCCGGCGGCCGGTGCGGCAGGTGCGGCAGGTGCGGCAGGGGCAGAGTCGGAGGCAGCCGGCTTGCCTTCTGTGGTAGTCTTGCCCTCAGCAGTGGTGGTGGTCTCGCCCTGCTTTCCAGCAGCAGGAGTGGTCGGGTCGACCGCATCGCCAGAGTTGTTAGGGTCGCGCTTGGAGTCGACCGTCGCGCCCTGAACGTTGATGACCGGGGGAGCGTTGTAAGTAGGCAGGGTGCTGGAATCGGTCTCACAGTGCTGGCCGGTGAAACCAGTCGGGCAGCGACATCCGTCCGGTGTGCAGGCGCCCTTTCCACAGCCCCCGCAGTCGTGGATGCCGAGCCCGACCTGCTGCTGGACCTGGCGAGCCTGTTCCTTCGCAGGTGCATCGTCAGAGTCGAACGCGGCATCGGTCTTGGCGCGGCAGTTGCTGAGCATCTGGTTCTTGGTTCCCTCGGCAAAGATGAACGATCCGACGCGAACGGCGTCGCGGACACAGGAGAAGACGTAGAAGGAGATATCGACCTGGGCGGAGCACGCTTCGACGTTGAGGAGGGTGTTGCAGTTGGTGTGCGCGTCGTTGTAGAACTTCTCGGGGCAGTTGGCCGGGCGGGGCACCTCGTGGTTGCCGCCGGGGAGAACGACGTCGGCGGTGGGGCTCGCCTGCGCTTGGTTGGTGACGGTTACCGTCTCGGTGGCCATGTTCGGGTCCGGGGTGTACTTGGGCAGAACGGTGACGGTGGAGAAGTAGGTGCTGGTGACCGTGGTGGCGACAGGCACGTTGACCTCGTGGTTAACCGTGGCCGTGACGATCCGCGTAACCTCGGTGGTGATGAAAACGGCGTTGGTCTCGAGGACGGTGTTGGTGATCACCGAAGTGGCCTCGGAACCTTCTGTTACGGTGGCGGTAGCGGTGGCGCCTCCATTCTCGGGGTCGGCAGCGGTGGTAGTGGCCTGGTTGTCCTTGGTCTCCTTGCCGTTGATCAAGGTGGTAGATTGCACGTTCGTCTCAGTGATGAACTTGGTAATGACAGTTGGCTCGACCACTTCAGAGGTGGTGACGGCTGGTTCCTCGACGGTAGGGTGGGCGGGAATGGCGCAGATGCTGCCACCGTCATCAACCGGCGCGCTGGGCTGCTTGGCAGTGCAGGCCGCACCGCAGGCAAAGATGTTGTCGTCAGCCTGAACCTTCCAAGAACCACCGAGGACCGCACCGGACTGAGTGAGCGATCCGTCAGAGCACTCCAAGCCCTTGTCGGCACCATCGGCATACACGTTGCAGAGACCGTGGACACGGCCAAAGTAAGGCGCACCCAAGCGGATAGTGATGTCCATGTACATAAGGTTGTTGAAGACGTTGGCCTGCACTTCGATCTGGGACCCGTCTTCGCGAAGCTCGATGAGGTAGTGGCGCTTGTCTGGGGACACGGTGATCTTCAGACCGTCCAGGGAGTCGGAAGCCTGGTGAAGGTCGACGGCGACGGCGTCGGCGGCGGTCTTGCCTTTGCTGGACAAGACCACAGCCGCGTTACCGTAGCGGACGGCAATGGCGTCGTTACAGGTGCTGCCGGCGTTGCAGATGAACGCGGAGGACTGGACGGTCAGCAGGTCGCTCCTGACGAGGTAGTGGACACCGGGTTCCATGTAATCGTACACGGATCCACCGAATGTCTTGAAATGTGGGTCACCCAAGGACGTGCAAGTAACCGCCTTCTTGTAATCACGCGTGCATGGGTATGTGGCGACCTCCTTGTCGTAGACGGAGCCAGGGGCGTCCATCTTGACAGTGACGTTGATAGCGGCATTGCCTTCCTTGGTGTATTGGTTGATGGGGTAAAACTTCATAGGCTTGAACACATTGTAGTCCTCCTTTGTCCAGGTGGTCGTGCAGTTGCTGGTTTTGATGCCGGGCGTGTCCCAGAAGACGGTGGCGGTGTCGTTGGGAGGGGACTTCAGACGGACTTGGAAAGATGTGGCGACCTGCACGTCGGCGACGGTCAGTGCCGGGGGCTGGAACTCGAGGAAATCTCCCAGAAGGACGAGCTGAGCGAAGGCGCTGCTGGTGGCGAGCAATGCGCTCGAGGCGACGAGGAGCAACTTGGCGGAGATGGTCATGGCTTTGTGAGGGATGTTGAGGTGAAGTGAAGTGAAGGTGAGGAGACTGCGCTTGGAATGGAATCAGGGAATGGGGTTGGACATCCCGGCTTTTATGCTGATGGGATGCATAGGCTTTCTGTACATGGGGGAAGCTGCCTCCCCTCCTACAGAAGCGAGCATCGTCAGTAGCGTAGAGAGCATGGAACCGTGGAAGTGCGGTCAACAGAGGAGAAAACAGCGGCGCGCAAGGACGATGGCTGCTCTCACAGGTCCTACGAGGTGGTGGCTCTCCATATTTTTCCTATTGCGCATAGACCGCGGCTTGCCAAAGGTGCCTCCTAAGCGGTATTTACGCCCGTCATGCACGGGCAGGCAGCAAATGGGTGTTGGGGTGGCTCTTCTCCTTCTCTTTCTCCTGTCGTTTCTGGTCGCAAGTGACCGTCTATCGCGCTTACCCAATACGCGTCAATGCTGGGAGTTTCTCGGGGGCGGTGGCTTTCCCCTGGTTTGGGCGTCAACACCGGAGAAAAGAGTCTTTCGTACCGTGGACCACAACAGACGTCCCGCAGACGCAAACAAGCATCTCGATTGTCTCAAGAGCCGCCTCCTTTGTGCGGCGATTGTGGGTGAGTAATTAAGCTTTACGGACGCCAACCCACCGGCGCTTCACTCGCAGAAGACTCCAAAGAGCCCCGGTTTCAGGAAAAGCAAGAAGGTGCCGTCGGCGTCTCCAACTGGTGTAGAACTCGCGTGAACGAACTGTCATTTTATTCTGCGACCGTGAGGCGGTTCTTTTCGGAATTTCTAGAAATGGCTTCAAGGACACCAATCAAGGAAGTGCCGCGGACATGCTGACTGGTATGGAACGAAAATAGGGGTTTTCTACATAGTATGTAGTGGCACTCGCTTGGCGTGAATGCCCCTTTCGTCTCAAGCGGCATGGCAATCTCGCCCTCTCTCTCTGGCTTTATTCCATATAAGCTCGTCTAGCATTGGTGCAGTCGGAAGTGGCAGCCTCACAGCCTCAAATCGATAAAAAAGCGTTGAAATTACCTTCAACTGCTCAGAGACTTCCGCGTGAGGTAGGCGACAGTTGCTTGGTGTGTTCAGCTCCGCAAACCGCAAGTTCCGTAGTCCAATGGTAAGCGCATGGCAGCTTGGTTAGCTTTCATGGGAGAGACATCTACCACAACGACATCCGACACATTTGAGGCGCCGCGGAAAGACGACAGCATCTCTCCGCACCGGTTGTGCGGCACCGTTGGAGCATGTCTCGGTTATGACAACGGCTCGATGAATGTCTTGCGTCTTTGATTCCTGAGGAGCTAGGCAAACTATGGAGCAGTCTTGCGTGGGCTGACACTGCCGCTGTTCGCCTTCCGTAACCACAACGATCCACACCGGCATCCCTTCCCGCATGTGCTTACGGTGTCACTGCCCAACAAAGACTAATGTTTCATCCCCAGAACGATGCATGCTGTTGCGATCGCGTAATCGCTAGGGACTTCTTTGCTGGGGACGTCTTTGCGCCCTGCATAGTCCCGAATGAAGACCGCCAAAGTTTTTGAAGTCTCACTCTGCTTGAGCACCGTGACACAAACCTCTACGTGATCTCTGGCCCGGGGAATCTGTGGCCGACTATGCTGCATCGGCAAGTGCATTTACCATCTAGCACAGCCTGTATATGCATCTGGTCTCTCCTTCGCGACCAAGAGTCCAAGTTCCGCTCCTGGACGCGTTGGGGAGCGCTGGCCGGAGACTTGGTTGAAAGTTCCCAATGCCCCACACTCCGCAATCCGGCGACTGAAGCACTTGCAACACACAAGCTGCTCGGCCAACAGCTACATTTACGATGACCGTCCAAGTGAACAGCGGGGACCTTCCCTACAAGCACTATGTCCTGGTCTTTTCCTGGTTCATATACGCCTGGAACACCCTCCTAAAGTGAGTCTCAAACGCATCTGTCAACTTCCAACGGTGGGTCAGAATGGGCGTAGGACTTGCACTCAACAAATAAACGCCGATAGTTACCGGCAATACCTAGCCCTGCACAACCCCAAAATACCCGCCTCTGTGTCGCACGTCATTAAGGCTGATGAATTCAACAAAGCACGGCTTTATGGGCTCGACAAGGCGAAATTCGCGTTCTTGAAAGACCTGGTTGAACAAATTGAGAGCACGGTGTATATCTACTACGATGTGTTACCGTATGTTTGGAATGTGGCGGGAACGTTGATGGGGAAGTATGGATATGGGGCGGAGTATGAGGTGAGGGCCTGATTGAGTGCGAAAGCTCACGTTCGCATCAGTCTCTGACCGGAACCTTTGCTCCACAGGTGGTGCAATCCATTGTCTTTGTCGTCCTCTTGTCGATTATCCCGTCGACGAGCATCCCATTCTCGCTCTATTCCACGTTTGTCATTGAGGAGCGCCACGGCTTCAATAAGCAAACATTACGGCTGTTTTTTACCGATATGGTGAAGGGGCAGCTGTTGAGCGCCGTGATCGGTATCCCGTTGCTTGTCGCCTTCTTGAAGATCATCGAATGGGCGGGGTCGAACTTCTACTTTTACATCTGGGTCTTTGTGTGAGTGGCCTCCATATGCACGCAACGCCCTCACTTCGCCCTCAATGGAAGCGCCCTTGCTAACACCAGACGTCTGCTTCCAGGCTGGTGGTGCAATTCGTAATGATCCTGATCTTTCCGACTTTGATACAACCTCTCTTCAACAAATTCACGCCCTTGCCAGAAGGCACTCTGCGAACCAAGATCAACGAGCTCGCTTCCCGCATTAACTTCCCTTTGAAGAAGCTCTTCGTCATCGACGGATCGAAACGGTCTGCGCACAGCAATGCGTACTTTTATGGGTTCTTCAAGAACAAGCGGATCGTGCTGTACGACACGCTTCTTGACCACAGCACGGAGGATGAAGTTTGTGCGGTTTTGGGTATGTTATAAAAACGTTGGGCAAAGTTACGTTGCTCAATTTACCATTTTTCATTTACCAAACGTTCCCCTTGAACTCCTTCAGCACACGAACTCGGGCACTGGCACTACAACCACGTCCTCAGCACGCTCGTCATCATCCAGCTGCACCTCTTCTGCATCTTCTACCTCTTCAGCCTGTTCATCAACCACACACCGCTCTATCGCGCGTTCGGTTTCGCGACGGAGCCGGTGTTGATCGGGTTCACCTTATTTCAGGTATGGATCCCCATTCTACTGCAGTTATTTAATCCAATGACTTACCGATTGATTCCTACATCGCGATAATGGTAGTACCTGCTCGGCCCAGTAGAAACCGTCCTCGGGTTCTTGCAGAACATGGTATCGCGCCGGAACGAGTTCCAAGCAGGTATGTCTTCCGTCATATTCACCTTCGTTGAATCAAACCTCTCACGAATCTCACATCGCGGTTACAGACTCCTTCGCCAAGAAGCTCGGCTACGGAACCCTTTTGAAGAGCGCGCTCACGAAGCTGCATGTCGAGAACAAGGGCACGTTGAACCCAGATCCGTGGTACAGTGCGTGGCATTACAGTCATCCGCCGCTTGTGGAGCGGTTGAACGCTATTGGGAAGACCGAATAGCGGATCTTTCGTTCTCGTTGTGTGTCGGATTGGATTGTGGTGGACTGCTCATACGGCGTAGAGAGAGAGAGCGATCACAAGAGTTAGCAGTGTGCCGTTTGCATCGTATGTAGAGCCTCTATATGCCCACTTTAGGCAGTAGTAGAGTGGTATGGAAGCCCAAATGCTGGTTGATTTGTGAGCGGGTTGAAGATGGCGCTTGCACCACGCGACTGGCGGTGCGCGAGGGGAGGGCTGTGAGGGCGGCCAATGACAGCCGCCCACCCAGATCCATCGCATTTCCTGCAATCCCAAGACTTCAGACAAGACCGAGATCAATATACACGGCCGAACCCCCGACTCAACATAGTCTCAGCTCTCCTCCACTAGCGCTCTCGATCCATAGGCTTGCTGGGCTGGACAGGGACTATATACGCCTTGCCCCCACCGACGCCATACCACTTTGAAGTGAACTCGGCAGCCACTAGTTTCCCGTCGCGCTGTACATGTGCAGGACGATTGCAGTTGGGCAACCGCCGACTGTCCCAATCTCACTCCAACTCCCTATCTTAGCTCGTTCATCATGCCCCTCGACGAAGAAAGTATGTCATCCACCGGGTTGCTTTCAAAACCTTCCCGACGAATGGTGCAGGAAAGAGCTGACCGAATTCTGTCCCCACCCAGTCGAAATCTGCAGAGTATGTCGGTGTCCCTCCACTCCAGAACAGCCGCTTCATTATCCATGCAAATGTTCGGGATCGATGAAATATGTGCACCAGGATTGGTAAGAATGACGTGCCAAAACCGTCCTGCCACTCGTACCGTTGTTTTCTCACACGTCACTCGGAACAGTCTTGAAGAATGGCTACAGCACAGCAAAAAGCGCCAATGCGAGATTTGCAACTATCCCTTCTCTTTCACCCCAAGTAAGTGTCTGCGTGCATCAGCGTCTTCGTCAGCATTCAAACCTCATCGTAAATCCCTCTTCAGTATACTCTGACCAAGCCCCCGAACGCATATCCGTCCTCTTTTTCATCTCCGTCCTTGGCCGCCGCCTGCTCTCCATGTCCCGCTTCTACACTCGCGTAGTCGTAGCTGCCCTCGTCTGGCTGATATGGGTGCCGTACCTCACCGTGTGGATATGGCGGATGCATTTCCAGCCGTCGTTATTACTCAGCGCGTTTGTGGATGGGCAGGCGACGTTATGGAAGGCGGTGAAGATTGAGATTCCGTTTGGGAGGTTGGCGGTGTTTGCGACGACGATGCCGTTGATTCCGTTTAGGTCGTCACCGCCGACGGAGGGAAGGGCGGAACCCTGGGCGTTTGCTGTGGGTGGGCCGGATTATGGTCGACTGCTGAGGTGAGAAATTTCCACCTCACTTTTTTTTTTCACGACGCAATCACAGGTGCTCACCGCAAAAAATCCGCATCATCCAGCACATTCTTCGCCGACGTCTTCGAAGGCCAAATCATTGCCTCAATCGCAGTCATCATCTGCCTCGCCTTCCTCTGTCTCCGAGAATACGTCGTGATGAACACGCCGGTGGATGGACAGGGCCGGCCTATCAATCTCCCGGCACCGCCCGCGGAACTGGACGAGTTGCCGCCGGTGGAAGCTGCGGTTGAGGAGGCTGTGAGGATGCATATGGCGGAACAGGAGCGGGAAAATGGGGGTGTGGTGGGACTGCCCGCTGCTGAACAACCGGTTCCACATGTACATGGCGATTTTATTGCACATCGGACGGATGGTGGGGATGCGGCGGAAGACAAACTTGATGTTCAGCAAAGTGGAAATCGACAACCATTCGCGTATGTTGGGATGTACGACCCAGCAAACATCGGAAAGGACGCGGTCGAGGTGAACGCATCCAGTTCGGGCCTGCGGCGACGGAGGAGTACCGGGCACACTACGGAGGAGGAAGAGCATAGCCGTCACGCGTCTGAAGACCATGCATCGAGTTCCGGTGTCCATCGACCACCACAACCAGAGAATCCCGGGTCACTACACTCAGTAGACTCGAAGGACCACCCACCCCCACGCTTCGGCAGCACCATCCCCGGCCTCGGCTTCGACCACGAAATCTCGCAATTCGGGGCACGGATAACAGCCTTCCCCACCTTAGCATCCGAAACCGAGGCGCATGAAGTCCCCCCCAACGCCCTTCAGCCCATGTCTTTGGGTCTAGGCGACACGTCGTTTGATGAGGATGAAGACGATGACGATGAGCAGGAGGAGGCGGAGCAGGAAAGCGTGGTTGTGGATAAGGGGAAGAAATCGGTCATGTTGGAAGCGTTGGAAGCGGATGCGGAGGAGACTGCGAAACGGTTGCGGAGTGCTGCTACTGATTATGATTTGATGAAGTTGAAGCGGTCGGGGTCGCAGCAGGATGCATCGGAGGATCACGGTGGCGCGAGTCTCGTGGTTGAATCTGCAGATGAAGCCAACTCGGAGGATGCAGCGGCGATACCTGAAGACGACAACGACCAGATGTGGGAAGACATCGACGACGTATTTAACGAGCCGGTCGCACCCAATAATGCCCGAGGAGTGCTGCTCGGCTATTTCGGTGGGAACAGGGAGGACGGCGAACGCGAACACGATAATATCGCCCAACAACAACAACCACCCCCACCACCCCCACCCCGCCCCGCCCCCGTCCACCCCCTCGTCCGCCACATAGCCGACGCCGCCGCCGCCAACCCCAACCCCGACGTAATCCGTCAACTCGAAGCCGCCGCCCCCAACGCTCCCCCTGCCGACAACAACAACATCGACCTAAACGTCAACAACGAGATGAACGCCTTCCTCGAACTCGTCGGCGTCTACGGTCCCCTCGAGCACCTCTTGCAGTCCGTCATCATGGTAGTCCTCGTCATCATCGTCGCCCTCCTCCTAGGGGTGTGGATACCCTACTGGATCGGCCGCGCGATGATGTACATGGTGAAAGATGTGTATGCACCGGGCGTCGGGTGGGCGGTGGAGAAGTTGCAGGTGGTGACGGATCCGTTGCTGGATCCGGTGGTGGATTTGGTGTTGGGCGGGGTTAAGGTGGCGGGGGTTGGCGGGGTTGGGGCGGGGGCTGTGAGGAAGTTTGTGGGGAAGGGGGCAAGTGAGAGTGTGGGCGGCAGAGTGAAGGGGAATCTGACGGAGGAGGGTAATCGGGATATTCCGCGAGCGGTTGATGTGGAGAAGGCGAATGAGACGGTGACGCCGGTGATGGTGCAGGTCTTTGAGGCTCAGATCGCGAGCAGTGTCAACTACACCGACACGCTTACTTCCAAGGCCAACCTTACTGTGGTTGGTAACACCACATTACCCTCAGTTGGGTCGAAGAACGCTGCTGCAGACGCCGAAGAGCCGGAGAAGTTCCTGGGTATCCCGGAGAAGATCCTGTTTACGATTATTGGATATTTCACGCAGATTTTTTTTATCTTTGATTATGCTGTATGTTGCCGTTTCTGTTCGAGAGACGCGGGGGTTTGGACGGTTGTTGAACTTGTTTCTTCTTTGTTGATGTAGAGACGAACGGGGTTGTTGCAGCATCCTTATGCGCAGACTTTGAAGAGGATTTCGTTGAAGTGGTTTTCGTATCTGGGCATGGGTATCAAGGTATGTGATTCATTGTATACGATTCGATTTGCGAATTCCAGATATCTAATTCCCTCATCCCCTCAGTTCTCATTCTTCCTAACAATCGAACTCGGCGCCTTCCCGCTCTTCTGCGGAATCCTAATCGACATCTGCACCCTCCCCCTCTTCGGCGCGCACGTCAACCTCGCCTCCCGCTGGGCCTTCTACAAAGCCCACCCCTGGACCTCCGAATTCCTCCACTGGCTCGCGGGCACCACCTTCATGTTCCAATTCGCCCTCTACATCTCCACCATCCGCCGCGTCGTGCGTCCGGGGGTCATGTGGTTCATCCGCGACCCTAACGACCCGCAGTTCCATCCGATGAACGATATCCTTGAGCGGCCGGTGCTTACGCAGATTCGGAAACTGGCGTTCGGGACCATGATGTACGCGCTGATGGTCGTCGGCGGGGTCGGGGGCGTTGTCGGGTGCGTGTGGGTGTACGATCACCTGACGGGGCAGACGGAGGGTCCCGGGAAGATGTGGCCGTTGAAGTGGGATTTGTCGGAGCCGATGTCGGAGTTTCCGATCGATTTGCTGATTTTTCATTTTGTGGTGCCGTGGACTGTGGCGTGGATCCAGCCGAAGGAGCTGTTAGAGAGGCTGGTGCAGGCGTGGTTCAGGGTTATGGCGAGGCATTTGAGGTTGACGAGTTTTTTGATTGGGGGGGTGGGGGTGGAAGTGGAGAGAATTGGGGGTGGGGAGGGGGGGAATGAGCGGGTGGATCACGGACAGGGCAATGGTGCGGGTATTGTGGCGGTTGAAAACGCCGTCGAGACCGAAGGGGACGCGGGCGCTGACGTTCAACCCGCGAACGCGCCAGTTACTGGCGGCAATGTCGCGGAGACCGAGACAGGGAGCGGTCTTACGGAAGCGAAAGAAGGAGAACCTTCATCAGCGCCTCATCGCTCCGATACCGAAGGAGAACCTGCAGCCTCATCAAGCTCACCCACGAAGCCAACCACATCCTCCACCAAACCCCGAACAAAACACGGCCTAGACCGCGAATTCCCCTACATGCGCGTCCCCAACCACGACCACGTGGAACTCATTCCGGGCGAACGCATGCTAACCCCAATGCGGAGGGACGAACCCTTACGTGGCAGGGAGGGCGAGACGGAGGAGGAGGTGCGGTTGAATTGGACGAAGGTTTATGTGCCGGAGGATTTCAAGATAAGGGTATGTCGGGTGGTGGGGGATGAGTAGTGGGGGGATGGTGTGACTTACCGTTTTTGGGGGTTTTGTAGGTGGGGCTATTGCTGTTTTTCCAGTGGGTGTGTGGGACGTTGTTGATTGCTGCGATTATCATCGTGCCTCGTAAGTAACGTTTGTGTGTTCGGTTTAACCAGCTGGCGTGGAACCAACAAGTTTGCCATGCACCGCAGTATTCCTGGGTCGGACATTCTTCATCCAAGCCTCCACACTCATCCCCAACGTCGAAGCATTCACAACCCCCTCCTACAACCCTCTAAGGAACGCAACCCTGCTCGCAGAAACAGCAAACAACACGACCACAACAATCTCGCATCCGAAACGCATCATGCGCCCCGACTTGCCTGTTCACGACATGTACTCATACGCGGTCGGGATCTTCTTGCTGTTCTTGACGCTGCATCCTGTTATACGGCTGAATGATTTGATTCGATCGTGGCAGCGGAGGACGCATACCCAGCGGACGACTATTGCGCAACGTGCTTCTCCCGCTGCGAATACTGGAGGAGTCGGCCATTCGATAGGCGGGGAGACTCCAGCTCGCATTGTGCGGCGACACCCATGGCGACGCGTAGTGCGGAGATGGGTGCATCGTGGGATGCGATCCTCGGTTCTGGTGGCGAAACTGGCGTTTCTGGGATTCATGTTTGGAATCCTCCTACCGCTACTGGAGGGATTACTCTTCGACATGTACCTAATCCAACCCTTCCGCCCCCTCGTCGTTCCACGGTTTGCGTCAACCGGCGGTCTCCCAACACCAGTGCAACCCACCTCCGGTGGCGGCGGCGGCTCGCGCTACGTCGGGGTCAACCTCGCCGCACCGCCCACCCACGCCCAAGCGACACGGATGCTGATCCAAGCGTTGTTGCAAGACTGGGCCCTCGGCGCAGTCTACATGAAGATCGGCTGGGCGCTCGTGATGGTCGGCCCGGAGAACGACGTGCAGCGCGTTCTTCGGGAGATGGTCACCGGCGGCGTGCGGCGCGTGCGGGTCCGGCCCGTGTGGAACGTTGTCATCCGCCCATTACTGCTCATCTGCCTCGCGCTCACCATCGTGCCGATTTCCGCCGCGGCGGGGATCCGGTATGTGTGGAAACCGGCGTTGATGCAGGCCGGTGGGGGTGGGGATAGCGAGTCGACGGTTAGTCTGGCGTTGAGTCTGAGGTGGGCGTTTCCGGGGACCTTGGTATGTGGGTTGGTTGTGGGCGCGCTGTGGGCGGGTGTGAAGGCGCTGTTGGCGTGGATGGAGCAGATTAGGGAGGAGCAGTTTTTGGTGGGGAGGAGGCTGCATAATTTGGATGATGGGGGGGCGGTGGCTGGGCGGGCGCCGCAGACGACAGCCCCGCAAGTACCGGCACCGGTTGTTGATGCACCTGTACGGGATGGACATCCGACAGCGGCGCCACTGCCTGAGGAAGGCTCGATAGCGGCGGGACCATCCGACAGTGGGTCACGAACGGAAGCAGCTTCCGGAACGGTCGGCGCAGAGTCAATACCAACCGCATCCAGTTCACCAGCAACAATCACTCGCCACCACCAACACCACTGAGCCTCTACCCTCATCATCCATCTCGACGGCAGTTGGTGCCGTTGAAGCTCTGACGGACCCATTGCATACCGCGGAAGGCATCCTCTGAGCCCATAGTGCAACGCCGAGGAAGAGGGAAGAGCGTAGCTTTGTTGGCCAATCTGTATATACACATATCCAAAACATACAGTATATCCTCATGTTAGTGAGTGGTGCTGAACATGAAGCCAACTACTGACAGCGCGTTACCTGGATCCCGAGCCAAGTTACCGGGGACCGGGGCTGTGGGTCGGTCGCCCAAGTGGCTTCGCCCGATGGCTCGCTCTCGTCCTCCCGAAGCGGCCCAGCTGCCCAGTGGACAACGATCGCTGCTGCTGTTTCCCACAGAGAAAACTCGCACTCTCGCGCTCAAAGGCTCATCAAAGAGAGCGCTCTTCAGTTGCCGCTGTTGGCAAGCAGCGGGCTTGAGACAGGGGGTCACATAATTTACAAAAGTCAACTTAGAAAACCATGACGATATCCCTAAAGGATGCCGTCAAAAAGCGTACGCAGATGGACAGCTGGCCTTTGGTTCTTTCGTTTCCAGCTGGTCTCTGACTGACTCTTTGACCCCCACCTGCAGGCATTCTGGTAGACTCGCTAAAGTCCGTTCAAACACCGGGAACATGGAAAGTCCTCCTCGTCGACGAGCACGTGCTGCGTGTTATGAACAGCGTCTGCGATGTCCACGATCTGGCCGACGTGAATGTACCCGTGACGGAGACGCTCTCAGCACGGAAGAGGACACGATACCCGGACAAAGAAGCCATTTACCTCATTTCCCCGACGAAAGAATCTGTCGAGTTCCTGGTCAAAGACTTCAGCGGGTCAAAACCGATGTACGCCGCAGCGCATATCTTCTGCATAGCCGCCCTCCCTGACGCACTGTTCGACTACATCAAAACCTCGAATGTCCGGAAATACATCCAGGCGCTGAAGGAGATCAACATTGACTTTTTGCCGTTCGAGTCGCAGGTGTTTCATTTCGATGACATTTCCGCGTTCTTGAAAACCCATGATAGGTCGGATTTCGGGGAGGTTGATAAGTACCTCGATAGTGTTGCGGATAGGATGAAATCCGTGCTGTCGACGATGGAGGACTCGCCGGTGATACGGTACTTTGATCCGACGGGCAGCCGCGATACATTGTCGGCGCATTTGGCGTTTAAGGTTCATGATGCCATTGCGGAGATGAAGGAGCTGGATCCCACGTGGCCGCCGGAGAGCGCTTATCCTCAGACGGAGCTGATAATTGTAGATAGGACTGCGGATCCGCTTATCCCGTTGTTGCATTCGCTGACGTATCAGGCGGCTTTGCATGATCTGTTGCAGATGGATGGGTCGACTGTGACGTGGGTTTCCGGTCCACATTTTGCTTCGTGAAGGGAGCTTTGTGCTAATGCGGTACACTCCCGACAGGTACACCAAAGATGAGTCAGTGGGAATCCAGACTGCGATAGTGGACGAAGCGGATTCCGTCTTTGTAAGTTCACCCGTTGCTAGTATTGGATGATTGGCAGGAACTCACGAATTCTTACATTGTTCAGAACGAAGTCCGCGATCTCTTCGTAGCAGATGCCTGGAAGAAGATCCTGCAGGCGAAAAATGATCTCGATGACAGCACCTCGGACTCGGAGACCTCCTTGGACTCATTGAAGAAGATCGACGCACTGAAGGAGAAGCTGCTGGGGCTTCCTCAAGCGCAGAAGCGTTTCGAGAAAGTTGCCTTGCACATTCACTTGTACGCTGAGATCATGCAGAACGTCAATGAGAGGAAAATTGGGGACCTCGCCAACATACAACAGACCATCGCAACGGGTGAAGATCCAGATGGAACGAAACGGCCACCTACTCTCCTCCAACACCTGGAACAAATATTAGAGGACCCAAATTACCTCGTAGAAGACAAGCTACGCACGTTACTAACGTTCATCCTGGGCTCAGCGGGAGCGGACCGGAGACACCTGGTCGAAGTCGGCCAGCTGATGGCGGAGATACCCACCTTACGAGGCCTCGATTACATCGGCGCCGTCCCTGGCGAGATCGATCCCCTCAACCCACAATGGAGGTATACGGATGTGGGAAGGAGGGCGTTACGACAAAAATCTCGTAAACGGACAAGCACCAGCGAAGAGGAACAACCGTACGATATCCACAGATACGTCCCGGCCTTGAAGTACATATTACAGGACGCGATAGCGGGCGAGCTGGACCCGCAAATGTTCCCCACCACCGACGCCAACACCAACCCAGCGGCGATGGACGATGAGGGCAGCACCGGAGCTAGCCAGGAAAAGCAGATTGGCCGAGGAACGCTGATCTCGTTCAGTGGAGAGTTTCAGCCGATGTGGGCGAGTAGGAAACCGCCAACCGGTGCGGATGTGAATGTGGATTTGCGTGCGAATGGGAGCCGGATCATTGTGCTGTTTGTTGATGGGGTTACGTTCCCGGAGTTGCGGGTTGCGAGGGAGGTTATGTCGACGTCGCAGAGGGAGGTTTATATAGGTGCGACATGGTCGAGTTTTTATCCGTTTTGATGGAGATGGAGTACTGACGAAGCCTTTGGTCAACCGACAGGTTCCCCCGGCCTGCTAACGCCATCAGTCTTTGTGTCCAGCCTCCGCGAGCTCGGAAGCCTGCCAACCCCACCCACAAAGATGCCCGTAGTGATGCACAAGAACCTGCTCGCGCAAAAGCCAGTGGACGGACTGAGGAGGTCTAGCCGCATCACAGGGCCAGCGAAACGAGCATCGGTTGCGTCTCCTGGTGCCATTACAGCTCCACCTCCGGAAAGTGAAGCTATCCTCCAGCAGCAGCGGTTGGAGGAGAAGCCGTTACCGGCGCTGGCGCTGCCTTCGGAGCGGACGGCGGTTCCTGTACAGGCACCCGCAAGAGTTTCCGAACTAGTACCGGTTCAAAGAAGCATCGCGCCAAACCCACAGTTGGTTCAGCCAAACGTATCGTCGGAAAAGCGCGAAGCCTCCGACTCCAAACCGCGGAACTCAATCGATTCCCCATCCGACGGATCCCGTCGCAGCTCCTCACAATCCTTCCAAGCAAGCATACCCACCGCCAAGGACGAAAGCTTTGACCACAACGCGAGGCGTTCGATCGATTCAGGCTCCGATGGATCTCGTCGGAGCTCCGCACAGTTCGTTCAGCCGAGCATACCCCAGCAGCAGTCACGGCGGTCGATCGATGTGCAGTCGGATGGATCTCCTCGTGGCGCGGAAGTGCGGGCACCTACGCCTACAACGCAAGGTGAACAGCAGGCTGGGTCTCGTCGTACCTCTGAAGCCCTAGCCCCCGCGCCGGAACAGCAAGCAGCGAGCCTTGAAATCACGGCGTCACAGGATTCAAGCACGCCACTGGCTAGGTTACCCGGCCGCGAGGGCGGCAATGCAGGTGCACCGACAAGGTCTTTGTTTCATAATCGCCGCCCCTCGCGGCCTGCGCCGGGTGAGACATCTGCGCCGATGCAGCGGCAGCATTCTGGACCCGCGCCCGGTTTGTCCGCGCCAGTGTCCCCGCCCCGACGGGAGTCGAATGGACATATGAATGTTGGGTCGGGGGTGCCGCTACAGCAGGGGAGGCGGGGTTCTGATGCTACGGGGATGCCGCAAGCTGAGCAGCAGAGGGACGCGCAGGGTGTCGTGCCTCCGGCGTACCCGTACACTGCACAGCAAACCCGCCCAATCGATATGGCTGTGCCTGCGTCCCGTCCTGTCCCGCAACCAGATTCGGCGCCGGCTTCAACGTACCCCTCTCTATCCCAGCCACAACAAGCAGTCCAATCACAACGCCCTGTATCCGCGGGCAATCGACCCGCAGCTGTGGTTCCGGAAATCATCTCGCCGCAATCGGTATACACGCCACCCATGTACGTCCCGCCTACCACCCAGATTGGGGTCCCGCCACCCCGCAACAAGTCCCGCGGACAACCCATCGTCCCACCTCCATCACTGGTCCAGCGGCCTGGTGCGAACATTTCGCCTCCGAAGCCCGACCCGAATCGCCAGAGTTTGGGTGCGCAGGGTAGGCCACTTGATGGTGCACAGCGGCCCCCTGCGCCTCTAACAAGCGCCAAACCGGAGACCTCCAGACCAACACAAGCCGCTTCACAGCGTCCCTCATCCGCTGCAAATCAAAGTAACGAGCGCCCGCACCCCTCCACGTCCCGCCAAAGCCTCGAGGAAAGGCAACCCATCCCACAATACCCAGCCGCGCCGAGATCAGACAGTCCCGAGGACCCGGACATGAAAGCAGCCATTGCGGCTAGTCTGGCTGAGTTGGCGAAGGAGAGGGAGATGGAGAGGCTTAGGTATGAGGAGTTGGCGGCGGCGAGGGCGGGGCAGGGCCAGACGTATGCGGTGGCGGGGGAGAAACGTCAGTATCACCAGCAGCAGCAGCAGCAGCAGCAGCAGCAACATCAACATCAACAGCAGCAGCAACCGCAACATCACCAGCATCAACATGTACATTTCCCCGCCGCAAACTCATCACCCGCATCCCAATCCCCTACACCATACGGAACCTTCGCGCCATCAACCGCACCCCACCAAGCCTACCCACAATACCAGCCGCCCCAACACCCGCCAGCCCCCTCACACCCCTCCACAGGCTACACCGCGCCATCCCACTCAGGCCCCTACACCAACGCACACATCTCTCCTCAAATCCCCCACTCATCACCACATCCCTCCACCGCCCCCGCACCCATCCCCTTCTCCTCTCGCCCGCTGTACAGACAGGGCGCGTATCGACAGGCGTCGCGGCCTGGTCAATCGGACATGCCCAGTGATGCATCGTATGGAAGGGATTACGCCACATCCCCGTCAATGGGCCTGAGTCCACCGGCACCCACCTACCTGGCACCCTATACACAGCCGTCGTCCGACAGTATCCAGTCGCCGGCGTATTACCCCGCCCATACGTTCTCGTCCGCGCCGGCGTATCAGGGGCATCAGATGCAGTATCACCAGGGGCAGTATCACCAGGGGCAGGGGAATCGGTCGCCGCCGAGGCAGGCGAATGGGCCGCCGCCGGGCGCGTTTCAGGGTGGGGGGCAGCAGCATCCGGGGCAGGAGAGGCCGAGGTAGCCGTGGGGGGATTGTAGAGTCTCAGGAAATTTGGGTACGTTGTGTAGTCAGGCGTAGGTTTCTTTGAGGTAGAATCTGGGCGGGACGTGGTCCCCGAGAAGTGTAGACGTATCCAGCAACGGAAGTATAGATAGTAATGGCAAATGCAGCATGGATGTGTATTATGTCTATGATATGAACCAGTCCCACCCACGATCCTCATCATATCTTCACCTTGGTCTGATACTCAAACAGCCGTAACAGATTCCTCTGCAGCATCGCAACAGTGACTTTACCGACCGAGGGCACGTATATGGACGCTTTGCCCTTGATATCGTCCTGGAAGTTTTTGGCGGTGGAGAAGTTGACGGCGATGACGCCGTCTTTGAGTTGTGCGGTTTCGAGCTTGTAGGTGGGGGACGGGACGCCGGTGATGACGATGTCGGAGCGGGAGAGGGCTTCGGGGAGGGTGCAGTCTGTTTCGAAGACCTGGGTGTGCGCGGAAACAGGTTGTTAGTGATCGACTCTGGGGGCGGAACGGGGAGAGGGACGGTGGATCGCACCTCATGCTTCTTCAGATGCAACCCTTGTCCTCTATGCAGCTCCATGATTCCATCGACATCGACTGAGTACACCTTGGCGCCGTCGTTGGCGAGAAGAGCCGCCAATGGACGACCTACGACCTCGCTTCGGTTGATGATGGTGATGGTCTTGCCGTGGAGACGGTCGCCGTAGTTGAGTATCTTGTTGTATGCGCCGATGTATTCTAGGATCTGGGGTGTGAACGTGTGAGACTAGGCATTTGGAGACATAACGCGAAGACGATGAATGCGATATTATACCTTGACCAATGCCAATGGCGTGCATGGAAGTATGCACTTGATGGTATTTTCCTTATCCAGGTATCGCACGTTGTGGTACATGTTATATCTGTATTTGAAACAGAGGCCCTAATGAGGGCAGAAAACGCGCCTAAGTCTCGTGCGGTAGGGAAGACGGACGTTCAAGTTGCAGACACAAGCGACTTACTTCCACATCCTTTTGCGGGCTCACGATGTTTTGTATGTATCCATCCTGCAGCCATCGAGAGGTTTAGTCTTTTACCCTGCGCCTCCGTTACAAGAAGACCAACCAAACCTGTGTTCCGCCAAAGACGGGATAATAGACCATAATCCCGTGAACATTCTTATCCTCATTCGCTTCAATGAGGCGGTCCTCCAGTTCCGTTCGTGGGCATCGCCTACACTCGAACCTCAGCCCGGTCTCTGCACACGTTTTTGCACTCCACTCGGCATATTTGGCGGCAGCGGGGTCCTCATTGGCAAGGAACGCGACGAGTAATGGTTTCGTTTCCAAGGCTGTGATCTGTTGCTTAAGCTCGGAGCTGAAATAACAAACGCATACCGTCAGTTTTCGCAGTCGGTTGAAGACGAGAAGCTTGGGAAGGTTTCGGCCTCGAATTCCCAGGGTCCAAACGAGGCTTTTGGTCGGTTGCCGGCTCGTTTCGCCAGGGTCCTACTTACATGAAGGACTCGGCGACATTTGCCGCGCTGATGGTTTTGCAGGACATGTTGTTGCTGGATAACTTTCGAGCCTTGAAGCTGTTTGGTTGGTATGTTGCGGTGGCGAAGAGGCGGTTGCCCGCAGTGGCAGCTGTGATAAACAGGCGGTGATGGGGTCGAGCGAAAAAAAAGGTTCGCACGCACAGCTGAGTTTCTTTGTGCAAAACGTCACGGCTTTGCGACGCGCCGCGTTGATCTATCGGATCTACTCCCTGTGCGATCTCACGCATGATTCACTCGCTGCTGATGCGATGCAGGCCTACATTGCAATATGAATGCAACTGGCAGCCGGCAATGGTGGATCTTTACATCGTCTGGCATTGCGGTCGCCCGGCTGTCTGTCCCTATGTACAGTACATAGGAACCGGATTTATGAGATAGAGGGCCCCCCATCAGCCCGTTGCTCCAGATCCACCGGGCGTTCATTCACAGTCGTTGAGCGGGGTCTACGAACACTGATATACCACTCAGTAGCATATTCCTATGCCGTCAGAGACTGTACTGACGGGAAACTTTTGCGACAGGGGCGTCAATCCATCCGATCACAAGCCCGAGAAGCCTGCCTGCTTAGAAAGTCTGAGGGAGCGACGCGTCCCAACCGCCAGAAACACCGCACGGCTCCACCGCCTGGGCTGTCCGCTGTCTGCACCACCCACTCACCCGGCGCAACCAGACCCCTGCTACGTCCGGTAAGTCAGTCAGCGACACACACACTTCCCACGTACAGTCATGTCGGTGAGTGTCCGCTGTCCTAGGGCCGCCGTGTTAGAGGAGAGACACGTCCACGTCAGGTTCAACGCGTGGAAGCTTGCTTGGTGCGTTGCTCATTGACCTACCTATTATACTCGCACACGTACAGGAACGAGAGGCGGTCAAGGTCGTAGTCAGATGTAGACCCTTCAGTGAGAAAGAGAAGGCCGCCGGACACTCGAATATCGTAGCGATAAGCAAAGAGGCCGCGACTGTCGCCATCACAAACCCAAAGAGCGCCTCCGATCTCCCAAAGACATTCACCTTCGATAGTGTGTTTGATATCTCCAGTACACAGCAGGAGGTCTATAATAAGACGGCGAGACCCATCATCGAGAGTGTACTTAATGGTTACAATGGCACGATCTTTGCATATGGGCAAACGGGCACCGGAAAGGTTCGTGATTAGGCCTTGGCAAGATGTGAATATATTCATCGAAGGCTAATGAGATATCGGGTGGTAGACCTTCTCCATGGAGGGCATCCGCGATGTCCCAGAGCTGCGAGGAATCATCCCTAACGCCTTTGCGCACATCTTCGCCGAAATCTCCATGGCGGACAAATCCACCCAGTTCCTGGTTCGAGCATCCTACCTCGAGATCTACAACGAGGACATCAGAGATCTCCTCAACCCGAAAGCCGGCAAGCTAGAAATCAAGGAGCGCGCAGATATTGGTATCTACGTAAAGGACCTGAGGACGTTCGTGATCAAGGATGTGGAAGAGATGGACCGATTGATGTCGTTTGGAAACAAGAACCGCTCCGTCGGCGCGACGGAAATGAACGCGACGAGTTCACGCTCCCATTCCATTTTCAGCATCACAGTCGAAGCCAGCGAAAAGGGCCAAGATGGGGAAGAGCACATCCGCGCCGGAAAACTGCATTTGGTCGATCTGGCTGGTTCAGAACGGCAGGGCAAGACTGGCGCGACCGGGGATCGGTTGAAGGAGGCCACCAAGATCAATCTGTCTCTGTCGGCGTTGGGGAACGTCATTAGTACGCTGGTGGATGGGAAGAGCTCGCATATCCCGTATCGGGATTCGAAGCTCACGCGGCTGTTGCAGGACTCGCTGGGTGGGAATGCGAAGACGTTGATGGTGGCGACTATGAGTCCGGCGAGTTATAACTTTGAGGAGACGCTGTCGACGCTGCGGTACGCGAATCGGGCGAAGAATATCAAGAATAAGCCGAAGATCAATGAGGATCCGAAGGTACTTGCTGATGTGTGCTGCTTTGTAAGGTGCCATTTGCTCCAACTAAAGATGGGCACCCTCAATTCCTATAGGACGCGATGCTGAGAGAGTTCCAAGAAGAAATCAAGCGCCTAAAAGCCCAGCTAGACCAAATGGACAGCAGCGGAACAGGAGTGACAGGCGAACCCATCATCCAAGAGGTGGAAGAGATCGAAGAGGTGGAAGAGATAGAAGACGTAGACATCCCGGACCAAGTACCTGGAGCGGCCCCGGAACCCCGCGGAGAGAAGCCAAAGAAGACAAAGGCAAAAAGGGTCAAAGTCAAAGTAGCCGCCCCACCCAGCACAGATACCAGAGCATCCGCTCCGGGCGGCGGTGGTGCACAACTATCGCATCCAGACCACGAAAAGATGCTAGTCGAGATGCAAGAACAAGTAGAAGCCGAGAAACGCCACATCCTCGAATCCAAAGACATTGAAGAATCCGAACGCAACCGTCTCCTCGACGCCCTCAACTCCCGCGGCGCCGAGCTCGAGTCCGAAAAGGAAGCGCGGAACCAATTAACCGCCAAACTCTCCCAGCTGGAACAAAAGCTGCTGATCGGGGGCGTGAACGCGATCGATAAACACGAGGGGCAGAAACTGGAACTGGCCAAACAACAACAGGAGATCGAAGAACGTGCAAGACGGGAACGTGAACTGGCCCGGGAACTCGAAGAACACGAGGAGGCAGGTCTACAGATCGAGGAAGAATTCTCATCATTACAGGAAGAAGCCGCGGCCAAGACCAAAAAGCTCAAAAAACTCTGGACCCTCCTCATGCGGCACAAATCCGAGATCAAAGACCTCCAAGAAGAACACCAACGCGAGCGCGAACAGCTCCTCGAAACAGTCCGCGATCTCACCCGCGAGCTCAAACTCCGCATGTTGGTCCTCGACTCGTTCGTACCCCGGGACTCGCTGGAGCTCCTTGAATCGTTCGCCGAGTACGATGAGACGAGCGAGAAGTGGCGGATAGCGCATATCGCGCATGCCGGGAACAATATCCGTGGGAAACGGAGCTTGGTGTCGGGGTTGCCGCTGCATCGTGATCAGTATGGGCCTGCGGGCGAGCAGGGGATGGATGGGGAGGAGCCGCCGTGGAATCCGATGGTTGCGTTTCCGGATCCGTATTTATCATACGACACGCCGGTGGGGTCGGGCGGGAAGCGGAAGAAGACGGCTGGTGGGGGGGAGATGGGGAAGAAGGGGTTGGGGAGCGGGGATCGGCCGTCAGGGAAGAGGCCGGGGACTGTGGGAGCTAAACGGACGCCGACGAAGGGGAGTCGGGAGAAGAATGTGGCTACGCCGACGCCGACTAAGTTGCAGGCGGAGGATGATGCAAAGGCGCCGCCGTCTGCAAGAGGGCTTGTGGGCAAGACGAAACATTATGCATGAAGCCGTTTGATTTTCTTGGAGGACGCTGATTAGATTAGAGGGATGTCTGGGGCTTTCTTCTGCTGATTATTGTATACAATTTTGAACGCTTTTGGACGCTCTTTTCGAACTCAAGTCTTTCGTGTCACCCAAGCCAGCGAAACCACAGTGCGTGTCGTGCGCCTACGGTCAGGGAGGCCAACGCATCGCATAATTCGCAAGATTTCTGATGTACGTAGATAGATGGATCCGACCTATGAGAGAACGTCCCAGTACATATACAGTCTCCAACAGCACTGGTGTGCGATAACTCCGCATGAGAGAGCGTTACCGACCTCTGCCACATATCCTCATCTGCCCACGGTGGCCACGTTCCCACGACTGGCCGGTGATTTCTCCTGACGGTATGTCCTCGTTCTCTTCATTTTCCCACGTGCACCGTCTAGGTCCCGATCTGCCCATGTTTCCCACCACCACCGTCAACGGAAGCGGTGGGATGAAAATGACCGTGTTCGATGTGCGTGCTGCATTTTAGATGTCGGAACAGGAGCGTCAGGCTACCGGCCGTCTCACCGTCGAACTATTGGTGGTTCTCATCAAGCAACTTCGAGTGACCCTTGGTCGCCGACAACCCCCTGGAATTCCCTTGACGCCTCGATGCTTGGGGTGCATTTTGTTGTTACGCCTGCGGTGGCAAGGAGTTCAAAGAGACATTCTGGAGGTTCGTGGAAACCATATCGGGTGACTCTGGGGAGAACGTTCGGGCGTCTGTAGCTTAGGTCTAGATATGTAACTTTAGGTTCAAACGCTTAATACTCCGGTAGTTTACTGATTCCCGTTTTGAACACGATAATTAGTTTGTGACTGTATGGTGAATGGTATCCTCAAGAACCTGACGTCAGCGAGCTCTTCACATCTCCCTGATCTGAGATCTCATACCACCCAGAAACGACCAAGTGACAAGAACTATTACGGCGGGTGATATTCGGCGCCAAGCCGTATTGCTTATCCGCGCCCATGGCTCCAGACCCCACGGGTTACATAGCGTACCGTACATGACCGGCGTGCGAGATATCTTCGTATTGATAGTGTGCATCATGCATGCGAGCCCTGTGATCGGACTCCATGAGGGCTCAGGTTGCCATTTGAACGACGAGGGATGCAAACGAGGGGAGGTGCTTGCGCTGTCCGAATCCTGATCAGAAGAGCACCCTGGATCTGGATTCTTGATCCCCGCGGCTTATATATAGGTATGTACATACATACGGTAAACTCTAAAGTACAGTACAGTGCGTATACGCGTTGCGCCCACGCGTATTTTGCCCCTGGCGTCGTCATCTCACAGATAGGCAGCAGCCTCAGCGATCAGACATCCGCATCCAGCCAGCAACAGGCTGCTTTTACCCCGTATATCAGTACGCAGGCACAATCAATCTCCCCGGATCCATGCGGCTTAGGCAGCGTCTGTCTAAAATGCATATAACCCAGCCTGCGTGTTGATCATGCACCGTGACATTCCCAATCTGGCTGTGGACAGGGACCACGTATACTGTATGCTGGTGCATTTCGGATGTCAATACCTATCACGCAGACGCCTGAGATGGGATCTCTGACTTTGATACATGTACAGCATGGGACGGAACATACTAGAGGTCGTCGGGGTAAACGCCCACCCATGATGCCGCTGCCAATCAGTGGGATCATTGTGTTTGATCTCGGCCCGCCGCGAGCCCTATGGAAGAATATGAGAGATACGTTTACGTGCCTGGGACGTAGAAGATGACACCAGAAGAACGAAGGAACAAAGACCATCGCCATAGATCCCCGAATCGCATAAAAGGAAGCAGCGTCGTATCCACTCCCCATACCTGCAGCACCCACACTTCCAAATTTTTCTGTCACATTTCATCATGAGCTGGTTCTCATCCCTTGCGCCTTTAGCCCTTGCGGTCTCTGCAGTTCTTGCATCGCCTGCGCCGAATCCCTACCGTGACCAGCAGGTGCTCCGATGCACGCTCAACGACGATGCACAAGTTCAGCATATCAAGTCCGCAAAACTCGATGTATGGTCACATCACATCGGCCTGAACCGCCCCGTCGACATTCGAGTCAACGCCGAGCAGCAACGAGCCCTGGAGGCAACCGGCGCTCAATGCGGTTCTTTCATTGAGGACATTGCTCGGCTCATCAAGACCGAGAACGAGCCGGCAACCCTGGACCGTCGGCAGACCAGCGACACGTTTTTCTCAAAGTACCGCACGTACGCCGAAATCAACACCAAGATCGCCGATTGGGCCAAGGCGTACCCCGCGCTGTTCACCAATCTCGGTTCAATTGGAACCACCGTTGAGAATCGTGCCATCCCCGCTTTCAAGATCTCCAAGGGTTCGTCTTCAACCAAGAAAGCCATCTGGTTCAACGGCGGCATCCACGCTCGTGAATGGATATCGCCCGCCACCGTTATGTACCTCGCCAACGTTCTCTTGACCGGCTCCGACCCGGCGTTAGCCGCGTACCTCGACAAGGTCGACTTTTATATTACCCCCGTCTCCAACCCCGACGGATACGTATACACCCAGACCGACCGGATGTGGAGGAAGAACCGTAGAAAGAACCCTGGAAGCTCTTGCGTAGGGACCGATTTGAATCGTAACTTCAATGAGCATTGGGCGGTTGCGGGCACATCGTCCGACCCGTGCGATGAGACCTTCCCCGGGAGCGGCCCTGGGTCCGAGCTCGAGAACAAGGCTCTCACTTCCTTTGTCACCAAGATCCCCAACCGCCTTGCCGGGATCGATTTCCATTCTTACGGACAGTTGATTCTGCGTCCATGGGGATGGACCGACACCGCTCCTGACAACGCCGCCAAGTACAAGGCTTTGGGTGATGGTGTCCGCGATGCCATCCGCGCCCAGTCCGGAACGAGATACACCTCCGAAGCCGGCGCTGACCTGTACCCGGCCTCGGGCGCAACCGACGACTGGATGAACGCCAAAGCCAAGATGGTCGGATACACCATTGAGCTGAGGGATACCGGAAACTACGGGTTCGTCCTTCCAGCGTCCCAGATCGTCCCCACAGGCAATGAAATCGTTGCCGGCGTCAAGGCGTTCCTCAAATACGTCCTTGCGAATCCCATCCCCACTCCCTCGATCCCTCCCAACTAAACTAAGGTGCCCAACGATGGCTTTTGATAGAGTAGTTCTGCTTTCCTCGAAAATTGACCTTTTCCCGATTCTGCAACGTCGTGATGTTCTTCACGCTGTCTTTTCTGTATCATATGTACGCACTTTTTCCGAACTGTATCATACCATCCAATTCGTATACCCTTTGTCGTCCGTACCATCGCTCACTCAATGTTCTTGCGCTGCAAGCTGCTGCTGTACATATACGTACATGCATGTGTATGCCTGTACTGTACCTACATAGTCTAGGGCCTTGGGCTCTGGTGCTCTCTGGGGACCTGATATGCGTCCACGAAACGCATGGTGATGTCCTGATCACGGATTTCCCAGACGGGCGCGGGCGAACTGCGAATGGAAACCAATTCCGACAGCGCGTAGCATGCTGTCAAAGCAGCTGTCAACAGCAATTTGGCTTCCTTACGCTTGGAGGCACCGTCACTTGGCGTACACTTTCCCCCACGGATACCGTAACCGATCGTCGGCGCCCTTTCATAACGTAGGCATAAGTTTGTTGAGAGCCACCAGCCACACTCATCAGGTTTCTTGGTGCCTGAAAGCCCCAGATCCCAACCTGCGCCTCTATCGGGTGACGAGGTATCCCAGTCTGATGTACGGGACAACGTGGAGGTTGTATTTTGGTTTGCCAGCCGACAACGTGGGGGTTGTATTTTGGTTTGCCAGCCGCTGGAAGCCGCTGAAGCTCTTTCGTGGGGCTTTCACAGCACCCTCGATGGCGGGGCACTATAGAGCGACCCCTGTACCGGAGCTCGGTAGAATCCTCCGAGGGCGTACATATATCTACAACTTCCCTTCATTTGGCATTTTGACGCTTCCGGCCGCCGACTCGGGACCAAGTGAACAGGAATCATGTAATTTGGATATTTCATGAGGAACTAAATATACAACTTCTGAAGGTCTCATGATGTGCACGAAAAACTGTCACGAGGGCGGATGTTGGCCTCATAGGAGCTCTCGGGAGAAGCTGGGATTTGGTAAGGGGGTCCTCACCTTCAAACTCAATTTCCCACCGTCGGTCGCCCGTTCATCCCTCAATCGATGACACACCGGAATGACGCTTCCGAGCGTAAAGTGCGAGGATCTGTCAAACTTCCAGCGAGTTGGGGTCGAGAGGAAAGGCTACCCACGGCCGGTTGGTCCTACAATAATTTCTACGACCAAGCCCCGGCGGCGGACTTCGAGAAAAGAGATATTTCGAAGTTGGTGGTCGGAACTTTGGGCTACGCCGGCCATCTGTACCGGGCGTCTCTCGTGAAGCCGGCGGGATACAAGAACAGCGAGGCCAATTTTTAGTTGTTGTCGAGAGAGCTCCGTGAAGAATGGGCGTTGGCAAACCCGGCTTCATAGCAGTGTATAAAACTCCGACGCCATCCCTCATCCCCTTCGCCTTCAGCACCTTTCAGGTTTCGTAACTCACACGACAAATCTGAAGATGGTCTTCAAACCCCTCGTCGCTGCGACTCTCGCGATCGCCGCATTGGCGCGCGGAGTCGTTGCCGACCCGCCTGATTTCCACAACTGCACCACGACCCCTTACTGCGTCCGTAACCGCAACATCGCTGACACGAGGACGGCCGCCAACAGCCCTTACTCCCTGTGGTCCGCCGAGTTCGACCATGCCAAGAACGCTGTCGTCGGAAAGATCTACAACAGCAAAGCCCAGAAGAAGCTGACTTTCAAGCTTTCCTTCCTCAAAAACACTCACGCCGCTCGCTTCATCGTCAACGAGGAGAATCCCGCTCACGTCCGTTACGATGGCGCTTACAAACATGCCTTCCAGCACGACCCGAAGAACATCGACTTATCCAAGCTCGAGAAGAAGGAGACGGAGAAGACCATCCTAGTCAAGTACGGTGCGAAAGAAGTACTCATCCAGAAGAAGCCTTTCAAACTGACTGCCCGCGTCGATGGAAAGCCTATCGCTGAAGTCAACTCCAAGGGTTGGTTCAACTTCGAGAACAGCTTGAAGAAGAAGGAGGGCGACAACTGGGAGACGATTACGGAGGTCAACGACTGGGTCGACAAGACCGGTATCATCACCTACACCGACAAGCACGGCAACCGCCCTACATCCGTGGCCGCCGACATTACATTCCCCGGCTTCGACTTTGTCACTGGAATCCCCGAGCACGCCTCGCCTTCCTTGAACCTCAAGTCCACCCGTGGCGCCGATGCCTACTGGCAGGACCCCTACCGCTTCTGGAACACGGACACCTACGCGTACCCCGTGCCCAGCAACGCTGCCAACTACGGTGCCATTCCCCTCATCATTGCCCAGAAGCCCGGCCAGGCCGCTGGTATCTTCTGGGTCAACCCCGCCGAGGCTTGGGTCGACATCTCTCGCGAGAACAACTCTACCACTACGCACTTCATGTCCGAGGACGGTGTGATCGACCTCGTTTTCTTCTTCGGCAAGTCCGCCCTCGAGGTCTCCCGCTCCTACGCTGAGCTCACTGGTTCCCAGCAGCTCCCCCAGCGTTTCGCGCTCGGTTACCACCAATGCCGATACTCCTACATGAACACCTCCGACGTTCTTGCCGTCGACAGCGGCTTCGACGAACATTCCATCCCCTACGACGTCATGTGGCTCGACATTGACCACACATCGGGAATGAGGTACTTCACCTGGAACCACACTCGCTTCGAAGACCCCGTTGGTCTGCAAAACTACTTTGGGGAGAAGAAGCACCGTCAAATGGTCACCATCAAAGACCCCCATTTGGCCAAGGATTCCAAGTACTTTGCCTACAAACAGTTCCTGAACGCAGACTTATTGATGAAGACCGCCAACAAATCCGTCTACGAGGGCAAATGCTGGCCCAGCAACATCGATGAGTCGATGGGCCGAACGCTTGCGGTTTGGCCCGACTGGTTGAACCCCAACGCGAGGAGCCTGTGGGCGAGCTTCTTCTCCTACGAGAAGTACCCGGAACAAACAAAGTATTTGTTCACATGGAACGACATGAACGAACCGGCTGTCTTCGCCGGCCCGGACAAATCTTCCCCGCGTGACAACCTTCACGTCAACGGTGTTGAGCATAGGGCGGTGCACAACATGGTTGGCTCCCTCATGCTCGCCTCCTCGTATCTCGGCCATCTTAAGAAGGAGAAGTACACTCAACGTCCCTTCATCCTGACCCGCTCCTTCTTTGCTGGAAGTCAACGCTACGGTGCCATGTGGATGGGTGATTCGAAGTCGACCTGGGAACACTTGCAAGTGGCATCGCCGACACTTCAGGGGCTCGCGCTTGGTGGATATGGATTCGCTGGGGGCGACATTGGAGGGTTCATCAGCGAGCCAGGAATGGGACCGGGTGGGGAGCTTTTGACTCGTTGGTAGGTTATCATTGAGTGTCAATGTTTTCACCTTAGGTTCTTAGCATGGAAACTCATTTGAATATCTATACAAGGTACAATTCCGCCGTTTTCACTGGATTCTTCCGTGGACACTCCGACAAGGACAGTGCCCGCCGCGAACCTTGGGTGTACGGCGAACCCTACACCACGGCCATCCGAAAGGCCATACGTCTCCGCTACACGTTGCTCCCGTACATCTACACCGAGTTCTTCTCGCACGCCGTTCAGCCCTATCCGCTCCTGCGTCCGATGTTCGCCTCGTTCCCTCAGAACCCACAAGCCTACGAATACGACGACCAATATTTCTTTGGATCGTCGATTCTCGTGAAGCCCGTAGCGGCGCCCAACGTCACAAAGACGACCATTTACATTGCCGAGGACCAGAGCTACTACAATCTCTTCGACTGGGCTAAGGTCGACAAGAAGGGATTGTACGAAGTTGAGGCCCCCTGGGACACCATCGCTGCCTTCGTCCGCGGTGGTACCGTCCTTCCGACGAGATTCGGCGTCACCGACGGATCATCAAAAACTCACTCGGTCCTGCCTTTGGAGGTCATCGTCGCTGTTTCCAAGGAAGGCACGGCCTCTGGGAAGATCTACCACGACGACGGAACCTCCTTTGAAAATCAAAAGGGCGCCTACATCTGGAAGGAGGTTTCTTTGGAAGGCAAGACCATCAAGTCTTGCGACGTTCTTGCCGGCAAGAAGTCGGTTTACACCAACGGTCTCGGTGAAATCCCCTTCTCTCCCAAGAACCACTTCCAGAAGAGGGACCCGACCCACATCAAGTACGTTTCTCTTGTCGGCTACAAGGAGGTCAAGAGCGCCAAGCTCGTCGTCAACGGCAAGGCCAAGAACGTCGCTGTTCACGTCAAGGGCAATAAGACCAAGATCGAGGTCAACGTCAGACTTGGCGACGACTGGGAGGTCGTCCTAGCTTAGATGCATTCATTACCCCTAGATAGAGCATCTAGACCTCGTTCCTAGATAGAGCATTCACTCAGTATCAATCCCTCTTTGTGCTATACCTCGCATGAATTTCGACATCCTTCGTTCATTACAAATTTGCAATTGCAAATAAATTCTTTGCGCCTGAACAAGGCTTGGTTCTCAAAGCTTTCTGTTTGGACTACCGCGTGTTCTTCCTACGAGGGAAAATCAAATGCTTGGTAATGAGGCGAAGTCTAGATCTAAGAGGCGGACGATCGCGGACGCTACCGCAATTCGGATCGCGTGGATAGGTGATGTTGGTGTGGCATTTGTCACGGTCCTCGCTATCCTTTGCAAGCGGAAACAGACGGTTGGCCGCATGTGGCGGAAGGAGATTCCCGGAAAACGGAGTTTGAGATGTGCCTGAGGCGAGACCCGAAATTGACAGCAGGTGCGGCGTTCTGACAGTTTGACAGCCTGTCATAGCGCATTCCCCCCGTCCCTCACACACCCCGGTCTTCAATGATAGAACGGCAGGATCCGCCGCTGGACGGTCTGAAGCCGCTTGCTTTCCCAGACATCCGAAATCCGCCTGTTCCAATCAGAGAGTGATTGCTGACCGCTGCCGTCCGACGGCCGCTCCGAGATGGTCATAGCGCGGGGGTGATGGTGGCCGGCATGGCAGTGGCAAACCGGTGCGGACACGGCGGTTGCGATCGTTTGGATTACTCTGCTCGCCGCATGGCACCCGGCCGCTCTGCGGACGACTCGGATCAGTAACATCCCCTCACGGCGAGCATGCAGTGCAAAGGCTTCGCTCTACTGTTGCGCTGCTGTGGTCAGGTATGGACTTTGAAATCGGAGCCAACGGCTTTCGAGTATAAAAGAAGACCCTTCTCACACACAGCTCCAACACCAACACTTCAAACCATCACTCCAACCAACAACTCCAACAGTATCAACACATTCTCTCTCCAAACACATCTTTCATCAATCAAAAACAACGCTCAATTATGCACATCTCCGCAGCTCTTACCGCTCTCACTCTCGCTTCTCTCGGTGGTGCCCTCGCCGCGCCTACTGCTCCCGCCGTGGCCACTACCACCGTCGCTGCTAACCATGACGTTGCAGTCGACACCACCGACTCCGGTTCTGCTGATAGCCTTGGTCGCCGCGGTTACTACATGGAGAACAACCGTTACCGCAACGACTACGGCTATAGCAACATGCATCGCCGTCCTAAGCACGAGAACTACTACATGTCCAACGTAAGTAAACCGGCGATTTGGGGAGAGAGAGAGAAGCTTTCTGCCGACTACTTACCATCACTTTCCATCACTTTCGCACCAACACAGAACAACGAATGGGACAGGGACTCCCACCGCAGGGGCCGGATGTACAAGCGAAGCGAAGACGCTGCCGCCGATGCTGGCTACGGGGGCTACGGGTACAAGGTGAAGCGAAGCGAAGACGCTGCCGCCGATGCTGGCTACGGGGGCTACGGGTACAAGGTGAAGCGCGGCGACGACGCTGCCACCGATGCTGGCTACGGGGGCTACGGGTACAAGGTGAAGCGAAGCGAAGACGCTGCCGCCGATGCTGGCTACGGGGGCTACGGGTACAAGGTGAAGCGCGGCGACGACGCTGCCACCGATGCTGGCTACGGGAGCTACAAGCGCGATGATGCCGAGACGGCCGGTTACTACAACGACTACGAGCACAAGAACTACAAGCGCGGTGACGCCGAAAAGGACGGTTACTACAACGACTACGAGCACGAGAACTACAAGCGCGATGATGCCGAGACGGCCGGTTACTACAACGACTACGAGCACGAGAACTACAAGCGCGGTGACGCCGAAAACGACGGTTACTACAACGACTACGAGCACGAGAACTACAAGCGCGATGATGCCGACAAGGCTGGGTACTCCAGCTACTGAATACTCCCCTATTGCCGCCCAGTCCGTTGTTGTCCTCGCATCGGTAGAGCAATAAAAATATAGTTTAGCATGCATTTCTTTTCTTCTTTTCTTGTCTGTACCCATCCCGCATTGTACATAGCATCACAGTTCCCGGGCACCCTCCTCTGTTTGTCACATACATCTTCACTTTCCATAATGCATGCACATCACGTCTATCTTTGGTCTTCATCATGCATGCATCTCAGACCTCATTTTGATGACCTCGCTCTGCCGAAAACATTTACACTCTCCGTGAATGCATGAATATGGTATCTGATCTTTGACTTTCACATTGCACAACACATCTCATTCTGATCATTTTGACCACATCCTTTGTCAAACACGTTTTCACTTTCTATAATGCAACACATCTCATCTCTACGTGCCGTTCTCTCAATGATGAATGATGTGTGCTGAGGAATGCGCTCGGATCTGCTCTTGAAGCCATCTGGGTTTTACGAGTACGAGTAATGTGCATACGCCATCAATTTTTCGTTGTGTTTACGTTCTTTATATATTTATTGTGAAGGCCCCGCCCCGCCTATCTGACATGCTCGATTCCTGCGCCCGGAGGCCTTTCTGCTGCAAGTACTCTCGGATGGCTGGAAGCAATTTGGCCTTTTGCCCGCGACTGTGGTTCCCGGTGCCCGTCACTACAATCAGCCTCCCAGAAAAATTCTGCCGTTTGAGGTTTGCGATCTTGGATTCGAGCATCTCCACCGCCTCGCTTGGATGCAAGCCATGCAGGTCGACTTGGACATCACCATTCCCGTTGACGGTGTGCGAGGCGTTGCGAGTTGCGTATATGCGCTTTCCGGCTTGCCGATGAAGTTCTTCTACTCGCTCATTCATGCGATGAGCTCCAAGTGAGAATGCTTTGGCTGCTGCCTTGTTTCCCGAAAGGTAAGCCTGCGTAGCCCTGGAAAAGCTCGTATTAGCGGGATGATGCTTCCAAGTGATGTTCACTTGATGAATTGCCCACCTCTGAAATAGCTTGTTTCTTTGAATAGCTGCGTCAATGGCCTCTTGGCGAAATTGGGTATAGGTCGCAGCCAGAGTATCGCCAGTGCTTACCCACTTGGCCTGCACAAGAGTCGTTGAGCGTTTCAAAGGCACCAGCGCAGACGGTGCATTCGTATTCGAAACAGAAGGCGGAAGAGATCCTTTCGCTGGCTTCTTCCTCGCCACATCGACAAATTTTTGGGTAGGACCCCAGAAATCGAGTTTCGCTCTCGCTGGCCCTTTGCTTGCTGATAATGCCGGAAAGTCCTCCGCTGGGGGTCGTGCCGGTTGTGGTATGCTTGGATGGGACCTTTGAGCAGTCTCTGTTGTGCGCCCCAGCAAGTCGGAGCCATGGGTAAACGGGCAAGCCGTGCCTTTCATACATCCACCGGACAACCAATATCTGCAGACCAGACCCTCTGGATCATGGGAATACCAGCAATCCGACCTGTAACAGTTACCTCCTAGAAAGTGCCGGCACACGGGGCGCACATTTTGCGTGCTTATAGCTGTGCTCGTCTGCGTGGGCCGGTCGTAGTTTGCGTCCAATTGGATGTGAGGCACTTCCGGCGTCAGAAGAGTTTCGAGCGTTCGCTCAACGTTCCAGCCGTTGGCGATCAAGCTGTCTCGGATTTCCTCCACCGGTAAGTCCATGAATACGGACTGTAATATCTCTTCCGGTGATAGTGTGCTGTATCCGTGTTCCTCTTCATAATCGAGATACTCCTCGTCAGCGGCATCCGCGGGTGGTTCGACGTCTTCGGCTCTTCTGGGGACGGGGGAGGACGACGGGGTGAATTCAGGTGCTGCAGCGTTAAGGCGTTTGCGGAGCGCGGGACTCGAAGCCGGGGTGCCATCTACGACGAAGGTAACATCATCGGCTTCCAGACTTTGCTGTCCATGCCGTTCCAGCCCTACAAGGATTTGTCGAACGAAACCCTCCGCTGCCGCCGAGCCTAATGGCGGTTCGAAGGTTTCTAACAACGCTTCGCATAACTCTCTGGGATCCCTGTGTTTCCTAAGGAGTTCCTTCGAGCGGGCGAAGAAGTCGACCGGCGCGTTATATTGACGAAACAGCTTCCCGAGCCAGGACATGGATTAACCGGTAGCGATCCGCAAGCCGAGGTGGCTTTGAGGGTATGCTTAATGGTAGTGGCTCTACCGACCTACTCGGGGAAGGTGTGGTTGGTGGCGCGGATAGCTTCAGAAGCAGGGGTTTCTATGACCAGTTTGTGTCAGGAGTCGAGATTATTGTGGTTCGGGGGGCTACTAGGGCTACTTCGCAAAAAGCGCCGTGATTGGATGAGCACCCTTGCAAAGCTTGCAATGCGTATGACACTTACGCTGGACAGCTGCCACCGCACACAATAATGATAACCCAGCTACCGCCTCAAACCCCGTCTCCAACATCAGCACTCCCATCCCGCACCACCTCCCCAACCGCTCCCTCCTCCTCCCCCGCCTTCTCCAACCCCCTATCCCCCACCGGCTCCCCATGCACCCTAACCCGATAAACACAAGTCCACTCCTCATGTCCCCAATTCCCCTTCACCTTCACCATCACCGCCGGCACGGCCACGCCCGTCCTCTCCAAAACCCCCCTCAACGCCTCAACCACCGTCCCGGGAACCGCGAATGTGGTTGTCGCAGAAACATGCGGGTTAAATTCAGCGGTGAGGAGGTGTAGGCGCGGCGGTGGAGTGGTGGCGTTGGCGTCCATGTCGGTATTTGTTGCATTGGCGGCCGCGGCGGTTTCGAAGGTGCTGGAGGGGTTGTAGACGGCGTACAGTTCGAAATGCCGGAGGGCGGAGATGGATTCGTGAGAGGTCCAGGATTCTTTGGGCGCGTGTTCGATTGTGAGGGCGGTGGGGATGATGGGACGGATGAGTTGGATTCCGAATTGACCGATGCTGCCTATGAGCGGAAACAAACTCTATCAGTGAGGGATGCCAGACAATCAATCACCCCCGGCGCCGAGAGGGAATCATTTATCCCCACTCCAGAGAGTATATCTGCTCACCTTTCATAGGCCAACAATTCCCCGGCTGCGTCTCCGGCTGCAACAACGTCATCGGATCCTTCCCCGGCTTCCTCTTATACCCCACCAAATCCAAAAACGGCGTCCCAAAGCCCACCGAGTATCTCATAGACGTCAACTTCGGTATAATCCTCCCCCCGCCGCTTCCCAGCGCGTAGTCCGGTGGAAGGAGGTCTTCGCTGTGGCGGCGCGGGTTGCTGGCAACTTTAAGGACGACTTCTGCGAGGTCGGAGACATGTAGCGCAAGGCGGGTGTAGTCGTCGCGGAGGTAGAGGATGTTGTGGTCGATTTTTGTGTTCATGGTTTTCTCGGTGGCGGTTAGCTCTTCTCGCCACGCGTCCCGCACAGAGTCGATTTTGGTCTCTAGGCGGTTTGCGTTGGTCTCCACAGATGACAGCTTTATTCCATGGTTGTCAACCTGAGTCGCAAGTTCTGCTCGCTTCTGCTCTGCAGCCTCCAACTCCCTCCGCATGCGGTCCTGGTCCTCATCCCGCGCCTGCCGAAGCTCATCCAATTTCTGATTGTGCTCCGCCTGTTTTCGCTCCACAGCTTGCACATTATCCACAACATTCTCAATACTGCGTTTCTGATCCGCGACAACCGTGGCGAGCCCCTCATGCTGAGTTATCAGCTCCTCATGCTGTGTCTTCAGCCCATCATGCTTCGTTTCCAGACTTTGAACATTCTTCTCCAACCCGTCATACCGCGTCTCCGTCTCCTGAACCCTTGTCTCCAACACCTCAACGGTCCCCTGCACGCGCTTGATCCCGTCACTCAACCTGGGATACTCCTGCCTAACCTTCTCCCACTCCTGATCCGAATCCTGTTCCGTTGGCGGCAGCGGCAGCGATGGCTTCGTATCAACCACCGGCACCCGAACATAATGCCTCTCTCCCCTCGACGGCTGATACTCCCTTAGAAAATAAAACAGTGTGGAAACGATGAGGAAGACGACGATGAGCTTCAGCGCCGCGCGACGTTTGTACATCCATTTCCAGGGCAGAAGCGTCATTCTCCACAGGAGTCCCAGGATGCTTGCGAAGCCGTCAAAGAGGGTTGTTAGCGGGTGGGGTTGTTCTGTATGCGTGTGAAGAGAAAACACATCAGATCTATGTACCCCCCAATGATAACCCTATGCCCCGAACGCACCTATGATGGTATCCTCAGCCGACACCTCGATGTTGCTGAAAATATCGTCCGCAGGGCCAAGCTTGAACGCCGTATGGTTACTCCCCGTCGATCCCGCCTTTCGGAACGCCGGTGTCACTGGTGTCTTCACTGCCATTCCAAAACCCCCCTTTAGCATTCCTCTTCTTTCCCCCGTTATCGTTATCAAGAACGCACCCACACATACCAGGCAATGGACTCCCGACATTAACATTCTCCTCATTCCCCTCATGCCCTTCCCCAACATCCGTAAACACACTCGACGCCCTGCTACTCGTCCCGCGCCGCCGCGCGGACTTGCCCGTGCCGGAATTGCTGTAATCGACGCGGGTAATACGGGCGCGGAGGGAGCGGGAGGGGGTTTGCAAGTTGACGGGTGTCGGTGAGGGACGCGTGGTGTTGGTCATTCTGTTGGTGGCGTCGCTGATCATGCCGATGCTCTGCCGTTTGCTTGCTGTCTGAAGGGGTGTGTATATATGGGTATCTTCTCTTGCAATGTGGTGGGTGTTCAATGTCAGATCGTGTGAGAGCAAGTTCGGCGTGAGCAGGGACGCGTTGGAAGAAGCGTCTCCGTTGTTTTCGGACAAAGAACTCCTCTTCCACTCTTTCATCATTTCACACGGGCCATACAAAACATCCGTTCGCAAATCGTGGATGTTCCTCCAAAAAGATATGATGCAATATGCAAGCACTGGCATCCATTACATCCTGGGTGGAACCGCTTCCCTCTTGCTTGTACGTGGATTGGTCATATCGATTCATGTTTCGATGGGTTCTATCACATATATCCCGGGCAACTTTGCTGGATAGGGGTTGTGTATCATCAAATCCATAAATTGGATTGCAGGAGTCACTATGTGTTGGGCATCGCTGATGGGGGGCAACCACCTCAACATTCCGCGCCAACAAACATGTTATCTTTTCCTCAGCAACAGCCATGAGAAAGTTTTTCCAGCATTGTATTCAGGATGTCGTAGCTCGATCCAAATATGCGGTTGAACGAAGGAGTGTCTGTCCAAGTACGCGTGAAGGACGGCCTTCCGTCCCTGCTTCCGTCCTACTCCCAATCCAGTTCACCGCAACAATGGCAAGACTGCCAAGCACGTCGCCCCACTCGTCAACACCACACGAGGCCATCTACACATACATATACGGTACACCTGCAACAACTCCTTTCCATCCTAATCAAACCCTGATCCCACATCCCCTCCTCACTGCAACAAACCCAAGACATCTTTGAAGCACCTTGCCCCACTCGCTCTCAGCCGGTCCTAGAAACCATGAAGTTAGTCAACACAATGAATGAATCACCCACGCACTCATTATATACACCAAACACGATACATACCGTCCACCCCTCCACACCCTCACTTTCACTCACTCTCGGCTCCACGCCTACAACTTCCACCCCTTCCATCCCACTTCCCGGATATCCCTCCCCCAAAAACAGCACAAACGTGCGTCCAGTTGTGTCGACATGCACAACCACCTGCCGCGTGTGCGAGTCGTAGCTGATATGCATGTCGGGGTGGAGACCGTCGGTTGTGAGATGGGCTAGTTCGCGCTCACGGGCGATGTGGTTGCGTGTGCGCAGTGGGATCGTGGCGGTGAGGTAGCGGAGGGTGGAGTCGAGGGTGGGATGGGTGTTGGCGGTTTGGAGGAGGGCGGTTAGGGGATAGGGGTAGGGTGTGTTTGTGAACTACGATCAAGAAGAGTTAACAATCGTGCGAAAAAAAAAGAAAAACAAATGACAAAATCATACCTGCGCATCAACAACCCACCCACTCGCCCTCCCCGCATCCCTCCTGAACGTCACCAGCACCGCAAACGCATCCTCGCCCCGATCCCAGACAACCTCGATGCCCTCCGCGCTCGGGTGGCGTATATCCGTGACCCCCTGCAGCGTCTTCAAGAAGGCCGTCTGCTCCTTGTAGAATCGTCCAAGCTCCTCGAGTTGCGGGTCTTTGGATTGGGCGATCCGTAGCGCTTCGGCGGCGGCGGTGTCGGCGGATGCGCGTTGCGTGGCGAGTTGCGAGACGTGGGATTGGGTTGTGTCGTTTTTGGATTGGCGGTAGGTGAGGGTGGACTGCCAGTGGATTAGTTGGTCGCGGAGTTCGGTGAGGGTTTTGGCCTGCGTGCCGGGTTGAGTGTGAGTTTAGAACATAAGTTTCCAGCTGCTACAGCCGGCGATGTTGGTCCTCACTTGAGAATCTACTATGCTCTGCTGTTCTTCGATCGCATCCACTCGTGGTTCAGTCCTCGCATTCAAACTTTGCAGCTCCCGTTGCTGCCGAATAAAACACAACACTCAGTATACCTGATGTGACACATTTTTAGCGACGGAAAACACGTACCAGCATAGTGAAGTCATCCACCGTAGCCGCAGCCGCCACACTCTGCTCAATCAACGCCGCTTGCCCTATCAACCCAAACGGAAGATTGAGCCAGGCCGTACTTCTCAACTCTCCAAACACGTTCACGCAGACCCACCATCATACGCCAACTCAACCAGCTTCCCCACCTCCTCCCGCATCTTCTTGATCGACGCCTTCTTCTCCCTCAACAGCTCCTTCTCTTTTGCCGCGCGTGCCTCTACACCACCAAAAAATCCGTTTGCGTAAGTTCCCCTCTTCACCCCGAAGTAAGTTGTTGCAAAATGATGGTATTGTGTTTACCCAAAATCTGCACCTCCTCCTCAGTCGGAAACTTCGGCGGAACATCCAGCACCCGTTTCAAGAACCCGTCTTTCGCTTTTTGCTCCACATAGGTGAATTTGAGTTTCTTGAACAGTTCCTATCATCCCATACCCATCTCGCGTTCAATACCCCATTTCTCACACCTCCGCAAATAACATCCCTCGTCTCCCCCATCCAAACCTAACCTCGTGAAACCGACACTCAGCCTCGACATTCCTCGGCTGCGCCCTCAACAGCGCGGGAATATCCAGCCGCTCCGTGCGGTCTGTGTCGGGGAAGGAGGTGCCTTTGCCCAAGACTACATTTTCGTCGTCATCATTGTTGGAGTTGTCATTGTGGTTGTTGGTGTCGGCGTATTTGTTGACCCAGTCGGTCCGTTGTTGTTGGAACCAGAATTCGGTTTTTGCGAGTTCTGTTGTGAACCTGTGGGGATGGGATAGGGGTGAGTGGTTGGGGGTGGAAGGGGTGAAGGGGTGGTGATGGGGAACTGGAGCACAGACCTGCTGAGGTCTTCCAGTTCGGGCGGGAGCACTGCTGATTGTTGTGGGGCAGCGACGGTCATCCTGGCTACGAGCGGCGGGGGTCTGATACTCTATGCAAGAGAACGAAGGAACGGAAACGGAGTGTGCACCCGAGAGGGGAGGGGGGGTTCTTTCTGCTGTCCTTTGGGGAGCGGAAGGTGCGCCGCCGCCGTTCGGACAAACCCACACGCGTTGCTTGTCCGAACGCACGCAGATGTTTGACGCGTCTCCGCACTGCCCTTGCGCTTTCGCTGTCCCATTGCAGTTGATTCTACAGCGAGAAAGAAAGAAATGGGCCGCAAAGTCATGTATGCAGCTGTCTACGAACGAGTTCACCACCTTTCAAAATTATATGCTTTCGGAGAAAAACCAAAGAAACAGGAATCCATCCCACTTCACGCCCCTATACGCAATCTACCTAGCAGGAACCCTCGGCGGCGTCTGCGGGCCCTTCGCATCCACCCCAGGGCGCGGAGGCATCGCCGGTCTAACCTCCCCACCCGTCCCACCACTCCTCGGCACCGCATCCGGTCTTGACGGTATCGGCGGTGGTCCAGCGGTGGTGGTGAACGCCGCCTCGGATTTGGTGCGACTGGGGAGGGGCGGTGTTGCCGGTTTAGCGGTGGAGGTGATGGATGCGTGGGAAGGTTGTCTGGCTGGGAGGGCTGGTGATGAGGGTGCGTCTGTATTCGCGTTAGCGGGTTTGCGCGGTGGGAGGCCTGGGCTGTTGGTGCCGTTAGCAGTTCCAGGCGGGGGCGTAGCCGTCCTAGGCGGGAGTTTCGGGGAACTATTCTGGCTGCTAGCGTTGTCGTTCGTAAGGTGGGCGGGCATGGAGGTTGTGGAGGGTTGGCGGGATGGGAGGGTCGGTGGTGGGCGGGTGGTTGGCGGTGCTGTTTCCGCGGTGAGATTCGATGCCGCTTCTGCGGCGGACGAGGCGGGGCGTGGTGGGGTCGAAGGTCCTGGTGAGCCCGTGCGTTTGATTCCTGCCGCTATGGCTTGGGAGAGGGCCGCTGTGTTGGGTAACATGGCTAATGAGGAGGGCGCACGGACGGGCTTAGGTGGAGGTGCACCTGGCGCGGCAGATGCATCGGTTTCTTCACTGCCATTCTCAGGCTGCTTGAACGTCATAGACTGTTTCAACGCAGCGGCTTTGCCGGCGATGCTTTGAGCTAGCTGGTTGACCTTCTCGGTGCTAATCGGGGACGGAGACGGTGACGCAGCCTCGCGTTTGACGGCGGCAGCCGGTGCGGCTTCGTCCCTCTCGTCCTCGTCTCTGGCCGGCTTGTTACCGCTCGCGAATCCGCCGCGCAAAGCCGACGCCTGAGCCGCGAGACTATGCGCCATCGACGACATGAGCGCGGCATTCCCAAAGACAGGCGATGCGCCCGCACCAGATCCCGCCGGCGAATCCGCCCTCGGAGGCGGCTGTTTCGACTTCCCCGGCGTCACCGTCCCCGTCTGCAACGTCTTCCCACCCTGCTGCCCCCCACCCCCAAACATCTCCCTCACGATCGCGCCCCGAACCGCCGAATTCCCCGCCCTCTGCGCCTCCACCGCCTTCCCAGTGCTCTCGCCACCCCTCCCAACAACCCCCTCCAAAACCACCCCCCTAGCCTCCCTATCCCCCAACACCCGCTCCCCAACCCTTCCGACCAACTCCTCCACCCCTTTATCCCCCCCACCAACCCTCCCCGCAACCTCCCTCACAACCGCGCCTCTCACCGCATCGTTCTCAAGCGCCATGGACGCCCCGCGGACAACGGCAGAGCGGATGGCGGGGTGCGTGAGGAGGGTGGAGGCGGCGGAGAGGGCGCGTGCTTCGGTGGGGGTTAGGAACTGGGAGGTGAGGGTGGATGTGAGGCTGGCATTTTGGGTGGGTGTGCTTGGGCGGGAGGGGGGACGGGCGGGACTTTGCGGTTGGGGAGATTGGGTCGGGGTGAGGCGGCCCGCGAGGGATGCGGCGAGGGAGGTTACGGTGCGCTGGGAGGGTGGGTCGTCTGTGGAGGCTGAGGTGGTGCGTTGATGGGAGGTGGAGAGGGTTGGGATGGTGGGCATCGTTGGGGGACGATTGCTTGATCTGCGTGGCTTTGTTGGGACGCTTATCAGAGTGTGTTTTGCAGCAGCAATGAAGTTCTTGAAACGGAATGAGATGAAAGTTCCTCTCGTGCAGAGGCATCTTTAGAGAGCCGCTCTTATACGGCCAGATGTAAGATTAATGCTTTCTGAGCAGATGTCCCGAAAAAGGTAGCGCAGCCCGCGCTCGAAATCCTCAGGTACTGGGTTAACCTTCAAGGCCTAAGGCCTAAGAGCTTCGAAGGAATAAGGGGGACAAAGGTGATGTTTGCGAGCAAAAGTCTATTCATCGAATCCTTCAATTCAGCTGAGTGATGGACACAAGGCATGGCTATTCCTGGTAAACGCCGATGCAGAAATGAGGCGCCACGTTTGGACACTCCAGAGCTCAACCTTATGCTCGGACATTGACACATAGAACGTTGCATCATCGGGGACATGACTTGAACTATGCGAAACGGGAAGGGTTCAGGAATCGCACATGAGACGATCCCCAGCATATGGGAGTTGAGGGTAAAACAAACCTCATCGGCAATCGAAGAAAACCCATCGAGAGCAACCAGAACGCGTCCACGTCATTCAACTTCCAGCGGAGTGTCCCTTCTGGCAGCTGTCATTTTCAGACGTCTGTTTACGGCAGGAGGGGCAAACAGACCACGACTCGGCAGGCAGAGCGGACACGCATATATAAGAAGCCCATCTTTCTCCGCTGCCGTAACCGCCCGTCGAGCGTCCATAGGCGCACGTCATAAAAAGGGGAAGTCTGCTCACTGCTGCAAGTCACTTTCGAGACGACAAACGAGGTGGTGCAAAGCCTTCCGTCAACCATCCGACTCAACAAAAAGACCCACCCTAAATCCCCACGCTCCCCCAACGACCAGCCAAAAAAAAATGCCAACCTCATCAACCACCGCATCCCGCAAAACCTCCCTCTCCACTCCCATAACCACGACCCCAAAACCACCCGCAAACCTCAAAAACATCACCTCACGCGTCGGCTCCCTCGACAACCTGCACCACACCCCACAGGGCGGGACCAAGAAGATATTCTCGGAGGTGAAGAAGTTCGACGGTGTCAAGAGTCGGGTGGGTTCTTTGGATGTACGTATCGAGGGGTTATCATCCCGTCGCCCTTGCTCCCCTTCTCATTTGCAATATGGTTAACACATGATGGGGTTCTTCAGAACATAAACCATACACCCCACGGCGGCCAAAAACCCATCCCTCGCTCTACCCTCCCCCACACACACAAGCAGATCTCATCCCGCGTCGGGTCGCTCGATAACATCGCGCATGTGCCTGCGAAATCGAATGTGAGGATTCATACTGCCAAGACGCCGGATTTTAAGGGGAGCGTGGTGGCGAAGGTGCCGAGTCATGTTGCTGGGGCGGGAAGTTTGGGTGTGGGATTGGGGCACGTCGCTGGGGGGAGGAGGAAGAGTAGTGTTGGGGCGGGGATTGCTGCTGAGTAGGGGAGGAGACGTGGTGGGAGCGTGACGAACATTGAACGCTGAAGGCACGCTCATGCCCACCCGCGGAGCGTTGGCACATCAACACTCGGCCCACTCCCATTCCACTGGGCCTTTTTTTGGTTCTCTCAAACTTTGCATGTCGGCATATTTCTATCGTCTGTCCTCCCATCTTTGTACTTCACCAAATGGAAACGTCGCTTTCAAAACCCTTCTTTTTGTTGCTTTACCACCCAACACTAACTTTGATCAAATATCTATGTAATGGCAAGCGAAGAAAGAAACAGTACACATTGGAAGAACACAACCTACCAGAGTATCCATACGCCGCATCTGAACGGGAATTCTTGCGCTACAAGAAACACAGCCGACAGTCTAGAAAACCGCAAAACTACGAAGTAAACCACCCTTCACATAATCCTCTCCTCAACAGTCGTTCACGCAGGGTCCCCAGTCCCCCGTGTCCCCCTCACAACGCCGCCATCTCCCTATCCATCTCCTCCGCCCTCCTCTCCCTCTCCTCCAACCCCGGCCTATGCCCCAACACCTCCTTCCTCTTCCTCGTCTTTGCATCCACCACCAATTTCCAAAGCTTCAAATAAAACACTTTGGCCCCCTTCTCCGTCACGCCCTCGCATCTCAGACACCTTTCTAAGAATTGTCCCTCTGGCAACCTGCAGAGTTGTTTTCCGGATTCAAAGGGGCAGAGCACTGAGGGGGAGATTTTGCGCGAGTTGGAAGTGACCCATTGGCAGAGGTAGGCGTTGTCCCAGGTCGCGGGGTCGGTGGGGGTGTTGGGTCTCGTCGGATTACGTTTCGTAAGCGTGGCCGGGACGTCTTTAAGCGAGGCGATGAATCTCGTAGTGTTGATGGTCTCGGGGACATCCAGCACCGAGGGGGCAAGTGTGCCGATGATCACGGTCCGGGACTGCTTGGCAGACGAGATCTCGAACGCGTCTTTGAGCAGCATGGTGAGTTTGGAGGTGCGGTAAGGCACATGGACGAATTTATCGGTCGCAAAGGCCATAGCGCGCGCTCGCACGGATTCTTTGAGGGCCGAGAGGGATTTGTTGATCTCCTTGGATTCCGCGATCCGGTCCTTGTCGTGGTGCTTCGTGTCTTTGCTGCCCTCGGAACCGGCCAGGTCGACGAGGTAGAGAATGCCGTCCTCGGATTGCGGGATGCGAGTGTTGGTGACGCGGACACGGCAGATGGCGTGTGAGCGGGAGGATTGGGTGTTTTTGGCGGTGGAGGCTGTGCGGCGGAGCCCGGCGGCCCGGGTGATGTAGGTGTGGAATTGGGTTGGGGTGGTGATTGTTTCTTCGCGAATGTTGTGCACTTGAATGGAGCCGAAGCCATCTTCGAGGATCTTGACGGCGAGCCGGTCGTTGAGGAGGTCGAAGGCTTCGGAGCCGAAGATCTCGAAGAAAGAGACGCGGATTTGGAAATCGGAGGTTGCGGTAGCGTCCTTGTCGTCTCTCTCGACTTGCTCTTGCTCTCCCGTGGCGCCGTCAAGAAGTCGCCTATACTCTTTGCAAATATCAAATATCTCAGTCGCAAGTCGCTGTTGCAGTGCTGACATTCGGAGAGAAATAAAGAATATTTCGTCAGCATCTATACTGTAATCTTTACTTCACCCATGCACCCCCCCTTCCCCCCCATTAACTCACCAGTCAGCGTAGTAGTCTTGCCACTCCCCGTCTGCCCATACGCCATAACGGTCGACACGCCACCCCCCAGCGCATTGCACACAAGCGGCACGCCCACCGCCTCATAAACGCGATCGGAGTCCTCTTCCATTCCAAACACCCGATCCACCTTCACACTACTCTCATTGACCGTCATCGCCCCGTCAAACCGCGTCTTGGGCGCGAAAATCCTCAAGGTCGTCGGCGTTGTGGTAGAGAGGGCTGCGAAATGGGAGGCGGAGGTCTCGTGCGCGAGGAGAGGCCTGACGCGGAGATGGATCGAGATGTCGAGGGATTCGGGGCGGGTAGAGTCGTGAGTCAGGCATTGTGCTATGGCGGCTTTGTTGAGGGTCGCGGGCGCCCCTTCACCTACGACTGCGTCATCGGGTAACATGGTACCGGATGTCTTGGCCTCATAATTGGAGATGGCTTTCGCGAACAGCGGCCGGTTGGATAAGATGACTTGTTCGGCAGCCGTGATGGCGCGGCTGCCAGTTGCGAGGAGGAGGTCTGACTCTGAGCGGCGGGTTTTCGGGTCCATCTTCTTTGTGCTGAGGGAGCGGCGGGGGTTTGAGGACAGCATCGTCTTTGTGAGGCGGAGGAATGGGGTGTTTGGCTGATCTAGCGCCTTATTAGTTGTTTCTGCAGGAAGCCCCGGTGCTGCGTTTTGCAGGTTTTGTAAGGAACCTGCTTCAGCGCCGCAATAAGGATGGGAACGGGAAGAACGGTGCGCAGGAGTTGTTGGAAGGCAAGCCGGTCGCAGATGGCGGATAAGAAGGGAAAACCTAAAGAGTGGTTCGCTGCAGCGAGGGAAAGAGGTGTGACATCCCGCTCGGCGCCCGTCCGGACGGCGTGTCCGAAACAAAGGAATTCAACGCGCGTCACCCATTCCGCCTAATTGTGCCATTTCAGTCCGCTAGCAAACACCTGTGAATCCGGATTTTCCAGGGATGATGGTGCGCCCGGGCAGGGAGTGGCTAGCAAGGGGGAGTTCGGGCTGAAGGTGGGGTATGCACTCTGGAGTAAGGCCTTTTTGGGTCGATTTGACTGAATACCATCAGATAACCCACCTGTTCGCCTTGCCCGTCAGTTCCCCATTCGATCTAGCACGAACTTCCCATCTCTACCGCCCAGGCTGGTGTGCAGATTTGATTGTGGGGAGATGGTTAAGGCGAGATGGAAGACGGGTTCACTTCTTTCGGGTACCGGAGATGCGCTGTGTATTACCCTGCTGGGGTATCCGGCACTGCTTCCTTTGAGACGGTGGGACAACCTCCGTCGATACGAGGGATCTTACGCGGCGGCGACCTGCTTGTCCGCAGAAGGGGGCGCGGAGTAGGAGTCGTGGGCTCGACAGGCAGCTCCACAGGGTCTTCTGCGGGTTTTGATGACATATAGAGGGGCTTTCACGATTGCCGGCAGGGACCACCTCATATGTTCTCGGATTTTGAGAATCTCCGGCCTCGAGATGCACCGAGTTTGACCCATCCAGCGGTGGAAAACGTTCTTGTTCGCGGACTTGAAAAGTTCCCTGGATATGACGGTCTGGGGGTCGGTGATCGCCAGCAAGAACGAGGGTATTCAATCCCAGCCGGTTCCATTCCTGGGCGAGATGTCCGTTCATTTGTTGCATAGGAAGGGGAAAGGTTGCAGCCCCTTCATCCTTGTCACTCCCGACACCCTTCGTTCCTTGCCATCTGCCACAAGGATCTTCTCGTCGGATCGCGACACCGCTTCCCGAAAAGTCCGTGTGAAGTCGGGAACGTCCTCCGACCCGCGTCCTCCGTGCCCATACATGCACAGACTGCTGCACCGGACCAGACCATGTACGGGCAGACAGGCAGACAGCTTACCTGTACGAATCCGTGCACCGCAACTCGTTCCCTGGCGGCCGTCTGGGGGTTGAGGGGATTCTTCAAGCAGGAAGACGGACGGGCCGCCAAGATGAGCAGCCAGACCAAGCTGTCATAAAGGCAAGATAATTCGACAGCGCGTCACGCATTGGCGGTAATCAGCAAATTACCCGCTGCCAACAGTGGGCAGAGTCCGGTCGTCAATGCTGAATTGAGAACTCATATGTAGAGTACAGCTGCCGCTATCACTTGGCAATGAACCGCACTCTGATCTCTGTATAAGCTTCTTTCCGGTGATTATCTAGTCTATCTGGTGCTTATGCATACGCTTTCTATCATCGTGATGAGCGGAATGCATACGGATTTGCCCGCAAAAGGATATGCTTCCCATACACCCCGATACAAATGCTAATATGTTCCCCTTTTTTTCAGTTGTCTCTCCGGCCAGGCTGTGATCCGAACCGCCAAGTCCTCTGCATTTTCCGAGCTACGGTCGTTTATTCATACGTGCACACTTGGTCTTGAAGTCTTCGATAGACGCCTTTAGAGCTGGGAAACCGAATCGTAGTGATCAAATATTCGAACCCGTTGAAATGATGGTGCATTTTTCCCGGTGCATCTTCTTCGTCTTCGTCACTCCTTTCCTTTCCTTGCCCTTCTTCGGAGGTCCGCTCTCCGGTACGGTGTCGGGTGCGGCCGTTGCGCGCTCAGTAATTTCAACGCCCGGCAAAACCGACCCTGCAAGCAACAGCCAAGATGGTTCGAATAAAGGGTAGTCCGTAGGGAATGCCCTGAATGTACCATGACACGACATGTTTGCAGAAAATACAACAAAAATTGGGAACCACCCAAGGAATCGAGATCGAGTGGGAGAAGAAACGGCGTCGACGAAAGGGGACATATCCTACGGTCATAGATACCGTCTGCGTGGGATGTTCTCGCCCACATCACCCCGCTTCCGGTCTCATCTCCGCCCTTCCCCCAGCTCGATCTCCCGTCTTTTTCTCACGTCACGGTCCAAAACTTCGCTAACCACATCTCAGTCATCTCCCCGTTACACACTCCATCGAACATCCATCTACCCACCCCTCGTCTTCAAACTACTACTCAACCACTCCAACCCCTCATACAGCCCATCCCCCGTCGTCGCGCACGCCGCCTGGATAAACCACTGCCGCTGTCGGAGCGCGTGCAGGCCCAGCTTGTCGGTGATCTCCGATGGGTTCATCGCTTGCGGCAGGTCTTGCTTGTTGGCAAAGACGAGAAGGACCGCGTCCCGGAGCTCGTCTTCGTTGAGCATTCGTTGCAGTTCGTCGCGGGCTTCGCCGATTCTGGGAGGGAGGAATGAAGCGGTTTAGTCGTTTCTGTCCCTTGACGGCTTACCACCCTCGCTTGATCCTCATTTTGCTCACCCACCCCCGTATCCTGCACCGATCCTAAAAACCCAACACCCCACTCAGACCAACTCACCGATCCCGATCATTCGAATCAATCACGAAAATAATCCCTTGCGTATTCTGAAAATCTACAATCGCCGAAAAGGTCAGCCCGCATGTCACCCCCATCTGAAATCACACATTCTATCAAACTTACAATGCCTCCACAACGGCCGAATCTTATCCTGCCCCCCAACATCCCACACCGTAAAACTGATGTTCTTATATTCCACCGTTTCCACGTTGAATCCTAAAAATGCAAGATCACCCTTTAAATTTCCCATTCACATCCTCCATCCCGCCTTTCTTACTCCCGAAAGACATTTCTCCAGAGACGCACCAATAGTGGGAATAGTAGTAACAATCTCCCCTAATTTCAATTTGTACAGGATAGTGGTTTTCCCTGCTGCGTCGAGGCCGACCATCAGGATCCTCATCTCCTTGTGGGCCCAGAGGCCCTGGAAGAGTTTGGAAATTGAGAGGCCCATTTTTGCTGTTTTTCCTCGGGAGGGTGGGTTGGAAAGGGGTTGGATTGGAGAGGGGCGGTGAAGAGATGTTGCTTTCGTTGCTGTTGCTGTAGGCGATGTGCTGGTGATGGGGTGTGATTGTGGTTCCTTTGCAATGGAGTTGAGAGGAGGAAGCTCCTCTTGAAAGACATGCTAAATGCGCCACGTGTAAGTTTTTATCCATTTATCCACTCCCTTGCCCACACAGTGGAGGACGATGAAATTGTTGACAATCATATGCTATTCCGAATCAAACCAACTACATGCGTCACTAGAAAATGAGGGGGGAAACTTCCTTTATCGTCGTGGGTGGGGGTCTACCCATACATGTATCTCATACGCCAAGGAGTGAAGGTGTGGGTGGGTCCGTGAATCCATCCTCATTCACTTTTCGGAAACTCAAATGCAAGAGAACAAGGTGCCGTTGACGTCGAATTGATGGCCTATTCAAGAAAGCGCGGGAATGCCAAACAATATCAGATGAGACAGACCCACACACACGAACGCAATCACTTCCCATCTCATCAACACTCCGCACTTACCAGTCGACATCTGCGGAATCTGCTTATACTGCCCCTGCAACAGCTGCCTCGTCTCCCTCAACACCTGGGTATAGGTCATATGATGATTATTCTCCGCCAACGTCTTCATCAGCGCCCACGACATCGCGCCGGTAGCCTCTCCCCCGATATGCGCGTCCGCACTCGTCTGGGAGTCCATGCACCCCGAGAACTGAACAACGTGCGCCTCCGTGGTATACTTCTCTCGGTTGCGTTTATCCTGTTCAGGGTCAGCGGTCTGGGATCCGCCTCCGTTCTGGCCTTCCATGAGGAGTCCGACGAGGGATTTCACTTCTTTGAAGGCAGTGGCGTTGTCCTTGCGGAAGAGGGCCATGCCGGCTTTGATTCCCGCTTTGATCATTTCGTTGCGGTTGTCGCGTACGATGATCTCGAGGTTGCCGTCGACTGTGTAGGTGAAGGGGAGGTCCATGACGGAGCCGGAGTGGCAGCAGTCGAAGATGGCGGTGAGGCGGGAGCCTTTGGGGAGCGGGCGGACGAGGTAGTTGAATAGGTCCTGCGTTGGGGTGAATAACGGTGAGTGTGAGGGTCCGCGTAAATCCGAGCGGAAGAAAAAAGGTGCCCATACATCATCAACAATCTGACCGGCCGTCTCGAAATCCAAGGGCACAATCGTCTCGGCCATGCTATCCTTCTCCAAACCGGTGGTATCCTTCTGCTGCGATCCGTGTCCACTGTAGTGGATGAAGAACGAGTCACCGGGAGCAGCTCCATTGGTCAACCAGCCCATGGCGTTGACAATGTTCTGCTTGGTGGGCTTCCGGCTCGAGTCCTGCTGATCGTCGGTGAGGATCAACACCTCTTGGAAAGGGTAGTTCTTTGTCAACCATCCGTGCACATTGCGGCTGCCGAAAGTGATCACGTTGTCCAGGGAAGTCAGAATCATGTAGGTGAATGACCACCCATGAATTGGTATCCATCACTTACACATCGTTCACGCATCCCTTCAACTCGTTGGCCGATCCCGTGTACTAAAGTGAGCAGTAAGGTCAGGTCACTTGCGCCACCCTTCCCAGGACGGTATAATTCCTCGCCACTCACGTTAATACCGATGAAAAGGGCACGACGCTTGCCGCCCGAGGTCTGCGTGCCCCATTTCTGAGCTTCAGGGGTCCCTTCGGCGACTTGGAGGGGTTGCTGCTGCTGGGCTCCGCTGCCGGTAGATTGAACGTGGTGGTATCCGATCGTAGGGGCACCTACGATGCCCTATAACACGATCGGGGGTAAGTATGCGCACAAGTCACGCTCATCCATCAATCATCAACCTTCAACCATCAAATATTGACCGTCAGCCATCAACTACCCATCAAGAAACAAGTGGGTGAGGGGAGTCTTGCGCCTTTGGCGCATTGTAGTGCTCGCTTCGCTCGCAAAAGATCTGACCCTCGCTGAGACTCGCTAAGAAGCGCGGTGAGGGGCGTCTTGCGCCCCTGGGGCAATGTGGCTCGCTCCGCTCGCTACTTACCCCTTCCTGGCCCTGAATCGGGGGAGCGCCCGAGGTAGCGGGGTAACCCCCGGTCGCAGGATAACCACCACCACCAGAGTTAGTCGGGTAGCCACCGCCTCCATAGCCGCCCTGCTGGTACTGTTGCTGTTGCTGGTATTGCTGCTGGGATTGTTGTTGCTGTTGATGTTGGCCCTGCTGCTGCTGTTGCTGTCCTTGCTGGCCCTGACCAGGGATGTTGGGCAGGTTGACGCCAAACTGCTTGGCGACGCTGGGATTGGCGGAAAAACCGGACGCGATGAGATAAGGGACACCCTTGAACTCCTCGCTCAAGCAAAGAGTTTTTCGCCAACAGAGTTCGATTTTCCGACGCCACCGTAGGGCCTACGCTCTCCCTCGCACTAGATTGCTACTCACCCCTGGATCTGGTCGAGGTTCTCGGTGAGTTTAGAAAAGAATGACATGGTTGTGATGTGCGGGATGCAAGTGTGAACTGAGCGTGTGGGAGTGTGACGTTGGGTATCTACAGTGCTGCTGAGCGTGGAATGACAATCACTGAACGATGAAGGACGATGGGAACGATGAGTGCTTTTGTAGAGTTGGTCAAGCCTCTCTCTTCCTTGCTCTCACCTTGGCGGCTGTGTGTTCACCGTCCTCCGTCGCTGTCCACAAGAAACGTCATGTCAACGCGGTGGGATTCGCATCAAACTTTCACACCAGCGAAGCCTCGAAGACATCATCACAAAGAACGTTCCAAAATTCTCAGGTCCACCTTCCAGGATTTCCATGCCACCATAAAAAGCGTTAGACGCATGGTCCGATATACTGACGTGGGTTGGTCAGGTACTATGGCGCAGTTCTCTTATGCCAGCTGGTGATTGCGGTGTTCGAAAGAGCAGGAACAGGATTTTGACTGACATTTACAGAATATTGAGAGCCCGTGGCTGCGTCTTCCTTTTGAGTTGCCGGGTGACCGTGGGCATGGCGTATAAGTTAGCTTTTTGGACTCGGGATCTGGCCCGACCTCCTACCTGAGGCCTCCATTTTGAGGAGCACGCGATGCGATACAGTCAATGTTCAGTTTCAATACAACACTCTTCGACTTTTCTTGATCATAGTAAGGAGTTTGACCACGCTCCCATCATCGCTTTTCTCCCAGCTCCTTGCCCGCATCGCTGCTACGATGAGCTCGTAATGAAACTCTCTGCAATTCAAAACTACCAAAATTTTACTCTATGCGATACGAAAGAGCCCCGACCTTCATCAGCATTGTCATGCCATAGATGCGTTAGCGCTTCACTTGTTGAAATACCGACAGACCGCCGTCGGTGCTGCCGAGTCATGGTAGGCTAGAAATGAGAGTTTCACGATCGCCGTTTCCCTCAGGATAGCAGAGTTCTCAAACTCTGTAAGTGGATGGTAACCGGCGCTGGATCTGCTCTCACAATGTAGTCAGATGCTATATAGGATATCAACGATTGGGTACGAGACGATGGGAATGGTGATTTTGTTCGCCAGGCTCTCCAAGCCCCGTCAATGCAATCACTCGCATTCCTGAGCTGTCGAAGCTGTCAAAGGAAGCGCTCGTTGTACAGTCGGAAGGGCAATCCCCACGACTATGGAACAAAGTCCTCGACACCTACCTACAAGAAAGAGGATTCACGGTATCGAGTTACGACTCGGCGCTGTACTACAAGCGCACGGCGACAGGATTTGTGATCATCGCCGTATACGTTGACGACCTCACAAATCGTCGCATCAGACGCTGCAGAAAGGGAAGCTACCAAGAAAGACCTCAAGATACACTTCGAAAGGGAAGACATGGGGGCATTACGACAAGATTCACTCCTAACCTCGTTCGCCCTCCACGCATACAATTCCAGATATGGATGTTAGTACCTTCTATGTACAGTACCAAACGCGTTCTGATCCGAAATCGATGATACTACATGTACAACGCGTCGAAGGACGTCCGGCCACACCATTACTCTTTCGCAGTCGCACCCTTCCTCTTTTACGACTAAGGAATAGTACGTCTTAGAACGCAAGCACACCATGCTTCATCGCTGGTTCACATCATCTGATCAAATACCAAGATGGTGCAATGCTGTCGCAGCTTGGGCGGTTAACTCACTGTGGCTTCTTATGCTATCCTCCGCGATGACAACGGTGCACGGACTGTCTTTTGCACGCAAATCCCACTCTGACTTTCACAAGACGTCACTGATGGTGCTGCACCCTAGCGTCTCCCGGGCCACCCACCCTTCCTTGCGAACGTGCTTCATCGACCGGTATTGAATGCGGCGCTGACGGAGGCGCTCCGTGATTTCACAACGGAAAGCATCTATACCGCCGGCACTGTCGTCATCGATCCTCTGGTGGACGCCGAGGAAATCTCGCAACTGCGGGCGCTTCCGGAGAGGGTCGGTTACGGCACCCCACGCAACAAATACGGCGAACCGATCTGGTATTGGGAAATTCGATCGACCCTTCATCTCTGGCTTTACAGACTGGGAGGAGTTTCGCGGTCCGTTCCGAGCTCATTATGATATTCCCTACATAATACCGGCGATCGATGGATACTTGCAAAGCAAATTCGTCATGCTCCTATATCTCAACGGTGGGGGCTCAGACAAATTGAAAGGTGGACACACCAGAATGATGTCCGGCGGTCACGTGCCTCGCCAACTTTCTAAGCTCACCGTCAACCTGACCGTCAACTCTCCTGCAGCTGGAGATTTGACAATTCCCAAGCGTTCTCGCAAACGGCAAACGACGCTTCAAAATGGACCAACCAGGCGCACAACAACCTCGTGTGGACGTCACTTACGTCTGTGGTGGTATGTCTTGCATGCTTTGAGTCCGTCAGGACACCTGATCTCTGCGTGACCATCCTGAAGTTTACAAGGTCTGACGAGCGTTCTTTTCCAGAATGTGGGGCGGATAACACAATCAAACCCCGCGAACCGATACGGTGTAAGGACTGTGGTTACAGGATCATGTATAAGAAGCGGACAAAGAGGAGTAAGTTTGACTGATATAGGAAGCCTATGCGGCTTGCCCAAGTGGACGAACTGTAACCAACTCACTTGCAGTGGTGCAGTTCGAAGCTCGTTGAGCATCGAGGTCTCGCAGTAGTCAAAGTCGAGGGACGGAGAATCCACTGGGGAGTAGTGCCGAAGATCTGCTAAAAAGACCGGAATGGAGAAGGGCCGAAACGCAGCCAATGGGCTCCCCACATATCCAGCGTACTGAGTGTTTGTACATACCAAGGGAGACGACAAATTTTGAGGGTAAGACTCAAGTCAATAATGATATTTATTCGTTGAGGGAAAACAACGTCTGAAAAGAATAAAAGGGATGCTGGTTGTATGTGGTAAGAGGGGAGGGGTATTTGTCATAGATGGCACGAAACAAAATCTTTCGACTTTCGTCCGAGAAAGTAGTGTCGGCGAGTCCAACTTCATAGCCATCCTGTTTCACTTCGTGACTTCGGATGATCATGTCAAGGTTGTTAAGCTTACAGAAAGCCTCTGTCACGTCCGCGCCTGCTTGCACATTGCTTAGACATTGGCCATTGGAACTTGTGAAGGGCAGTTTGGTGAACTTGGTGAGTTGGAAACCCTCAGCTCCTTCGCATCGGCTGCAGCAGTGGGAGGCGTCCTGTCGACTCCTACAGAAAAGAAACGGCACAGAGGCCGCTTGAATGAACCGCTTGTCACCGACAATTCCAAGGTTTGGAACCTGCGTCTCGCTGAGTTATTTGCGTGTACGTTACTGACTTTGAGCCAGCAGCTCGACGGCTGAGCTAGAACGGAAATATAAGCAGCTCCTGAAACGCCCAGGCGGCAGCTTGTTCGAAGATGACGTCGTAGAAGTTCGACTCGAGCTGCGAGACCGCCTGGAACAGATCATTCTGCTTGACTATGACCTGGCTTCGAAAACAGACGTTGAAGGCACGTTGTGGAAGCTGGTGCACTACAAAGCCATCGAGGAATTTCGCCGTCTTCACCGTGATGTAAGTGTTTCAGTGATCCCTCATTGCAAAACTGCTTTGGGTCGGAGTCTAACTGCCCTTCCACAGGTAAATGGGCGCGTCCGTCGATCTGGACGTCCAGAAGACAAGAAAGAGCTACGAAACTTAACAGCGGCCTTCCGAGCGTTCTTGTTTGAAGCTTCGGCGTTCTATGCTCAGATGATCTTTAAATTGGATCAGCGATATGACTTGAAGGGAAGATTTCGGAAGGTTATGAAGGAGCTTCTAATCATCACTGGCCAAGAATGTAACGGGGTGATATTCCAGCATGCCAAGAATGAGGCCCAGAATCTGACCGTTGTAATCTTGCAGATTCCACGGAACCTCGACTCCAGCTAGCAGAAGGGACTTTGGAGCGAATGGTGTCCACTGGACAACGAACGTTGATTTATCTCGGCGATTTGTGTGAGTTGAACTTGCGCGTCTGATCCATCCCTGGCGACGCCCTTCACTCAACTCGACCTTCAATGTCTAGCTCGTTATCATGAGATCCACGCGGATAGAAAGGAGTCAAAGTGGGGATTGGCCAAGCTATTCTACAATCTTGCCGCTCTGGTACTCCCTACGAATGGGAATCCCTACAATCAGCTTGCTGTGATCTCCTCTTACGAGGGCAGCGAGCCCGAGGCTGTGGAAAATTACATGCGAAGGTTGGTCTGACTATGGCCAATTTGAGTTGAACAAGTGAACTCATTCAATGTCCTACTAGTCTTCTGATCGAGCGACCATTCGCGACAGCTTTGGAGAATCTGGAAATACTGTTCGATAAAGTGCAGAAACGTGTCAAGATGTCTCCCTTGTCTGGCGCGGCGTCCGACAGACCGAAAGCGGTTTTGGATCAGTTTGTTGTCCTGGTTGCCAATGCTGTCGGCCGGACCCGAAGGTAATCACTTCAAAGTCGTTCATAACAAAGTACAGGCGCTGACGAACTTATTATGATCCCATAGTTTGAGCAGTTTTCTGGCTGTACAAGCAGTTTGGCTTGATTCGATGCGATCTTCTGTCATCAGGTCACAATTGGATCACAAAAGTGTCCATCAGATGATGATCGTAGGGGCTGGCATGGTACAGATGTCACAAGGCGAGAAAGAACTCTACTCAGCCGTACGATCTTTTTTCATGGAGTTCATCAACATGGTGGCGGATCAAACCACATCGGACATTATGGAGCTCGGTGACGCGAATGGGGAAGTCTTACGGGAGATTCCAGCGGGTTGGGATGACCGATTGAACGTTATCTTGACTGCTATGGCTTGGGTGAGGGCGGAGTTCTGCTCGAATTCCGAGCGCCTCTCGTCGAATCACGCACTCCGGAGGGGCCTGGCCTCACTTTATTCAGCCTTGATATCTTGCTTGCCGATCCATTCTGACGATGATCGTTTGGATCCCGAGAGGATGACCACGGAAGAAGCGGCGTTGGAACATTATTTGCCATTCAGACCATACTTCAAGTCTCTTCCCGCTGCCAAGATTCGTGACATCACCCATAGCCCGATCTCGGGCACTGGCCAATTGCTTCTGCGCATTGTTAATGATTGTTCTTTCTGGATCGAGCACCAGGTATATTGATCATTGAATCTTGCGTGACTTGACGGATACTGATTCGACTCGTTCGTCCAGGTGCTTTTCTTGACTGCAAAGAAATCCTCCAAAACAGTGGTTCTCGTAGTTAGTCCTCAGGCCCCGGTGCCGCAGCATGTCCTTCCGGTGGAGGTTCTGAAAGATGTCGTCCGCGGGATACCTCTCGATACAGCTATAACCAATCATCGGTCCAACAATGGTCCCAACAGTACACAAGGAAGCGGATTCTCGGAAATGTCGAGAGAAGGCCCGCAAACCACTGGCACTACGGGTGGTCGGGCTCTGTCTCAAGATGGCATATGGACTTCTTCCACTGGACCTTCATCATTTGGTCATACCTCCAAGACAAACGTACAACCACATTCTGGCCATTTGGCGTCTCCTACCACTCCACTTACTGCTTCGCAAGCCCAAATATGGTTGCCACAAGGCGGGGATTTGCAAGAAAGCCTCTCCCCGTCGGCCACCTTTTACCATCAGGAAGCCCGGGTAGATGAAGACGCGTTTGGTCATAAAATTGTTCTCCCAACTGAGGCCGATATCAACTTCGCTTTTGTAAGTCGCGCTCCATGACCTCGCTCTTGTTTGAGACTTTCCTCATCGTTTTTATTCCAGGGTGCCCGTGGAGCTCAACCGATGTCTGTACCCCGAAAGTCGCCCGCACACCCGCAAGTGAGCCAGTCGCCTGATACCGGACGCATATTCGGAACAAGCTCCGATGCCGTCGATACTTTGGCGTTCCTGGGTCTGGGTCCATCCCGCAGTGCACAGTCCGGCATCCGGGACCACGCTAGAATGAAGCCGCCGCTTGGAAACATGATGGATGAATGTGAGAACGCGGACACGTTCCCTGTACCACTCTTCCCGCCCGGCATGGGGCCTCCAAGTCTCCCGAGGTGCGAACGTGCCGTCTATTCTCTCCGTAAGGATGACAGTAACATATCTTTCTGATTCTTGTTGCAGACTGAACACACATGCATCGCCTCCATCGACATCCGCGGTTGCTTTTCCCTTGTCAAACAACGGAGTGACCGCACACAGTCAGCTTCACTCAGCTCCTCCAGGACATCTCACACCGGCGTGGTCAGGAGAGTACACCTATCCATTCGGCAAGCCTGTAGATGCAGAAGCCGCAAGGCAACAGTCGGCTCCCGCTTGGACAGAAGCCCACAAAGTTCAAGGCCCCTCGTCCAGCGGACTCACTTGGATGGGGGCTGGAAGGGATGCTTTCGTATCGCCAATGGCTCGCGCAGCGAGCGCCAATACTCGGTCCAAGCCTGAATACGAGCCTCAGCCGCCCATTTTGGGGTTCAGCGCCGCGGCTGGGCCGTCTCGCAATGCGAATTTGTGGGGCTAAGGGGAGTGTTGCGTCGAGCAGTTCAATCTGCGTTTCTTACCAAAATGGCTTACCAAAGTCGCACGGCTCACTGCCCTCGAACTTTCGAAACACAAATTCACTGAAAAATCAGAACGAGGACGACCAGCACATGACTGGGCGCTAACTCAGCGAAGCGGACATTCAGCCGCGAATAACCCAGCGCAGTTTGCGCCATTCGGACCGCCGCAAACTGACGGTCCGTATATCAGACGAGCATGCGCATTAGCCGAGCATGGGGATATGCCATGCCGGACAGATGGCTCCTCAGTTCTGCGCTTCCGGTCGGCCGTCGGGACCAAAGGCGCAACTGGCGCTGGTTCCGCGAAAGCTTGTTCCCCTTCCCTGCTCCTTTCCCCCCTCGCACCTGGAGGGCATGGAGAAGCCTTTGAATACGTTTGCATGTAGGCCGCTCCTGGAGCGAGCTAATAGGCACTTCGTGAAATAAATACATACGGTGCCTTGTTTGTAATTCCATCCTCGAGTTCTGAATTCGTGAGTCCTATGAAGGTGGTCAACCACCTGCTTGTGAGGAGAGGTACAACGCTTATATATATTGTGATGAGAAGGCCTCAAAGTACGCAATCCGCAAACGCATTGTGCGACAGAAGAAACATTTCTGGAAAACATCGATTACAGGAAAGAGGGACGGATCGGGCGACTGGCTGTCCTAGCATACGGCGTCCACTATCCTCTGCGCAACCTCCGGGTTCTTGCACCGCGCCGCAATCTCAACGGTCACACCCTCCCCTCCAATCAACATCCTACACCGGGTCAAGACCTTGTGACCTCCAGCAAAGATACCTCCCATTGCCAACGTATGGGTGGTCGCCTTGTCGACGACGTTATCTGTCCCTTCGCTGGGATGCATACCGAGGGCTTGGATGAGGTTGGTGACCGCGGCTAATTGAACAATGCCTTAGCTTCATGTAACACAATACCAGTGGGCCGCAATGAAGCGACATACCTTTGATGTTGGCCATATTTGTCAACTGATACGTCTCCACCACCTCGGAGTCCTGCCCCATATCTTCCCAGTTCCTCCTGAAGTCCGACACGTAGGTCGGTAGCACGTAGTCCGCCACGACAAGGTCTACGGCCTCGATGAGGTACTCATCCTCATACCCTTGTCCATCGTCGTCCGGTTCACCCGTAGCCGGGTCACAGTCCCTGACGAAGAAGTGCAACGAGCTGGAGAAGGACGCGGTGGGGCAGGCGCCCCCTTCTCGCCGGTACACGACGTAAGCGGTTTGGGGAATGTCGAAGATGAGTTGTGGGATGGGGATGGAGAATTCGGGGACTAGAGCATCCACGTTGTCGTCATCGGAGGACTCGATCTTCATTTGGACGTTTAGCTTCTCCAAAATCGAGTCGTTAAGAGTGTTGCGGCAATTGAACTGGAAAACGACGTGCGAGGCAAAGATATGCTTGACGCAAGTGACCACGTATTCTGTTTCCGCCTCGGTAAGCTGCACTGGTGTCGAGGATTTGAAAAGAGGGCCGAGATTGGCCAGTTCTGGAACCTTGTCCATGGCGGCGGCATATCCGGCCTGGGCATCTCCGCTGAATGCATCTGCGCCACGCGCTGCCGATGGTTGGGAAGTTGCAGTGGGGGTGGCGTTGCTGCGTAGGGCGGGCGTTATCGCCTCGGTGGCTGCGGTGAGTTGACCTGTTGGGAAACAATTTAGAAGCCATGGCGACACTGAAGCCCCTATCATCTAAAAACTTACGAGATCGCTCGGCCGACTCCTGCTCTTTCGTGATTATCGGCGTTGTGGAGATGTCGAAACTCTGCGTGTGTGCAGCCTGGTCGTTCAGATAATGCACAAGGTTGCGCTCCAGGGAAGGCCAGCTGTATGTCGTGTCTGACGCCCAATGGGCGATTAGTACATGCAAACAATTATAATCCAACGACGGTCGCATACCATTCGCGACGTATTTCCTGCACAGCTCGTCACTGTCAATGATTCGGAGATACATGATGGCCCGATCGCGCACTTCATCCTCGTTGTCGTCCAAACAACGCGTGAGTAGTACTTTCACGCGTTCTCTGAGCTCAGGCAGGTTCACGGCGAAGCGTGCAAGGGCTGTCACCGCCGCGGCTCTCACTGTAGCATTCTCCAGAATAACCCTGTTGTAGATGTAGCGAATGTATTTCGACGCTTTGGGTGTCTTTGGCCCTTCAGTTCCGAGAAGGTGCAAGATTCGAACGGCCAGTTTGTTGAATTCACAATCTTCGATGAACTCGCAAAGGTGCGACAAAGCTTAAAACGGGTATGTATGAGCCGACGGCTTCCGCACCGGTGACTGCAAAACGACGAACTTTACCAAACTCCTTGGATTCCGGAATATGGTGAACAATATCGAAGATTGCCTCCACAATGGCGCGCTTGTACTCGTAGCCACCTTCATCCCTCAAGACGTTGGACAAGAAGTTCAACATCAAAGATTGTTTCGAAGGGAACTTCAAGCAAAGCGAGCGAATGGCGTCGATCACAATGACTTTGAATTCATCGGAAATTTCGTTCATGAAGCCCGTGATTTGCTTCATGAGGCGGTCGACGCTGGCTTCCGTTCCGGTCTGCATGCAGCAACTCGCTGTGAGATACTGTTCAGCCGTAAAACATACATGTTGCCATGCAATACCTTCAGCAACGTGGTGATGGCAAACGTCGCAACGCTACGGTTCGTATCCGTAATGAGGTTCTCCATGTCCATGTTGCAGGGGAAGACCATTTGTGGATGGGTCATTGCAAGCTTATTGAGCGTGCGGATGGCGGCAAAGCGTAGTGTGGGCTTGCTATTCACAAGCATCAATTGAAGGGCTGCATCGAAGCTCGTCAGCAAACGAAATCTTTATTCGACCTGCTATTCAAAGCTTACCTGAGACGGCCGGAAGCAGCTCTTGCGATGTTGCTCCGCGCAAGTTACAGATAGCGCGGGCCGCTTCATACACCACCATATCATGCTTGTGTCTGAGCCAACCCTCCAGCAACTCATACATGGATCGTTGTCTGCAAATTTCCGTCAGCACCAAGGTTCGCGACGGTGAGGAGGGGGTGAAAGTAGCGTACCCAGGCTCTTCATCCTCCATGATCTTGCATGCGAATCTTATCAACATGCAATACGCAAGAGGCGACCTCAACGACGCGCGAGAATAGTTCTGCACCAACTTAATGACCGCCATCCTATCGTGCTGTCGGATCTGGTAGAGCAAGCCCACTGCGTGATACTGCGTCATCGAGCCCCTGTTGTTCATCGCCTCCTGCACTTCATTCGCCCAGCGCCTGACAACCTCTTTGTTGGCGTTGAACAGGTGCATGGAAGAAACCAATGCAGCACTCGAAACGCTAGGGTTTTTGTCCACAATCGTTTGCTTGATGAATCGCTCAATCGCTTGCAACATCGTGCTCTGCAAACGACACCAATGTTAAATTACTGGAATTGAAATCTTTCGAACGGGGCATACGTACATCGACGATCTTTGGCAGGACACGGATGGCATTTGCACGGAAGATGACATCCGATTTTGCGTTCATGTCTCGCATGATACTCTGCATGACCATGAAACTGTTTTCTGCAATCCCAGCCAGCTCCTTGATAAGGAGATACATCATTTGACGAAGTGCGGTCTACGAACAATCGAGAAACCCTTCATCAGTAACTTCAGCGGTGACAGGTCCACACCCACACAACTGATCGCCAGAAGACTACACACATACATCTGGAGACGAAAACAGCCTGTTCATCGAGAAAAAGGTCTCCGTGGCCTCCTTCGACTGAAACACCTCCGACTGGTAGAAGAGGAAGGCCAGCTTCGTCAGAATGAGCCTGCATTTTCGCGCGTTGATGGGGGTTTCGTTGAATGCGCGCGCCTCCTGCAGCACAGTGCTCTTGTCAATGTGGTAGAAGAGACCGGCATCTGCAAGCATTGGACGCACGTTAGAAGGGGCAGCAAAACGCTGAGTACGTCTCCGCCGTAAAAAGCAATCGTACCGGAGTCCTCGTCCTTCTTTCCGACGTTCATTCCTGAGTCTGTCGTTACTGATCGAGGTCAAGATGGTTGGCGGCGCGTTCTCACGCTTCCTTCTCCAGTGTACGAGAAATCGAGTGGGTCGGTGGCCTGTCTGCCCCTTCTTCTGAAGCGCAACCAGACAAGAAATCGAACCGTCTGGCGGAGTAGGAAGGTGGACAGACGATGTCAATATGGATGGCAAGCAGGGTTCCGCAAACGTGCAAGGTTGAAAGTCGACGTTGTGAAGTCGCCGTTACAGCCGTCTGAATTGGCTTGCCGCCACGATACACGTCGGTTAACAGTTACTTATCCCCGCATACACATATACGCACACCTTTGCAGTTGCCGTCAGAGACCATGTATTGAAACTCCGCTGGACGCTATGGGAAAAGATATTATGAGGTGAGGTTTGCAATACCCGTTGGAGGATCCGATATCTGCAGCTCAGAAGAGCTTGAGGTAACCGGGATATGCACATCACCTCTGCACATTAGGAGTGCGAAGGAACGGGCAATGTGAGGAGATGTGAGGAGATCGATGCTTGATACCGATTACGGCGGTAAGCAAAAACCCCTCACCTGGACGGTATTCGATAAATGTCCGTCCCATGTATTCTTCAACATCGAGGCTTTCGCTTCAAACCCAAATGAGTTAGCGGGGAAGAATAACTGATGTCCATTGCAGAGATCCCTCCGGATGCCGCCCTCCTTGTTCGGACTTGTTAGGGCCACGGTTTCAATTAGGTCCACTGAAGGAAATCCCATCGAATCAAAGAAGACAAAAAGTGCCAGTTTATTGGTCTATTCGGTAACAAGGTTGGCGGACCTCGAAATGTACACGAGCCACCAGCCAAAACACGCTCAAAATCATCTTTCGATCCTGCTCGTCTGGTTGCCCCTAATAGTGTGGCAAGGCTGCGTTGGTCCAGCTTATTTCTTGCCGCCCTTCTTCGCCTCGACCTGTTGAGCCTTCAACACCCTCTTCACGATCTTCTGCTCCTCAATGAGGAAAGCACGGACGATCCTATAAGGATAGTACAGGTAAGTGACTGACAATCGGGACGCTGAGAAGCGACGGAACGAAGGTATTTACCGGGAGCGCACGCAGGTTCCACATCGGCTTCCTCCGTAGGGGCGGGTGACGCTCTTCTGACGGCGAGACAGACGGGCGTACTCGGTGGGGCGGAGAGCGGGGATCTATATAGAATACGTCCGTTCAGTACTCTGCTCCCATGGTTCAATATTCGATGGAGGGATATCGTTGTCCCCGAAAACAGGCCGATCCGTCGTTTGTGTCGCCCTTTCATCCCCAAATCTTCCATCCAATCCAATACTCGCTAAACCCCCTCCCTTTCGGGTGCACGACGCCCTCCCACATGTCGTACCCACTTCGCCCTTTTCACGTTCACTCTCGAAATCCGGGAAAGATGCTCACCCCAGAGAGAACGTTGCCGCAGTCACCGCACTTGGGCGCAGACGCCTTCTTGGTGATGTGAAGGAAAGCCAACTTGCCACCTGCAACACGAAAAGTCAGCCCGCTGCTCCACCACCGCTCATGCCACCACTGAGAACATTCGACATACCGGGAGTCTTGATGACCCTGGTCTTGTTGGACTTGGTGTTGTAGGACAACCTACGGCGGTATGTGACGCGCTGGACCATGTTGACTGACAAGGGACGATGTCGGAGTAAATGTTAGATTCCTCAATGTTGCATTCATTCGCCGTTCTATCCCTCGAGTCGCATCCATCCATCCATCCATCCGTTGAAGTCTGCTGAATTCGGGCAGCCGTCGCCTCTGCATATTCGCTCGTTTCGTCTCTCACCGCACCTATGTCGCCAGCAGTTCCGTAACCTACCTGTATCTGAGTCTTGTATGGACGTTAGCAAGCTTGGATGGAACCGAGCTCAATTGCGCTGCGTTGAGGGATGAAGCGAGTACCAGCGACGGACACGCAAGCAGGATATGACCATAGTCCGGGAATGCGGTGCGATGCGCACCAGAAGGGCGGTAGCGGGTGGCGCAGTCGACATGCACACAGTGAGCACATCTCAATCGCATCTCACAAGTTCACCAACCGTTGTGAATTCAGCCCAGCTCGAACGAACGTGGGAAATCTCACAAGCATCGTTGAGAGGCAGTGATATATAGGTAACTTGCCATCGCTAAGCCGCTCGCACCCTGCCACCATGTCGTTGCAGAAGATACCCCAGCAAGTCTCCGCAGCGGTCTATTGCTTCCCAAGAATGTCCGCGTGTAGGTCCAAGTCGGTGAGTTGGGAGTTGGCAAAATGTCTGAACCCGAAACTTCGAGAGCTCACCATTATATGATCAGACTCTGGCGGCCAAACGAATAAGGATAGCATCGGTAGCCAGCGGAGCAAACGCAGCCCGGCCGGAGATGCTCGTGTCGTCTCCTCATCCCATATCCCACATTCGGTTGATTCGATTCCCGGCAACCAGCGATTCCACCTTGCCAGCTCTGGAAGTAGCGTTCCTGCGTCGACGAGAGGCAGCGCAGATGTGGAACCATGAATTCTGGACGGAGAATAACCTCCACTTTCAGAGGGAGAAGGCTGACTATGAGGCTGAGAGTAAGTGCGGCCACACTGGAAACAGAGACTCAGACATTATGAATTGACCTTTGTGCACATTAGTACACCGAACACACAATCGCCCCGCAACAGCGAACGAGCTCTCAATATTTTACAAGCAATATCTTGACAACTCCTTAGAGCGCCACTCGGAGTACAACAGGGCGTGGTGGAAGGAGAATACCCGCATGCTTTTGCCTGCACTACAAGCCGAGATGAGCGCTTTACGAAGAACAGTAGGACTTGGGGATATCGAGAGGTGGTGGAGGAAAGTGGGACACACGATTGTGAGGATTGGGGGAGGGTACACAGCGCAGGGGGTGACGTTCCGGTAGATGCGTCCCACACGGATCAGTCGATTGCAATTTCGGGGATCCTCAACAGAAACCTCTTCCCTACATCAAGCCCATCATCACGACAGCGAATAGGCTTTAGATATCACCGAGAGCGGGCGCACTTCGGGGAGAGAGCTGGGGCAATTCCCTTCCATCATGTTTAATTTAAATATGTTTCTTGGGCGTGTGTAGATACAATTCTCACAATGATACTGCATCTCTAAAATGGAAGTTCTGGCTTTGTAGACTCCTTGAGTTTCCGTCTCTCCTGTAGAATTGATAGTTGCGTCAGTCGAATCGGAGCAGCGACGATCGTCGGCATCCTGATATAAGACAAATCCTATGACTGCACAAACCTCCTTCCACTCCGCTATCCGCTCATCCATTTTCGCCATATTCTCCACAATATTTTTCTCCCGCGTATACTTCTTCACCTCCTTCTCACTCCCCTTCGGCTGCTTCACAGCAGGATACGTCACAACCTCCGGCGGCAGGCCAATGGAGGCCGGATCTATGCCCGCCATCCGGCAGGCTTTCCGTATCCGTCCCTGGTCGCGGTAGCTGATTCGTGGCGGGCGGACCTTGCCGTCGAGGAGGGTTGTGGGGTGATAGGCGGCGGCGGGTGGTGGGGCTGCGATTTGTTTTAGGACGTAGGATGTGGGCATCCGGGACGGGAACTTTGCGCCGATTTTCATGTTGTTGGCGGCCAGTTGGAGCCTCGGTGGCTGAAAGGCAGAACGAATCGGCAACAGGAAGCGTCGTGATGAGATGATGCTGCAGGTCGTCCAACCCGCCCTGATTGTGTTGCGTTGTTATGGGATTTCGTTGTTGAAACAGCACTGAAGTCGTCGCCGGCCTTGCATCAAGGTTGTGACATCGAAATTAATTACGGGTCACGTGGCCCTCACCTTTCGGCAATTGCAATTGAAACTCACCGTTCTGCAACCCATTGAGCTGTTCAACACTTACAACGACGATCACTCTACGCTCATCATCGCAACCTGTACCATATCGCTTTGTGATATCCACCCACTGTATCTAGTTTTCAGACAAGTATGCATTTGAGATGGTTTTTTCTTTCTCGGACGGTTTCTGGTCACTAATGCTCATGCTCGTTCCAGCCTCCCAGTTTTACCTGTACGATAGCAAATGATGGCAGCAGCACCCGCGATAGGAGCATGGTAGGTAGCAGGCGATGGGCGGGCAGTTTTTCGGAAGGTTGGAAGGGTGGAGGGCCGCTGGACGGGTCTCGGCGTGTTCCAGTGTTGTTGGAGGAACGTGGAGATCATGAACAGCTGCTGACGAAGCGCTTTGACGAACAGGAGCAACACCAAGCCCAATACCCTTGCAACACACCCATTGCGATACCCCTGGGTCTTTTGGTGAGTCTCAAGTTTCCCATGTGGGACTGTTGTGTACGGGCGCTGATTCTCGGGAAACCTCTCAGGTTTATGCATCGGGAAGCAGGGGCAAAGATAGAGAATTACAATAATTCTATCAAGAAGATATCAACGTTTTCAACTGTAAGAATTCGATTTTCGAATCACCACATGCGAGAGATTGACTGGGGACATGTTCAATAGGTGGAAGAATTTTGGGGAGTGTACAACAGACTGACGCGGCCGATGGAGCTGAACAACGTGTGCGATTTCCACCTGTTCAAGCAGGGGATCCGGCCAATCTGGGAGGTGGGTTCTGATGCAGCCACACGGAGTCACTCTTTGGCTCATCAAAGTTCAACGAAACCTCGTGAAACAGGACAACCTAAACGGCGGAAAGTGGATCGTGCGTCTTAAAAAGGGGCTAGCGTCACGATACTGGGAGAGTCTGGTCATGGCCATGATCGGTGACCAGTTCGATGTCGGGAACGAGATTTGCGGGGCGGTGATATCGATACGGCACAGCGAGGATATTTTGTCATTGTGGAATTTGTCGGCGGATGAGGGGAGGGTTAACCTTCGTATAAGGTATGCAAGGCGGTGTGAATATGGTGTGAATTTGACGTGGAGATGACGGAGAGGTGGTGTGCTGATGGATTGTTTGGATAGGGACACGCTAAAGCGGGTTTTGAACCTGCCACCTAACTGCATAATGGAATATAAAGGTTCGTTCCGTCATCTTGAGCCAGGTCGAGTTATTTGAAACTTACGCACTTTCTTTCATCTGTTTTGCAGCACATAAGTCATCTGTAGCGGACAACTCGAGTTTCCGCAACACCGATCTGTACCTGTAGATAGCTCCCATTCGGTCGCTATGGGCGAACAGGTTCCCCATTCACTGCCGCCCCCTACTTCGATCTTCATCCGATCGCCTTTACATAATCACACTTCGCGAATAAACTATTCGTTAGCGGGATGACATCTCGACCTCTGAATTTCATTTGGAGTGCGGCAGATGCGCACGATGAGATATATTACATACGCGGGGATCAAGTTGGAGTCTAAGTACCATGTAGTGAGAGTACATATACATGAAAAATGCTATCAAAATCGCTCCTCTGGGCGGATTATACGCCGCAACAGTAAGGAAATTATTGCCAGAGAAGGCGCGGGGAAGGGTGGATGGGGGGGACCGAGCCAGTGTCTTGCCAAACGCACTTTGATTGGTGTTTGTGAGGCGATGGTCTTCAAATGCTTGCTCATCCTCTGTCGGCGTTGGTATCGTTCGGTCGCAGCGAACGGTGCGCAGGATCGCCGTGTGAGGGTTTCTTCGGACCCAAGACGCGGCTTACTTTTTGCCAACGTACGGTTTTCCACTTGGCGGCGGCGTAGGGAATTGTCGATATATCACACAAAGCAAGCAGAACACGCCAAAGATCAGCGTGCACAGCCCTGTGAATATCATTGCTATCCTCCCCGACGTGCTACCGAGCAACTGCGACAGGCCATCCGCAAACTGGTCACCGGATTGCTGCACAGGGTGCTTGAGCGCTTTGAACTCCAGTGTGGCGACGAATACGAAGATGCCCGCTCTTCCGAGGTATCCGATGTGGCCCAGCGTCAACAGAAGCCATTTCTCCCACTTCTTGTTGGCGCGATGCCAATCGATTTCCGAATGCCACTTGCCGGTGAAAGCGTTCTGCAACTGGGTTATACATGCAATGAGGAAAGCGATTCCCATGATGACTAACATCGTGCGGCCCAAGACCGAATCCCGCCAGCAGTTAGGATAGCAGCTTGGCTCTTTGTTTTCGTAGTTGTTGAGAAGCATGGTGATGATGTAGTAGGAGTAGGCGATGTAGACACAGCCGCTAACGAAGGGGCTGAGTCTGAACCGAAAGAAGTTCTTTGTCGCTGAGAACGTCGCATCTCGGCCTCGATATGTGAAACATTCCCAGAACCGCCAAATTGAGTAGCACCACAGAGCTGTTTGTGGATTTCGATTAGCATTCAAGCCTTCTTTCCCTGGATAAGCACTGACGCGGAGTCTTACCAAGCAGAAGAATGAACAAAGCTCCTGAGCCTGAAGGAGCGTCTCCAATCAACACAAAAGCACCCTGGATGGAAGTGTTCGACGTGAGATACTTGGATTCCAGCAAGGCGGACACGTCGGTGCAGAAGCTCAAACATCACATACCTTAGGACTTTCTTCGTAGTCTTTGTCGTTTAGTTTCGACCCGCTGGCCACCGTCATTCCACCAACGAGTCCGTAAACCACTCCTTTGGCGCCGAAACCAATGCGACCGACGATTCTCTGCACTTTTGCCCAAAATGGCGACGCACACTCTGGTTGCTGCATCGCCCGGGCCCAATGTTTGAAGCCGCGCTTGACATCTTGCTTATATATTTCTGCCTGGACGGCTAGCGTATCGCCGGAGGTGCTTGGGAGGATGTGGTCATGGCTCTTCTTTCCGTGGTCCTTCTTGAAAGGAAGCTTCATTGTCGCAGAATAGTCCTGGGGGGGTGGGAAGAGCGTCTCTGGTGTAGCTGGCTATAGTTTTTTCAGGAGCCGCCTTCTGGCAGCGTCCTTTATATGCGGGTTTGCGTCTGTACAGGTATGTACGTAGGGGAAAGGAAGGAAAGACAGCCTGGTGACTTCCTGAAATAAGCGCCAGCCTCGCCGCCCTACGTCATCACGGAGCGCGCTTCCGAACCAACGGCTCAAACTGGCGCAACTCATCAAAGCCCAAATCCGTGCAGTAACAGTACCCTAATCCGTACCCAAAACGCTCCCGAGCCCTGACGAGTTTCCCACTGCAGGACCAGGAGATTGAGAGCTGCCCACTCGAAGAGTTGCTATGGCCGATGTCCTGCAAACCAGCCCGTTCCTTCCTTTGTTGTTCTGGCTGGCCGTGTTTGCCCTCATAGCTACGGGACTGGACAAAGTGGCCAAGTTTGAAAAGAACCGGAAGGTAAATTGGGTTCGTGTTAGGAAAGAAGAGTCGTTTTGGTCGCGCTGCATGTCGTTCCTGAAGCTCAGGCGATAAGCGATGTTTTCTCACGCCGGACTATCAGCTTGACCGTGAGAATAGAGCCCGTCCGGTCAATAAGCGACACGTGCGCAGAGACAGCTTCTGAGAATAAGTGCACGAAAGTGATCTTGAGACAGCGCACGATGCCCGTGAGAATATTCTGGCCGGAGCACCTCCTCCAGCCGTCGAAGGAGCAGCAAGAGGGATATTTAGTAGGATGGGTCTCAAATGGGGACACAACGTGTGTGGCCGACATTGTGCCTGCAGGCCGGTTGAAGGAATTGCAAGAGTTCTTGACGAAGAACGAGAGGAACGATCTCTCGCCACAGATAGTTGGGTTGTGCGGACCGCGGAGGAAGCCTGGGGCCCAGCTACAGTGGGGTTCGTATATACTTTATAGCTTTGCATTTGAGCGGCATAATGAACACATCATAAACACGCAGATAGTATTCGAGACCATGCTGCAGAATTTCTCATCCGTGTGTCTCTTTATGGACGAGATTTGATAATTTCCGAGTGAGTTATGCGAGGAATGGGTTCATATTGCATCTCCATGCTGAGCCATCCATCCTTCTTGCATCCCGTAGTATGTACATGCGCGGGGTGCCTCTCCCACACTCGACATCAAAGCACGTCATCCTGTTCCAAGAAGCCAATTCACGACTACAGCAATATTACTCCTTGGACCCGCTGATACTGGATCTCTCCGCCATCGACGATGAGCTGGCCGTCGCGAAGGCGGAGTTGAAGAGGACAGCGGCAAATTTTCGTCGTAGACAGTCCAGCTTTGGCCATGGGAGAAGTCCGGGCCTGATCGTTGAAAAACCGAGTGTCGTGCCAATGGATTGGAATGTAGTCTTGCATCAGGTACGTCGCTTACTTGGGAACTTGAATCTTGACGTCCCTGGCTAATCGATGCAGAGCAGATCAACATCGCTTACGTGCTGTCACTTAGACTTCGGCGGTTCGTGAAGGACGACCGCAGCTATCTTCCGGACTTCTCAAAACTGCTCGACCACATCCACTACCCAACATCCACCGTATTCTCCAAGCTCCTGTCGCTTTTGCCGCTGACCATCATCTGGATCCTTAACGCACGATGCCCACCATGGCTATTTCAGGGGACGGCATTGAAAGACATATCTGCGACGGGTAAAGGACCATATCGGCGCATACTGCACGAGCTTGCGCAAATCTAACCTCGTCCTACCAGCCCAGCAAATCGATCTCAGATTGCAGCAGGGGATGTTTTGGCCTCAGCAGTATCTGCTTTGGCGCCGAAACCCTGACAAGCTGTCTCCACTCGCGCAAGCCCGTTACATTGGGTAGGTCTGCTGTGGCACTGGCCGTGGTATGAATGCTTCTGAGTAATCTTTGTCACATCGCAGGTTCTACAACACACTATGGCTAATAGCAAACGACGCCATCGTCGGTGTAGCTGTCGGAGCGTTATTGCTGGACAACGCGCCGTATCTCGCTAGCCTGATGGAACGCTTCATCCAAGTATGTCCTTCAATTTGGGAATAACGTGCTTCTACGCCCTCTGGCTGGCGCTAACGGCGTTTACGGAGTAGACGTATACAATCGACAGAACGCGGGACATGATCGTATGGCTTATGGGCTCACCAGCCGGACTGAAGTTAAATGCCGATCTGAACGGAATTCTGGGAACCCTATTCATGGAGTTACTAGTTCTCTGGAGTGGTAAGCATTTCCCATGTTCTTTCCCCATATACTGTACTGAAGTACCACCGTTCATCCAGGATGGGCCCAAGCCCTCTGCCCACACCTCCCGCAACTCATCCGCGTAATCAGCGCCTGCAGCGTCGTGGGCGTATCAATGTCCATATCCGTCTTTCTGGACCTTCTTGCAATCATCACCGTCCATTTGCATCTGTGCTATATTGTTGCGAGCAAGATTTATTACTGGGAGGTGCAGGGACTTGTGTCGATGTTTACATTGTTTCGAGGTATGTGTTGGTCGCTTTCATCTTCTCCATGTCCGCCATGCGAGCTTACGGTATGGACGCGGTGTAGGAAAGAGGAAGAACGTGGAGAAGAACCGTATTGACTCGGCCGAATATACCCTCGATCAACTGCTTCTCGGAACAATACTCTTTGCCCTCCTCACCTTCCTATTCCCCACCGTCGCGGTGTACTACGTCCTCTTCTCGCTGGTGAGATGCACATGCCTCTTTTGATATGCAGATATTGCGATGCACAGATATGCTCAGCAAACCATTTGTGGCCCCAGATTCGCATCTCAGTCGTCCTAACCCACGCCGTCTTCGAAATCGTGCTGGCGTTCGTCAACCATTTCCCATTGTTTGCCATCATGTTGAGGATTAAGGATCCGAGGCGGTTGCCAGGTATCTGAAGGGCGAGGACGTTCTGTTCTCTGGGATTAGACATCGTTCTTACACTGCTTCGATTAGCGGGAATCATAATTGATGCATCGCCTCTGAGGGATGCGTTTGATCTGTCAGTATGGTGGAAATCGTTTGGGTCCCAGTCTGAAGCCCACGCGACGGAAACGGTGAAGCGTGCAGGGGAAGGAGCTGTGTATATGAGGATGAAGGTAAGGGCAGAACCCACGAAATCGCAAGATCTGTTGATCTCACCTTCCCGCCGCCATAGACCGCACCCCTATCCTACTCCTCCATCTTCTACCAGTACAAGTACCTTTGGACAAGGTATTCTCCGTCTGGTACCCGCGTGCCTTACCCCAGCAACTCCCTGAAAAATTCATTTTTCATTCTAGGCTACGAACCCACTACCTCCTCACAGACATCCTCAACTCCCTCTTCCTCGGACGCAACATCCAAGTCATCCCTAAACTCCAGGTAAGATTGGCAGAAAAAGAAATGTCATTTTTTTGTGATTGTTTTCCAAAAAGTCTCTTCATGTATCTGGTTAACTCCTGTTCTTTTTCTGTTTCTCACGGCGCGTTTGTCTATCTGCTAGTATCCCACCTTGCCGGCGAGGAAGTATGAGCGGCCGTGGCTGATGAAGGTCTTCAAGGGGAATGTAGCGTAAAAACAAAGTTTTACGAAAAGCTTAGAGAAGACAAGCGACCGCAAAAACGGCCAACAGGCCAGCGAACGCCAAAGTCAACGCGTTCTTTACGGCTCCGGAAGTCGGGCCCGCACCGGTACCAGTCGAGGTGGCAGCCGGGGCCGGGTCCGCAGGCGGGGCAGGCTGATTGGCCACAGCCGCGGTCGTAGTCGGGGAAGCCGCAGCAGCCGGGGTGGTGGGTGCCGCAGCAGCACCACCGGGCGGGTCGTTACTGGTCCTGTACGGGCTGGCAATCCCACGACATTTATCGAGGGTGACAAACACGCGGGAGGCGCTAGCGTTGCGCAGGGCCGCGACGATGGGGACGATGTTGTTGGCTGTGACGTCGAGGTTTGCGCGGAGGATGACGATGGGGGAGATGCTGGGGTAGCCGTTGGCGGTGGCTTGGGCGTTGATGTAGGTGCCGATGGAGGCTTTGTCGGCTTCGTTTACAGAGTGGGAGGGGGCGTAATCTGTAGATATTCATTTTTGCAAAATATTATAAGAATCATATTTTGACCTCCGCACATTGCTGTTTTCATGTTTGTTGGAAAATATGCTGGACCCACCCTGACTGTCGACCGAGAACCCAGTAGCAACAAACCCGTTGGCATCCAACATGGCCAGGATCTCAGGGGTCATATCTCCGTACGCGAAACGGACGAATTTCTGTCAAATGTTCCATCGATCAGCCCAACATTTCAGCGGAATGCAAAACCAAAAAGGCAACTTGACATACCGGGTACACGCCAATCACATCGCGGACGGCCTGAGCTTCGCTAAGAAGCTCGGCCTGCAACGCTGCGATGGTCATCGTGTTGGCCGTCAACGCGGGCCTCAGGCCTACAAGTATAAAGTCCGTTGAACAATGTATCATGCCGCAGAACAAGATGAGATCTTCGCATCAGAAACATACGAATCCCAACAACATGCCCATCAGTATAAACCCTCTTCAGCGTCGCATTAAAAGTCGACGTGGTCAGGTACGCGCTAATGACATGGAAGGTCGCCTTCAGATTAGCCGTGACCAGCCCGTCGAGGAGCCCGAGGGTCTGCGGGGTCGTGGCGCCCTCGTCGAAGGTTAGGGCCATTTGGTTTGCGGCGTTGCAGGTGGAAGGGAGATCTTTATGGGGGGAAAACGCATTCATGAGACGATGTTTGAGACCAGAAATGTTAGCGCATTGATGAAACGCTTCTCGGATCCGTACTGTTCCAAGCCGACATGGTCGGAGCCCTCTTCTTGCGGGAGACAGCGCTCTTCTCATCGTCGGTTTTGAAGAAGGCAAAGTACAGCACTGTGAAAACGAACCAATATTCGGTCATAAGAGACGTTGTTTAGAGATGATTTCCCCCGCTGAGGACTCAATTTGAAGACGGGGACTCACCGATGCTGAGGGTCGCGAGCGAGAAGATGCGCCATGCGTTTAGGACGGGCATGGTTGGATTTGTGTATTTGGTGGGTTGTTGAAGGATTAGAAGAACGGGGCGCAGAGAAAGAGTGGTTGAGAAAGTGAAAAACGAGGCGCAGAGAGCGCCAGCGAATTGACCGGTTGCAGCGATCGAGAGCCCCGCCAAAACAAGCGTAACTTATTGACGGGTACGCGTCGCGCGTCTCCTCCACCTTGGTGAGTCATGACAATCCGCCCAATGAAGAGCAAATGAAGAGCAGATCCGACCTAAGAAAAAAGCGATCTTACGGACAAGCTTATGCGAGAAGAGGAGGTGGTCCGAATTAGAATAATCTATAAACATCGCAAGAAAGCTTCCACTACATAATACACCCAGATATATAGTACAAGTACAAATCACTGCATCGCAATAGATCGCTCAAAAAGATCGGCCGGGATGTGCCAGTCCGCTTCCTCCCAAGGGTTGCCCCGACACACGGCCCTATGAACCAATTCTTCGCACACTGCTGGGAGATGGGCACGAGGACCGAGTTTGCCGAGACGCTCTTTGAGGACGACGGAGGGAGAACTCCATTTGACTTCCGTGTCTTGCACGCTCTGCAGACTTTCAACGGAAGCAGTACGCCGTGGTGGTGAAGGGAAAGGGGACGGCTCTCCAGGGGTGGCGGGAAGCGGGTTTGCCGGAGAAGCGGGCGCAGGAGGCATGTCCAAGGACGACGACGACGAGATGGCACCAGGAATCGCGGCCGACGTGGTAGGGGTACCGGGCGTACTAGGAAGTGGATGCGCGGTTTGCGGGTGAAGCGGATGGCCAGAAACGTCTGCGTGGACCTCGGCCGGCCGAGGCATTGAAGAAGGTGGATGTGCTGCTGTTTGTTGAGCGACACCACCGGCTTGAAGTTCGGCGAGTGCTTTGGCTGCTATCATGACCGCGTCATAAGAGTTTGGGTTGTTGAGCGGCATAGGCGCCTTGCCCAAGTTTGCCTCCGGCAGCCAGCTGGAGAAGGCCAACGCCAGCAAGCTCTGCAATTGACGATGCTCATGCAATAGTTGACCTCGTTCGTGCGAGAGTGCGGTGACTTCGCCGCGAAGTGCTCTGAGCTCCATTTGCGTGTCCAAGGCTTGTTGAGAGCGGCGCTCTGTAGTGCGGAAGAGTAGGTTTAGCGCCATTGCACAGAAGCGAGTAGGCACGGGGATAAGCATTTCAACGCACCTCGCAAAGCCTTCTGGGCCTGCCGGTTCTTCTCCTTCCTGTGCATAACCATGTCGGTAATGGCCGGATTGCGTTTCGCCCCCGGCTTCCTCCTTGCAACAGCCTCGTCAGCGGTGGCGGCAGCATCGGTAGCGAGAGCGGCGACCTCCATGTCCGTCATTGTAGTTGCGAGGATAGGCGATATGTACCTCTGCGCTAACAGCTTACTGAGTGTGACCCAGAGTATGTTACTACGTAGGTATAGTTATAGGTGTGATGCGGAGCGGGAAGGCAGAAAAACGGGCAGCAGCAGGGGGCCGGACGGGAAACGAGTTTCCCTTCGTCATCACTCTCTTTTGCTGTTGCCTCACGCGCCGTGTCTCACGTGACAAGTCGTTCAGCACCGCACGCTGTCAAAGCACAAGCGAGGGCAAAGATGTGGTCAAACAAGACGCTGGTGCCATCAAATATATACAAATACAAAAGGAGCAAACCATGATACGAGATTCTCCTCTACTTCTTGGCAACCTCCCTCCACTCCATAGCCACCTTCCCAGGCCCCGTATCCGTCGCCGCAAGTCTCGACAAGGTCCATATCCTCTCGAAATACTGCACAAAGACGCTCTGCGAAAGCACCGCCAACAAGAACTCGTTGAACGAGAGCCGGAAGGGCTGGCTTGTGTCCGTCACCGCCGCATCACCGCCGGCTGTCAGATTCGGCCCACTCCCGCCCGTCTCCCCGTCCAGGCCTCCTCCCAGAGGGCTCGCAGAGACGGGCTCTATCGGAGTCGAAAACGAGGACGATCTTTTCCGTCGGTGCCCGCTTTGCCACGTGGACGACCGTCCACTTCGGATCGCACCTGGGGATTCTGACCCGTCGGGCTTCCGTCGTCCACCACCATCTGATGTGAGGATCCGCAGCCCTGTCCCCAATTCCCCTTCCGATTCCTCTTCGCCCAGCGTGGCACCGAGTTTTGGTACATAGTGCTGTTGAAGGTGTCGATGATGACTAGAGGTCGAATGACTGCCAGCCGGTTTGTTGGGTCTGCTCGTTGACGAGCCACCAGCAGTCGAACTAGTCGAACTGCCTCTAAACATCTCTGAGCTCTGCGATCGGCGAAGAGACTGGCCCGCGCCACTACTCAGCAATGGCTGCCCTCCCTCACTCGTCTTACTGTTGCCGAGTTTCAAGGCGGTGTTCAGGAAAGAGCTGACGGCGCCCAGGTAAATCTCTTCATTCTCGCGCGATTTCTCGCTCGTATCCACCGACGATGGACTGCCAACTGTGCCCGGGCTAGAGGCATCCGGGCTGGGCATGCTGCCTTCCCTCCGCACGCGCTCAAACATCTCCAGCAAACTGTCCATGACAGCTTTCAATTCGTCTTTGCTCAAGAACCCATCCCCGTCCAGATCATGGATATCAAACAAAAAACGCAACCGCGAATGTAAGGGTTGTTTCATGGTGATGTCCAAGATGTGGACCATCGTTGCAAGATCGACGATGTACGAGGTTCTGTCCGGAGTCTCGGCGGCCTTTCCGGCATCCTTGTCCGCGTCGCCTCCCTGCAGCCATTGAGCAGGGGCCAACGGTGAGCTCTGATCCGCCGCACGATGTTGCTTAGCGGTATGCAAGAAATTGTAATGAAGCGAGCAATAGAAGTAGATTCGATCCGTCAATCCGACATGCAGATCCTCCGTTGCCGTCACCGTCGACACGCTATTCCGCAAACTGCTATTGCTTCCAAACGACGAATTCAGCGACTGCGTGCTTCCAAACCCACCACTCGGCTTTGCGAACGCCGTGGCGCTCGGTCGCCGTTGTAGAGGCCGGGACAGATCCCGCTGCGATCCGTTCACTTTCCCGCTTCCCATGACCCCCGACCCACTCTGCGCACTCCGCCACGGGCTCACGACCCCAAATACTTTGCGGAAATCGCTGAGCGCCACAGTCTTCTGTCCGACTTCCTGCTGCTTTTGCGTGCGTGTGCGCGTTTTCTTTTTTGCAGTACCAGGATTGTGCCCGGAACTTCGCGCGCCAGACATACCCCACCCGCCCTGCGATATCAGCACCGCCCGCATTTGCTCTTCTTCCTCTTCTTCCTCAGCCCTCCGCTGCGCCGTTGGGCCTCGCGGATCCTCGGCAATCTCCTCACGCGCAAACTCATACTTCCGGACTTCGTCGTACACCACGCCGACCTCATCAAACGTGAGAGACACTTGCTCACACAGCGTTCGGATCTGCGATTTACGGCTCGTGTCTTCTTGCTGATGCACCACTGTCAACCGCTGCCGCATCCGTAGGCCGTCGAGAACCTCGGTGGTGACAATAATCGAGAATGTCCCATACGCCACAGACAACAGGTGCTCGAACAGTGCTCGACCGGATAATGTCGACGGGTCAACCACCTGCTCACCCGTATTGGACGGTAAGAAACGTCGCGCGAGGTTATCCGAGCTATTCCTACCGATTTTACCGTCCTTTGTAGGCGACACTGCTTCTTCGTCCTCCACCTTCGTCGCTTCCTCGCTTTCCGTCAACCCCAGCCTCTGGAAAAAGTTCTTCAAAATCCTCATAAACACGTCATCATCACGTCCTTGGGATATCAGCTGCGGCTCGTTGACTTTCAGAATAGCCAACGCCACCCAGAACAGGAACTTCGGTCCATCGACAAAGAAAGCGTCCAGGAATTTGACGCCGAGCCGTAATGGAACCGTGTTGAGAAACAAACACATGAACCAGGGGACAGAGACGGTGGAGAGATCCATGTAGAGTTTGGAGAGGTGGGCCCATAGTGCTGGCATGTGCAGCTCGACCAGTTTTGAGAACACGTTTTGATCGACGACGGAGCCGACGAGGGTTTTGGTGTAGTGGTCAGGTAGAATGCGTTCGACGATGATGCCTGTGAATAGCATAAGGAGACTTATGAATGCGGAAAGCGAAGTTTTGTTCACTTACAAAGAAGCCAAAACGCATCTTCCTCCTGTAAGTGGAGAAGAAGAACGGCCGACATGATATTTAGCGCTTGAGCGTAGCCAATCGCTGGATTACGCCAAGAATAGGCGGTAAGCACTCGGCGCAGACCATCAATGCCTATTGGGGATTGATACGCGGGGTGTTCTGGTAAACTCCTACAAAGACAAACTCATCGTGAAGAGCTGTTCTCGATGAAAACCTTTGTGGTGCAAGCGTACCTTCTGACATCTTTCTCAATCTCCTCTGCAAAGACACTGGTCTCCTCTGCGTGATCCCGCACAAGTTTTTCGTAATAATCATGGTCCGGGCGGGAAAACCATGCGCCAGCGCATACCATCCTGACAAGACGCTGTATAGTCAGTAAAACGCATGTACTCGACCAGAGCTGTAGCTAACATACCACATGTCACCCCGAAACTGGTACGGAATCCCACCCGTCCTAATTATCAGCTCCCTCAAAGCCTTCATATCCTTAATCATGCATACGTCCTTCCCATTCGTCTCAAAATACCCGTTCCATTCTGCTACAGCCGCAGCCTCAGCTTGCAGCCGTTGGTCGCGGATCTCCAGGGTCGCTGCGCCGACTAACGCTTTCCTGAGCAGCTCATTCTCGAAGTCTTTACTGCCGCCTCGGGGTCTGATGCCCTGTGGGTAGGATCCCTCGCTCTCGCTGTCGTCAAAAATGGCTTTGAGCCCGACCTTCAAGATCTTGATACCGCTGACACTGCCTCCTGTCAGGGGATCTCCTTGCACTTTCTGGAAGTATTCATCGAGATGCCCACTTGACCCAGGACTAGCGGCAAACATAGCAGCCATCGGACTCGGTGTTGTGGGACTGGACGAAGCGGGCGTCGCAGGCCCTACGGCAGCGGGTTTACTGGAGACGCCATTCCGTTCGCCAATGATGAAATCAGCATCGAAATGGAAATCGACCTGCTTCATCTTTTGCAGGAGGATGTCGCTGACACGATCTCGGCTTTTCAGATTCGAGAATGACATCCACATTTCCTGCTTGCTTTTCGTCGTCAGCACCAGCCAGCCTGAGAGCGAAAATGACGTGATCTTCCCGGATGAAGGAAGGGCTGTGGGTGGTAGCTTCTTGACGGAGACGATGTGGGGATATGGAACGATAAGGAACAAGGTTGGGTCCTGGGGCGAGTCGAAGAGCATTGACAGGGCTGCTGCATTCGGTTGTGACGGCAGTGGCGCCAGGGCAACGAAGTTGAAGAAGTTTCGGGATAGGAAGAGCTTTCCAGTAACGTTTGCGGACAAGGCTTTGTGGTGGTAATTGCACGAAGTTTCTTCCAGCAAGACGGTTTCAGACAATGGCAAGCGGAACAACTGACGGAACTCGAGGTTCCTGAGTTGCCGATCCAGCTCATCTATCGTTCTGATCGTGGCTGCAGTCATGTGTGCATATCGTAGTGCCGTTTGATGCTGCTCATCAGCCAATTGTGCTGCTTGCAGTTCCGCATATGACAGCGCGTCCTCCTTTTCCGCATCCGCCACATCCGGCTGATTGACTGCAGGTGAATCCCTAGCAGCCGACCGGTCGATCCGCTGCTCCGTGAAATCCGTTTCGTCCAATCCCTCACTCATAAGACTGGCCGATTTGCCCGAGAAGAACGAAAACTCGTCCCTCGACCTTCCCATCGTCAATATCCCGGCGCCCCTATTTCCAACGTTGGCAGACAGGTCCCCGGACACATTCCCTTTCCCAAACATATCTGCCAGTGCAGACATCGAGTTCTCGGCTCCCTTGATAAGCCGGTTCATTGCAGCGTTGGCGAGTACACAGAGTGCCCGATATACCTCTTTCCTGTGGAAGTATAGGGAGAACACGTACTTAGAAGCGGATATGGATAGAGAAAGAGAATAAGGACATGGGTACATCGAATGCGCCTGAAAGGAAACGAGATGTGGTAGACACGGTCGGCGACTTACGTTTTTCTGCTTGGTCCCTATTTGGATGCTGTCTGGCATCAACACACGCGTGGAGTTGACCATGTCGATGGATATCATGTCCCGAAACGCTACGAGGAGATTGACTTTCGGTGCTTTTGCCTGTGCTTCTGTGGGAATGTTCGAGTCAACGCCCTGGAAAAATGCGTAGTTTCTGCTGATGCATAGCTGCCCGCGTGCCGATGTGTTTTCAGTGATCCAATACGTGCAAGCGTATACTGCGCGACGTTGTCAGTAGGACATATGCGACGGGAAACATCTTCCTCAAGTTGTGACTTACGGTTGAGCAGGACATCATCGGCGAGGACTGGGAAACTCGGTAGCAGATCTTTTCTGACTTGGAACAGCTTGGCTTGGACCTCAACTGCCCGTGGATCTACAATTCACATCGGCATGCGTCAAAGCGTTCCGATGCACTTGGAGTGTCATGCTTTGCGATTGCACACCCAACCCACCTATCACTTCGTCCGTCAGCTCATCGAACTGCCTGACCAGCAGCGCATCTAGCTGATCACGCGTGGGTGGAGCTTTTGATGCTTCCAGTTCCGTCAACTGAAAGTTCAGAACTCGCGGTCAGTCGCCGAATCCAGTCGTCTCCCCATAACGTACACAAATGAAGATGCTTTCCCACGCACTTTCATGAACAGATTCTGCTCCACCCAGTTCCAGTCCGTATGTATCTTCTCAAACGTCTCGTCGACAGCCACCACATACTCCGTCTTCCGACTAGGACACTTCAAGATGATCCGGAACTCGTATTCCATGAGCGATCGCCTGTACGCCGCGTCTGGCGAGTTTGACAGCGACAGGGAAGCTATCCCGCTGAAAAGCGAGCGCACGGCATTCTGCTTTCGGGACTGGAGGGCGAAGTGATCGTTCCCGGCTTTGTCTTGGTAGGTTGCGGCGGGGAGAGAGGCAACGTCTAGAGGTTTGATGAACATCGCGGCGGCTCACCCTCACATAAGGCCAACGCAGTGGAATGCGAGTGATGAGCAGTGAGTGTGAAGGGCGAGGGATTGGGCCGATTGCTTTGCTGAATTCCAGCTTCGAGATGGGAGCCTTGTCCGCTAAAGCAGTGCAGGACCCCTAGCAGGACCGCACGCCAACAAAACGAAGTTGCCGCCAAAAATCCCTGTCCAGATTCCAATTGGCATGACCAGCCAGCCGAACGCGTTTGTGACAAACGCTAACAGAGACGGCAGAGGGACGCGCTTCCGAGCCGTACCACGTTCGGTCTTGTCGACGTACGAAACGACCCATCGAACAGAATCAATTGCAGATGTCACCGGCATGTGGGATGCTCATGGAAACTTGCTTACGCCTAAGCCATATAAGAGCTTATTGCCTAAAAAATATAAATACTTCTACTCTCGAAAATCGGCTTCCTTCCGCACATCCGCAGCCTCTCATCATCTATTTCCTACATATACACTACAACTTGTTGGCATGCTTCTCGTTCACCAACACATATCGGTATCGCGCCTTTCCATCCTCCATATCAATAACCGCTTGGTTGGCATCTTCCATTGAACGTGTCTCAACCCAGGTCTTCACGTTTGCTTTCGCGGCAACGTCCAACATCTCTTTTATGTCCGCCGAGCCCCCAATGAGTGAACCCTTGATTGATGTGTTGTTGTGCACCAGAGGGAAGATGTTCAACGCCGGGAAAGGCTCTTCGGGAAGTCCGACCAAGATGATCTGTCCTCCAGGCTTGAGAAGCTCCATGTAGTCGTAGAGGGGCATGTCGGCGTTGTTGGCGGTGCAGACAATGCCATCGAGGGTACGGCGATACGTTTTGGCAAAGTCCTTGTCATCCTTGGTCGAGATGAACTGCACCGCGCCCAATTTGTCGGCGTCCTCCTTCTTACGGCTGCTGTGGGAGATGGCCACGGGCTCTGCGCCCATAGCCTTCGCGAACAGCAAGCCCAGGTGCCCGAGACCGCCGATGCCGATGATTCCGATACGCTTGCCAGGTCCGGCGTTCAGCTGTTTCAGCGGGGAGAACACCGTTACGCCGCCGCAAAGTAGAGGGGCGGCAACCTCGGAAGGAATGGCATCGGGGATCTTGAAGGCAAAGGCAGCAGGGAGGCGGGCGTAATCCGCGTAACCGCCGTAGCTGTTTTCACAAGCAAAGGGGTTGGAACATTGAGAATGGCAATCGATCGCTTCGGTGCAACGCAAAGACGGGTAGTATTACCTTTTGCTGTTGTCTTTGTACAGAGCATTGTAGGTACCGAAGAACCCGTTATCGCAATAAGACTCCTGACCAGCCTTGCAGCTCGAGCAGTCGTGGCAAGAGTCGGACTGTGCTCCAACGCCAACACGGTCACCGACCGAGACGTTTTTCACATTCGTGCCAGCCTTCACGACCGTTCCAACGATCTCGTGACCCACCACTGCAGGGTACAACGTCGGGCCCCAGCCAGAGCGAATGGTGTGCAGGTCCGATCCACAGATTCCGCAGTGCGTAATCTGCGACACATGTTCAGTTAGCATTCGAGGTTTTCATATGGGATCCTGAAATGAAATAATACCTTGATGTCGACATCGTCGTCTGTGAACGGCTTGGGCTCATACTCTTCCCAGACGAGGTTTCCGAAGGACTCCTTGTCCTTGGCGACCCATCCCATGAACTTGTAATCAGTGGTAGTGCTGGCCATTTTAAGGAAGTCGAGTGTTGGAAGTCGGAGTGAAGTGGGAATGAAGTTGTATGAAGTTGGGATTTGAGAACTTTCTCGGAACCGTCGCTTCTTTTATAAGACGCCAGCTGCATAAGGGATCATTTGTCATCGACGTTATCGCCGTCGTCTTTTTCCTTCAGCGGGGGCTTCTGGCGTTTCTAAGCCCATGCGTTCCTCTGCGTTCCTCTGCGCCTACAATGCGCTTACAATGCGCAGCACTAATTAACTAATTGAATTGATGTGTGACAAACGCGTCGTCGCAAGAGCGGGAAAGCGGACGTCCTCAAAGCTCCGATCGCACTGACAATTCATTTTTTTTTACCGCTTCTTCGCAACGGTGATCGAACGACGCTGCATAATGGACGTGTGCGGTATCACCACTACGTACAGTATTTTTCCTACACCCTTTCCGCTCACATAAGCTTCACAGCGCAAGCCACGCTCGGCTGCTGATTGTCATTGCCCACATCAAAAAAAGCCATCTTCTCCGTCGTTGTTGTCATCTGGTTGAAATCCTTCCACCTCTCCAAGGCTCTCTCCTATGCTCTCAGCAACGCTACGCAGGCTCGGCGACCTTGTCACGCCGGGCGTCGATGTGGAAGTACCTATTATATCTATGGGATTCGTGTGAATCGAACGATACCAACCCCGAGTGACAAGTGAGAGTGCACTAGGCGTCGCCATACCCGCGTGTCCTGCGGGACGTTCGACGTCAATAACTGCAATCAACTGCCTCTTTCGATAAAAGTATGTTCGCGTCGCTGCTTGTATTCGCCGCGCGGCGTCCTGAACGGGAATAGCCATCAGAGAGGACATCCATGAACGAAACACCCCCAGTCGCTAAGCGACGTACCTCTTTGGAGAGCGGCACTTTTTCGTGTCGCAAATCTTCTGAAAGTGGCCTTACTTCAATTCTATTCGAATTATCCTGTCCTTCGCTCTCCCGCCGCCTCCTCTCCTGCTCCACCAACTTTTTTGCAATGCGGCCGCGCGCCAAACGCTGGATCTTGACCGCCGCCTCCACCTCCTTCCGCATCTGAGCTTCATTCCTCCGCTTGACTTCACTCCGAGCAATTCGACCCCTAACTATCCGCTGAATAGCGATCGCCGCCTCAGCCTCCTTCTGTGCCCTCCGGGCCTGCATGTTCTCCGCAGCTTTCCGTTTCCTGCGGTGCCGCCATGCGGCTTGGATGCTTGTTGCTGCTCTTGCTGATTTGACATCTTCTGTAGCGGGTGTTGGCGTGGGGTCGGCAGGTGATTGGGATCGAAGGCTTTTGGCGCTAGGTGGTCGGGAGACATGGACGGTGAATGGTGCTTCGTCATCAATAACATCATTGGGTTTATTCGAAGGGACAACGGGTGAGACTGAACGGGACTTGACGGAAGAGCGAGCGCTTCCATTTCGCGTTCCCGGAGTGCTGGAAACGCCAAGGTGGGTTCGCCTGCCTTTCATGACATTTCCCTCCCCTTGTGGAGAATCTTTCTGTACAGAAGTACTTGGCCGCTGTGACCGTTGTTCACCGCTGTTCTCGAATACCATGGGACATCTGAGATTCTCCTGAGAGCTGACAGACGTGAGCTTCGGTGGTTCGCCAGAGGTCTTTGTGTTTTCCAGAATGTCTATCCGCGATTGCAGCTGCTCGTTCAGTTTCAGCTGGTCTTCCCACCGGGTGCGGTATACTTCGACTTCTGACAGCATGTCTTCTTCGAGTTTCTTGATGATCTCTGTGGTGGAATGTATTTGAGATCTGGTCATGTTTCCGCGGAACCCTTCCAACGTCGTACCTTCAGACTCGTCAGTCCGTAGCTTCATCTGCGCTTCGAGCTGTCCAAGAGCTTTTTGCGAATCGCTCAGTTCTTTACGCAGTCGATCAAGCTCAATGATCGGCTGCTCTTTCTGAGCGAGCTCATGTGCCAAGTTCTCCTTTGCCGCTTTCAGCTCCCGCTGCACCGTTAGCAGTTGCCGTTTGAGCTCTGAGGATTCATCTAGCGCAGACTGCTTTTCGGCCGTCCGTTCGGCCAGATTTTGGTTGAGATCTTGTTGGACGAGATTTCGTTGATCTGTCAGCTTCTTTATCTGCTCGCGCAACTCGGTTGAACTATCTTTGGCATGACCGCCCCTGAAACGAGCCGTTTCATTCCCACTCAGCGGCCGACTCTTCAGTTCCGCAAGCTGCCGCTGCAACTCTACAACCTCATGCCTCGTTTTCTTTGTAGTCTCTGCATGCATACGTCGTATGTAAGTAATCATGCCACCACCCGGCATCCATAACACATACTCACTCACGCCGCAGATCATCCCGTTCCATCCTCAGATCCGTCAGCTCTTTCCGTAATGACTCGTCTATGCTTTCCGGCGAGGGTGGTTCCGGTTTTAGCGATTGCGCCGCTGTCTCTGCTGCTTCTGCTAGCGCACGGCGAAGGCGTAGGGACTGCCGCATGTGAGACGTAGCGCCATAGCAAGCCGGATGCTCCGATTTTTAGCCTCCTACCTCCTGAAAAAGTGTGACGCACTCTTGCTCTTTACGAAACAGTTGGTTGTACCTCAGGCTGTGGCTGTCGATTAGCACTTTGCATCTCGATCTCCTTCGCAGGGCAAGATGACGTACCTTTGCTTCAATTCATTCAACTCCTTCTCAGTCTCCTTGTTCCGCTTCTCCAGATTCCTTAAAGCGGTCCGCAGGTTCCGGATGGTCTACACATGTCCCACCACGTCAGCGTTTGTCTCCATGCGTGTAAATACGGGAGAAGTCGTTCAACTCACCCTGTCTTCGGGATATACTATCTCGGGGGTTGTGGGAGATGCCGCCGCACCCACAGACATCCCAGTCCGTGTGATAACCTATCACAAATCAAAAGTATCAATACCAAAACTCAGAACCCCCGACGCTCGTCCCACGGACATTGATAGACAACATCTCCTCGTATCTGGCATCCATCCGCCCCAACTCCTCCTCCAACGCCCTCACTTTCGTCTTCAACGTCTTTCGCTCATCCGACAACTCATTCACTTTGCGTCGGGAGGTTTGGAGATCGTGGAGGAGCTGTTCCTTTTCTACGCTCGGTCCTGAAGGTGTTCGGGTGGTTTTCTTGCTGGGTTTGGTGGACATGCTGGCGTAGAGGTTTAGGAGGTCGGGGGGGAGGGCGCAGTTGCTTAGTGCTGGAGGGGGAACAGGGGTGTTAGGGTTTATTGAAGCGGTTCAATGATATTATATGCAATAGGCAGGCTTACTGGTAGGTGTGCGCTTCTCTGCCCACCGTGTTTCTGCGGTAGAGGAGGAACGACTTCTTTGTCAGGATAAGATCTTAACAGCAATCATCTGTTCACGGGCTCACCTTTCCCGGTCTTTATTGAGGAAGGTCTCGCAGCTGGCATGGTGGAGTTGTGCATTCAGGGCAGTAGGACAGCTGGGCGTCAACTGATATCTGGACGTCCGCCTTGCTATGTGATCTGCGTGGAATGGGTAAATCTGTGAGGGAGCGGAGATGTGGGGCAAGTCGCGTTTGGCTTTTTGACAGCGCGTTACCCGTCAAAATCGTCAAAGGAGGTGTACTGGCAATGTGAGCTAGCAGATCCCACTGAGCATTCCACAATATGCAATGAGTATAGAACAAGGTAAATACCGGCGCTGGATGACCCAGCACCAGTGTAAATGACAGCAAAAGCGGATGAGATAAATTAAGGATGATGGCTCTGAACGCTCCAGGTGGTATCAGGCGAAGCAATGGGGTATGTGAACGCAACCAAAGTAAATAAGCTCAAATCTTGCGGGCACCCAACTTGGATTTGCGCGCCTCGCGCTGTTCTTCCAGTTTCTTCAAGAACATCAGTATAAGTGATTAACCTCCAACCATGAACATGAAACCCCACGTACCTGCCGCCGCCTCTCCTTCTCCTCCTCCGTCATAAACTTTCCTCCCAACGCCGGAGACGCTATCGCAGGCGCCGCAACCGGTGCATCTATATCCCACCCATCTGCGCCCCACCCATCGGTTTCCCAGGCTTTTGTGGGTTGGAGTACCATCCCGCCTGGGCTTGGGACAGATGATGATGGTGGTGGGAATGTTGCCCAGTTGTCGGTGGGTTTCGTGATTGGTTGAGATGCGCTGAAGGGTTGGGCGGCTGTGAAGCCGAAGGATGAGGGTGCTTTTTGGGGTGTGGAGGATGGGAGGATCGGATCTGCGCCTACACGAAAACGAAGATGTCAGATTCCAAGGAAGCAGTATGTGCACCAGAAAACGATTGTTTCTTACCCCAACCCCACCCATCCGTAGCAGTATCCCACCCATTAGACGCCGGCGTCGCGGTCGCGGTAGGTACAAGAGGCGCCATAGCGGCGCTGACCATCGGCGCGGGTCTATTAATACTTTCCGGAACCAATGCCGGCGTGGCAGCCGACGGTCTTGAACTTTGTGATGGAGGTGTTCCCGTCCCACTGGCCGCTTTTAGATCGGGATTTGACCCGCTGGGTGTGACGGAGGCCGTGAGCTTGCTGGAGACTGCGGACATGGCCCATCCGGCCCAACCCTCTGACCCGGCGGCGGCTGGTTGGGTGCCGGGTGCCTCTGTTGCTGCTGGTGTTGCGGTTTCTGGCTGGAGTCAGGTGTCAGTCAGAGATATACGTAGTTACCCACCTCAATACAGAGCAGAAGTGAAATCATACCATAGAATCCGCAATCTTCTCAAGCTTCTTCACAAACAACTCCATATCGTTGAACGCCTGCTTCCGGACAGACCGCTCAGGGTCGAGCAGGAGTAAGGATATCGCAGGTATTATGCGCTGCGAAGAATCCTGCGGCGTATACGACTCAATGGTTGCTGTGGTACACATGTGTTTTAGCAAAACTGAGTCGAGTCCACTGTGAGACTACTCCCAGCCATACCTGCTAATGCAGCTAGACCAGCTGTCCGTGATGGAGGGAATGGGTCGCTAAGACTCCGCAAGAACGCCGGGACTAGGACTTTCTTCTTGGTCGCTTCGTTCAGGTTTTTGCTGATCTTTCCTAGACAGATGGTGGTGTTCTGGCAAGGAGAGTTTGGGTGAGCTGACGTTTTTCTAAAAGGGTATACTGGAGCCGAGCGTACGGTACCGTGCGGATACCCGGCTCCTCGTCCTGTTGAAGCTTGGCTAGGTATCGCAACAAGTCGTTGTTGATGATTTTTTCGCTTAGCTGTCATAACGGGATTGCACGTTAGTGGACCTACCCGGGCATGTTGGAAGGCTCACTGACAACTCACCTTCGGGATGACAACGAGGACCGACTTCAGGGTTTGCTCTCGTATTACGGCCTGTTCAAGACACAAACTGGTCACACGATGGCCACACTCTCCAAGGCCAAATGTAGGAGACTACTCACGCTCGTATCCATAAACCCCATAGCAAGGTTCGGAAAGATCTTCTCCGTGACAATCTTCGCATTCAGATTATTCACAAAGCTCGGCAACCCCTCACACAAACTAACACGGATCGCGCGGTCCGTCGACGCAAACAGCTTGACAATGATAGGGACCACCGCACTGTCGAACTCCTCCTGTTCCAGCTTGCCGCCCAGTTTGAGGATCGGGCCGAGAGCCTTGGCGCCTGCGCCGCCGAACTCGAGGGCTTTGATTAGTTCGGGGAGGATCTTGTATTTGCAGAATTCGGTGGGGAAGGTGTCGAGGGACATGTCGATCTTCCTGGGGGGGTGAGGGTGCTGAGGTGAGCAAGGTCATCTCGGGTTCGGACCGAATCCATGCCCTGTGCCTTACTTCAGGAATTGGTCTTTCTCAAATGCATCCTTGATCGCAATCTGTTCCAGGAAAAGCGTCACGGATATGAAATCCTTGTCAAGATATCCCTGTTTCCATAACCCCTTCTCCAGGAAGTCGGCCATCGTCATTCGAGCCGTTGGGTCAGGCGACAGGAAAGATTTGAAGAGCGGGTACAGTTCCTGCATAGCGAGTGTCCGCGGTCAGATCCAAAGACCCCGCCTGCGAGTGACGCCAATTACCCAAAGACTCCCTCCGCCCATACCGATGGGATGTTCTCTTTTGCCCCCAGATCCTCCGGTCGCGAGAAGACACCATTGAAGATCTCATGCACCAGACATCCGAATGCCCATGAATCGACTGCATGTGGCGGAAGCCTGCAAAATCTCTGATCAGATCGCGTCAAACAACCCATTTCCGACATGGCGCGCTCCCTCACGTTCTGCAAGCGGACCACGAAGACCGCCTCACTTCGGGAGGCGCGTAACGATGCGAATCTGGCATATGGCCGCCGTACGATAGAAGGACGGGATTGTCCTCCTTCTCCAGGTTGCTCAGCAGATCTAGACCTCCGACCCTAACAAATGTCCAGTTGGTCAGCGATTGCCCCAACACCTTCCCGCGCGTCCAATCGTTTGAGCACGTACTTCCATTCTCCCGCTTTCGTCGTGAATATCGAGTCCACGCGCAAGTTGCCATGGATCATTTTGCAGTCGCCGTTCAGGAACTTCAATGCCCACTGCATTCGAAGCCGTCAGAGCCAAGACCAGAAGATCGTTCACACTGTTGCAGAAGGATGACGCGACAACATACGGCCACTTTATATAGTCCCCAAGCAATCAGATTGGGATTCAGCGATCTCAGCGGATTGTGCACATTCAGAGGTGTGACGTGCTCCGTCCCTATGATGATCTTCGTTTCTGTCTGCGGAAAGCTCCACACCGTGAGCGGAGTTTCGACTGCTGATAGCAGTTGCACGAATATTTGTACCTCCACCCCCTCGTACACTTTCAATAGGTCGGGATGCCGTATCGTCCGGCACTTCTTCAGCGCGTTCCTCGCTAGCGGCAGTTTATCCCTGTTCCTCTGAATGTCGAAGACGAACACACTGACGGGCGAGCGGTCATCCTGGGCGACAGACCATGGCCTGAGTCAAACGCAACTGACACCAATCGCAGAGCGCTGCAGGGAGTACCTTCTTGACACCGTCATGAATTGTCCACAGCGGGGCAAAGTGAACGGGCTCCCCGACTGAAAAGGGGAGAGCCGGCCCTTTCGACGTGAGCGCTCCTGATATAGCGGACTTTGCGAATTCGAACATTGTGAGGTTATCCACAGAAGATGATATCAGATCCTTGGGGCACCTTCTTCACTGGAAACAACGTTATGCAAGAGAACCCCAGCTTGAACAGCTGAACAGGGGCGGGGCAGAAGCGCTTGGGAGGAACAGCAGCCTGTGGGCGTGAGAATTGCACGTTGGGAAGACCTCTGGGAAGACCTGAATACGTTGACACATCAATTGACACGCGAAGTGCCAAGCCGGCGCCCCTTCATTCAATTCCCAGCCCTTTCCAGCCTCAAGCACTCCTCCCAAGCCTCGCATTTCCCACACAACGCACAGCCAGCGACCGCACAGAGCCTCGTTGTCCCCGTTGCTGGGCTCCGAACTTCATCCCACGTGGGAGGAAGCCACCATATAAAGGTACGGTCGGTGGCCCTCTTGAGCTCTTGCCCGCATTCCCAAACCCCATCTCCTTACCCTTGGAACTTCACAGACATCCCATCCTGGAAGTGAACATACATTCCCTCTTTTTCCGTCACTCTCGCAACATCGCGACGCTCATTCGGACTAAGCCTTTACCCCCTCGAACATCAATACACTAAAAGCGACTGGACAATGACCCTCCTGGATCATATAAAGAACTTGACCGTCAAGGAACCAGAAACGTCGCGTAAGCGCAAGCTGTACAAAACGAAATGCGTGATCGGAGAAGGCACCTTCGGCATCGTCAGGGTAAAGTGTACGCCGCCCACTTTGTTTCCCGCAGGGAGAGATCAGGGGCTCACTAAATTCTCCTCCACTGTGTCCAGGAAGCGACGTTCACACCCACAGGTCGGCAGGTAGCCCTCAAGTCAATACGAAAGAGGGGGCATGACTCTCCCGAGGAAGTTGCGGCCGCGGTGCATAGGGAGATGGCCGTGCTGCAGCAACTTCGCCATCCGAATATCATTGCGCTTTTGGACTGGTTTGAGACGAAGGAGAAGGTGTGTGCAGCTGGCAGGGTATTGGGAGAACCTCCCATGATTGCGGTGACTCTCATTGCCTTCTGGGTTACTGATGTCACACCACTTTTACAGTACTATCTCGTCTTCGAACTAGCAACCGGCGGCGAGCTCTACGACCGAATAGCCAAACGCGGCAAATTTACAGAACGGGATGCCGTGCGAATCATTTTCACGATACTACATGCGGTCCAATTCCTGCATGACAAAGGGATCGTCCATAGGGATCTGAAGCCGGAGAACCTGCTGTACAGGACGATGGACGAGGACGCTGACCTCGTGATTGCGGATTTTGGCGTCGCTAACTTTGTGAATGGGAACGAGTTGCTAAGTACCCTTTGTGGGAGTCCGATGTATGCTGGTAAGCGTGACGGGGCGGGACATGGATCTGGCGGGGTGATTCTCTGCTAATAATTATCCAACTTTTCAGCTCCCGAAGTCATCAAACGCGTCGGACATGGGAAGCCTGCAGATATCTGGAGCATAGGAGTCATTACATACTGTCTCTTAGCGGGGTATCCGCCGTTCGACTATGCCGAGGATATGGCGGACCTGCTGGATGCCATTACGCATGCAAAGTACGAGTTTGATACGCCGTATTGGAGCGCGATCTCAGAGCAAGGTAAGAAGGGATTTAAGACGGTCATGAATCTTTCAGGGGCCTGCTAACGTGACATCATCCGACCCCAGCTAAAGATTTCGTCCGAACTCTACTGAGGGTGAAACCAGAAGATCGACCTTCAGCGGAAAAGGTGGGTCCTACATCCATCCCGTCTCCTCTCAAGCTCACCTACTCACACCCTTTCTATCCAACCAGGCGATGATCCACCCTTGGCTCTGCCAACACTCCCAACGAGCCCGTGACGCCCGCGACGCACTAGCAGCCGGCAAACCCGTCCCTCCTACCGTCCAAATAATCGAACCCGCGAAAGAAAAGAAGGACGTTACAATAGCCGCATCCACCGCACCGCCACCAACCGCCTCCAAACTCCCACCACCCACCACCCGCGAAGAAGAAGAGCTCCCCAACCTCGTCGACCACGTATGGTCCGCCCACAGCAATAGTCTGTTCAACGCGCGGGGGAAGTTACTGTCGGTTTTCAAGACGGTGCAGGCGATGCGGAGGATGGAGCTGGAGAGCGCGAGGAAGGGGAGCGAGGATAGGTCAGCGACTTCGAGTTGTGAGTCGTTGCCGGCTACGCCGGTGGAGTGAGCGTCTGCCGTTCCACGAAGTCATTGTACCGGCGCTTTCGTCAATTCCCCACTCTGAAAGCTCCAACAGAGCTTGCATTTCTGACAATGCCCACAAATCCGATGCCGCATATCATCACCGCCACAGAGATGGGGATTGCAAAGCCGAGTGGCAAGGAGTAGTGCAGAACGATTTGTATATAGGTGTCGCGAGGAACTTCTATGAGAACGCGTGTACTATGGGTCGATGATGTACCCGAGTGCGCCAACTCCGGAATGGGGTTGCCTTCACTCGGCAGAGGCCCCAGAGCTTTGTGAATTAAATACATCTACTCGGCATTTGGAAGTACATGATGGTTCGATCCACATGCGTCCGTCCGTGCTTCATACGTCTACCAAATCACATCGCTGAGGACCGGGTTGACGCCTCCCATCGATAGCAATGCGATGATTTGGCATGAATGGGGAGATTGAGTGGGAGAACCCGCTCAACTAGGATCGAGTCGATGCCCAAGAATGTACACGGAAAGTCCAGCTGCGTTTTTGTTTTCACGACAGGAAATGTCCCCCGCGCCAGCTGATGAGTCTATGCAAATGCCTATCGGATGAATCGCCACAGAAGGGCCTTTCGTGCCTCTAGAGAATGCGATCTAGAGAATGCGACGACATGACACCCCCGTCAGTGTGTCTGCCCCATGTTTTCCACATCGCCCGAAAAATGTACGTCAAAGGGCGTACCGTGATGGCTGATACCCGCTACGTTAAATTAAGCTTTCCAATAAGATTCCGCACAATCTGGTCCGGCGACAACGCGCACTGGCGGTTATGCTCGTGCCACCATTTCTGCTGCTCCACGACGCCGAGGTAGTGCACGAACGCAGCGGCGACGACCAGGATGTGGAAGATTTGGTGGGAGTGGAACTACATGGGGAGAGAGGGGCGGGTTAGGTTTTGTGTGGGGCGTTCGGGAGGGGGGAGGGACGTACCCAGATGTCGAAGCGGCCTGGCCACCATCTGGGGAAGGTGGGGAAGACGAGTTTTTAGTGATGGACGCTACGCGGACGATCTGCGGGATCAGTGCGGACACATACCTTTCTGGCACCCGGGAGATGTAAACAACGGCCCCGATGAAGTATATTATCCCCGAAGATATCAGCGACCCGGATGATAACGCGTGTTTCGTCATATGTGACTAGTGGAGACGCGCACAGTGAGTGTTTTGCCCGGATGTGAGAGTGCAGCACACGGGGTTCCGGCATACATACCCCGTATTTGACAACCGCATGTACCAGCGGCGCGACTCCCGTGAATCCCATAGCGACAAAGAGACCCGTCCGCAGTAATCTGTACTTTGGGGCGAAGAATTTGGGGGATACGGTGATGCAGATCTACGAAAAAGACGGCTCATTTAGCACGGGATGTTGCCGTCTGAATGTTGTTCGTACGAGATTTCCAGGCGTACCGTTGTGATTCCGAAGATGACAATGATGGACAGATACACCGCTTGTAGGGAAGGGTTGCAGAAGAAGCCGTAGTAGATGCTTGGAACGAACGAGCCCCTGTATATGTCCGACAGAGATGTGAATCAGGATGCACTCGCCAAGTCTCGACATCACTCCCATACGAGGGCAAGCTCACATGATAAGCAGCACAATGCCGACATAATCCCCCCGCAACCAAATCGCAGCAACACCTCTCGAATGACAGCAACACAGATGGAACGTGGTCGACAAGCCCAAACACACGATCGCAGCCAAAAAGAACAGTCCCATGATAGTCTTATCCGCCCACGTGCTCGTCTCCACCGTCAACCACCCGTAGAAAACCTGTGCCAGGACGATGAACCCGGCCGCGCCAACGCCGTGTGAGAGGACGTTTCCGGTCTCGTTGTGGAGGTAGGATAGGGACTTTACGCAACCCAGATAGGAGTTTGTGATGCGGCGGTATCCGCGGAGGAGGTAGACGTTGTCCACATACCTATGAGCAGATGGTGATTAGACTGCGTTCAACAACGGACTACCGAGACACGAACGTACCAATCGGGGATATCCGTTATTGGCACAGTAAACCTATTTGGCTCTCCTTCCTTTGCCGGTAATGGCTTGTAGTCGTCCAGACTCGACAGTACGGCGCTCGGAGTTGTCGGCACCAGTGGCGGGTCTGCCGCCGTGGCGTTGTTTTTACCTTTACCTTTGGCTGCTGGTGGGTGCGTTGCGGAGTACTCGGCCTCGCCGATAGTGACGGAGCGTCGTCTGCGCGCGGCACCCAGGCGCTGCTCGTAGGAGGTGGAGGCACCGCCGTCTTCCCGTTCGTTCATGACGGCGGTGATGTGTGCTTGCGGGTTTTTTGGTTGGACCATCTTCAGAGTGCGAAATTAGTCGTAGTTTTCTTCACAAGCGACCAGGCTCTGTTATAACGAGGACTTCCTGGAGCTGGAGAGAACTCCGCGGGGCTTCCCTCGTCTTCTTCACGAGGCCTGTGAGCCGAAAGTCAGTTGGCCCGTGCAGAAATGCTCTGGGGGCGGACTTTGTGAAGTATTTGTCGAAAGTCTGGAGGCCATGCCCATGGGAAATGAAGGATGGTTATTACAGAGCGCGAAATGACGACTACTTATGAGTTACGTATTAGTCCTTACTGAGCTCATGTTAGGGCCACACCCGGATGAACGGCTTAATCTTGCGGATCCCTCGCCATTTCGACACTGCACGTGCTTCATTACCCCACACGCCCTGTCAATCGCTGTCACCAGCGCTCTTCCCCCCGATCGCCACAAACAACGTGGCTTGAAACGTGTCCCAGGGTCGGCTGGAACAAAGCGGCAGAAAACTTTTGGGAAGCAGTGGGACCTGAGCCAGGGACCTCATCCGTTGCTCGCCTACTTTGCCGCTCCATCGAAAACTTAACGCATTCATCAAAATGGCAACGGCCTCAAACAACGAAAGTCACTATTTTACGATCAAGGCTGCGGTGAAGCATGATGCTTTGAAAGCCATTGTCGAGAACGTTGTCGAGAAAGCCGTAGACGCGCGAATGGACAGGCTAGACAATGCCATGATCGCTCTCGCAGACAAGTAAAGAAAAGAAAAGATGCACTGAAACCCACTCATGCTGCACTCTTACCCACAACTCTTGGAAACAGTATGACCACTCTTGCAAACAATGTCACCGCGCTTACTACTGTCGCAAACATTCAACAGGAAGCCATCAAGACTCTCGCAATCACCCATGAAAAAGCCATCCAAACGCTTGAAACCCAGCAAGAGAAAGCCCTCGCGGCTTCCGCAGACGCTCAAAAGAATACCGTCACCGCTTCTGCAGAACATGCGGAGAACCTAGTGACCGCAATCACGACTGCGGCAACTGCTCAGGCGCAGGCTATTGCCAATCTTCGATGCACCCTACAGCAAGCAATCTACGATTCCGCAAGCATTCAGGCACTCTTGCAGGCCAGGGTCATCCCCTTCACAGCTCCTCGAGGACGCCTGAGAAACAGAGTCAGATCCCATCCGTACAAAAGAGAACCCTTCACTCCCTGTGCACTTCTTCGACCACAAGAAGAAACTCGAATGTGCCATGATCGATATGCCCAGAGGGATCGTTTCACGCCAAAGCCGATAGTTCCCACCAGGGCAGGGTCATACCGCGATAGTTGAAACGGTCAAGGGTATGGCGAAAAACCATCGCTAGTTTCCACATGTCAACTTTTTACACAAAGCCCATAATGATCTCTAGCGAAGTCTCTATGAACATTTGCTATGTACAGTACACGAATGCGCAAAAACGTGAGAGAGGGGAATCGAGATGCGTTTGAAGCACTCGCAAAACCACCCTGATGGAGTTCACACCCACTTCCAGGAAGCCGCCGACAAAGACACTATATACAACACTCGAAATGATGGGGGTACGGCTTCCCAAATCCAATACAAGAAAACAAACAACAATACGCCAGAGCCTCACAACATCCTCCTATCCGCCAACCCATAAGTAGGATAGTCAGAGTAATCAGTGTTCGCATACGGCCCGTGGCCCATATGGTACCCCTGATACGCCATAGCCGGAGGCTGCAGCGACGGCGCCAGGAACTGATGTCCGTAAGGCGACATCTGCGCATACGATCTTTCCCCGGGAATAGGCAACGACGCATCCGACGTGAACGATCTAGTAGTGTTAAGTCTCTCCAATGTTCCCTGCGGTGTCGTCTCATGTCCCCTCGCGGCGGCTTTATGCCCGCCAGCAAAGTTGAACACCGTGAACCGATTCCGCAGACGGTTTTTGAACTCTTCGGATTTACGGAGGCCTAGTTTGCGAAAGACGTAGATCCCGATGACTGCAAGGAGGAAGGTTAGGCCTGCGATGGAGAGGAGGGTGATGGAGGAGGTTGAGAGGGGTTTGCGGGTTTCTTGCGGTGCGCTTGTTGAGTTGGCGGCGGGGGAAGGGGTGGAGGTTGAGGTGGTGGGTTTGGATTTGTCGGCTAGCTCTGTTGCGCGGGGTCCGCCTGCTGCGCCGGACTTTGTAGCTGCGGAAACGGCTAAAGTTGGTGCTGCGTTGATGGCCCCCGGTGTCGTGGGAATCGCCGCTATTGGTTGAGTGGTGGGGGTTTGAGATGCTGCTGCTGGTATGGTAGGAGTTACGCTCTGCGAGGTGGGAACTGCCGGAGGTAGGGATGTAGATGCTGGTAGTGTGGGCGTCACAGGTGCATTGTCGGGCGTCTGGGTTGACGTTGCGCTGACTATGACGGCTGCTGCTGAGCTGATAACTGTGGGTGCAGATGAAGCGGTTGGAGTCTCAGATGTAATACGCTGCTCGGTTGGTTGTTGCTGCTGCTGTGCGATGGCCGTAGATGCTGCAGGAGCGGTTGTCGCAGCCGCAGCACTTGATGGAGCCCGCGCTGAATCTGGAGCAGCGGCGGTCGGCGTGGGCCCCTGTAATACAGTCCGTGCCCCATCCGTAACGGCTGGTGCAGCAGCCGAGGGGTTGACGGCAACCAGAGGCGAGACTACTGGAGGAAGAGCTATAGGCAGAGACGAGACGACTGCGCCGACGATGGGTGCGAGCTGTCGCCGTTTCGGTCGCATGTGTACGGATGGAGCCGCGAGACCCTCTGCTGCGAAGAGGAGCCCATTGAGAAGCAGCAATGGGACCGACGAGCACTTCATGCTCTGTCGCGCTTGACTTTCCAGAAATACGGATGAGTGAGTAAGTTTCTTCGATTGAGGCTTTACGGAGAGCAGGAGTAACTTCTTGACGGAAAGTCGGCGGTTGAGGCGGGAACTTTTGGTGAAGGCTTTCAAGATGCGTTGAGACTGATGAATATACCGGATGAAGGTTTGGCAGAACTTTCGTTTAGCTTCAGAATCTGGACATTACTGAGCAGCTCGCCGTTACTTCTCAAGGAGTCGAATGGCAACCAGCGCATGAAGCAGCGCATGGGAGGTTTTTTTTACTACCCAGGTGTGGGAAAACGAGAGTTGATCTTGATCTTCAAAAGAGTTGAAAAGAAACGAAAGCTCAGCACACAGTGGTGGACTCCTGGCGGATATGATTGATCTCGCCGGGCGGTGGGAAAATGGACACCGCTCTTGAACTTGCTGAACAATGAAGTCATTGCGGCCTGGGTGTTTTGGAGCGGGTCGCTGTTACGCGCGGGAGTTTTGGCTTCAATAACGGATGCGGTTACTTATGAGAAAAGGCCACAGTCCGTCAGGGGCGACGGGGGAAAGATTGATGAACTGACAGGGCAGCCCTGCGAAAAGGCCCATGTTGACGCGTCTCGCTTGTTTCATCAAAGTCTCTCGGACGCGGCGGAACGCGCAGCAGGCTTTTGAACTTTGGAACTTTCCGCGCGCTTCATGGCACCAGCGGTGGTCGAGACTCCAGTTCCATACCTGCATCCAGTCTGGCAAGGGGTTTGCATACTGTACATGCAGGAGTATGTATATGTACGCATGCCTCACGATTCATCAAGGGTGATAGAGTCAGTCATTCGACCGAGGCAGCGCAAAGTGCGACGAAAAAACTGTAGGCAGAAACCCAATGAATCAATTAGCATTACTCGATAGGTGTGATGCAGCGGGGTACTAATAGTAGTGTCACACCCAACACTACGTAGGATTAGAATGCAGTGCATGTATAGAAAAGAAAGTCCAAGAAATCAGAGCAAAGAAAAAAGAATGTCCCCAACCCAGCATAGTGTCCTCATCTGACAGCATCAATGTCTTTCACCCCAACACCAGCGCAACTCCTCCAAGCACCAATATCGCAGTGATGATCGCCGCTGGCGTCCTAAAAAAAGACCCTGCAGCGGCGGATTCCGTAGAGTTTCCCTTTGCAGGCTGGTCCGCAGGCTGAGAGGGGTCACCACCGGCCGTGCCCGTCGTCGGCGGCGTACTTCCAGGGTTGATCGACGTAGTACTCGGCACCCCATTGGTAACAACCGCACCGAGACCAGGCGTGCTGAGTTCCACCATGCACGGGTCACAGGTATGGTAACAATCGCCCTTGGTGTATTTTGGTTGACGGGTTGCAGCGGACGCGTTCGGGTGGCTCCAGCCGAGATCGAGGTTGCAGTCTGAGGCGTTTTTGAACTTTGAAGGGCCGTAGAAGTCGATCAGGCCTGCTAGCGCGCCGGTGAAGGCGGCGTTGTAGTCTTGCGTGACTTCGGTGAACGTGTAGTCGGCGCGATTGTCCACATATTCGTCGGTTTCCCAGGGGCCGCCTTCGAGCGCACCGTACAGAATGAACCGGTTGGGCGGTGCTGTCGCACTGAGGAAATCGGAGCCTACATTTCCTTGCGGTTGTCCGCGCTAGAGATAGGGCAAGTTGAGGCGTCAGTGCTGTCAGAGGGTACGACCTTGCGTTCTTCCTATCTACTTACCATAGGGTAATCGATGAATGAGTTGTAACTCGACTTGTGGTAGGGTGACTTGGGAAAGTTCGTGCCAAACCCAACCAGCCACGACCGACCGGTGTCGCCCAGAATGTAGTTGATCTGCTGAACCGCGAAAGTTCGTAGCTGTGTGGCAAACGTGGGGTCGGTGGGCGCGCCCGGGGATCCTTTAGCGTGAACTAGCCCCAAAAACCCTAGATTCGCCGCGTAACTCAAGCTTCCCCAAATCACTGTGTTTGCTAAAGGAAGAAGGGGTCAACTCAGGGATTTCCGGGAGTATACATGTAGTAAGCTGGTTGCTAACCTTTGGGTTCGTTCCACACCAGTCCACGAGGGGTGCGCTTGACGCTACCTCCCGGAAGATACGATCTGAAGGTGGTGGTGATTTGAGTCTGCAGGGCGGCGCTGGGGGCAATCCTGTTGAGCAAGATGTACACGGCAATCCCCTTGTCGCCCCATGAGTACTCTGAAAATGCATCGATCTTCGCAGCCGAGGCTGTGGCAGCATCAAGGTAGGCCTTCTCCTTCGTCGCCGTGTATAACCAGGTGGCAGCCAAAGCCAATTCGTCGTCCGCGGTAGCAGCCCCGTACCAATCTTGATAGTTTTTCCACGCTTGTTCGGGGAACTTTGTGGCATCGCTATAAGTTCCAACGTACTTTGTCCCAAAGCTGTAGATCGACCGAGCAGCGGCCAAGCAGCGGTCTGCAAACGGGGCGTCGTACGGACGCAGGACCAAGGAACTGAGAGCGAGAGCTGCCGCGTAGTCACCGGCGATACCCGAGCAGCCTTTGTTGACCGTCGGCGATCCCTCACAGTAGTACACTCCGGGAGGCTGGCCACCAGGAACCCACTGCTGATACTCCTCAGGTGGTCCAAAATACCCAAAGTCCACATCGACTATTTTCCCGTTCTCAACACGAGCAGAGTCACCAATCAGCCCAATCAACCTCTCAGTCGTTCCGTCCGTCGTGTAGAGACCAACGAGCTGCTCGGCACCGACCCTGACCCACGCGAGCGCCTCGTTCAATTCGTTGGTCTGCTTCATCGCGTCGCCGAACTCGTAGACGTTCCAAGCTAGCTGCATAGCCGTGAATGCGAAAGGGCCTCCCCACTTCATCGTGTTGGCCGCCTCGAACCATCCACCGCTAATATCTTCCCCATGGGGGCCCTTCAAGCCAATAAAGGAGTCCCCACGCCACGCGAGACGCTGGTAAGGCAGCTTGCCCGAGCGCTGGGCCCAGTAAAATAGGAAACTCTTGTGAAGCGCATCAACGTAGTCGTACTTTGGTTCGGGAGGTGCCGTGTAAGTCGCCGAATTGACGGGGCCTGCAGGAGGAGTGACCATAACAGCCGGCCTTTTCCCGGCCGCGGGGTCTCCGACATTGCCTTGGGCTTGAATGGAGGCGGGCCCGAATGACAGCGCTGCGAGGACAGCTCCGGCGAGCCATGCCGAGCGTCGTGGGAAGACTGAGAATGAGACCATCGCGTTTCGCCGAACTTATACCCAGACTATACTCAGACAATGCAATGAAGACTGGCCGGTCAGAAGAATAGAAGGCAGGCGGCTTGGCACCTCAGACAACGCACTGACGAACTAGCTGGTCAGAGGGATAGGAGGCAAGCAGGAGCCCCACCCGAAGCAGGCCTTTATATACGTAATGTGGCGCCGCGGACAGTTCCCACCCCTTAAAACCTTATGGTTGTGAGCGTCTGTTTGCCAATGGCACCTTTTGCGGGGATGCCTATTCGAGTTAGTATAGCGCCAACCGTCAATTCCAGGCGTGCGTCACGCTTCCAGTGCTCCGGTGGAAAACGCAACAATCCCAATGGCTCGGACTCCGGTACTTCTTATTGAGTACGTCAGATCGTATGGAACACCACAGTGGTGCAAAGGAGCTCAGAGAGAACAATTGGGCTTCCATTTTCCTGTCAAGTTCTGTCAGAACACGCCATACGCATCTTCCGATCTTCCCGTGTATTATTCAGCAAGCCTCCCCCTTCCTCGGAAATATTGCGTGTCGGGAACCGTTCACGCGTGGGCCAAGCGCCATTTGCCATGCATCCCTGAACTCCAGGTCACTGCAATCTCTAATAAAATGCAGCCTTGTCCGATGTCCGAGTGTCATGATGAGGGATGGATGAACTAAACCCTCCCGCGACATAATTTGTGGAGGTCAAGTTCGTATAAAGCGGAAGGGCAAAGGGCTTCGCGCTTCGGGGTTGAAAGCTTCTGCCTTGACGCGTTCGCACATCACCCCACACTGTCCACTTGCTAGTCCATTGCAGACCAGGTCATATTTCAGACAAGATAGCCAGCCGTCAGACTCGGACAAAAGTTCAGCGCCGCCGAAAAAATGGCACAGTCAAGAAACGTTGATACCGACGAGAGAGCGCGCGAGGATGAGCCTTTGCTCCCGACCGCCCATCGCGCCCGAGCGCCGTCGCATCCATCTAATGTGAATAAGACGATCGACTTGCAGCTGGATAAGCAGATCCATCTGGAGTTCGGCGGGCCTATTGGTGAGCCTCGGAGTTACATAGCTGTTGAGGGGTTTAGTGGAGTCCATCAGTGACATCTGGCGGCACTGACGCGGCCTTCCTCTCGCAGGCGTCACGATAATGATGATCTTCTTCCCCTCGCTGATGTATTATTTCTGGATCTGCATCGAGTTCAATAACGGCCACCTGGCCCATCCCGCCAGTCTCGACACGATAGGAGAGTGGTCTCTCCAGCAATGGGATCTACTGGTGAAGCATGCCGCTCCCAACGTGTTTGCTGTCACATCGTACACTATCTTCATCTTTTTCCAATTCGCTTTGGCGGCTTTCATGCCGGGACCGGTTGTAAAAGGACTTCCGGTTCCGAGTTTGGGATTCAAGCAATTGGAATATTTATGTAATGGGCTGTCGAGTTGGTATGCGACCATTGTCGCCAGGTATGGACAGAATTGGGCGGATATTCGAAATCATGACGGACTGCGATGGAGAAGAGTCTCACTCATCTATGCAAAACTCCCCCAGTGTGATCATGCATTACACCGGTCTAATGCCCATCTCCCGCATCATCGACAATTTCGGCCCTCTCATGACCGTGTCTATGATCTTCGGTTTTGGCGTCACAATCGCCACCTACCTCTACGGCGTGCTCTGCAACAAATCCCACCGCATGTCCGGCTACGTGATGTACGACATTTTCATGGGTGCGGTGCTCAACCCGCGCATTGGGATCGTTGATTTGAAGATCTGGGCGGAGATTCGCATCCCTTGGGTGTTGTTGTTTTACATCACCGTGTCGGCTGCTTTCAAGGAGTGGGAGGTGACCGGAGCGGTCAGGCCTGAGGTTTTGTTTATGGTGTTGGCACACGCGTTGTATGTCAATGCTTGTATGAAGGGCGAGGAGTGCATTCCGACCACTTGGGATATCTTTTACGAGAAGTATGTTGAGGCGGCGTTTGCGTTTGTGTGTTCACCATTTGTCTTACAACTGCCTTCTTTTTCCCCTCAGATGGGGTTTCATGCTGATTTTCTGGAACTTTGTGAGTGCTGCGTGTGGACGATTGGACTGGAAACTCCCTTTCGAATGCTAACGTCCAAACCTCTCCTCTAGTCCGGCGTCCCCTTCACCTACTGCTATTCCTCCCTGTATCTCCTCAAAACCGAAACCGGCCGCTCCATCAACCACCACCCCGTCTTCCTCGTCTTCGAGTACGCCTTGCTAATCCTCGCCTACTACGTGTGGGACACCGCCAACTCGCAGAAGAACCGCTTCCGCATGTCACAGTCCGGCACCTACATCCCCCGCAAAGCCTTCCCCCAACTCCCCTGGGGCACCATCGTCGACCCGACCTACATCACCACCCAGCACGGCAGCCAGCTCCTCACGTCCGGATGGTGGGGCGTCGCGCGCAAAATACATTATACGGCCGATCTGTCCATGGCCCTCAGCTGGGGTCTCATCTGCGGTTTCGATTCGTGGATCCCGTACTTCTATGTCGTTTTCTTTACGTGCGTCCTCGTTCACCGTGTCAGTCGAGACATGGAGCGCTGCAAGCAGAAGTATGGCGCGGATTGGGACGCGTACTGCGAGAAGGTGCCCTATATCTTCATACCATACGTCTATTAGAAAGATCGGAAGTCTTACTTCACGGATTCAATCCATGTCTTGTTGCGTTTTGGGATTAATAAATAAGATATAATTGCCGCCTTTTCGCCATTCCAGACCACGTTTCGCACTCTGAGATATCGCTATGGGGCCTATGCACACTGCTTAGTGGTTTGAGGCGGCGAATAGGCTATGTATCATACTCGTGCCCGTCGTAAACTGCAGACCCAGATTTATTCCGACAGCGAGGAAAACGACTGCGACCATCGCCAGAATTCCTACTGGGTCTTCGAACACGTTCCCTCGTTCTAGAAGATGGAGGTTTAGTAACGTTGCTGTTGAATCGTATCCAGCATCCCTGACACCCACCTTTTTTCGTCAACCTTTCCGCCCGAATCCAGAACTGCGCCAGTGAGTAGAACATCAAGATGACGCTAATCAATCCGAACGCTGCCGCTGCAGTTTGTGCCACTCTGTCGCCAAAGTTCAACAAGGCCATGCTCAAACCGCCCAGAATAACGCACACTGTCAAGAGGAGAACATACAACAAGCAGCATTAGTTCATGTGCTGAAAGGGTCCCCAGATATCTCGTGCGATATAACCCACTCTCCGCCCTCGGCCACGATTTCGAAACGTACAGTTCATCCAGTGCAAGAATGTCCTCTCATTCGCAAAGAACAGCTTAGGGTTAGGCGGAATCGGCGCACCGACAGCAACAGGGTCCTGACGCTGCGACCTCCGCCCCCGAAGAGACCCCGGGCTCCAGTCTTTCAGGAAAGAGAAGAAGCCCTTGTTTCCATACACTGGGGTGTCCTCTTCGCTATCGGGGTTTTCATCCTTTTCGACGATATTGCTGGGCGTTTCTGTTACGGATCGAACGTCGGGCATGTTGGGTTGACTCTGTTACGAATGCAAGGAGAGATAGTGGAGCGTAATACTCTATGCTGATGCCAAGCAAGTGATGGAGTGCCACGCCGAACTGCCAGATGTCGAAGAGCGTTGTGGAGCTGGTCACAGTCTCACAGAGGGCTTGGATTTTCTCAGGCCGAAATTTCGAAGTCCAGACACTGCATTTCCCATCGTCTGCACCGTCATCGATCGAGAGTCGATCCAGTCACCGCTGGGAATCCCTGCACGTGGAAGAGTGATTTATCTGTGTTTAGCATTGACATGTGGCGCGGATGTGGCTTGTCCTCAGCTGTAACTCCGCTCCAACACCCGGCCTAAAACTCCGCTCTTTGAGAACTGATGGAAATTCCTCTTCTCTGTTTTCTACAACGCTGCCGAGCTTCTCAGCACTTTGGAGTTTGGCAGCACATCGCACGCTGGTCCCCATTCGGGACCAGCTGCATCAGCAATATGGACGCTGTTCCCCACTCCGGAACAGCTCACCGAGAGCAACACGCCGTTCCCACTCGGGACGGCTACACACGCCGTTCCGATCTGGGAATGGCTCAACGAGCTACCTACGAATTGAGCCCCGCCGTTCCAACTCGGGACGGCTCAAAGAGCCGCAAACTACGCCGCTTCTAATTTGGGACCGGCTCATACGAGCTGCAAATGGCTCGAGGGGCTGCATAGGCCGTTCCCAGCCGTTTGCTGTTCCCGAGACCGCGAGGCCTGTGCTGTCATGTCTCCTAGGTTTTACCGACTCGAGCCCTGCCACTGGAGTTAGTGTGGAGTCTATCGGTCATGTTACAGTACTACCACCGTGGAGGAATGACCTGCTCAAGGATTCCGCGCCCCAGTTCTAGCGGTTTTCAAAGCCAGGGTATTATGCCTCTCATAGACACCATGAAGGCGTTCGGCCGACAGTTCCTGGACTCGCGCATCCTCTCCAAACCCGACCCCAAAGAATGTCATCCCATCCAGCACCTACTTTTGCTGCTTGCGCTCCGCGATACTGACTGCCGCAAAGATGTAGGACGCTGGATCGTAGGTCGATCTGAGCATACTCGACGCACCGCTGCAGACGCTGAGGAGATTGAAGATCTGAACGGTGTTGATCTTTGGGTCTTCATCAAGCCGGTGAAGAACATGACATTGGGCGAGCGAGCTGCTCTCTGGACATCGTTCTCCGCTATTTTGCGCGGGCACTTCACTGGCGCATAGCGGGACAATGGGCAAGCAGCATCGTCACCGTAACGTCGTTCAATGATCACTGTGGGTGTCCAGTGACGGTTCCCACTTGCTGGCCCAGATTGGAGCCCTCTTGACTTTTAGAGCTCAGACTTTCGGGAGCGTCGTGTTGGGACTGAATCGTGAAGGTCGGTGGCGAGGCTCAACAGTGGAGGCTCGCAGTGGAGGCAGTAGGGGCAGCGGGGCAAGGTGACCATTAATGAGAACATCGATGGAAAGCGTGAAGAGCATGATATGATGAAGTTTGTCAAGAACTCCACCCCAGATCGGGCTGGTGCAAGGTTGGAACTGGTGCTGAATGATGTGCGCGTGAAGGTGAAAGAGGTCAGTAAGAAGACGGGGGATAAAAACGGCACGAAGAAGTCGAAGGATTCAAACCACGGCAACGACGAAGCTAACAACGAAGTCAATAACAACAGCGAAGCCAACAACGAAGGCGATGCCAAGGGCAATCGAAGTTACAAAGTGTCCAACATAAGCGACCAAGGATGAGAAGGCTGCCATAGCCTTCATTTCATCCCAAAAAGCTGCCGAAGAGGCGGAGAGAGGGAGAATGTCGGGAGAGCGCGGAATGGGGTGTGGTAGCATTCAAGCTGTTTAAGCTTGTGTTCAAGGCGGTGGCCACCGGGCCTAGTCCCGTAGGGCAAATACCCAAGGACCACGCAGATTCAGCCAAAAAGGCGAAGGTAATGGACAACAAGTGTGCAAATGACAGCAGCGACGCCATTAACAACGCCGACGCCATCGATCTCCGCGCCAAACGCCGGCAAGAGCTAAGAGACTCGCATTTTTGATACAAGCCGTTGTGTGGTCGCTACACCCAAATAAAATAGTGGAAGGCAGGAGGAAGGGCAAGACCAAACCCGCAAATTCCCACGCACAATGACAGCTAAGCGCCAAACTGCACATAAAATGTGTTCCCTCTCTTGATGCGCTGAGGATCTCCGTGGCGGTTCATCGTGGGCTGCCCTTTTCTGGTACATTGGCTCGCGCTCTCGATGTTGGCAATACGATGCGTCGTAACTTACAGATACCTCGACTTTCTTATGAAAGGTTGGCGAGCTCGACAATGGAACACTTTATTCAACGACTGACTTTTCAACCGCCTTCCACTTCCATTTGTCGAGGATATCGCCCCTCGATGCAGGGTGAATCTCACTTAACGCCAGTGATGTAAGTCTGACGGCGAAGATAACGAAGACGGGGATGAGACGGCAGACGTCGGATGGAAAGATAGCCTCCGCCAGCATGCGATGAAAGGGAATTTGCAGATCTTCAGTGCATCCACGCCCACGTATCGGGAAGCTAAAGGGAAAAATGCGCATTCGGGTCTTCGAGTGCTCCTCAGCTGAATCTCGCAACACAGTGGATCGGGGCGAGAGTGCTTGCCGTGATATCTTCCTCTTTGCGATGATGATGGCCATGGTCTGGGTGTTGATGCCTGACACATCTGGTACAAGTCTCAGGAACCTAGAGATTTCTCTAGATTTACCCTAGTTACCTCGTGCTTGCGGGCGGCAGGGACGGGGATGGAACTGAGACGGCGTAATGCAGCGTGGGAAATACCGGCGTATTGAATGGGTCGGGTGTAGCTTCGTGCTCGCAAATACAATACAAAATTGAAAGCCAGCATAGTATATACACTGTGCAGCCGTTGTGCAAAACGTTGGACGGCAGGTATTCAAACCTACTAGTCTTAACAGGTCTGATATCAGGTCCCATGCCCGGCCGGTTGAGGGGAGACATACATGAGGCAGCTCCTCCGGCGATGCCTATACACGTACATGCCCTCTGTACATAGGTGCATACAGTATGCAGAGGCGACGAGGGCGGACGCTGCAAGATGCCCATGTTCCGTGGAAGAGGCTCGCGTGTTGGGGCTGTCATGTCCGTGCGATCAATCGAGCGGCAGACGAACGGCGCGTTCAGAATTCACAACCCAACGCAACTCCAGAGACCCCAGCTTTTGACATTAAGCCCTTTCCGTCGTTCTTTCTGGCCTCCTGGAGCCCGCGCCAAACTCGTTACCTAGTCCCGCTCTAAAGCATAGCTGGAACGAACCGCTAGTGTCCGCAAAGTCTCGCTTTCCGGAGTTTCTGTCAGAAAATAGCTCAATATGGTGTGCACATCTTGAGGACCCATCTTGAGCATCTTTGTTCACATTCCTTCTGACCTTCGTATTCCACGTAGTCTATGCGCGGTCTGACGGTGTTCATAGCTGACCTTCGAAACTGTATGGAACTCTGCGGTTTTTGTTTGAGTCTGCGTAGAGATGTGGTTTCAGTCCACTTCGTCGTTGCCCACTATGTTTCTCATTGGCTCACTGTTGCCATTTACGTTCGAACCCAGGCCGGGCACGGGAACTGGAGGAGAAGAGAGTCAACAAGGAGCTGGCGAATATTCGGTCCAAATTTAAAGGTAGCTTGACTGCCCCCATTACGCACACGTCGAACGGACCGAAGGCGACGAATTCTACTTTCTTGCTGTTGACAATCCTTTAACCCCAATCCGACACATAGATCCAGCTCTCAGTGGACGGCAAAAGAAGAAATATGTCTGCAAGCTGCTGTATATGTACATCTTGGGCTGGGATGTCGATTTTGGGCACATGGAAGCTGTCAACCTGCTGTCATCGCCAAAGTACTCCGAGAAACAAATAGTATGGCATCGCAGCACTGTATTGGATTTCGAAACGATGTTAGGCGTTCTAAACCTCAGTTTTCAGGGATATCTTGCCGTAACGTTGATGATCACGGAAACGAACGAACTTGTCCGCTTAGTTGTGAACTCGATGCGGAAGGACCTGGACGATCATGTCGAATTGCACCAATGTTTAGCTTTGCAGGCCATCGCAAATATAGCTGCCAGGGAGATGGCGGAAGGGTTAGCAAACGACGTAATGCGTCTTTTGACAGTAGCGTGAGTGTCGTTCGCTTTCATGACGGTACTGCATCGACCGGGGAGCGCTGACTCGTAATGTTTGGAAAAGGCACACGAAGAGTTTTGTGAAGAAGAAGGCAGCTCTTTGCCTGTTACGCTTGTTCCGGAAGCATCCGGATTTGATTCCTGCGAAGGAATGGGCAGAGAAGATTTTGATAACGATGGAGGAGAATGACATGGTAATTTTTTGCGCATACAACACAACGAATATCGACAGCGATAGATGTGGAAGAGGACTTCTGATCGATTATGATTTTCAGGGAGTGCTATTGTCACTCAGTAGCTTGGTTCTGGCTATTGCTCAGTCATATCCAGAAGCAATTTCTGGATGCGTGCCTAGAGCGATCAATCGGATGCATAAGGTGTGAATTCATTGTGCGCTTCAAAATTGTCGCTCAAAAAACTGACAAGATTTGCAGGTTGTCATCGAGAGGCAGTACAGTCCGGACTATGTGTATTACAAAGTTCCAGTGCCGTGGTTGCAAGTCAAACTTTTGCGGCTGCTGCAATACTACCCTCCGCCAGGTTTGTTTGACATCGCTCTCCGCATCGTGACCCTCAACCTGACGCTCCCCTTTCACTGTTTTGATCATCCAGACGACACCGCCTTGCGAAACAAGCTTCTGAATGTTTTGCAGACCATCATAAAGAACTCGCAAGACATCCCAAAGAATGTGCAACACAACAACGCGCAGAACGCCGTGCTCTTCGAAGCCATCAATGTTGCCATTCACATCAACCCGGAATCAGACTTGGTCGTTCAGGCCTCGGCGCTTCTTGGCCGCTTCATCTCGTCCAAAGAAACCAATATTCGGTACCTCGGTCTCGAAACAATGGCGCATTTAGCAGGATTTGCGGAAACGGTCCACACAGCAAAGAAACACCAAGAGACGATCATTCAATCTCTGAAGGATAAAGACATTAGTGTCAGGAGGAGAGCTCTCGATTTGCTGTACAGCATGTGCGACACCAGCAACGCACGTGTCATCGTAACGGAACTGCTGCAGTTCTTGTCAGTTGCAGACTATGCAATGCGTGAAGAGCTGGTGCTGAAGATTGCCATCCTGACGGAGAAGTTCACTACCGACTACAATTGGTATGTGGACGTCAATCTACAGCTCATCACCCTCGCTGGAGACAATGTCAGCGATGAAGTATGGTACCGGGTCGTGCAAATCGTCACAAACAACGAAGATCTGCAAGAGTATGCTGTGCGGACCTGTCTGAATGCTCTGAAATCGCCGACGTGTCACGAGACAGCTTTGAAAGTTGGAGGGTACATCCTGGGAGAGTTCGGCCATCTCATTGCCAATTCACCTGGTGGCACCCCGATGGAGCAATTCATGGCACTGCACTCCAAATTTAGCATGTGCTCAGTAGGCACTCGTGCTATGCTGCTCTCGACGTATCTCAAATTCATCAACGTCTTCCCGGAGATCAAAGAGCAGATTATTGGCGTCTTCAAGCAATATCGGTTCGTATTGGATGTGGAGCTCCAGCAACGAGCGTGCGAGTACCTTGCCATTGCCACACTTCCAACCGACGACTTGCTACAAGTAGCGTGCGAGGAAATGCCGGCCTTCCCGGAACGGGAGTCTGCTTTACTGAGCAGGCTGCATAAGAAGACGCAAGATACGGAAGATAGAAGAACATGGCAGATTGGGGGATTGGACGCGAATAAGGATCAACTGGCTGTGAAGAAGGACAACCGCAGACGGTCAGCTGTTGAAGCTGGTCACGTCACTGCACCAGCTGCGACTACCACGCAGCCAACCAACGTCATGGGCGAGCTGCTGAATCTTGGCGGAAGTGCCACAGAAGCCTCAAACATGCAACACCAGCGAAACGAACCGGTCGGCGTGAGTCAGGACCGCTTCATCCACTTGACCCAAGAAGCCAGTGGTGTCCTGTACGAGGACTCGAATATCCAAATTGGACTCAAGACAGAGTATCACGGCGCTTTGGGTCGTGTCGCCGTCTTCTTTGGTAACAAGTCTATGGCTACAATATCCGATTTGAACACGGAGTTGAAGGGTGGAGATGGAGTGCGAGTGTCGTTGTCTCAGCCCATTGCGAGCGTTATACCGCCAGCGACCCAACTGCATCAGGTATGCGTGATTAGTCGAACTAGTAGCCAGCTAACGAGCAACAACTAACGTTTCCCATTTCAGATGTATAATGTCGAATGTGTATCACCAGCCGGCCTCTCAGCCCACCTCCGCGTGACATACAACCTCACACCGTCCAACGCCTTCAACAACGCCCATCACGCAGCCCTCGACCTGCGTCTGCCGATCGTACCCACCAAATTCCTCACACCAGTCCAACTCCCGCGCCAAGACTTCATCACCCGATGGCAACAGATTGGAACCACACGCGAGCAGCAGCATATATCGCGCACGTCGGCGTCGAATGAAACGGTCAGGAAAGTGATCGGAGAGGCGCTGGGATTCGCGATCCTCGATGAGTTTGATAACGCGCAGCAAGCGCAAGGGACCGATGCGGTTGTTGCGGCTGCGGTATTCAATGCCGCCGATATGAAGGTTGGGTGCTTGTTGAGGGTGGAGACTAATGAAACGCAGAAGGTAGACGTTCGTTGGTATGACATTGTTTTGATTTGTACTATGCTGACTTGATTCGTTCTCCAATATTTACAGATGTTCCGGATAACATTACGGACGACGAACGAGGTCGTTTCTGAAGAGCTCGCAACTCAGTTGAAGGAAGTGTTCGAGTCCTTGTAATTGTAATTGGAAGTTGGAGGGGCTAGTTATGGGCGGAGGGGCTCGCTCCTCCTTTCGATTCGATCTGTACAGACCCTGCAGATCCGAGCTAGGCCTTTCATCTTGTAGACGGAAATACAATTTTGTTGCATGCACACCGGCTCGAACCCCACAACGCGTACGATCAGCAACGCAGGCATCACGATCACGGAACCATGTGAACTTCAGACTGAGTGGGCGTTTGCGCAAGGCATCCGTGGTTACGGTGCAACCGATTAGGCCTACCCCACCTTCATATGTATGATATCCACTTTTGCCCGGTGATAAGATACTCCATCTATGGCTTGTGGACGGTTGGGGCGTTGACAACGGACGGAGTACTATTCAGTGCGGGGCATTAGAACAAGAGGACTTTACACTAAAAAGGACTTCCTTCTATACTGCATCAAGGCAAATACTGCAGGCGCTATGCAGAGATGAGGGCTTTGAATATGTCCCCGGTGCACTTATTCCCAGTGCATGCTCAACCCTCTAAAGTAAATAGTCTGATCCTTCGGAGTAGCCCAACTCGCATCCGCGCCGCCAAAGAAGCTCTCAAAAACGATCCCCTCAAACTTAATATCCTCCGCATCCCTCCAAACAATCTTATCAAAGTCAATGACTTCCTGCCCGTTGCTGAACACCTGCACACGGCCGTCGGCCTTCCCGGGCGTGTTCAGCGTGATCCGTTGCACGACGGATTGCCAGGATCCGGCCTTGAATGAGAAGGCACCGCGGCCGATGGAGTTGCCGTAGGCGCCGTTGCAGGTGCTGAGCGGCGGTACTTCGCAGAAGGCGTCTACTTGGTCAGCTGAGTTGACGTAGACGTATATTTCGCCTACGCCGCCTTTGCGCCACTGGTACAGGAAAGCAGAGAGCGGTGATCAATAAAGGGAATCTGAAGATCAAGATGGTCGGTTCAGCTTTGAAATCATGGCACCCACGTAGTATCTCGTTGAGAAGCAGTCATTATGGTTGTCTCCGCCATAGCATGCTGTGCGGCCACCTGTGTGGGAACAGCAATGCTTAGGGCAATCGTTCTTCTTTCTGAGCTCTGAGCAATGCGCTGCTGAACAAGTGTTCATACCATAGATCCCTGGTAACCTTCCGCCTTTGACAAACTCGAAGCCCAGTGGGAAGTACACTTGGTACTCCAGCGAGAGTACGGTGGCTGTAGACACGTCGGCTGGCTTGGCGTAAAACTGTCGTTGGTAGATGTAGCTATCAGCTTCCAAAGGAAGTTTCAAACCAGCTTGCAAAGTTTCGAGACTCTTACCCGTGTGCCCCCGGAGATAGATCCTGCTGGGTTGTAACTGCCCATTGGGTATCTGGCGCAGGACGAACAATCATCAGTGGTTCATCCGAGACTTGTAGCGACAACAAGTTGCCAGACGGAAACGACGACTCACGAGACTTTCAAGACCTGCTTTCCTCCGCCGGACGGATCCGGTACCACAGCGCGATTATCTTGTCCATATCCTTCCTGCACGATGTTCAACGACTTGAGCCCATCCTTGAGATCTGGCAATTCCCATGCTTGGTTCTGAGGAGTGGCGGCCGATGATGCAGACCCAGGCGATGTTGATGCTCTGCCAATGTCGCAATAGCCTCCAGTGCAGGACTCGGATAGACAGTCGGCCGCGGACCGACAAGGGAACCCAAATGGACATGCGTGGTGGCAGCCGGCACCACATCCTAGCTCTATGGTTTGACGGGAAGTTGATCAATTCGACGTTCCATTGCGCCTGTAGCCACTAGATGCAAGGTCCTCATACCTGTGTCACACACCGCCCTCGTCGTAAGACCATGTACCACCCCCACGAACACCGCTATACGGAAGAGACGCCACACTGTTAGTGGTTGCAGAAAGCTTCGAACCTCCACTCTGCCTACCTGAAAACACTAAGAGAATCGCTAAGAGTTTCATTCTATTGGCTATTAATATGGACGGAGGGATGCTATTCTGACAGTTTAAGCTATGGTGCAAGAAAGTGAAGCAATGCGTCCAAGGTGCAATTGCGGGCTTTTCTCAGGTAAGGGCGCCTTGCATAGGCCGCAACATCGGAACGCTGACCGGAGGGAACTTATTCGAAAGAAGCCGCAGTGAAGCACTTTGTGGGTCGTTAACACAAGTTTAAGTGAGATTGATGCGCGTGTATCTATCACCCCCTCCAGGCGGAAAACTTCCCGATGGTGACGGGTGCTGTCAATCGAAAAGTATTTCGACAGCGCGTAGCTAGCCATGACCCAAGTCTGCGCACCTCTTCGCTCCCAACCAATTTTCATGTTCAAATCCATCGAAAATATACCCCCGGGTCTCGACGCAAAGTAGGCACTGCGCAAGCTACCCAGAACCTCTAGATCGATCTCCGCATATATACACTTCCACCCACAACATGGACCTCGACGACCGCCTCCTGCGCGCAATCTCCGACTTTGCCGGCAACGAGTCAAACCTCGAGCCTGGTGACCGCCGCCACCCCGACTCCGACCCGGACTCGGCAGACGAGGATCAAGCGCACAACCATAAAGACGACAACGACGACGATTACAATGACTCAGACGACTCGGACTCCGAAGGGTTACCGCCAATGCCGCCGGGTCTCGCCCGTGAAAACGCGCTGGAGGCCGAAGACGCCGCTATCCGTAGGCACATGGACTCCGCCGGCCCACAGACGGGGCCAAAGGGCGTCTTGGCCGATCAGAAGTTCCACAAACAGCAGCAGCGAGCGAGGAGAGAACTGAAAGCCCAGCGTGACTACCAAAAGCTTTCCAGTGGTGCTTTAGCCAGTGGGTGGATGCAGAGGAGCGTGGCCGAGGAGGAGAGGAGGAAGATGGGCTTACCGGATGTCGCAAAGGCTGCTGGACGGCAGAGAAATGATGACGATGAGGATGAGGACGATGAGGACATGGAAGAAGAGCTGTTCCTGAAGGCATATCGAGCAAAACGCATGGCGCAGTTCTCCAAGCAGCGCTTTCAAACAGGAAAACAATTCGGCACGGTCATCGAGATGGAGTCGCCAGACGAATATCTGAACGCGATCGACGACGAGGCTCCATCCGTGACGGTCCTCGTACACCTGTACCAACCATCGAACGAAGGCTGTCGCGTCGTGAACGCCCTATTGTCCGTGCTGGCGGCACGACATGCCACTAACACAAAGTTTTGCAAGATCAAAAGTCACATTGCGGACGAGACGTTTGATCTTGTGGTGTTACCTGCCATCCTGGCTTACAAGAATGGGGAGATAATAGGGACGGCTATGCGGGTTTTGGATGATGTGGACACGTGGAAACAGTCCGGACGGTGCACGGCGGAGGATCTGGAGGCAGTGCTGGCACAGCAAGGGATCTTGGGCAGCGATGAAGACGCAATCTTCTCTGCCAATGCGGGATTGGGAGGGGTGCGCCTCTACAGCTAAGCAACGCTAGTGTAAAAGATGTGCACATGTATCCATGGCCGAAACACAAAGTGTTACCCAATTTTGATCAGTGGGATTCAGGGACGATGTCCATATGTAAATACATCCGTCGCTGTACAGATATATACAAATCGCGGAAGGGAAATGGCAGACGGATAGCCGCAACCTCTAAATAGCATCTTTCTGTCGCAAATGGTGGAACACAGCTTGATGCACAATCTCCTTGTCGTAAAAGTCTGATCTGCGAATCTCCTCCATGTTGAAGTGAGAGTCGCCCAGTACCGTCTAGAATATGCAGACTCGAGTCAGCAGCCATCCTTTTCACCCACGTAGACCGTATGTTTGCCTCTTCTCACCTCAAGGTCTCGACTTTGACTGGCCACCCATCGGTCCAAGAAGTCCACCGGATTGTCCGCAAATGCAAGCATGAAGTCACGTTTCAGTTTGCAGTGGTTGATGGATTGAATCAAACTCGTGATCTTTTACGAAAGAAAGGGAGGCAATATAAACGTCAGCAAAACGGGTACTGTCAAGACTTCCATCAGCGCACCCGCCAATTCCCACCTTCTCGTCCAACGCCCCAATGTCTTTTGTGATGTTTGGTGCTACCACATCCCCACCATCCGCTGGACTGGCAACCTCGACATCAATGTCGTACGCAAACTGATGTACATGGTGCTCCTTGTCGGTCGTGATGGTATAGTTGAGGATCACCGGATCTGGTGGAGAAAAGTGGGCGCGGAGCAATTCTGGTATTTGCGAGAATGAGACCCGTGACATTCCAAGGATCTGAGGTCCGGTGCATCAGGTAAGTATGTTGATGAGTGTTGGTAAGGAACGTCCTCACGAGCTAATCGTACATTTCGGAGTTGTTCATCACAATTGATCTGGCGCTTGTCATCAGGCTCTTGTAGCTTTTGGAACTGCAACGGAATGCATCAGCCCTGACGTTATATGAGACAGCCCGGCTCTCTCTTGGAAGACAAACCATACCTTGACATATTGCCATAATGCTATGATCACATTAGCAGCAGTGTCCGTATGTATGTCCAGCAACTTGGCCAGTGGCGGTGACAGCTTGAACTTTTCGGGCTTGTTCTCCAAATATATCATGATCTTTGCATTGACGTTACTGTCGCCCTTTCGCTTGATCTCAAAGCCATCACATTCTGGTGTTCCGTCCATTCGATGCCACTGATAATGCCGTCCATATGAGCGACTGTTCAATGACCCGAGTTGCCTCTGCTCCGAGCAGACCCACCTCTATCACGTTGTCTTCAGGGTACAAGTTTCCATCCCTTTCCAGTTCGACCACGACAGATCGTACGAAGCTCGAGAACTTCGGTGGGTTGACTTGAGGTTTTCGGCTGGCAGGTAGCTAGAGTAATGTTGCACCGCATATGAGTATGCGAGTGTCGATCAGATGCCGGTTGGCAGCAAGAACGTACATCCAGCAGTCGTCCCTCTATCCGTAAGGTCCAAGATGGTGCGCGCATCGTTTCTAAACTGAACAGATCCTCCTCCTCCGTCACGTCCGCGAACTGATCAGACGCCAGATTCGACAAAAACACTCTCAAGACCCGCTTTGTTGGCTACCGAGAGGGCATATGTCAGCTAGCTTCTCTCGCTATTGTGCAAAGTCCCCGTCTTATGCATTGAGTGACTCCGAAGCCCCCTCCCCCCCCCACCTTCATTTGGCTCTTTTGTTCCATCATGTCCAGCTTCTTTCTGCTGATGGTGGTGTCCAGTTTCCTCTCAAACTCCTGCATCTGGGTGTATAGCTTCGATTCGGGTATATATGCTTCGATCTATTTGGAACCATGAGCATTTGTTGAAGAGGTGGTCTAAGCTAGACCCCTACGCACCTGCTTGGGCAGCACCCGTTCTGCTGGCTTCTTCCGTCTATGAATATGTAATGCGCGACACGTTCAGACCTCCGCCTTTCCCTCGCAACATGAGTTGAGTGCTAAAATACATACTTTTTGGAAGAAGCTGCCCCTGCTTCACTCGGTCGCTTCGACAAAGACGCAAGCCCTGCTGCGTTCGACAACCCAGTATTGCCATCCGCTGCTCTTCCCTGACAGGCATGGGTGTGGGTCAGGAAGAGCCATTTGCTTCGAGACACATCACCTTTCTCTAGCACTGCACGCTTACTTGCGGATTTCCGAGGACGCCATATTGAGGACCCAATGGACCTCCCACCGCAGGTCGTGCCCCTGGCATTGTGTCGTGGCCAGAACTCATGGTGATCAACGATGCTCGGGTCGAATGTTCACAAAGCCGCGAATTGAGACTTCGTTCCTGTCGCGGCCAAACCAAACAGCAGAAATTGAAGAGAGAAACCGACAGTGATCACCAGCGAACTGCGAGGAGCTGTCGCTCAATGGATATGCTTATAAACAATACTGCAAAGAAACTAATGCTAGCCCATTAGGGTTAAGCGTTTTGGTGACCTTGGAGCCTACTCCGAGTGAGCGCAGCGGGAGCAAGTTTGCGAAGCGCCGAAAGCCTGGCGGAAAGCGCGTCCGCTCCAAGTTCGAGACTTTCAATCTGCACAGCAAACAGTATAGAAAGTTGCCAGCGAGGAAGCAGCATGTTAGACGACGACAGTATCGGCCTGAGTGTGGACGGCATGGACGGGATGGAGGCAGAGGAGAGCGGAGGGTATGTTGTGTCTACGCTCCAATACCGCATGTAATCCCATCTTACGCGCATATTTCGCATCCAGTGGTGACGACATGGCAGAGGTATGGAGCCTATTGGAGGCTTGAGATGGACCCTCAAGGAACTGACGCTCCAAACGTCCTGCGGCCAAAGATTCTTGCAGCTGTAAAAGGTATGTTTTTGGATCTATTCGTTTTCTTCGAATTTCCGCACTCAAACTGCTGTGCTTAGATCGCATGGAGAAAAAGGTCGTGGAGCGCCAGAAGAAGGTGGAAAAGGACTTTGAGAGACTTGTTGCGGCACTTGGGGAGACAGCACAAGAACACTTGAGCGGGCAGCAACGGGTCTTGTGAGTTTCGCCCGATGTTGGGACCAACAGTTCCCTTATTGATCGGAGATCGAAATTGTCCCGTGTCGCATACGTGCCGAATTTCAGGGATGAGCTTATGAACGCCAATGCTCGCAAGATGGATGCTCTCTTAGAGGAGAGAACGGAAATCATCAAGCAGATCAAAGCCGAAGCCGAGAAGTACAAGGTACGACCCGGCAATTTATTTGCTATCGAGAATGAAAAGCTGCTTCGCTACATCAAGTACATAAAGGCAAAACAGGAGAGCTTGTTAAGGACCTGCTTGCGAAGCGTTCAGCAGCATGTGAAGATTGATCAGGAGCTTGCCATCACTCTGGCGACATATCAAGGTCCGTTTCCACTCTCAATCGAGCGAGTTGGGCACCTCCGCCTTACATGTGGTTTCATAGTGTTTGATCCCGTCGAAAATGGGAAGGGTGCCGCTGCAAAGCCGGTCGACGCGCAGGGCAACCCAAAGAGCTCGAAAAGGAAACGGTGAGGCGGAGATGGCGACAGTTGTTCACATTCTTCTGCGACAGAGGCGATATCCTAAAGGACCTATTACCGCTGCCCTGCTGTCCCGCTGTCCTACTGTCCTACTCTCCTACTGGTTCTATTGTAGAAATACCGCCGTTCACTAGTTCTACCGCCCTCGCTATGTATACCAATATACGCCGATTGCTGCAGTGAACACCGCTGTTAGCAGCGAGCTGATTGCATTAACCTAGAGAACCAGCGTTGAGCTTTGTGTTCCCTCTTTGAGTCGATTGTAAGCCGTTCCGGTGGCCGTACCTGGTGGTTATCCAAAATAGCTTTCCCAGAAACATGTACCAAATCCTCTGCCTTTTCCCCTTTCCGCAGTTGGCGGAAGTCGCTGGTGATCTTCTTTGTCCGCGCATTGTAGACGGACTTTTGCAGAGTAGCACCCAACATCGAATCGATCTGTGCCGGAACATATTTTACACTTGTGGTATGCGCGATGAATGCAAGCACGTCTTACCAGTGACCCAACAAGGCCTGCAGCTCCACTCAATGCGACGATGGTCAAATAAGGGGCTCGACCAGGGCATCCCTCTGTCCAGGGCAACCCTATTGCACCAATGATGCCAACAAACACCCCTCCGCCCACCGAAGCCGCTAATCCCAGAGGTGAGATCCCGCCGTTTGTCCCTCTTGGGACTCGCTTTCCAGTCGTAATCAACCACGGATCTCCCTGGTTCAGGATCCCGAGCTCGCTAGCCAGTGTGTCCCCACAGCAGCATGCATAGTGACCCAGATAAGCCAAAACCGCGGCCGTATGAAGTAGTCCTGCTCCCTTCACATCGCCGAAACACACTGTGCTAGCCTCGCCTTGTATCCGAACGAGATAGAAGTGCAGCGCGCAGATGATTGTGCCCGTCAATCCGTTAGCCAGCACTTGTATTGCGTTCCTCTGTCCTCCCACTTGAAAGTCCTCCTCTAACTCTTTCTTTCGCTCCTGTTTGAACTAAAACGCACAACGTGGACGAAGGGATGAAATTTGCCGTGAGTTTGAACCGCAGCGTATAGACTGCGGTTCCCTCAATCTCACCTTGGTAGCACGGCTTCCTAGCAGATAAAACCCGAGCAACGAACCCGAGAAGAGGAAATCATCCCGATCACCCGAACAAACAAAAGTAATGAAGCCGACAATAACGGCCGCTACAGCTCCATCCACCGACAAAGAGTTTTTTCGTAGGCCGTGGGCAGCGAGAGCCGCGCACAGGGCAGTTGCTGGCAGAACTTTCATCTTGCCGCTTTGACCACGTTCGCAGGATTGGTCAACACCGGAATGAAAGTAAATCTCCGTTGGCAGCAGGCATCCGTTGCATTTCCTGTTTTGGCGGTTGCGAATGTCATGACATCACAGAATTGACAGCTTGACAGCGTGTATTCCCGCCACCTCTCAACAGGCCGTGTCGTTCCGCTCTACCTCGATTCTAGAACTTTCCGTGTCTAGCACGGCAAAACGATACATCTTAGGTCATAGAAAGGCGTCCTTGAAGGCAGCTCGGAAGCAACAACGACCATTTTGTTGTTAGCTTCAGCCTTTCAAATGAGGGAGCTACGAGCGATCCCAGGGTCCTCGAAGAGAGTCCTTCTCATACATGACCCCAAAGGACAAATCAGCTGCAAAAGCAGGAATAGCGCCCAGAGAAGAGCCGAAACTCCCGGGCATTTCCACAGTTCGTCAGCATCAGCAGATCCCGCAAATTCCAACCCACCAGCAAACCGGGCACCATTCCTGGCCGAAGAGATCCTTCTCCTCATTCTCTCGCATGTGAACGACCCAGGGACACTCGCCAAATCCGCCCAGGTATCCCGAAAATGGAAGCGATTACTCAACGACGACGTTCTGTGGAGATCGTTCTGCAAGGACCGCAACTTTGAGCAGATTTCCCGATCAGCGAGATCAAAGATTTCGCGGATTCAACGACCATTGCCTCTTCCAGGGATATGGAAAAAGATCTACAAACACAATTACTTGACCGGAGAGAACTGGAAGAGGGGAGCTTGCAAAGTCAGCTCCATCACCAGCGCGGATGGCGATGGTAATGTTTGAGCTCCCGTAAACACGTTTCTACGGCTAGTTGGAGACTGACGTGTTAATGGCAGGCCGGGACCTGCCAATGCATTTCGATGATAACTGGGTGGTGTCTGTGGCTCTCGGAGACGTAGGCAAAGTGGTAAGCACTGTCGTATGGTTTTGATGTACACTACCCCCGATTCGGACTCAGTTTTATGGTGTGCAGTGGGACATCGAAACGGGAGAGTGCCACCTCCGGTTGAACGGTCATGAAGGCACCATATCCGCAGTGAAGGTAACATTGTCATCGGTGCAGTCGTCACTCGAGACATACACTGATCAAGCTTCGAATCCTCTCCCGCAGTTCGCTCACCGCTGGGTAGTCACCGGGGGCATAGACTCGACCCTCAAAGTCTGGGACACGCAGAGTGGGGAATGTGTCCGTACTCTGATAGGGCATGAAGGAGAAATTGTGGCCGTGGAATGTGGCGACGATGTCATCGTATCCGGGTCGGAGGACATGACCGTTCGGGTCGGTTTATGTTTCTGATTCCGGAGCCTGGCACTGCTGTATGATGCTAATTGGCTTCTGTGCAGGTCTGGAGCATGGAGACGGGTGAATGTATCGAGATTCTCACCGGACATACGAACGCTGTATGCTGCCTTCAATTTGATCATGAGAACATCATCTCAGGATCCGCCGACCACACGATCAAGATCTGGTGAGTTGCAACACGAAAGCTCCGCCGATGCTTTAAACCTTCTTATCATCGTCTGTCTCCATTCCGCAACTTAGGACCCGCAACGCTTCCTCTCAATCGACACCTCCCGCTCCTACAACCCTCATGGGCCATGACGGCCATGTCTACTGTCTCCAACTCAATTCCTCTCATATCTGCTCGGGATCACAAGACGCCACCATCAAGCTGTGGCGCCGCAGCGATGGCGAGTGCTTGAAAACATTGAAGGGCCATCGTGCCGGAGTTGTTTGCTTGCAATTTGACGAGAAGAAGCTAGTCAGTGGGTCTTCCGACAAGAGTATCAAGGTCCATAGATGGGTTCTTGGGTGTACTTTGGGAATCATGGCTTGTTAACTGACGATTTTTTCCAGGTCTGGGATTTGAACTCTGGAACATGCTTGTATACGCTCAGTCGGCATTCGGAGACGGTAAGCCAGCAATCGCCGATTTGATGATCATTCTCAGACTTCTAACGACGGGTGCCAAATTCAGGTTTGGAATCTCAGATTCACACCCACGAAGCTCATCACGAGCTCCTTTGATCAGTCGCTGCTCGTATGGGACTTCGCATTTTTCGATGACGAGGCTGAAGCTGGAGGTCGTTATGACAATATCGACTCCGATGGTGTTGAAGATGATGGAAATAATATGATATGAAACCATGTATTGATAGACTCCAGATGAAACAAAGACGAATTCTAGGCTAGAAGCTTCCGCCATATACGGTTACAGTAGTTTTGGCGCTTAGATACATATTGGGCTCCCTGCTACATTCAAAACTATCGAGCGACGTCAAATGCGCTATGATGAACTTTCCCGAACGCAGCAAACGCATCAAGGCGTTCCAACCCAGCCTTCAAAGCGCTAATTCGCACCGTATCGGCATTCTCTTGTCCGACAAACTGCCGGATCTTTGCCACAGTTCGGCGATCATCACAACGAGCGATCGACCGTCCTAGCGCCGCCGACACCAACCTGTTTGGTTTGCTGTCGAGGTACTCGCGGACAAGAATTTCACACGAGTGCAGTTGATGGGACACAACATCCGCAAATTGTAGTTGCTCGCGTAATGACATTTCAGATACGACTGCGAAGATTTGAGCCTGTTGACCCCGATTTGAAGTCGACGACAGCGCTCTGAGAAGATCCCCGGGCAGAACGCGTTTCTGCTTCTTCGTGTAGACTTCCAGAATCTCACGGAACGCATCCTTTCGATGCCGTATGGCGTTCAGGTAGACCAGCTCATACATGTCCGCGGGAAGACCGACCTCTATCTTTCCGGAAAGGAGGTCCTCATAGAACTGAAAACCTTCTTGCACCAGTGGGTGCGACTCTTCGAAATGAAGGATGGCCCATTCAATGATACCTCGTCGCATCTCCTCTCGCTCCTCCCGATCGACGTGCCCGTTTCTAAAGACGTTCTTTGCCGCTTCCTCGCGCCACCCCACTGACCATATAACCTTGTCCATCAATAACAGGGTACAGTAGACCCAGTTCCGTAAGGCGGTCTCATGATTTCGCAGAGCAAGCTCCACGTCGCGGAACCCAGCCAACGCGACCTCCCATACGATTGCCGACGTTTCATCCTGCTGCAAGAACGCGAGCAAGGATACGACATCGCTATAGGCGACGCGGTTGCTGAGCATCAGCGCAATCGCGTCCGACACGAGACCGGCTCTGTCCGATCGGTCAAAGTCCGTATGACGCTGTTCTAGATGCGCGGCGAGCCGAGCGTACTGGTCAGAGGTATACTGCACCCGATAGAAGCCAGGCCGCTTCGGATTGATGATTTGCAGGACATCGCATGACTCCTGTTGAGCGAAAGAGGTGCTTCTGTCCTGTAGAACTCCGGCGGACACCTTCTCAGCCGTGACTACTCTCCATGTGATAGGTATGACCCAGCTGGTCTTCGTTTGGCACTCCGAGTATCCATGCCAAAGAGAGAAGGCACATTGTTGGACGTCAAGAGCATCGTCCTCAAATCGGACGGTCAGAACAGGGTATCCTTGCTGCGTAACCCACGTGTCCATCATTTTTTCGATGATGCCGTCCTTCCTCGGCAGGACGGAGTCGAGCGATTCCCAGAGCTGTTTGGTATTTGCGGTACCGTAGGCATGTTGTGTGAGATAGTGCGTAAGCCCCTTTGAGAATGCTCCCGGCGCCTCTGTCTCCAGATAATTCTCGAGCATTCGGAGAACCGCCGCACCCTTATCATATGTGATGTCGTCAAAGTACATCGGTATTTGACTTGGGTCCTGAATCTCCGCTGCTATGGGGTGACTAAACGACGTGGAGTCGGCAATGAACGCTGGTATATGCTCCATTGGGAAGAAATCATCGTCCAGATCCCACCTAAAGTGGCCGTGGTACACTGCTTGGTACTGCATAAACTCGGCGAATCCCTCATTCAACCATAAGTCATCCCACCATCTCATAGTGACCAAATCCCCAAACCATTGGTGAGCTATCTCATGCGCCACCAGCAACGCCGTCGTCCTCAGATGGTTTCTAGGCGACGATGGTTCGACCATCATGAGGACGTCCTCGAAAATCATCAGTCCGAAGTTCTCCATGGCTTCGCCTGAAAAGTCGGGCATCGGCCAGAGATCAAGTTTCGGAAGAGGGTATGGGATGCCATAAAGATTTTGGAAGAAGTCGAGGCTCGAAAGAGCTATCCTCAGCGAAGCCCTGGTTTGCAGACATGAGCCACGTGGCAAAGGGCGTCAATGCCGTCAAATGACCACTTACTGCGCTTCGATCTCACGCCCGGGTTGCGTATAGACCGTAAGCTTCACTTTTTTGTCAGGTGTGGTGGCTTCCACGCGGGACAGTTTTCCAATGCCCCACGCGACCAGATACGTGCTCATCAATGGCGTTCTCGCAAATGTAAAGCTTCGCAAGATGCCTCTTCCCTGGTGGTCTTCGATGGATTCAACCGGCATGTTCGATACGGCTGAATCTCCTTCCTCCACAGTTATTGAGATGTCGAATTGTGCCTTCAATGCAGGTTCATCAAAGCAAGGAAACGCAAGACGCGCACCGATGGGCTCGAAATGAGTCGCAGCGACCACCCGAGAGACTCCGCTGTTGCTATCTTCATAGTAGCTGGCATAGAAACCCCTCATCGTTCTGTTTCCGATGTTGCCGCCGTACGTAGACCGTAGCGTGTAGTTTCCAGGGGAGAGCACGTGGCTGGTCTTGACGGTCACCGTATCGCCATCTCTCGTCGTATTGAGTAAGGATATACCGCCAAGCTCGGTGTTTGGCGACACGCTAAGAGCCAACAGACTCAAAGTTGGCGAGGCGTGAAATCTTATGACATCGGTCGCTTCCAGCACATTCATTGTGATGGACGCGTTTCCCACGAACACCAGAGACGATAGATCTACAGCGAAGTCCAAGGTGTAAACTGAAGGGAGCACGGATTTCGAAAGGCGCTCGGGAAAATCGACTGTTGGGGCCAGAGCCCAGGCGTCGCGGTTCGTTGGCGAGGTGCTGTATTTGACCGCCGCGGTCGCGATGATGAACAGCAAAATCGAAAGAGTGGCAGGAACGAACTTCCATGTCAGCCGCAACGCCTTCGACTTAACGTCGCCGTGAACTATCTTGAGGCGGGACTCGAATTCGGTAGTTTCCTTGGTTTCCTCCAGCAAGCGCTGCCCTTCATCTTGCTTCTCCGTCGCGGCATAGTGAAAAGGCATCGCCGTGAATTCGGTCTAAGCACGATTTGCCCCGTCTAGCGGTGTGATAAGCGACTCGTTGTTATTTTGAGTCGGGCTGTCGCTACTCGGGGTGCGACGGTGCTGTGCTTCGGATTGAAGGGAGGCCACGAAACGTTCTGTATAACATGCGAAGCTGCACTTCTGCACAACTGCAACGAGAACGCGCATCGTCAGAGCTCTGGTCAGAGCTGGCGCGTCTGGCGCGTCGAGCTCCTTCTCAAACTCGAGGTGACCGGACAGGATTCTGAACTGAAAGTCGCTACGTATGCACCTGCGTATGCACTCCCCGAACCTGCCCTCGCCCTCCTTAAACGTCCTTTGAGGAATTAGTAGATTCTATATTGAAATACGCCAACACAACAAAAATTCTAGAGTAAGCAGTGTCAAAAGTGATGTGTCAAAATACGCCGTGATCAATGTGCATAGTGTCTAAAGTAATGAGGAGATCAAGGCCACAATAGCACCGGCACCGACAGCGTTCGCGGGAACCGCAGACGCAGAGTTCTTGACGTTGGAGGTTGATCCAGATCCGTTTGAGCCGGTGGTGGGGTTGGTTCCGTTGGTGCCATTTGCGGCTCCGACAGCGGGCAGCTTCACAGTCGCACGAACGAGATTGACGCAAGCGCCACCGACTGGGTCCCACACACCGTTATCGCACCCAGCGTCCACAGGCAGCTTCCTTGCGGCTGTCTTGAAGGGAGGCACAGGCTGAGTGATATTTGGGATGATCGTGGGGCAGCCGAAGCAAGACATGAAGCCGTATTGATCGGTGATTTGGCAATTCTCCATCAATCCTTCGTCCACCGTTCCGTCGCCGTTGTTGTCAATACCATCGCACACTTCCTTGTTCGATTTGTCGGTGGCGAGTCCCACGCAGGGAAGGAATTCCAGCATTTTGCTGGCTGGAACTGGAGCTTGGATCCACTTAATCAACTGCTGATTCGTCACAAACCAAACGTCTTTGTAGTTGGTCTGTGCCCACTGAACAAAGTCCTTCAACCACTGGATCTTCTTGACTTGCACGTCTGGTCCCCATGCAACCTGGCGAGCGAAATAAGGGTTGAGTAAACAAGGCGCCGCCCGTGAAGTTTCAGACATGTGATCGAACTCGCAAGCTTACCAATTGGGCTAGGTGCTGGTATAAACCGAATGGCAGTTTCGTCTTGTAGTGGAGATCAAAGGAGGCCTTCAAGTTTGCCATCGCGATATCATAATCGTTCAATTGGGGGGAAATGATGGGATCCATAGACGTCCACAGGGCGGGGGGAGTTGAGTTCGTAATCAAGCTTGGAGACATAGAGTTCAGACAATCAGGTAACCACTTAACAAACGAAACGGGGACCTTTACATACTTGTACATAGGGATTTCCCACAATCCGGGATAACGCATCGAGGGGCCGCTGGTGCAGTTCAAGCAAGGTTGGGGGTAGTATGCGAAGCCGTAATCCAAGGTATGCGGCCAGTAAGGTTGAAGAATGGGGTCGAGTGTGACTGAGGATTCATATTTGAAGCCGGCTTTCGCAACGATGTCGAAGGTGTCCTTGTTGAACGACAAGAACGGGTGCCTGAAACCTTGAAGATCCTTCTTCGGAATTCCTGCCCAGTTGTTCAAGACTTGAAATGAGCCCACGATTTCTTGTTCGCGAGCAGCCGGTCTCGACAGTGCAAGATCTAAACATCAGAGGAGGCAGAATTTTCAAAGTGAGTGGGCGCGAGTCCGTGCGGGAACCAGCAAAACAGGCATATGCATCGGCAGAAGCTCACCGGGGTGATTAATGGTGTGCACGGCGATCTCGTGGTTTTTGGAGTGAAGCTGTGTCACCAACCACATGTCGGTCCATGCGATCGAGGTGAAGGACGTGAATGGGAGGTTGCACCCATTTGGGTTGACCGTGCTGTTCAAGACTTGTTCGAACGCAGCCCAAGTGTCAGGCTGGACCGCATCGTCGGCGGTCAGGGTAACGAACATGGGCGTCTGGTCTGCTGTCAGACCACCAGGAATCTTTGTCGAAGCGCACACACATGCTGGTGCCACGCATGTCGCTGGACAGCTGTAGCTGGGGTCGGAAGGCTGCTGATTGGCAACCGGCTGAGGCCCTTGCAGAGGAGTGTCACCTGGCGCAGGCGCCTGCGCACGGACGACGGTCGACAGAGCGACGAAAGAGGCCAGGGAGACGAGAGCACGGGCGACCATTGCGACGACTGAAGCGATGGAAGGTCGGTTGGAGAATGTCAGTCACAGCCAACTCGAATGTCGTCTTTTCCCGCCTGCCCTTTTGTATGTACTGTACTGTATGTTTTGTTGGGTTTGCAATTTGAGAGAAGGCCAATCCCCCCAGGGCCCAAACAACAAAAATTTGCTGCAGGCCGGCGCCATGTGGTCATACGGCGCAAACAAGGCCGCCTCCGATTTTAGCCCCTGATCCCAATGGAATGATCCACATTGAGGAGGCATCTTCTATCTTGTACGTAAGCATCGGAGTTTCAATCTGAGGTTCGCAATTGAACATCCTCAATGTCAGGGGATGGTCTTGCCCGGCGTACTTCTGATATGCGAGGCGTAGATTGCCGCTCCCAATCGTCTCGCGGCAAATGATCGAGCCCAGATTAACTAGTGTATTGTACAAAGCTGAAAGCCGCTGTCAAGGCGGTTATAGACATCGAAACGTCCACTCCGTTGGAATGATCAGGGTGTTGTATGTTCTCGCGGGATTTATACAGGAGTCTATATGACGGCACCTGTCAATTTGGCTTACGACATCACATAATGGACTTCTCCCGTGAAATTAACCTTCGGGTCTCAAAATCGATTGCATCGACGATGCGGCAACGCGAGACTTACTCTCGTCACAAAGAAAACGAAGCCGTACGCATCGACGACTGGGCGAACTTGTGATGCATTCCTCGAGAGAGGGCGGAGGAGCCATCGCTCATGAGACTCATTTCCTACCGCGGGTTCCAATATCGCCTCGAAATCGGACAAACCATCACTCCGACGACAACAGGTCGTTGAAGGGCAAGGTTGACTCCAGTGCGGATGAGAAACAAACGAAGAAGAGCGAGAGACCATCTGCACTACATGCACCGGGAAATCTGGAGACTTTGACGCATCAACTGCGGGAGCGGGATATCGAAATCCTGAAACTCCGGCATGAGAATGCGCTTTTGAAGCAGGTACATCATTATACCTGGAAGAAATGCTGTCGTTTTTTTTGCCTGAAATGGGCCGGAAATGAATTGTAACTGTCAAAGGAAAGATAGAACGGCGGCAGCAGAAGGACTTGGAAGCGCTGGAATGGCAGAGCGATGAGCAAGTAGTGCGGGCATTACGAGACGAAATTAATGGGCTCAAGGTAAGAACTCACTCCCGTTTGGTTGCTACCTGTGCTGAGCCGCTGAGGAACTGCTTTTACCTCCCCAGAACAAGCTCAAGCTATATTTCACGCAGTTATCTAGTAACGTCCGCGAACTTCGACATCTGAGGTAGGAGATACAAAAGTGATGATGTACCGGAGCTACGAGAATCTGATTGACACGTCGAATCAGTGAGGACAGACAAAGGCTGAAAGACCAAAACTCTCGGCTCGAGAAACTCGCTACCGATAAGCAGCTTGCAGATCGGGAACATCTTCAGCATGAGGTAGATGTACTGTCGGTGCGGCTGAATGAACTCAATCGGGTGTCGGAGGTTTGTTTGCTCTCGTCGACGGGTAGTTAGACTTTGAGGATGAATCGATGAACGAGATGGAACCCCCCTTGCAGGAAGCTGTCAAGCGCGCCGAGCTCATAGAGAAAAATATGAACATCGATAATCGGCATCTCCGAGGACGAGCTCATCATTTGGAGCGCGAGAACGTGGAGTTTAGGGAAAGGGCGCAAAAGCTGGAAGATGCGTTGAAGGTCAGCCAACAACAGCGGTTTGGTGTTTATGGCGGAGGAAGGAGATGTTGAGTAATTGGTTAGGAGCGAGACAAGGCGATTGCGTCTTTAGAGATACATCGGTATAATGCCGTGCACAGAAAACCGGAGCCAGTGATTTGCAAGAATTGCCTTGCAAAGGATCAAGAGATAACGGAGCTGCATCGGATAGCCACGATACAAGGTTCGGCCAGTTAGATTGGAACTTGAGGTGGTGCGCAATGGAAATACTGACGACTTCTCAAATAGGCAAACTACCCATCCTGCGCACACCGCAAGTTCTAAAAAAGATGTCGAAACATCTCGAACTCAGCTACTCACTACCCGTCCCCTCCAAGAACGAGGACGAAGGCCCCCGGTATACCCGCGCCACGCTCTCATACTCCAAGCACGTCAACATGCAACGGGACGTGACGAGAATCAATCTCGAGATCCCGAAAGCCGGTCAACAGAATGACGGAGGAGATGAACATGGCGGACAGGGCGGACATGAGAAAGGAGGGAAAGCGGGTGCTTCGAGAACGAAACATCAGGATCAGCATTTACCTTCTGAGGTGGTGAGGACGCTGAAGATTGAGGGCCTTCAGCCGAGTACGACGTATTATATCCACATGAGCGTTGGGTATGAGGATTTGAACGGACCGCCGACTGCTGTTGCAAAGGCATCTACAGGTAACTTTGGCGGGGTTAGCACGCTTTCATAAACGGTGCAACATGCTAAGGAAGGATCGTGCATCAACAGTTGCAATCGGCGAGGACATCGATCCACCTCCGGGACAACTCAAGCGTGAGATTTCGCTCCTCGCAGGACCGCCCGAAACCCTTCCGGTCCCCAATAAACCCATACTGGAGCTCGTGACTCGAGATACCGTTCGCGTCGTGACAAACGTCCAGGAGGACGAACAACTATCCATCAACCTTTGGCGTTTGTTCGCGGAAGTCGACCAAAGCATTCTACCTACTTCAACCAGCAGCGATGCAGAAGCAGCTCCACCAAAGTTGTTCGCGGAGGCACTGGGCAAACTGGAGTCTGGGAAGATACAGCATCGCGACTTACTCCCCATTGAGATCAAGTCAGGGGATAGTTTTGCTTATACGGTGACGGGACTGCACCCGACGGTCGCATACCGGTTCAGATTGCAGTACCGTTGTGGGGACAAGTGGTCGGAGTCCAGTGTGCTCAGTGACGAGATCCGGATAGGTAAGTGATCGAGATTTTTTGACTTGGGTTTCCCGTTTTTCGACTCGTCTGACATATACTTCATTGAAAAGAACCTGGCCAAAGACAGCCTACAACGCCTTCGATAACGGAGCCTGAACCATCAACATCGAACGCAGGTAAGGTTTCTCATTCTTCGGAATTTCATTGAGAGCCCCGCCTCACATCTTCGGCCGTCTTCTAGCCGCCATCGCCCTGCCTCCCTCCCCGCTTCCCCCAGACCCATCCCCCATCCCACAACCACAAGAGCAAGCACCGCCAAAAGAACAAATGTTTCTCCCACCTCCTGCGGAGACACCAGCTGAGGAGCGACAAGCGGATGACAGGGAGGGACCACCGCCCGGAAAACTCATGAAGGCTTCGTCGAAAACAGGGTCGAATTTGACATTAAATCAGCGGGTGGAGAACATGCATCATGGGATGCCGGCCTACCATGAGCCGCCCATCGGCGTCAAGACGTGATGAATGAGAGAAAGTGGGGAACCATTGCGGCTTGTATGATTGTGATTGATGTGCGCGCGTACTTATACAGCCGACATGCGCACCTCGAATACAGATGCAGTCGACGCTTCTATGGGTGGAAATGTGCATCAGGTCTGCTTCCATTGCACGTCAATTCTGGCACATGACCTCTAGCAATAGTGTCTGCGTATGCTATGTACTACATTGAGCCGTGCCTCCACCGGGGCATCATTTCCATTTGCCGATCTAGGCCCGCCCTCTGAGCCCATCAACGCAATTCTCATCCAAATCTCGCGGTATCTGGTCAACCGCGCTACTTCTTATTCAGCAACGCCATCTCGATAGCAGCTTGAGCCCAATCAATTCCATGGTTGTGTCCGGCATGGCCCTGACGCCCGATCCCAGCCCGCTCAAACGCCTGGTCCTCGGTCAGACAAGTCAACACCCCCAATACCACCGGCTTGCCCGAGTCCAATCCGACACGCATCAGACCGTGGCAGGTTGAATCCGCTATGTACTCAAAGTGCATCGTGGAGCCTTTGATCAATACGCCGATGGATATGCAGGCATCCACGTCGGGATGCTGTCTGAGGAGTTGCTGCGAAGCGAAGGGTAGCTCAAAAGCTCCTGGTACATCGCGCACCAGGATGTTTTCGGCGGTGACGCCGGCGGAGCGTAGCGTTTCTATCGTGCCTTTCACTAGTGGGTCGACGATAGACAGGTTCCATCGAGTGTGGACTGCGATCGGGAAAGTATTTGCGTGAGAACTTGGGTAGGAAGCCGACGAACACATTCGGGACAGCTCACCTATGAGAATGCGCAGACCAGCACCGTTGAGGTCCTTGCGGGGCACGACGCCTTTCTCGAATTCTGCCATCCTTTGCAAACTTCAACAGTCCTGTACCGAAGTGACCACCTTGTCCAGTAGTGCGTCGAACGTGACGCAACGTCGATTGTCGAGGTTATGGTCCAGGTTATGGTCCCTCCTTTCCCAGCTTTCCCGCGCGTCGAGTTTTCCCTCCGTCCGTATCTTCCTCTCAATAACGGTCAACTCCGAAACCTGCAGATTTGTGGCAATCCTCCTACTCGTATAAGCTACTTCGCACCCAGCCCAGCTGCACTTCTGGGAACTTGACTGCCAAAGCACGACGGAGACACTGCCCCTTTGGAAGCACAAGTCTTAGGTCGAAATTTCCCCGACGGTCATCGTACCGCACACGGCCGAAACCCCAACGACGAAGCGAAGCTGGCTGGAAATTATTTTCCACCTACCTACCTATGCGCTTGGATGCTAGACCCAGGTTGACTCCGTTGCACACTCAGAACGCCCGACAGGACAACTAGACCTTCCTTGGCATCGCAAGAGCGCTCACCAATTTACATCCGCGAATGGGATAGATTTCGAGGCTCGACATTCGGTGCCGGACCAGTCTCCGTGAAACCTTACGGATTGGCCGGAGATTGACCGTGGCACACCTGTCATCCATATTGCTACCCGGAAAAAGTCGGCATATCATCGTCGGAAGAGCCCCTCCAAAAAAAAATGGCTGCAAAACCTCTTCATGCAGGCGGAGTCCGACCGCAGCGGATTCCTTCCGCAAACAAAGATGGACCTGGGCCCCGGATGCCTAACCCACCCTCGCTGGTAGAATACAAGAACTTACGCTTTCTCATCTTTGATGCACCATCCGATCGAACGCTTGATCTATATTGGAAGGTGAGCTGCATGTCATTTCAACGCGTGGGATATCACCTCACTAACGCAGAAGTGAACTCTTACTCAGGAACTGGAGAAGCAGAGAGTGACCGATGTCGTAAGAGTGTGCGACCCGACATATGACAAAAAGACTCTAGAGGCGAAGGGCGTCGCAGTTCATGTGAGTGGCGTCCGTTCATTCCGTCATGCTGCGAACCCAATGCTGACATTTCTCATTGTAGGACTGGCCGTTTCCGGATGGTATGGGCCTTTGATGTCGAAAGCATGGGAGAGATGGTCCAGCTGAACGCTTTCCTCCGATGTAGGTGATCCACCGCCAGCTCCAGTAGTCGCTGAGTTTCTGAACCTCGTCAACTCAAAGTTCGGTAAAGAGAAGAATGGGACATCTGCAGAGTCCGCTGTCGATAACAAGACGACGATCGGAGTCCATTGCGTCGCGGGTTTAGGGAGGTTCGTGGCATCTCGTCAAGGAAGTAAGTGATAAGCGCGGGAAACTCACCCATTCGTCCCGTCAGGGCACCGGTGTTGGTCACCATGGCGCTGATAGAGGCCGGCATGGCCCCTCTGGATGCTGTAATTTATGTTCGAGAGAGGCGGAGGGGAGCAATTAACGCGCGGCAGTTGAAATACGTAGAGAACTACAAAAGGCGATCTCGTGGGGACAAAGGCTGCATCATCTCCTAGTTATGTATAGCGACGTTTGGTCCTATGCTCCTCCGAATGTGGGAAGTTCCCCGCAACGAAAGGAGGGCATTGGGATCCGAGCTTGTGTTTATGCGGTAAATTATTACTTTCTGTACACTCTCTGAGCGCAGTTCAAGTTGGCATAGTTGGCTTTGCGATACTTCATTCGATTCGAAGCCGGCCTTTTCATTTCAAAACGCTATATACATGGACTGAGAGAAGCAATACTTCTATGCTGAAAGGGAATATACTACATACCACATCAACACAACAAATTGTTCACGCGCATTGGACTCGCCGTTGACGAGCCACTAGTCGAAACCGGCGGGGTGCGCGAATGGCTGTATATGTGTGGGTAATCGAATTGCGGCGGCGGGCCTGTGAGCACCGAAGCGGCCGAAGCAGTTCGCCGATGTGAGAACGTCCTGGGCGCCGAGATACGGTCCTGGTCGTCGTGGGACGCAAATCCCGATGAGTGAGCGAGGCGCGAATGAAGCTGTTGTTGTTCGTGGATTGATGGTGCACGGGCGGAGCGCACCTGGGAATGGGTGTGCGAGTGCTGGTGATGATGGTGTGTGTGGTAGTGTTGCTGTTGCTCTTGCTCTGCATGGGAATACTGGCCAGGTGATTGCTGAGCAAGGGATGGGGATCGCATTGGCTGCACCGATGGGGGTGACCCAGCCGCATATGCATGATGCGCTGGACCAACCTGCTGCCATGTTGTTGTCGGCGCGACGGGCGTCGAGGCAGGGGATGGGACTTGATGTATCATCACCGGATGAGAAGAGCGTGTTGGGAATCTCGACGCGGCCCGTTGAGCGCACTCTCGGCAGCCTTGGTTGCTGATGTTCATGTGTGCGGTAGCGGCCGCCGATGCCGCCGATGCACTGTTATTGGCGGCAGCAGCAGCAGCCGTGGCGGCGGAGTAAGCCGCATCGCGCTCGACGACAAGCTTCTGCATGCATCGCCGCATGTAGCAGATGTACTCGATCGCGCTGTCGAGCACGTTGATCTTATGGAGGTTCGCTTGAGTGGAGCACGATGGGACCACCGACCTCAAAACTTCCAGTCGTTCTCGAAGCTTCTCACGCCGACGCTTCTCGACAGCCGAATGTGTTACGCGCCGTAGATTGCTTGCAGGATTGCGTCCCGGGCTTGTCGCGGCGCCGCCGCGAGCTCGTCTGGCTGGCGCTGCAGAAAATCCTTCTTGGGGGGACGTGCCCAGGTTGTCGTCGCTGTCGCTGTCGTCCATTTCGTTCACCTGTCCGGCCGGGCTATGGCTTGGCCGTGGGGATTTCCCCATACTCTGAGATGATTGACCGGTGAGTGCGGGGCTTGAGAGCGGAATCGCTGTCAACGGTATTTTTTGAAGCAGATCGCGAAAGTCGGAGTCTCGGGATAGTGAGTGCAAAGAAAAAGATGGCCAAAGAGCGTGGATGGGCAGCAAGACTATCAATATTGTGGATGAAGTCCTAGCTGTGACTTGTCTCAATGTGAGGGTTCGGTGATGAGTTCAGGAGGGTTCGGCTGGTTGAGTTGAGCGCATATGAGGTTCGGCCGGGCGCGGAAACCCCATTTCCTCCTTTTATACACCACACACCACACACCACACACCACACGACATGCAAACTTGCAAGCCCGCCCAGGACGGGCAAGCCCACTTTCCCAGCGTGGGCCACTCAAAGCAGGGGTCCGAGGACAGGCGTTATCCCGCCGCCTTCGAAGCTCGCCGATCTCCCCGTTTCTTTGCCCACAAACGCGCTGTCTCGCGATGTCGTTGGTGATGCTCTTCCCCCGCCCGCGTTTAGCGCCGCAGATGTTGGACCTTGACGGCATGCACAACGTGCCTTGTACACCTTCAGGGAGGGGACAGACCGTGATTGAGGACGAAAAAATAATCCCTGGCACACCAGCCCTGAGACCCATGTGTTCGTGCGGCCGGGTGGAGCACCAAACATGATATGGTATCTCCGAATGGCGCCCAAGCGATTCATTGCAACGTCACGGAACTCTCAAAAGAATACAACTTTCCCCCCCACGGCGGCATACATTTTGAAACGTACAGTAGGTATACAACCAAGGCAAGCCATGAGCCTTGAATCCCGTATACCGATTCATCACACTGCCGCCGTATTACGGTTCTCGGCTCAAGCATGCGGGGTAGTAAGTACTAAGTGATGATGATCTTTGATCACGCTTGACCTCACCGCCACGACCACAGAAGGGCCTCACAAAAGCTTGAATTTCGCCCGATCATCGTATCTATTTGGTATTTTGCTGATGATCTTCATTTCGATGTGAGTCGAATATATACGTTCCTTTATGACCTACCGTCCCAACCAACGACTACCACGAAAGTTGGTCGGCGTCCCAGGTTTCCAGAAAATCTGGGAAGTCGCACGGATTGCTATCACTGGGTAGGAAAAAAAGCATCAGCATGGTGGTACCAACGCACGAAAGCGGAGATCAGGAGCCATCACCGACCACAACGACACTCAGCGACGGAACTGTAACATCGGGACGAAAACCGCAGAAACGCCGGTTTCGCCCGGCCGCTGCCTTACCGGCAGGATACACGATAGGAACAAAAGCCGTAGCGCAGCACAGATAGGGACACCCCACGGCGGTCTTGAAGTTGTACGCACCCATATGCCAGAGCCCTAGGAGTCAGATACTAGTATACTACCGCAGAGCAATCACCACGGATGTGCATGTTGCCATGTACCCTGATTCCTCAATCTCGTAGCTGCCAGTGCTATGTACAGTACAGTATGACATCCACCCTTCTGCAACCCCCTCACATGTACATACACGCCTCCCAAGGGAATTGGAAAGCCACATCAAGGGACACCCTCCCCTCGGTGTGATGGGTCTGATGACACATGGCGTTCAGATGTCGGAGTCTGGACATGGACGTATTTAATGAAGCGCCAAGGTGAGACCGCTGGCAGTGTACTAGGTGTACCAACCTAATAGTAAGTGCACCAACCAAAATTCCGACTCAGATGTTTAATGAGGTACGCCAGCGGGCGGCTGAAACCCGTTTGAGGCTTTCAGCCAGTGTACGGTGTATGCGTCAGAGATGAGACTGGAGGCGTTTGCGCTCAACTTGATTAGGCTCTATTGCCACAGCATTATTGTGGCCGATCGGAGGATGCTCCGAGAAGCCATGTTATAAGGACGCCTAAGCCTGCCGCAGCCATCTCCAAAAATCAAATAAAGCTTCGCCTCATCAGCACATGCCCTCAGCAAGAAGCAACGTCAAGCTTGCATCACAAGGAAGGGAAACAGGGAACGCGGGATTCGTAAATACATTCCTCCGACGCTCCCTGACTGCAGGCAGACTACACAGGGATCCCGTCGAGATGTCGCCGAGCGTCTGGAACTTTCGAGTAGTATAGGCATAACGCGCGATTGCGTACAGTACGTAGAGATCATCACTAGGAAGCAGAGAAAGCGCATGCCGAGGCGGAGTACGGAGGGATGGAAGTCATGCGTGGCTTATCTCCCCAAACCGAGGGATTCGCAGGGACCATGGTGTGTGGGCTGTACATAGATGAGTTCAACAGCGACTCAGACGCTAACAAACTATAATTCCGCCTGCCAACTGCTCAAACCGCCGTGCCCACTGCAAGCGCCTCAGCGGCGCTCTCAAAATCAGCATATTCCTGACGCTCGGCGACATCTCGACGTCGGGGGAAGTCCAAGACTGCTGGGAGAGCGTCAGGGAATGCCAAGTTGTGAGGCTCCAGAAGGCATCAGCGTGGGGAGGGCGATAAACTGCAACTGGTCGGCGGGACACGGACGACGGATGGGACTTGTAGGGAAGGAAGATGCGCCTGCTGACCATGGAGGACATCGCGAAAGCGGCCGGCAATCTTGAGAGAGCCCTGGACATTATGGCGGCTAGAAAATTGTACAAGCTTCAAATCACTCTGCCGATAAGATTATCAACGCTTTCATCGGCACCTTTGACTTTTGTCTCGCACGAAGAGTTGGCATTATTGACAATCAGATAGGCCAACCCCCTGCTCATGGTCCTGAAACGAAGGAAGCATCCAACAGTCGCAGTTGGGCGTGCGTCCCAAGAGTGAAGATGTCCGTTAGTTTAGTCACTTGAGTCACTTTAGCCATGCGTATCCGCCAAAGATGGAAAACGCATCCGTAGTAGACTCCAGATCACAGAATAGAATTCCTTCTTCGCAACGCAACGCGTCCTCGGGGCTCCACCCTCTCCTCCCTCTCCACCTTCTCCGCCCAGCTTCGTAACCATCGGTCTTCGGAGTACTGTAACGCAGCAGTTAACAGCTCTGAGTAAGCACATAATGGCTATTACGACCACCGTAAGTCTTGTTTAGAAGAAGGTCGCATTTCTGTCCGCTCCGTTTTCCCTATCGTCTCCACACTCACCCACATTGCATGCAGGACTGTCCAGACCTGAAGCTCCTTGCTCGAGGCAAGGTTCGGGACCTGTACGATGTCGACGAGAACACGCTTCTGTTCGTTGCGACCGATCGCATTAGTGCGTTCGATGTTGTCATGAAGAATGTAAGGATGGGTGGTAGACATGTAGAAAGCGAAATGTGTCGGCGGTACCCCGCTCCTTGGGGAGATACTGAGGTTCAAATCGGAGGGAAAGGGAAAGCATGTGTCGGCGGTACCCCGCTCCTTGGGGAGATGCTGAGGTTCAAATCGGAGGGAAGGGGAAAGCATGTGTCGGCGGTACCCCGCTCCTTGGGGAGATACTGAGGTTCAAATCGGAGGGAAGGGGAAAGCATGTGTCGGCGGTACCCCGCTCCTTGGGGAGATACTGAGGTTCGAATCGGAGGGAAGGGGAAAGGAATGTCATGCTTATTCGGCATTCGATATAGGGTATCACCTGCAAAGGGAAAATCCTCACCCAGATCAGCGAGTTCTGGTTCGACTACCTGAAGGACGTTGTTCCCCACCATCTCGTCACTTGCGACGTGGACAAGATGCCTGCTGCGGTGCAGAAATACAGATCGCAGATCGACGGACGAGCGATGCTGGTGAAGAAGCTCAAAATCCTACCTGTCGAGGCGATCGTGAGGGGTTACATCAGCGGTGAGCGAACTCGCGCGGAACCATTAGGGGAAAGTCAGGCGGCGAGGGGTCCTAAGCGACAACATCGCTCTCAGGGTCGGCTTGGGTTGAGTACAAGAAGAAAGGCACGATGTGCGATATCCCTTTGCCCGAAGGTTTGCGGGAATCGGAAGAGTTCCCGGAAGCAGTGTTCACGCCCAGCACAAAGGCTGAGCTGGGAGAGCACGGTAAGGCAGTAAAGTTGGAATCAAGAATGCGCTCGGAAGTATCTTGCCAACACCCGTCTATTGACCTATACAGATGAGAATATCCACCCGGATAAGCGTAAGTGCTTCTGCTCGCTTGATCCCCGATGCGCCTCCGCCAAATTCTTCATCTCATGTCACCCACAATGATCAGTTCCCGGGATGATCGGCGAAAAGCTCGCAAAAGAGCTCGCGGAAACAGCCATCAAACTTTACACAAAGGTGACGCCGCCATTCTTCGCACGCAAATGGAGCCATCTGATGGCGGATCACTCACATCGTCAGCCAATAGGCACGGAATTACGCCCGTGAGCGCGGCATCATTATCGCCGATACCAAATTTGAGTTTGGCGTCGACACCGATGGAACCCTGGTCCTTGCGGACGAGGTCTTGACCCCAGGTTCGACATCGTCTTTTTGTGTTCTCCGTTTGTGAACGGACTTCGTCTTTTCCGCATTAGTGTGAGGTACATTTCTCAACGACAACTCCCCTACTCTGTTACAGATTCATCACGCTTCTGGCCTGCGGACAAATACACTGTCGGCCAAGGACAACCTAGGTTCGTTCCTCCCGGTGATGCATTTTCCCACCCAATGCATATAACTCCTAAACCCACCGACCCTTAACGCGCTCTACCGTCATTCATTATTCCAACCCTTCCAACCCCCAGCTACGACAAACAATACCTCCGCGACTATCTCACCTCCATCAACTTTGACAAAGCGACCGGCGTGGAGTTGCCGGCGACCGTCGTCGACAACACGATCAGCAAGTACGTCGAGGCCTTCACGATCTTGACCGGCAAGGCGCCCCGATTGTGAGTTGAGTGGGGTTTGAGTGAGAGAGATATCCGCGCGTTCTGGGAGGGGTGGGAAAGTTGTGCGTAAAGGTGGTCGGGTTAGGTAGAGGAAAAATTTGCGGAGAGAAAGGGATGTAGCTACTGTAACTGGATTTTGTGGGGACATTTTGCAGGTTCTGGAATATGTCTTTCTGCGTAAGAATAGATTCGCATAGATACGAATACCAGGCGACTACGTCGCTCGACTCCACGAAGCTGTGCGAGACATTTGTCTGATAGTCGAGCGTTCGTTCCCCCTTAGTCAAACGGTTGATATAGCGTTCGCTGGAAATACATCCACGTGAGTAAAGCGTCCAGACAGCGGCGAGGAGCAGTGATCGTGCGCATCACAGGTAGGCGCATGGAAAGAAGCAGCTCAGCGAGAGTTGGGACTAGGAGACGGAACGTTGGATTTTATGGGGATTTTTTTAAGGTATAACAAACATTTGAGGCCATATTACATTTTCAAGTAGGAACGTTGTGTCCTATACATCACGCGAAGGAATAAAGAAGTAAGTCGCCGTGTGGGCAACCGCTGTTGGGGGCGGCCCCTCCCATTAAGAGTGCCCAGATGCCCAATGAAGTCCGCCATCTCAACCATAAGTCTATGCCTCAGCTTCAGCCTCGCCTTCCTCCTCGTCGAACTCGCCTTCCTCCTCAGCAGTGGCGTCCTGGTACTGCTGGTATTCACTGACAAGGTCGTTCATGTTCGATTCGGCTTCAGTGAATTCCATCTCGTCCATACCCTCCCCGGTGTACCAGTGCAAGAAAGCTTTCCTGCGGAACATGCTGGTGAATTGATCAGAGATACGCTTGAAGAGTTCTTGGATCGCCGTCGAGTTGCCGATGAAGGTGACGGCCATCTTGAGACCCTTGGGTGGAATATCACAGACGGCGGTCTTGACGTTGTTGGGGATCCACTCAACGAAGTAACTCGAGTTCTTGTTCTGAACGTTGAGCATTTGCTCGTCAACCTCCTTCATCGACATGCGACCGCGGAACATGGCGGCGACGGTGAGGTATCGACCGTGACGAGGGTCAGACGCGGCCATCATGTTCTTGGCGTCGAACATTTGCTGAGTCAGCTCGGGAACCGTTAGGGCACGGTATTGCTGAGAACCGCGAGACGTCAATGGCGCAAATCCGACCATGAAGAAGTGAAGACGAGGGAAGGGAACCAAGTTGACAGCGAGCTTGCGCAAGTCCGCATCTGTGAAAGAAAAAGAGTCAGGTCAAAGTGATGATAAATATCTAACGTGACTTCAACTTACTCAGTTGACCCGGGAAACGCAGACATGTTGTGATACCCGACATGACCGCAGAGACCAAGTGGTTGAGGTCACCATACGTTGGAGTGGTCAGCTTGAGCGTGCGGAAGCAGATATCGTAAAGAGCCTCGTTGTCAATGCAGAAGGTCTCATCGGAGTTTTCGACGAGCTGGTGAACGGAGAGGGTGGCGTTGTACGGCTCAACGACAGTGTCGGACACCTTGGGGGATGGGACGACGGAGAATGTGCACATCATACTGTATCGGATATCAGTAAGCATGCCATCTGGAAGGAAGATGTCGGAGGAAGATCTGCTTACCGGTCAGGGTATTCCTCACGAATCTTGGAAATCAGCAAGGTTCCCATCCCGGCGCCGGTACCACCGCCGAGGGAGTGAGTAATTTGAAAACCCTGGAGGCAGTCGCAAGACTCGGCCTCCTTGCGAACAACATCCAGAACGGAGTCGACCAGCTCAGCGCCTTCGGTGTAGTGTCCCTTGGCCCAGTTGTTTCCGGCTCCTGATTGACCGAAAACGAAGTTGTCCTACACGCCGGAAATAGAGAAGGGAAGAGTGAAAGCAGTCAGCATCAACGTTGACAGAGTGAAAGAAGTCCCCAAAGCCATTGGTGAAAAATATCAAAAGTACAAGAAACATACCGGACGGAAAAGTTGTCCGAAAGGACCCGCTCGGACAGAATCCATGGTTCCAGGCTCCAGGTCGACCAAAACGGCACGGGGAACATATTTGCCGCCGGTAGCCTCGTTGTAGTAGACATTGATACGCTCCAGCTGCAAGTCGGAGTCGCCGTGGTAGGTTCCGGTGGGATCAATTCCGTGCTAAGAAAGGAAGGAAGCATGAGAAGGTTAATATTTGAGAGCTTGTACCAATTTCGAGCGCCATTCATTGCAGGCAAATAACATACCTCGTCGGAAATGACTTCCCAGAACTTGGCACCAATCTAATATCAAGAGGAACAAGCGAAAACACGTGTTAATGTTACGTATGTATGTAAACCGTTCAAGGAAGTGTATTTCGTATACACGTCGCAAGTGGCGTAAACAGAACTCCAGTAGGGATGAAGACTGACCTGGTTACCGCCTGGTATGCACGAATAATAAATAGTGGGAAATGTATGATTAAAAGTGAAGTCAGAGAGAAGACGGAAGAAAGAGAGGCGTGCTAGTTTCACAGTGGACGAAATACGTACATTGTCCGGTTTGAAGGTGAACGATTTCACGCATTTCGTTTTGTAAGAATAGAGGTTATACGACACTGTGTGGAAGCGATACGGTGAAGATTGGAGAACAGTGCTCAGTAAATACAATAGCGAAAACGCTTGTAGGGAAGTAGTAGACGTCGTTATGGGAATCTGGGCGATGGGAATCGGTCGCGACGCGGGCCAGAATCTCGGAGATTAAAGCTGGCAAACACCATCTTACCTAGTCGAGTTGAGGCTGGAAGCCAAGCGCAAGCACGGGGTTACGAGCGCAGAGAGAGGATTCAGCAGCCGGTGGACGAAGAGACGATAAGCTAGTGGCTGTTACGGACGGATTGGACTGTGTTGTGGGTGTGGGAAAGGGACGGGGAAGAAAAACGTTTCTGGGAGGGAGTTCGGACGTGCCCAGTCGTCGCTTGTTTGCGGCAGGGGACGCCCGAATGTTCAGCGGAAATGGTGATTTCGGGTCGCGGTTTTGATTAGCGCCTCTAATGTTTGGACGCCGGGAGGCGGAGCACAATCACGGGCAAAGAATCAGGCCCTTCTGGCTTGGCCCGACTGATGAAACTGACTCACCATTTGATCAGCCAAAACTTGTTCTCTTTCAGATAGCTGCAATCAGAAGCGCCGAATTAATGCGCTCGTTTTCGTCCTGGCAGAGTCTAATCACTACAGTAACAGGTAGTAAGTAGTAGACGCGTTGGTTTTGGCATCGACTGTCGTCTCGCATTTCGTTTCCCCAGGCAAGCAACCACCGATCATCGTTGGCCAGCCAACCGCATACCATACCTCCTGTCACTAGAATAGGGAAAGACATATAGTCCGCAGACGTCTGTCAGAGACTCATATTTCGCATTTCCCCATATCCCGGCTTCCCAAGTCTCGATCACCTCACCTCACCCATCGGCTGTAGTCTTCAACCCAAACACCGAATCCCGAAAACAAGAAGCAGAGATGCCGGCAGCAGCCACAAAGAGCGTCGTGGTCCACCCACTTGTACTTTTATCCGTTGTAGACCACTACAACCGGACCGCCCGCAATACGAAAAAACGCGTTGTCGGTGTATTATTGGGGCAGCATGTGGGTGACAAGGTGAACGTTGCCAACAGTTATGCAGGTAGGGCTTCGTAGGGCAGCCGATATTAGGCAATCGTGCGTTACTGTCTCCTTTCAGATGGCGAGGCGGCACAAAGCTTTTAGCTCGAAGGATGCGATCTGATATCCGCCTCCTCTTTACTCTCAGTGCCGTTTGAGGAAGACGAAAAAGACCCGTCCATTTGGTTCTTGGACCATAACTACCATGAGGCAATGTATGACATGTTCAAGAAAGTCAATGGTGGGTATCTCATTACTTGGTCATTTACGGAATGGACATATGTCCCATTTCTGAGCTGTGACGAGCAATTTATCAACGTGTGTGTTTTTAGCGAAGGAAAAGATTGTCGGATGGTATCACAGCGGACCGAAGCTTCGTGCGTCCGATTTGGAGATCAACGAGCTGTTCAAAAGATACATACCGAACCCGGTTCTTGTTATCATTGACGTCAAACCAAAGGAGTTGGGAATACCAACAGATGCGTACTATGCTGTTGAAGAAATCCATGATGTAAGGCGAGCCTTCTCTTTCTCATCGCCATGCACATACTTGGGGGAGTTTCTAAAATGCATGCTTTGACGATATAGGATGGCACGGCGACGACCAAGACGTTCAACCACATGCTGTCTGTCATCGAAGCCGAAGAAGCAGAGGAAATCGGAGTAGAGCATCTCCTCCGTGACATCAAAGACACATCTGTTGGAACGCTGTCGACGCAGATCACGAATCAGTTGAACTCTTTGAAAGGCCTCCAGTCACGACTCGAAGACATTCGTGACTACCTTTCCAAGGTGATTGCCGGCACCCTACCGATCAACCACCAGATTATCTACAACTTGCAAGACATCTTCAACTTGCTGCCGAATCTTCAAGTACCCGACACGGTCAAGTCGTTCGCTGTACAAACGAACGATGAGCTTCTAGTCATGTACCTCTCATCACTCATTCGGGCGGTCATCGCCATGCATGGTCTCATTGAGAACAAGATTATGCTGCGTGATGCGGAGCGGAAGGAAGACGAGGGTGAGAATGGGACATCAGCCGAGAAGGAGGAAGGAGAAAAGAAGGAAGGCGAGGAGAAGAAGGACGAGAAGGCTGGAGATAAGGAGAAGGAGTCCTTGAAAGGCAAGGCTGCCGCTGAGAAGAAATAGGGATGGGGGAAAGGGAGGCCCAAGAGGTCTCGGTGAACGGGTGGACACCGGAGCACATCAGGCGAACGGCGTGATACTCGTACCATTCTGTAAATAAGCACGCCGTACCAGTGTGGCTTGACATAACATGCGCTCTTGCTTGGAATTAGGACACTCTTTATGGTGGTCATGAGCCCTGGCTGGCAGAAGTGGAGGAAATGGGTCGTTTGAATTTTCAACCACGCGCCTCCAATACCGAACAGCGTTTTGGCTTCGCTCCTGCTTCCCGTCGCCCAACACCGACACTTTTTGCAGAGGCGCTTGCAAGACTACCATAGGCATAGAGAGCTTACAGGCGTTTCAACGGAATCTTCTGTCGACCTTTAGTAGATACGAGAGAACGTGGACCAAGCGAAATGTTCTCGACAGTTGCCCGCCGAAGCCGACTGGTGTCGCTAAAGCATTCTGGCCAGGCCCACCCCACCGGTGGTTGTCCAACACTCAGGGCGTCGCTCTGCCCTCTCCAACGCCACTTCAGTCGTACGGTTGCAGCTGCCGACGTTAGACAGCCTGACGCCGAAGCAAAACTGCCGCTGAGCGAAGCGCTATGGGAAGCAGCTGACACCGTGGAATCCAAGGGGAAGGCAAAGAGGAGGCCTGCGGGTGCGAGTGCGGATGCCTACGAAGGACGTAGTGCCGACGGAACACGGCGGAAAGGAAACAGAAGGAACCCGGCAGGCGCATCCAGAGGGCCCATCTTTCCACGTCGAGGGGTCACGGAGGTTGAAGATCTGCGTCCGAGAGACATAAATTCTCTGCGACTGGCTCTGCACTCTCATGACGGGATACACGCCTGGCGGTGCTTCCTTCACCTTGAGGCGCAGAGGCAGCTGGAGCCCCTGACGATGGAGGACTACAATAACCTGCTACGAGTCGTGCGAGCGCGGCCGAATTTCGGCAAAGTGAGCGAAAATCGAGCACGAAAAACCATCAACAACATGGATCACATAGTGAAGACCATGACGGAACACGGTCTTTCCCCGAATGCCGCCACCTACGCTACTTTAGTGACGGCTCATGCGAACGCAGGAGATGTGGAAGGGGTGCAGCAGATTTCCGATATCGTTGCGGAGAAGGGATGGGTGTTAGAGAATGAAAAGGCCGCCATGCTTTTGGCCCGCGCAAAAGTGTCTCCAAAGGAAGCATTGGAGGACTTTGGCCTGTATTTGTTGAAGTATCGTCACGACGGGAGGGGCGTCCCTATATATAACATGCTCCTGCAGCAGTTTTCCGAGCTCGGGGATGACGAAAGCTTCCACCAAACGCTGAGGCTTGCCAAAGAGTTCTTACTGGTGCCCAACTCTGCGACCTACGACATCCTGATTCAGCACTTTGCAATACGTGGTGATTTGAACGAAGCGAAGGGAATATTGGAACAGCGAAACCGTCAAGGGTTACCGAAGTCGGTCAATAGCTACACGGGCCTCATGAAAGGTTATGACAAAGCTCGCGACTATCAAGGGGTCCTTGATCTGTTTCGAGAGCTGGAAGCGAGTAATATTCCTCTTCTTATCAGCACATACAACTTCGTCATGCGGGCCATGCTCAATGTGTCCGATTACCGAGGGGCGATGGTCATGTTCCTCCGATTGAAGAGAAATCAGAGGCTGTCTCCCAACACTATGACGTTCGGTGTTCTGGGCGACCTCATACTGAAGTGGCCAAACACCTTCCGGGACCTTGTGATCCAAGCTCGTGGTCAGGCATCTCCCCAGCTCTACAAATGGGTCATCAAAGGTGTTCTGCAGGCTGATCGTCGGAGAGCCGTCGCCAAACTCTGCGAGGAGTTTCGCGACTTGAACAGGGTGCAACCGTTTAACTTCGTCCTCACCGATTGGTTGCTGAACGCCGAGCTCGAAGTCAACTGCATTGTTGGGCAGCGCGCCTTGGCTGAACGTTTGTGGAATGAATACTTCAAAGCGAACCCTTCTCCAGTAGCAAAAGCTAAAGCTTGTTACTCGATGCTGGTCCTGTACGGCCACCCTGAGGTTCGAGACTACGTCAAAGCCCGGGAAATGTTTGAAGAACATCGGTCCACGGGAATCCCTGTTACTCTGGTCACATACGATCGCCTGTTGCGGAGCGTTTGGAGGTTCGAAGAAAAGCTGACAGAGCGCGCGATCGCTCTGGTTCGCGAAGTTGTCGATTCGGGCCTGGTCCGCATACCATCGTCAATGGCCCCGGAAAGTCTGTGTCGGAAGGCCATGGAGGCAATTGGCCATGGAGACGTTTCGCATGGCTTCCAACTGCTTGCGTGGGGAAAACCCATCGATTACGACGCCATCCCATTGTGGACCGACCTCTATCCGGAAGGCAAGCGCGAAGCAACGCCGGAGAAAGAGTGGAACGAGCTGGATATTTATGCATGATTGTACGGAAATCACCGACGAGTCCATACCCCACACATACATACATACATACATATAAGTGAGGTACTCGCGAGCCATTGTGCCTATCCTATTTCTATTTACGTGCGTGATAAGTTTATCTACCCTAGATCATGGCTTGTGAGGGACATCACATGCACCTCATAGCTTGACGAGCGAGTTACATGACTCTGCGGCTTGCAACTTGTCGATGGTATAGTGCAAGGAGACTAGGCCAGATGTGTCGGGAGGCCCAACATCTGATCTGTGCCTTGGACTAATGCCTACTGAGAGGCAGATATACATTGGCTTCTCACTATTTGGATACTCCGGTCGCAGCGAACGAAAATCTGTACAAATGTCTGTACAGATGTTCAACAGCCCTACGTAGATTCTACAGCAGATGTCCTGACAAGCTCACGAGCCTGGAGCGCAGCTGAAGTGCCGCACTGGACTTCAGCTAGTCCTCCCAGCTTGAGTGTTGGTACACCGACGTCCACGGCAAGAAGATGACATTCCAACCATCGCTCACAAATCCATTTGGACGGAACTCGGCGTCGAGCGTTGCCGGTCGAGCCCAGACCTTTCAGGTCAACAGATGTCTGTCTTCAATACCCGATGTGCTTTGCGTTTCGGCGCTGGAGCTGCAAGACCGGTCCAGATCAGCCACTGCCCAGTAGCATCAGAGCTTCAAATCCGGCAGGGGGACTTCCTCGCTTTCATACCATGGTCGTTCTGCCGGAGGTAGAACCTCCTAAGCATCATAATTGCTTCTTCCCTGTAATACCCACCTTCTGCTTCATACGGTCTTCCCTCGCTTGTTGTGCTGCATTGGGGACAACATCATCAGCACCGAACATGCTGATGTGGCTCAACAAATGCCCCCCACCCGAACGGCCAACACGACAGCAACGAAAAGAACCTACTCCTGATGCACAGCAAACACATTGCCACACCCGCCAAACTTATCATTCCCACATCCAAAGTACACCTTGCGGATATTAAGATGCCGCAGCGCTGATGCGCACATGACGCATGGCTCGACCGTCACGTAGAGATCCGTGGTTGCGAACACCTCCCATGAGTGCCCTGCTTGCATTATTCGATCGATTGCGACAAATTCTGCATGGCTTGTTCCCTGGACGTAGGTCTCTGTGAGTGGCGAGGCTACAGTTGAAGGCGTTGAGATGTGCCTCTCGGCCATACATTAAGCGTCTCATTGGTCCTATTCCTCCCCCTGCCAATGATTTCCCCCTTGTGGACAAACACGCAGCCGACGGGAACTTCCCCAGCATTGTACGCTTCTTGGGCCTGCAATTTCAACCTCTCAGCGGGGAGATCCACTGACTCCAAGACAAGACAAGTTGGACCGCTTCCCAACCTGCTCCAAAGCTGCCTTCATATAGCTGAGAGCCTTGCTGCAATCGTGAGAGTCTGTGGGGATGGGTGCGGGTTCCATTGCTGGGCTGCGCCTTTGGGTCCTGAGGGTGAGCACGAGGACAACCGCCGAGGGCTCTTAACATTCAAGATCAAAGACACCTTCTCTTAGTATAGGGGTCGAACACGTACTGTATGTACAGTATGTCTGGGAAACTCTCACCTATTGTCTTCGCCTTTGAGAGACGCCCGAATTCTCAAGAGTGTTCAAAATGTGGCCGCGAGTTTGGCGATTTGTGGGTTAGGGTTCTGGGCTACGCGCGGCATGCTCACTCTCAGTGCGCACATACGTTCGCGCAGTCGCGTCGCGAGAGGAAAGAACTCCGCCGGCGCTTTTCCCACACAGCTCCTTTTTCTTGCCCGTTCCCTGCCATCAAAACAACAAACCATAACCAGCAATCCTCAGAATATTGGACATCACTAAACAGGGTATGGGGAATTGCGTGAGCTACTTTATTTGACTTGACAATCAGTAAAGTGTGGACTTTTATCAATTAGAAGTGCTGGAAGCGAAATCCTTCAAACACACGTCCAATCAGTAGAAGTTTTTTCCATCCATGTTCTGGAAGGTCTATCCGCTGTGGCTCACTCCAATAGGTATGCTTGGTCTGTTGTGAAAGTTTCAGGTGGGGGAGCCTCAAACTGATTGGTGGAGCGTTGATTTTATTGTACGCAGCGCTTAGGGCCTCAAACTTGACCAATGCACTTCCCCTGCACACTCTAACTAAATTCTGAATCACCAGATCGATGCAGCGATCTTAGGGCAACCATTCCATATTTATGGATTTCAAATCGCACAAAAACTGAGGGACTTTTCCTAGTTAGACGTTGCCGAAATGCGTTTTTTTAACGTTGGTAGATCTATGCTTTGCCGGGTTCTGGGGCATTCAATACAGACACAATCTAAAATCTGAATCGACAGGTTTACGCGGCGGGGGCTTAAGAACCATTCCATATCCACGGATTTCCAATCGCTCAAAAACGGAGAGACTTTTCCTTGTTGCCCGTCGTTGCAAAACAAGGTTCTTCATTGCCCAGGTAGACATGACCTTCTGTGCATTCAATACATATGCGATTTCACATCTGACCCTACAGATCGACGTAGTGGGCTCCGGAGAACCATTCCATATTCACGGATTCCAAATCGCTCGAAAACTGAGGGACTTTTCCTTGTCGCCTGTCTTTCCAAAAAGCGCTTTTTTCGTTGCCGAGGTATGTCCCTGAGACCATTTGCTAGTGGATGCAACCCGCTGATGTCTGAACCTCCTCCTAGTGCCATTTTGGTCCTCACCGACATCGAGGTTGACAGGGGGAGAGGTTGCAGCGGTCATTGCTTTACAGGTTATGGTCAACTCGACAACCAACGGCGCAAGAGGCATCCAACACTGTGAGGTTTCCTGACATGGCTTTGTACACCATGCTTGGGAGTCCTGGCACGCAACGAGTATGCTTTCATGCTGAGGGAAATCTTCACGGTCTCATGCAGTCCCTAAGTTGCATCGCAAGGAGGGGGTCAGCCCTGCGTGAAAACCGTGTGAAGACCTGACGCCGAGGCCTGGAGTATAGGTTATCTCTCTCTCTTGCTTTGTTTGTTTGTTGATCAAGCCAAGTATGCCTTCCCATGTGGCCCTGGAATGTGTGTTGCTCTTCCATGTGGATGCTGCATGCACCTTGGCAGGCTGGCCGCACTTGGAGCAAAGGGCCTATGCCGCAACTGCCCCAAAATCACTGAGGAGATCGTGAAGGTCATCATTAGCCACTGCAACACCACTGCACAGGAATGGAGCCGTACTGGGACCCTGGGGGAGGAGAGCGAGGAGGAGTTTGCGGGATTTGATGACTACGATCTGCAGGTTTTCTTAGATTAGTATTTTCTTTTGTTTTTGTTGTAATAATAAAAAAGTAATGAGACAGTTCTGAAGAGCAGCCTCTTGCGCACATTGTGTACTACAATCCTTGGAGTGGCCGTTGCCTGTGTGCAGAGACCGTGGGGTTCAAAGAGGGGGGATGGTAGTTGAGCAGCTGCCTGGCGACGGTCGCGATGGTCGGCGACCCGACTGCGCAAACGTATGTGCGCACTGAGTGCTCACTGCTCACGTCCACTGTGCTCACTGCTCACTGCTCACTGCTCACTGCTCACTGCTCACTGGAATTTCCTTGCTTTTATACCACCCTGATGAGCGGGGGGTTACGAAAATATACCAAGTGTCGGTCGGACTCTTACTCAAAAGGTCGTCCGAATTGTTCAGTTTTGACCAGTCCCCTCTGATACGTCGTACTACTGAGATTCTGAGAGCCAACTATCGGTACCCAGGGGTAACAAAAAGATGGTTCCAGAGTTCCCAATGGGTGCGCCAACAGCAATGCCCACCGTTTACACGTACCCACCAATCCCACCAATTTCCATGGCGGTTCGCAAAGCCGTCATACGTCGAACGGCGGAGCAGAAGAGGGCCTTGCAGCGACGAGAGGGCGGAGACGAGGCTCAAACTGGGGCGCAAGCTGCAGGGACTACGAGCAAAATGGCAGGCTCTGAAGGGGTGAGCAAGACCGGCGCCACTCCGAACGCAAGGGAAGGAGACTCGTCGCCTAGTAAACGATCGGATGCGGCAAAGCAAGCGGTGAACGACGGTGATAAAATGGACATTGATTCTCCAGCTGAAGTCCCTGTGGAAATTGTCACCGAGCCTGGGAACCTCACCCTGCCGCAAATGCGGGCCATGGCGCTTCAAGGCACTATAGCGGTGGATGCTATCCAGAAGCGGCTGGACGAACTCAAGTCGGAGAAGCACGAGATTTTCTCGAATTTGAAGAAGAAAGCCAGATAGGGGAGGTCCACGAACGGCTGATATCAGGTACGATTGGCAAATGGAGCGCATGAACTTTGTATAATGTGGCTTTGAGTATTGTATTCTTATGGTATCCTTTGAAATGCAGGACTTTGTTCACCAAAAATGAGATGGTAGCGTGTATGAAGACAGACGACGGCTTTTCAAGCGGCGAGCCGCTGCAAATCAAGTATCGAAGAATCCCGCTACCCAGTATTGAGCTGGATGGGCCTGCTCGTCTATCCAGCAGATCCCTTCTTTCAGAAGGTCATCCTGGTCAACATCAAAGGAAAGGCAGATGAGCGAGCCGCCCCCTACTTTGGATGGTGGAATGAAAAGCAGCACTATGGACATCACTCACCAGTATCCGTTGCGCCCGGTCTGGATCCCACCCACGGGCAGCTACTACCGAAGGAACCGTCACAAACCCACCATAACCCGTCGATTGCGCCAGCGCCAGAACGGTCGACAGGTCCGTATTGAGCTCTCGGGGCACTGATTGTACCAGCTTGCGCACTCCGACCTGCACAATGTCGAAACCACTGCCGAGCGGTTTGAGCGTTTTGATACTCCGCGCTATATCGTCTCTACGAGGTGGGCAGCGAAGGCTCTCAGTCTCGAACGGAGGATTCGCCGACTGAGGTTCCCACGCCAACACATCAACTTACTCGCTGATCTCTTGCGCATCCTTTCCTCTTAACCGCTCGAGCAACCTTTTGAGATCTCGCACATCGATCAGCCCTCCGTTGCGCTCCCTGGTCGCGATGCAAATCTCTGCGATCTGGACTCCAAGCTCATAGTAGAAATCCCCAACGCCAAGTAGTTCGGACCAGAATCCCTTATTCGCTGTCATCAATGAAATCTTAGCATTGCTCACCCACACTCGAATGAACAATGCTTCTGCGTAGCTTACAAGCCAGAGGATCTATCCCAATGTTTGTGCACATCCGTTGGAAATGCATACGGAACTTTGGGTCTCTTTTGATGTCTTTCCGATACTTTTTCGCAAAGTCTTCCAAATTCGTTTTGAAGAGCGTCAGCTGGGTTTTGAGCTGCAGAGTTTCCAGGTCAGATCGTCACAGACTGGCCTCGCGAAAATAACAAGAGGGCGGTCGTTGGCACCTGCTCCAGTTGCTGGTTCGATAGCGCTTCACCCGCTCGCTGAAACTCGGCATTTGTTCGTGCTTGCTGCTGTAGCCCACTGATCCCTGCCCGCCGCCGTGCCATTTTTTCCACGGTATCACTGTCCGCTCGTGCTACAACTACCGGGAAAATATGCCTTCTCGTCTTCTCGGCCGTGAGAACCTAAACCCCGCCTTTCTGTCCTCCCGCGACTTGATGACGGAACGACTTGCGTTCAGGTTCTGCCAGCAACCGATAAAACCACCCTTCGGAGGTAACTAGTTGGTTTGCAGTTGGCGTACAATACGTCAAGGTCAAGATGTGCTTGCAAATTCTCAAGATGGAGTCGCGCTTTAACGCCGTTTTGGTCCTGGTTTTGGTCCTCGGTCCTCGTCCACCCAAACGGCATTCTCCCCCGTCTCCCTCCTCCGACACATCCTTCGAAAGGTCGAAGTCCTGAAACTGGCAGAGAAGGGCACGGCATGACAAAACAGACCCACCTTCCGGTTCCCACCACACCAGCCACCACCACACAGGCCTTTCCTCCGGACTTTCATAGGAAATATAAAAATCGGCTACCTGTCTTTGTCAAAGGCCACGCAGAATTGCGAGCAGCCTGCACAACCGTCGAGGGGCTGCGGTGTTTGTTTTCCGCGACGGGCGGACTACCTAATGAAGGCAGTGGCGGAGCAAGGGTGAACGTCATGAAGGCGCTGGATGGAGAGAACTTCCTGGATGACGAGCGATATACCGAGCCGGTGTCGATCTCTGTAGAGGACTTTATTGGCCACGTGAAGGACACGAACGGGAGCGAGAGGGGAAGGATGTATTACCGAAGTACACTGCCGGAGAGCCTGAAAGCCCTCTTGGCAGCATCGGATATCCTTGACACGATATGCCCGACAACGTCAGACGCTACAGAAAAGCAGGCATTCGTTCACCGATCCTTCTCGTTAGCTCGATTATGGGTTAGCACGACTGGATGTGTTACACCTCTTCACTACGACAAATGTCATGGGTTGTTGGTTCAGCTGTACGGCAGGAAGCGCTTCATCGTCTTTCCGAGAGACGATGCGGGGAGCCTATACTTGCACAACGGAATAACCGGGCCGACGCATGCGTCCCGGGTGCGTGCGGTGGACAAGATATTTGAGAATGCCGCTAGGCTGCACCGGGGCGACATAGCCCAAGAGGAGACGATCCCTCTGCAGCAGCAAATCGATAATTTCCTCGATTCATACCCCAAGGTCGCCAAGACTACTCCATACGTGATCGAGCTTGATCCAGGAGATATCTTATACACACCGCCCGGCTACCTGCACGAAGTTGCCAGTTTATCTGGGTCTGTGTCGGTCACCATCCCATGGGATATGTGCCCCGACGAGTTGGACGATCGGCCAGCGTGGATGGCTTTCTGATTGCAACGGCCGACAATATAGAGTGCAGTGGAATGCCCATTGGGCAAGCATGTACATGTAGAGGTAGACTAAATACATCTAGAGATGAGAGAGCTTGGCATATCTACATCCGTGAGCGTTTCACAGCTTGAATTTGCCCAATCCCCACTTTCTTCCTCCCAACGGTTGGCGAACGTCCTGATTATTTGGCTTGCCCATCCGCCAGGTCTTGAGGTGTTGCTCCATATTCAAGAACGCGTCGTTCTCAAACAAAGGTCCTTCTACAACCACGGTTGCCCGCCCATCGCCTGAGCGTTCCCAGTGTTTTTGTGCGGGGTCACCGAAGTCTAGCGGACTCTGGACATCCTGTCCTAGCACTATCCGCCGTGCGACGCGCTTCAGATCTTCCGCGGTCAAGGATTCGATTCTCTTGCACATCTCCGCCACGCTCAGACGATGGCCCTGTACCATGATTTGGCGGCCGATGTCCTCGCACTCTACAACCTTGGCTTCCAGACTCATTAGCAGATTGCTCTTGAGCTGGTTCTTCGCTCTACTCAGCTCTTCGGCCCCGATCTCCGTCGTCATCCGTAGAAGCTGATCACAGAGGACCGGTATGATTTGCGCATGTGCTTCAGGACTGGGTGGAATAGACGCCTGAATTCCGAAGAGTCCGGTGTCGAGGTACGAGAAGTTGAGCATGTTGCAGTTTTCCACCCAGTGGTACCTGTTCAGCACCTGGGTGTACAATCGCGTGTACATGCCTTTCCCCGGCCCTCCAGCCGAGAATGAACCCCCTCCACCCATTAGACTCGTCAACGTTGCCAGTGCGTATACGTCTGGGTCCGAAATGGGTAGCGATTCAAAGGCGATGTATACGTGCGTCAATTGCTTATCGTCCGGATTTGGTGATGGTGGAAGGTCTTTCGTGTCGAAGATGGTAATGCCTCCCTCGTATCGTGCAGGCGCCCTCAGCTCAGATTGCAGCTTAGCTGTTGCCGGTGATATTGAAGGCATGTCTCCGAACTCCTTTGATGCAAGATCCACAAGCATCTGGTGATCCATTCCAATTCCCGCCACGACCATCCGATCGGGTGTATACCAGATGTCACGGTACTTGCGCATCGCTTCGGTGCTCATCACTTCTAGCCTCTCCATCGAACAGAGTAAAGGTCGTCCGAGGGTATCTGGCTCTCCTTTCGCGTTCCTGAACGCAACCGCATGGAGATGTTCTGGGAGTATCATCTCCGGCCGTTGCTGAAGCTCCTGAATCTCGTACATCGTAGTTTGTCTCGTGTCATCCATTTCTTCCGGCAGGAGAAGGGGATGACGAACAACTTGCCCAAGCATCTTCATCATTTTTGCGAGGTCATGCCGGAACACGAGACCCTGGTACATGATCGCCTCGCGTGAACTGTGAGCTATACAGTTTCCTCCCATCGATTCGAGCTCTTGGACTATCTGTTCCGTTGTGAACTGTTTCGTGCTCTACGAGAAGTCCAGGCATCAATTATGCTGTGATTTCAAGTGCATTGAGGACGATCCACGCCCACCTTGAAAGTCGTGCGGTCAAGGATATGTGAGCATCCCGCCAGTTCGTCGTTTTCGAACCTCGTCCCGGCATCCACATAAACTCCACACGCAACAAAGTGACCCGGCGCATCCTGCGAAGCGATTCGTAACCCGTTCGGAAGAGTGGTTATGTGGGTTTCTGAAGGAGCCATGTCGAAGGCAGTTTGCGTTGGCTTGGGGTTCAGTGCCGCATTAGAAAGCGACCGAGAGCTTAAACGCAGCCGATTTGCACTTGCGAATGACCTCTGAAAGTGCTATGGGGTGAGCCACCACTGAAACGCTTGATCTTCACAAGAGGACTGTGGCTTACGAACCTGCAGCGCGCTGGTCGTCAAAAGACTTGACACTCCGGCTTGCGACCGAGGTACAATCGAGGACGGGAGACTATGTCGCCCCAGAATTCGTCTTTCGAGCGAGGAAACTGCTGGACGGAGCATTGCAGCTTGAGGGTCCGGTTACCGCAATTGGCTCGGGAATTGTCGAAACTGCACGAAACCTGATGAGAGGTGGAATTCGGAGGGGTCGGAAGTTCGAGGGGGATTTAACTGTGCAGTCACGTGGAATCAAGGTCATTTATTCGCCGCTTCTTTATGGAGAATTGCTCCTCCGACTCCGCATGTGAGCAACAGGCGAACAGGCCCAGAGGACCGATCTCTGTCCAGTGCACCCAGCACGGGCGTATAGCACAAGTGAAACGCAGTTGTGCGACCTGTACATTGAGAAGCTCTCTCAGGGAAGTCCTTGGGAAGTACTGCAGGATGTCGTAAGTAGAGTCGGAGAAGTAAAGTGTCATGTGCGCTTCAATGTATTGACCCACTCTATTGCGTTGTCCTTAGATATTTTTTACCTCACCTTCACTCTGGCTGGCATGTTGATCAGTCCATATTGAACGAAGAAGACCGGGTGGTGGTCATTCGCTTTGGACACGACTGGGTAGGTGTCCTCCAGACAGAGTTTCGAAAAGTTAGATTTCCGCCCTGCTGTTACATTAAGCTAGAGATTGAGATTGTCTTCCTCTGTAGGACCCAACATGTATGAAAATGGACGAAATTCTGTATGGAATTGCTGAGAAGGTGAAAAACTTCGCGGTGATCTACTTGGTGGACATTTCGGAAGTTCCAGGTATGGAAAAGCGTGAGAAGAAACCCCTTCAAGACTACTACTCTGACCCCGTACCTCCATATCAGATTTCAACAAGATGTACGAATTGTACGATCCCTGCACCGTGATGTTTTTTTATCGGAACAAGCATATCATGATCGATCTGGGAACGGGAAACAATAACAAGATCAATTGGGCACTGGAGGATAAGCAGGAAATGGTGGACATCGTCGGTATGTTTCGCGGCTTTCAGTTACGCGATGTGGATGGGTATAGAAGCTAATTGCGTCTCAACATCGCAGAGACGGTCTTCAGCGGCGCCAGGAAAGGCAGAGGTCTGGTTGTGTCGCCAAAAGACTACTCGACGAAATACAAGTACTAGGTACGGGCTCGGACGATCTCCAATCTTAAAACTCACAAGTCATCGGCCGAAACTGCCGAATTTTGATAGCCATGGCTTCAAGCCCTGCCGCCGCCCCAGCATATACGTAGACTTACCTGCAACACCTTTTGGCCTCGCAAACTCACGAACAAAACTCATAAAGGTTCGTTCAAAGTTATGTATATATGTACCATAGTTCAATCAGAATTCTATATTTGCACGTTTGTATCTGGTCAACGGACTCGAGCTTTTAGCGAAAAATGTTCCAACGGGAGGCATCCGTCAACCCATTCGGCCCAGTCTTCTTCCGTTGTGTTTTCCCACCATTCGCCTCTCGCGATCAGAGTATCCCTGTGAGCCAAATCCTCGGCATCGATCCCATTCACTTTGGTAACTGGCGGTGCGCGCGGGGCCACCATGCCGGGCTCATCGTCCAAACTTCCGGACTTCTCAAGTCTTGTGCCGAGAAATGTGCATGATTGGTCAACGTACGTCACCAAGGAATCGACCTCCGCCATCATAGCCAGCAGCTGGTGCTCTCTGTTGTTTGTTCTGTACACCGTTGGACATGGCAAAGCGCCCTCGGGGCCGGGTACTTCTTTTTGCTTTCGGTTAGCGGCAAGGAACTGGGCTATATCCTGGTAGGTGCTCCGTCGACCTTCAGTCTTCAGTTTCGTTGCTCCTTCGGGAGCTGATGCTTCATTCTTGAAGTCGCTGACATCCGTAGCTTTGCCTTCATCCGTGATGCTGACTCGATCCGCCCGAGCATAATTGTATATCCCTCGAGCCAGCAACCTCCCCCACCACGTTTGAAGAGTCTGCACTGCCTTCTTTGATCTTTGATCTTCCCATTCACGTACATTTCCAATGGAATGAAGAGTTTGCATGTCTCCTTCTCTGCTCCGAATTCGCCTCCTGATCTTGGTCGACTCTGCGGTGAGCTTTCGCAGTCGGTCGGCATGGTGGGCCTCCTGTGCACAGCGCCGACGGTCCAGATGACCACGCATAATCTTCTGTATCCTAATGGCCGCCTCATGTGAGTTTGCGACTGTCCGCCGTTGGATGTGCCCTCGAATGTGCTTCTGAATGATCGTGGCCGCCCGTTGATGGGATGAGGGGATTTGGCTCGGGTCATTTGTTACTCGCGAGGGGGTCCGACGCTCAATACCACCCTGGGCAGAATCGGGAGCAACAGAAGATATGTTTTGGGCATTTGCGCCGTCTCGCTTGTCCGTCATTGTTGAAGGGGTAGCAGAGGCGTTCAAACTTCGCAAGACGGATTTCCTACATGCATACGACGCGAGACAGAACGCGAGAGTGTCATCGGGACACGGGTCCGAGGCGGCCGTCCTCTCCCGCCGTTCCGAAGCACAGCAGACAGCAAGTTGCTCATTGCCGATATTCCCCACCCTAGAATAAGAGACGTCAGAAACCAGGGCTCGGTAGTGCATCACCGTAATCCACATTTTTACGATACGTCGTGTTTCTTTGAGCTCCATGCTGGCCGGCAATAACAAGATGGAAAGGGAACCAGGACATCGCCCTTCCCACGCAGGAGGCGGACAGGGCAGCGGCGGTGCAAGAGCAGAAGACATTAGGCACAAAGTGCAACAAGATGCCCTTGGTGCGAAGGCCAGTGCAGCAGATTTTGTAAAGAGCTGGGTAGCCGCAACGATCAAAATACCACGTCGTAGACGACTTGATGCTTTGGTTGGTCTGGAAAGATCTGACGAGAACTTCCATGTAAGGCTTGAGCTGCCATCCAGAGCTGATACGGGGCGTTTAGCTGAATAGATCATTGTATTCCAATCTCGGCTATCAGCGATATGCCTTTGTGAAATACATAGAAAAGCAGATCAACTCTTTTGTGGCTCCCACAATTGACGCTCAGCTGAAGAGTGCTCGGATATCAGATGGTAAGGACCGCAGTTGTTCGCATGCTTTCTTGAGCTCAAGTCTTGTTCGTTCACCTAACCCAACAAAGGTCATCAGGCGCCCCGCAGCTGGATGTCCCGATGCTCGTAGAGTCGCTGATGAACTCGGAAGAGTATGCCAGCTTCGTGAGAAAACTGCTGGATGACGCCAGCGAAAGCATCTCCCAGCTCATGGCAGAGGGACCTACATCTCTCGCGCCAGTGTCCAGTGATGCCTTTGCTGATGAAGAAACACGAAGACAGCAGGAGCATAGAAACGAGCTGCGGAAGCTTACACAGGATCTTTCGACTCAAAGCCTGTCAACGAATGAGAGTGCGAGCTGGTCATTGTCTCTGGAAGGGCAGACTTGGAAGAAACTTCCATATTCTTCCTTGCCCGTTTTGTCTATCGAGGAGATTCGGACAATCGAGACGAATCTACAGCGTAGAAACAGCGTGGAGGTCCGACAGGGCGCATTGCAACGGCTAGCGTCATACCCATCTATGGATCTCCTATGTGGAGAGGTTTGGCCAGACGCAAAGAGCGCTTTGAAAAGTGCCATTAGCGACCCAGATAGCAGGATAGCGACTGGATGTCTACGAATCTACGCGCGGATCTTTCGGGCAGCTCCTACGACGATGATGGGCGAGATTTACCTGAGCTTGGTTGACCACTTGACGCATATCTTCGAATCTGGCTACCAAGATAAGGTGGTTGACGGTCTCTGTATTGAGGACGTCAGAGTGCAGCTCCTTCTCAAAAAGGTATTCGGCGCTCTACCATTGCCCGTACCTCTGAGTGTTAACTGACACCGCTTCCTCTTTCCATTGAAGTTCAGACTGTTGAATCAGTTTCAGCAAGAGCTTACCTCTTGCTGGGTCCGATTTTCTGATCAACTTATCAAAGAAGTGATGTTGGCCACATTTAGGCTGTTCGGGCTCTCATCCTCCATAGCGGGTTGGGCGGACCGAATGAAGTCATCGCTAGTCACTGGAACTGCCCCTGGGAAATCTTCATTCATCACACCGCTGCATTATCTAAGCATCGTCGATGTCGGAGCAGTCTGGTTCGAAAGGTGGACGATCAGCAAGTTCGGCAGATCGCATATCGCTGCCGCTGTGTTGGAGACAGGGGTATTGAATGGCCTTGCTGCCCGCTTCATGGCTCACGCCGCCCATCTGCTCCGCACATCTTCTTCCATTGCGAAAAACTGCGATGAGGTTCTGGTTTTGGATGTAGAGGTTGCGGAAGACCTCGACGAGCTGGTAGCGCGCCGCAAAATCGGCATCGAAGACCTCGAGTACGTGCACTTCCTGCATGTCCTTGTAGTATTGGGAAAGCTCTCCATTTTCGAAGGAGGAAAAGAATGCTTCCCGGTTGATTTGATGAGCGCCCTGGGAGTAGCCGCAGTGCCCGCTCTTCAAAATGTGCTTGGAGAGAGCCTCACCAATTCTAAGGCATCCACACCTCAACAGGCGTGCCTCACACTCGAAGGACTGACGCAAATATTCGTCCGGCTGATGTGTCAATGCCCACGGACGACATTCACGATGCACATGGAGGACGGAGCAAACAAAGGTCATACATTGGAGGCGTTGAAACTCTCGAGCTTCGTTGTCCGACTGCTGCGGGAGATTATTGAGACAGACAAGCTCTACGACAAAAGGTTGCTGAAGGTGCGATCTCCACATCATATGTCGGCGAAGAAGGTGTCTGTCATGCTAACAAGTCCCCGTTCCATTTTCCATTTTGAAGAGTTCCGTATTCGCGGAGCTAATGCAGCCTTTGCATACCGCGCTCGGAAGCGGGTCCCAGAAGGGATCACCCAACGATCTGGAGTCTCTCTCTGACGTTGCGGAGACTTTATCCAACATCGCGGCCACGGACTCGGGGAGGCAGTTTATATTGCAGCAAGAAACCGCGGCACTAGTCACGGTGAAATCTCGCAACGACTCGAAAGGAATCTCAAACCGGCCGGAGCAAGCACGGGTGCTCCAGACGGTGACCTCGTATGTCGAACAAATGATTCGTGTGGGGATCACATCACAGCAAGAAGTCAAAGTTCTGGGAGGATTCATCTTTTTCCTTCGACAACTATACAGAACTTGCGATGGTTTGCGGCATCTGCAGCAGTATAACCTGCACATGACTTTAGCGAGGATTCTAAACAATGGTCCGTGGAAGGACAAAAATGGAGAACTAGCTGTTTCCATGAGCAAAGCGTGGCACTCGATCGCTGTTGACAATTTGCTGAATTACGCTGGAACGCCAAAGGGAGTCCTCTTGCTTCAGTTAAGCGGGTCGATGAATCCAGCTGTCGCATATATGGTTCGCAGGTGCGTAATGACGCATGATCATGCTTTCGATACGCTTCCTAATCCCAGCTTTTGTTTCAGATACGAGAAGAAAATGCAAGTGAGCAAATGCGACAAATTCGGTTATGGGGTGCTGGTCTCCCAGATCTCCACAACGAAGAGTGGCATGCAGGCATTGTATTCGGCGGGCTTATTGAAACTCTTCTTTTCGGATATGTGGGGCTTTCTGGAGCACGATGACACGGTCAGCATTGCCGCACCCCTCATCGAACCATTGGACGACCATCTTGCCAAGAAGCTGGTCGGCAACATTTTGAAAGTCTTGATATCGTTTCCGGGCCTGTGCGCGATCGTGGCTGAAGAGGACAAGCCTACCACTGGGAGAGACTCGTTGGATTTCCTGATGAAGAATGCATTGACGGACAACAAGGGTTCTCGCAGGAGTGATGGAACACTCGGACGATATGACGAGCTTCAGCTCGTGGCTCTACGCATCCTGAAGATCGCAAGCTCTTCGCTGGACTCTTGCATCCTGCTGCAAGCGCATTATCGATTTCAGGAGGCATTGCTCAGCATGCAAGTGAATGCACAGGCAAAGTCTGGTGGGCGGCTTCCGATCGACGAACCGCAAGTTATTGACGAGGCATCCCTCTTGCGCAATTACATTCTCATCGCGACATTCGCCGTGGGTGGAGCTGGGGAACGCGTCCTTCCGCCTATAAAGCTGTGCGATGTCCTCCAACAACCACTTCCCACCGTGCATGCATACCCGGTCCCAGTTGAGTACATGCCACCCATAGCGCAGGTTGGAACTTCCATGACTCCCCAGCTCAAGACCATGGAAAAAGACCTTGAGAAGTTGCTTTCGCAGCCAGCATCACAGATGGCCTCGTCTGCATGGCTGCAGAATATGGAATCCGTCGTCAGCAACATCATCACGTTCGAAGGGGATACAGTCTTGCTATCCGCTCGCATTCTCTCTGCGTGCCGGTTTCTCCCTGAAATTTTGCGGGCGCTGATCAACCTGCCAGAAAGGGATCGAAACTCTATAGGCTGGATTACACTCAATGCCGTGAAGCCTGATGCAAAAGTAAAATCACACGGGCCCGATAACACCAGCCTTCTCAAATACGACTCCATTGGGCTCGATATCGCTGCACGATATGCGCACCGACATATGCGCTCTATCCCGACAGAAAAGTTCAGGAAAGATCTCGCCAGCCTTCTGCACGAGACACGGACTCTGCTCAGGCCTCATCAGAAGCAGCCTTCCGAAGCGAGAGAAACTGCACAAGAGCTCTCTTCAACATTCCCCGGCTTTGATTGGTTCCTCAGCACCGCCTTCATATTACTACAGGGCGATAAGCAGCGGACATTGACGTACCTTACCTCACTGTTACCGTACCTGCCTTCTATGTATATGTGGCCCCAGCGAGCCCATCGCTCTCGGCTTTTTGACCCACAGCGATATGATGTGCCGCTGCTGTACTCGACGTGCTGCCATCTTGTGGAGGCGATTTTGGAGACCGAGCTGCCGGCCTTATTTTCTGCTTTCACCTTGAGCGGTTGTACGCCGAGTCAGGTAGGTTTCCCCAACAGTAATTCCACCCGTCTTTGCTCGGGATAATAACTCTTGATCAATGAATAGCTCACCCAGCGCTGGTTCCGCGAACTCTTTTGGACACATCTACCTCTCTCGTCAATCGGAACATACCTTCTGTTGGCGACTGTCTTTGGGATCGATTACCAGATATACTTCTGCATCGCCCTCTTGAAGCACATTCAACCTGCAGTGCTGATAGCTACCAGAGATCACGGGCTGGTGGCGTTCTTGGGGGATCCATCTCGAGTGGTTGGCGCCTCAGATGGCATTCCACACATCTCGACGGCAGGAAAGCAGAAGGAGGGAACGCATGGGAAAAACTCTGGGGATGATGACGTATTTGCACCAGCTCGGTACTTATCTTACATGCACACTCTGCGAGACAAATACCGGATCGCTGTACTCCGAGAAATGCGAGAGGCGGTTGGATGTTGATCCAAGGAGCCGGTGCTCCTTACGTTCTACATGTATATATATCCGGTGCCATCTTATGTGCACCACAGCTACCACTCACAGACCGTCCCATCAGCGGTCTAATTGCTTCTTTCATGTACACATAATCTCAAAGTAGATGTTCCAAACGTGCTGCCAATCATTCATCGATGTCTTCATTAATATCTGTCCATATACAGTTCGTCTATTCTATATCAAACAACGATGATCGTGCCCTATTGCTGCCCATCCGACGGTTAACAAGCAGCAAAAAGAGCAGCGACCCGTTCTTAAAAGCGTAGTTCCACCGATTTACCACCGCAGGACCCTCGCTTCCTCTGCGGGAGAATACAGAGCAGCACGTCTACGCCGTGGGCCAAATCAAATCCACAAAATCGACCAACGTCTGAGTGTGAACCTTCGCCTTCTTTGGCGCTCGGTCACGGATGAACTCTACACCATCGTGCAACGCTCTTTTTGTGTCTTCATTCAGCTCGACGTCAATTGTTCCCAGTATTATGGTGATCAAAGTAATGTATGCCTCCCAATTTTGATCAATTGGCACAGCTTCCAGGTGCTTCCGCGCTTTCGTGGGGAAGTTGGACGCACTAAGCCGTGTTTGACCATTGGATTTGCGAGAGACGTAGGAGAGCCGGCTGAGTAGGATGTCGGATATGGCAAAACGAGCGGTTGCTGGCTCAATGCTCTAGGTGAGAGGGAAATGCATTGTCTTGTTTGGTTGTGGAACGCGATACACTTGATGCAGTATGGTTCTCACCTCAATCATCAAAAACGCCGCGGTGTCATCAATCCGGTTGAACATGGAGCACACTTCCCTCCAATATGTGAGAAGGTCAAATTGACCAGATTTTGATAGTGACGATATCTATCTTGCACCAGCATAGTCAGTCTCATTCGCTGTTTCAATGGACATGGATGTGGAAACACCCACCTCACTGATCCACTCGCCAATTTCAACCGTGATGGTCCCTTTCGGGTCAGTCTCTTCTAAAATCTCCTCAAAAACATCCAGGGGTGCTTTCAAATTGAGTCGTCGATGAAGGCCTAGCGATTGCCCCAGTATGCTGTTCTCTAATGGTTCTGAGGATCGAGTTCAACACTTCTCCCAAGGAAATGTCGCGCTTCTTACGCAAAACCATACCTGTTCTACTTATGTCGTCCTTCAGCAGCATCCGCAGGAACTGTATGAATGGCAACCGGATGTCGCATCCTCCTAGATGGACGCCATCTTCCCCATTCCCCACAGCGCTTGTCCATAAGTCGCGCAGATACACCCATACTTCAATAGGTTTCGCCGTCGAGTCGTAACGCCTGGGGAAGAGATCTCGGAAAGGCCCGCTCCCGTGAGTTTTTAGCGTTCGATGCAGGACTGCAAGGGCATGAAGTGGTGTGACATCTGGAAATTGTTTTGGGTGGAGAGGCGACTGCAGGAGGATCTGGAGGATGCCGCTATTCCATTCGTAAGTGCTACAAACATCGAGTGACAGTGCTTCGGCTTTTGACTCACGGAGGCGGGTATAGGTTTTCAGAAACTAGTGAGTCGAGGACGGAGAGCGCGGAAGCATCTGCAGGCGGTGAGGAACGTATCGCTTTAGACGATGTTTTTGGGACACAAGAACTGGAAGGTTGACAGTCATACTTTCCGAGTCCTCAAGTAAGGTGTCCACCAAGTCTGTGTACCCAGCGGGGAAAGCACGGCCCTGGTTCAAGCATGGGGCAACTTTCTCCTCGGCACTTGATATCAGGTAGGACTGGATAGGAGGCCCTGCCATGTCCTCGTTGGAAGCGTCGAGTGGATATACAGTAGAGTTACTGCTTGGACATGTATTAGTTGAACGACAGGAATTAAGGCTGAGCCGAGTTTTGAACGACTTCTGCTCCTTCGGACATCGATCGCACCGCGTTCGTCCGGGACTGACAATTGACTGGCAATCCCACGCCGAAGTTTTATCGAAGCAGGGCAACGCTCAACGCAGGATAGGACAAGCCGGTCCAGGCCTGGGTTTGAGGACAGCCTTGTTTAGCTCACACCTCGACTCTCGAGTCGTCCCCATTCCGTCTGTGAAAGAGTCGTTGATGTCGTAACTCTGACGCGTGTGGACTCCCGTGGGCTCGCGAAATACAACGTCGAGGCATAGCGAAATGGCTCAATCGGAACGAAGAGGACGGAGCAAGGAGAGCGACAGAGAGACCGAAGGATCAAGGAGTCTGCGGGGCGAAAGCAGGGGCTCTGAAGACATACAACGGCGACGGCGAAGCAGTGATAAGGAGGAGGATACTCGTCGCAGCTCAGGTCGAGATGAATACGCTTCACGACGGAAGTCATATCGGCGCTCATCTAGGTCGCCACAACGCTCCCGTCACCGCGGCGAGCCGCGGAACTATTCACGGTCCTCATCATCCTCGGGACGCAGGTCTCGTTCTATCTCATCGCCTCGGAGGTCTTCGCAGCCGTCTGCAGCTGTTCTAGCTGCGTTTGCTGCCGCCGCTCAACAGGCCAGTGCGCCACCGCGCTTTGCAGGAACAGTGGTCCAGGGGTCAGCAACGCCGAGTACAATGACTACGTCTTACCACTCGCCATCCAACGTTGCTGAAAAGAAGAAGTTATTGTGGGGAAGTAAAGCCGCAGTTCCACTACCAGCGGCAACAGAGACTCAAGAGGTAAGTCTTACCTCTCAGAACATCACAATCGGAAGTTTCGATTATATGATCGTCATACACCGAACTTCTCCTTGCTTCCTCGCTTTTTCCGACTCGCACTTTCTCTTTCCTAGTCCGCTGCCTTGACCGCAAATAAATGGGAGGCCACGACGTTCAATGATGATGAAACCGGCCAGAGAAAGAACAAATTCTTGAAGTTAATGGGGATGGGTAAAAATCCCAAGTGAAGTAGAGCTGCGCATTTCCTAGATGGAGTCCGTTGGCGGGCGAAGAGCGGACCGCCAATAAGTGTTACGGATGGGAAAGCATCGGCGCTGTTTCGCGGAAACATGTACATATAGAATCAGGGGGATGGGTGACTACAGTACGTATGGGTGGCCGCGGACACGCTCTAAGGTGTTCTCACATCTATGACTGCTATGTACATCGAGATCGCCTTATATTTACATCTGAATGAGTATCTCCCGTGCAGCTTTTCGGTGGTGGACTTGGCTCTTTGGGAGGCCTTTGTGAAGAAAGCATGCGTTCTCGGAAGGCTGAAAAGAAGTAAGATCCAGCGAGTATCACCGTGTCTTCCTCGGACAACATGTCCGTGAACCACCGTCGCGTTTGATCGGCATTGCGACGACTTCGACGCGCTGTCGCTGAGCCGTAGGCGGCGAAGGCGTTCGTATCGGCAGGCAATCGAGCGAGATCCAGACGCGCCATCATTGCGAGCCATGGTCCCGTTTCGGTGACGAGTGTGCGAGTTCGCCATGTCGCGGACGAATGGCTCAGTGCTCTCTGCAGTATCGCATGGATTGGTCTGAGATTGAGATTTCCACGTTAGCTTGTGCGACATCCATTCAACCAGGTGGTCTCCGTTCAGAAGGCTGCTTCATGAAACATACCTTCTATACGCTAGTGATGGTTCATGAACGAGATAGGGGCTTTCGAACGCGGATAAGCTGCGCCTTTCATCAAGAGGTTTTGAGTGCGCGAAGAAATCTGCGTACGAGTCAATGCCTTCAGCATCCTGCCAGCTATTCCCAGATGGCCAGGACGTTATGATGGGACAGCTTCCAAAAAATGCATCAGCATCTGTATCTTGGGTTTGGCCAGTTACTTCAGGTTCTGCGTGCTGAAGTTGAGTTCAGCAAAACGCACGCAGTTTTGGCGTGTTCCCGGTGAAACGCCGCAAAGACCCACCAGTAAACCATTGAAGCTCTTGACCCTACTATTGGCGAGAATGTCGTAAAGCGCCAGTGCATCGGCCTCCTTGATATATGGCGTGAGTAACTCCAAAAGAGCCCCAGCAGGAAGGTGTGCTTTGGTAGGCATGCGGGATATTCCGTTCGTTTGAGGAAGAGGCAAACTCGCAAGTTGGCCCACGGTGTTCCGATGACATCCTCCTATGAAAGGAACCCCGAGAGAAATGACCTTGAAACCACGGAGAGTTTCTGAGGTGGATTCGGCGGAGGCTGCATCCGGCTTGCCTTCCTCGCCCGACAAGCTTCTCGTATATAGTGCCAAATGGGTCAAACACTTCCTCACGTCTCCGCGATATGCTTGGGCGATGAGCGCGAGAGGCTTCGTGTCAGTCAACCAGTATCCGCTTGCCAAGCATTTTAGGTGTAGATAGCACGCGACTTGTTTTGTGCTTGGCCATTGTATTTGGACCAGCCGAATCAGATTGACGAGCCCCGACAATATGCCATTGGGAATCATTTGATTACTTGGAGTCAATGGGTTCGCTGGGCATAAAGAAGAGTGAGATAAGGTCCAAGTTTCGGAATAGTACAGCAGTGGTTGTACTTACAGTTACAGGTGAATATGATAGGACATTTGCTTTTATGAAGCAATGTAAGCACACTCCCCCAAAAACCACGATCAGCTTCGCATAGAGCATCCACCTCGTCGAGGAGGACGAGCCTCTTTCTTAGTGTTCCTTTGGTCGATGGAGGCGAAGGAAGATCGCTGGCGGCGTCAATCGCTGGCGGAAGACCTCTCGAGGTGTCGCCAAGGCCTTCTACATCAATGTCCACGTCCTCGCTGGCACTTTCTAATGAAACGGGCTCTTCAGACTCGGTCTCCGCTCCCTCACAATTCTTTGGCGTGAAGAAGCTACGGAGATTACGCCCTGAATTCTCAACTGCGCCGGCCTGTTGGCGAGATTTCCGCTTCCGCGATTTGCCAGTTGCCCGTGCTTTAGTTCGGCCGGTACGTTTGGCGCCTGCCCCTTTGGCTGCTGCATCCTTTCCTTTCCGCTTGGAGGTAGGTGGTGGTGCATCACTGATTGCTGCGAACATGCGCTGGATGTTTATCCCCTCCGCCACCTTCCCAAGCTGTTCAATGTTCTGATTGTTAACGGCTTCTCCGACAGCGATGAGAATGTCTTTTCCATTCCGTCGCTGTCCCGCGTTGATCTCGATAATGTCGAAATCTTTTTCGCCCGCTATGGCGTAGACTAACGATGTTTTACCTACCCCGGGTGGGCCAATCAGCATCAAGTGCTCCGGTGAGGTTGGCTGTCCACCTCCATCGCTGTCTGAATCGTAGTACTCCTCATCAGAGGAAGCGAAGTCACGGCCTGTGGAATCCGAACGATGCCTCTTGATTGAACGCTGTTTGCTCTGTTCCCGCGAATCTCGATCACACCCCTTCGCTGTTTTCCACTCATCTAACCACATTGCCAGAGTGACTGTTGGGTCAGAGCCGGAGCCAGGATTCGGAAAAAAGGAGGTGGTCGAACCAGTATCAAGGAAGTCCGAAGAGGGTTGACTTTGCGGTTGCCAGCTCGGGATGCAGTCGTATAGAGACTTGCAAGGGGCACACTGTAATGTTGGTGAATCGTACAATTGCTGCAGGTACTCGAAGAGGGAAGACGGAGTCATCGGAAAAATGTCCAAAGTTGCGGATGTGTGTGCCTCCGTGTTCTCGATGACCTTGGGAGCTGGAAGCTTCCCTTCCGTCGGTATTAACCATTTCTTGACATTCACGAAGGTGGGCGGTGAGCAGCTTTTATCAAACGATACGCGTTTGAACGAAAATCCCTTTCGGAGCCGAATGCCTCCTTTAATGAACTCTTGAGTACCTGCACCGGTATGGCAGTTTTCATTAGGCCACGAGGGGTATAACGGATTTCGTTTCGATGGCTTCGGCTTCGGAGCATCGATTGGAAGGGCACTTCTCAAAGTGCTTTGGCTCGTAGGTCTTGGCTCATGCCCGATCTTCTCGTCCCCGCTGTCCACTCCATCCTTCTCATCCACTTTTCTTCGCGAGTCCGAAGAGGTATCCCGGTGCAGTTTACGACGCTTTGGACTTCTACCATTTTCGTCTGCACGGACTTTCGGAGTCTGCTGGAGTTTCCCGCATAGTTAGTCAAAGATGGCGCCGGCGACACTACTCAAAGTAGCTTACGGGGAGAGAGAGGGCCGTTTCCGAGGCAAGCAGTTTCACGACAGTAGCGACTACCGGCGGTCGATTGATGATCAAGGACGAAACGCCGGTTTCTGTTTGCTTGCCGGCGCCGGAGTTAAAGTCGCCCGAGATAACGTCGCGGACCATCTTCGCACCTTGCTTTAACTATGCATGAAGAAAACAATCAGCGCCGGCAAGGTCAAGAAGTGGGGACATCTTCTATTATACTACCTCATCGTATTGTGCAGCACCATGCAGGCTATAGTCGTCTATAGTATTCTGGGACGCAGCGGAGGCTTCAAATTCTTCCGGGTCGAAAAGATCCGAGTCCATTGTCACATGCACATTGACCTATCGTTCACTACAGTACGAAAGGCCTATAAAGCACAAACCTGCAAAGGGCAGGTGCTGATGCCCACTCAAGTAGATGTACTGTACAGTACATATATTCTCAGGAGTGCGTCGGCCTGGGAAATGTCTGGGAAAACACACAGAATCGTCCCGATGATTCGACGCGTCGTGCTTGTCCATCTCCTCGGACACACAACGACAGAGCGGGTTCTCCCCAAGATGCCCCGTATCTTTCATTAATGTTACAGTGAACATAAATTCATTATGATAATATAAAGTTTCGCTGGGTCAACCGGTCGTCAACGTCAGTATTGTCGTGCGCTGTGATCTGACGATGGCAGCATTGTTCGCAGCGATATCGCTTTTTGTGGTTTCAGCTCCAACCAGGAAGCATCGCCATAGTCCAAGATCCAGATACAAGGTGATATAAGCCTTGGGAGGCAGAAAGACTTCATACATGAACGCATCATGCCATTACATCGACAGCATGGTGTGGGAACCTCGCAAGTCCAGCCGCGATCCCGGGCCGGCGAATCTTTCTTTCGGTTGCGAGTTCCGGACATACTCCTTGATGAGCTCCGCGATTTCATGCGATTGAACGGTATTGAAGATATACTTCTGACCTGCGGAAGACGAAGAAAAGATATATGCGATAACCGTTCAGTAACGGAATCAAGCAACAACATCAGAGCAAAACTCACCGGTGGCGTTGTTGCCAATAATCAGTAATATGCTATTCAAGGACGGGCTATAGCTCACGATATCTTGATACGAGTAGGTGAAGAGAGGCGTCTGGAAGCAGATTGAGGTTAGATGATTCGGGAAAGCTCCTGCACTTCGATGGCGTTTACCTTTTGATGTTGGGCAAGAATGTGTATGTTGCCGACTCCAACGGCAAGCCAGCATGCACTTGGCATACTCTTGTTTGTATTTTGCTACAAAAACGGCGAATGCGGTCAGTCCCAGGCAGCATCAGACTTGTCCCAGAACTACACTCACCTCCACGTTGAAAATTGTGCACCCATAAAGTGGCCACGCCCGAAGGATTTGAGAAATCTCCGCCTGTGCTTGCGCCGAGGTTGTTCCCAAGTACTCCATATGCTTTTCGGCAACCTTTTTCCCTGTGCCCGGAGTGTTCAACCGCTTGGGGATATACGCACTGCAGAGGTTGTCGTAATTGACCGGTCGATCGTAAGAAACGTCGCCATGCTGCACTTGCGCCCACAGAGCAACAAGAACCACAATATCGTCCTCGCTGACTGGGAACAGATCTCGCCCGATGTCGGTGAGGGCCTGTGCCCGTACAAGCTTGTTTTCCGCTGCGCTGGTGCTGTCTTGCTTCGGATGTAAAAAGAGCCTCCTCTTGAGAACAAAGCTCACTCTGTCCATCGTCCTCTCCTGCTTTGTGTACTTTTCCCACCGCGACAACGAATCTGTGATTTTGTCTTCTGGTGCGATCGCTCGCTCAAACACCCCGAAACGTTCGTAAATGGCAAAGCCGGTAAGCGAGGGCAGCTTGAGCTTCTCCAACAATGCGTGATATATCGCATCGCCCGTATCGGATGGTTCAACGGGCACTGCGATGGTCTGCCCATCCAATAGATGGAAGCGAATTCGGAGAGGGACAAGTTTTGCGGTCTGCATAATTTCGTCAGTCGAAGGGGGGAACTTGCGGGGAGCCGCGGGTATCGTTTTATGTAACGTCCGCAAGCAATGCCGGGCGTGCTGAGCTTCTTGCGTCCGTGCTTTCCGAGTCCTTGGGTCAACCGCGCTATATAGACGCAGATGGGCCTTCGCATACTCCAATATCCACCCAGTTGGTGCCAAAGCGCCTGCAACCACAGTCAGGACTCGCCACATGTTCAGGACAGACAAGCTGTCAGGTTCAGGGTGATTGGTCGTTTGCTTGATCAACTGCAGATATAGTTCATTGATCAGGTATGGCGAGTCCAGACACTTGTCGATGACCCCTTGCAAAGCCTGGATGGGCCACTCGGACAGTTCCGGAGGAGGTGCACCTTGCAGCCCCGCGAACTCTGACAGAACAAGAGAGGTCTCGGCCGCCCAGGTAGGGAAATCAGGATCCGCCAGGGCCATGAGCGATGAGACCAGGACTTTCGATGAGAATGAAAAGTCTGCAAGACCGTAGTCGTCTGCATACGCTTCCTCTCCCGCGACTCCAATGCCTTTCACAGACTCATCGGAGCTTGGGGAATCTTTGTTCATTTCGCTACGGGTACTCTTCATACTAGAAGAACTCAAACGCCTCTGCATTGAAGGGCTTTCCGCAGCCACTGCCTGCACCTGCGGCTTTCCTTTCGTCGTCGTGGTGAAAAGTCTTCGAATGCCCCCTTGCTTCTTCTTAACCCCGCCTTCAGGACCTGGGCGCCTCATGATGTTGTGCTCCAAGAGGGCCAATCGGCATTTGTCGACGTCGCGGTGCAGCTTCTTGATGTCGACATCCTGCACTTGCTCCTTGACCTTCTTCGTGTATTCAGTCGTTGGACAGTATTCGCGAATGAGCATGACAATCTCTTCGGCTTGCGAGGTAAAAAACTGATAAACCTCCGTCGCTTCGAAAGCCGCGTCCTCATTCGGCGTCACGGCCATCAACGTGAGCAAGCCATTCTCATGCTCGTAACTCTTCAGATCCTTGTAAGGGAAGCTTGAGAGAGTCTCGTGCGTTCGTGACTGCAAGTAGTCAATACCAGTGCTGTGTACGGCGATCGCGATTTCTTCACTGAAGGCCCACATCCCTTTGTGCTTGACAGAGAATAAGCCCGCGCCGTAGTGTTTCAGGGAGCGAACAGTCTGCAGATATTGAGACTTCGCACTGTCCGGACTGGTTCCATGCAGTTTCAGATAGTGCTTAACGATTCCAGATACCCAGGCCTCGCGCGGCTGGTTGGGAATAAGCCTAGCCACGATCCACGAGTTCAGCTCGTTGACCAGACGCGTTTCAGCCGCGCGTGGATCGCAATCGCCAAGAAGTATTTGCGCCCTTAAAGCGGCCAGGTGCATGGCGACTAGTTCGGTCATCGGGTACATATCCTTGATGACACCATCAACGGCTTGAGCGTACAGAAGGTTGTATTCCACGCCGTCAACAATTTCCTCAGTCACGTCACGGAAAACCCGCTTTTTCAAGACCAGGCTGGCGTCCAGATTGGTAGCTACGCCTAACGCCGGGCTTTCGCCCTTTTTGCCCTTTTTGAGAGTGGCAGATTGATCTTTCTTCTTGGGGTCCTTGTCCTTTTCCCATGCTGCTAAGGTATCAGAGACGTAATCGGAGGCCTTGATGGCGCGTTCGCTGCGAGGGTTGATTTCGTACAATGACCACCCTGATGGATCCTTCAAATCGATCTTCTTCGCTATCTCCTTCACAATGTCTCCGGCAATTGTAGTAAGCCCGACGGGAATATCCATCTCCCGGCCGTCCAGAAGACTGAAGCGACACGGCAGTACTCCCCCAGACTTAAGAGTAGTGATTTCGAGCAAGGATGGGGCATTTTTGCGTGACCCGTTCAACAGTGTGCGTCTCAAAGCTTGCTCGGCTGCAACGTTCAGCTTCTTGATGGGACTGGACTCTTGCAGGCTTGCGGCGGTGCGCTTCAGGAATGCCAACAAAAACTTCGCCAAGATCTTGGACGGCGGGAACGTGGCGGCAGCCAAGGTCAAGATCTGCCATGTATTTAGTTGTAGTTGGTCCCACTGCTTCGGCACTCCTCCCTCTTTCGGTTCGGTGACTTGCTTCACCAGCTGAACGAAAATCTCATCACGGAGCTCTGGCGTATGTATACCAATGTGCAGATACGCCTGGATAGCCTCTTCAGACCGTTTGCCACCAACTTCAGAGGCTCGCAAAAGAGTCTTGAAGGCTTCGACGGCCGCTTCGTCCAGAGCTTCGTTCTTATGAGGTATCTTCGTTATGCTTCCCGCAATCGGCACCTTGCTGTATGATAGCATCTCCTGCATAGGTACAAACGCCTTCTTCTTCGCTATCGTGGCGAACCCGCCCGACTTCAAGTGCTGCTCGAAGTGCTTCAAGGCGTAGGTTTCCATTGTGACGTCCTTCGAGTTGATGTCGAATTTGTCAAGACTATCTTGCGATCTCTCCACTTCCTTCATGATCGGGTTATGCTTCATCAGTTTTCCAGTGGCGATATCTTCGGTATCGTTTCTATCCTCTAAGCTTCTCGAGCTGGCATGTGATAACAACACGCTAGCTCCTGATGTGGTTGTTACCATCGGAGCAGGCAGCGACGCATCGCTGTCCACTTTCTGTTGCATCGCTGGTAGTGGCACGCTGGGGGATTTTTCGATAACCGCCGCTCCAGAGGACGGCTGTTCTGGTTTGGAGATGGCTGCTTTGGCATTCGCGATTGGCTCATCAAACATAGCATCGATCTCAGCCGTAATGGCGGCCGCCATTTCTGCAAGCAGATCGGCTCCCCTGAATGTGCCCGAAGTCTTGCCCGTATCGAAATCGCCCAAGAATGCGAACAGATTGTCAATATCGCGCCCTTGCTTCTTGACGACAGCAGACGCAGGGACGGCAGACGCAGGGGAGACGCCTTCCTCTGTTTGTTGAGATGCTTTTCCTTGGGTGGCAATCTTCGCTTTTGGAGCGGCTTTGGGTTCCGTGACTTCCTTCTCCTTCTTGGGAAGTGGTAGCTGCTGAGTAGCACCAGTAGGAATGCTTGTGCGCGCCTCTGCGGATGTAAGCTCCTCCCCTTGTACAGGGGCTTGCTCAGTTGTCTGCCGAGCTTTCGCTGCAGCACGCTCTTCAGCTTTCTTCTCCGCGAGCACCTTTTTGTAATAATCGCGCGCAAACCAACCACGGGCGGTAGCCTGGATTTTGACGATGGATCTGGTCGTCCTCTTGTACCTACGTCGGTATACGAATCCAAGGACGAAAGTTTCGAGGAAGCGGGCGGACTTTTGCATTCGCAGATATTTCTGGCGATACAAGTTTCCGAGCAGCACTTTTTGGATCAGAACGACCTTTGCCTTGAGGACCTCCTTCGCCCGGTCCTGCAGTGCAGCAAAAGCATCCTGCTTGATAAAGAATTTCGTTTTTCCCGCTTGCCAGGAACCTGCAGGCAGATCTGCCTTTTGCGCAATTGCGGGACTGATCTTCTTCGGATCGTCCTTCATGTATGTCAATCCTTCCGGAATGAGGCATTTGAAATCGCGAACGAACCCATCATAGGGCAATCGCATAGCGTATCCCGCTTTTCGAATCCGGATGGTGTCCAGCATTCCAGAGTATCGTAGTTGCGACAGAACCATCTCGACGCTAAAGAGGAAAGCCTCCTTCTCCTGGTTCGGTTTGATACATCGCACGTAATGCGGTGTGGTTGCGCCCAGGGTCGTAACCAACGAAGTGAGCTGTGTCTTGAAAGCGGTACTGGCAGTAGTCTTCCCACCCCGAGGTCCTTTACCCGCCTGCTCTTCCTTCTCCTCTTTCGGGAAGATTTTGGAAATGTACGGAACTTTCGAGGACCGCATGATATCCAGCAACTCCTCCTGAATCTGATCCCTATTCTTGTCCAAGAATGACGAGACGGTGTAGTTTACGTCGCCCGCGTAGTGTCTAACCCCGAAAACGCCCTTTTGGGTTCGAGCCTTGATGTAGAAAGGTTGTTTCGCATGGGCGTTGTCTAACTTAGCTAGCCATGAGTCGTCGGTTCCTTTCGGGAACTTTGTCTCCTCATCGAGTAACGAGAGAATGCCAGCTGGTTTCGCCTCGATAAGGTCCAGGCATTGCTGGTTGTCTTTGAAATCGATTTTGTCCCATTTGATGCCCTCCTTGTCGTACTCTTCTTGCTCTAATTTGAAGATGAACTGGTTGAAGAACGACTGAAGCTTCTCGTTTGTGTAATTGATGCAGAACTGTTCAAAGCTATTGATTTTGAAGACTTCGAATCCGAAGATATCCAATACTCCGACAAAGTTGGCCGGCTTCTCCTTGGATGTCAAGGATTTGTTGATAAACTCCACCAGCCTTTGAAACAAATTGTCATAGATCCCTTTCGCAAAGGAGTCCCGGGTGTCTTTCGCCTGCTGAAGCTTGTACGGAACCAGCGATGTTTCCCCGCGAATGACCAGTTTCCTGAACAGCAGGCATTGGGTCAGCTGTTTCGCGTCGATCTGCAACAATTCAGCCACTTTGTCCACGGCCACCGCTTCCGCGACTGAGACGGTCTCAGTGCTCCCATCCTCCGAAAAATCAATGTTCCCGATGGCCAAAATGGCAGATAATGCTCGGAAAAGGGACTCCTGATCGGCGGGTGTCATCTTCAGAACCGTCAAAGCGAGCTTGAGATCTGAGAAGTTTTTCGAGTCATCAACGTAAGGGATGTCGACGCAGCCGCTTTGATTCAGAAAGTAATAACTCTCTGCGCTGTCCAGCTGGTACTTTTCCCGCTCCTCATCGTTCACTCCAGCGACAAGCTCGTAGAAGATATGGTAGTTTCGCTCATCCGGAGCCTGTTTTGCTATTCTAGACTTCTCCAATAGGTAGTTGATGATGGACGCCCCAACGATCTGTGAATTCCGATTGAAGTTCACTTGTATGAACTTTCCAAACCGGGAGGAGTTGTTATTCCGCACGGTTTTTGCATTTCCTGTGCATTCGCGGAAGTCAGCGACCGACGACTAAGCGTGCCCAAGGACCCTCAACAACGCACCGAAACTTTCTAGAACGGTGTTCGCTTCCAAGATCTGCTGCTCCACCCAAGACTCCTGATTCTCTTTCGATGTTACAGTCGTCAGGTACTGTAGAATGACTTTCGTACTCTCTGATTTTCCTGCCCCCGACTCTCCGCTGATAATGACGGATTGATTCACTTTTCTGTTCCGGACATTCGAGTAAGCAGCCTCTGCGATAGCAAAGATATGTGGCGGATTCTCGTTGTGCCGCTTTCCCATATAGTGTTTGAGGGTGGGCTGTGAATAATGATTCTCATTTCATTAGGGAAAGGATGCATCGGGGGAAGACAGCAAGGCATGAAAGTACTGACCATATTGTATATATCCATCTTTTCGAAAGGATTCATGGCTACCAGAATGGAGCCTGTATAGGTCTGCGAACCCACCTCGTTTAGGAGGCGACCACTTCGCCAGCTCAAACGTCAATGGGAAAGGGTACATACATATATAAGCCTGAGCTCATATCGTTTCTGCAGGTTTTCCATGATGGCCTCTTCCGATAACTCCGACAGAGTCGTCATGTCCTCTACGGTCCCCGCTACATTGCATAGAAACAGACAGACATGAGCCTTCCACGCAAAGTCCGGCACACATAACTGGCAGTTCACAGACGTACCCATTATGGATAACAAGCTTCTCCCCTGGGGTATTTATGGGAAAACTGGAGTCAACAGAGCTCAAGCGACCTCCCGATATCAAAGTGTGGAACCCTGAAACTAGCAATAGCAGTCCGATTACAGTTTGCTTTACGAGACGCTCTTGCGCCATTGACCCACTCCCGCAACCCATGGTCGAGGCCGTGTGTCAGCGGACAGAACATCTTTTTCGGTTAAGCTTATTCTTGGTGGATGGTCGTCGGGGGCTACGGGTGTGGGGAAGATGCGTCAGAGGAGGCGAAGTCCGAAACCGAAAAAAGAGACTTGGACGCGACGCTGCAAATGTGGTGACACACACGGTGCTGCACACGGTGGATCGAGATTCGAGACGCCCAAGAACGCGGAGCAGGACGAGGAGGCTAGCAAAAGATCCCATCTGTTCAGTGGGCTCAGGCTAGGCGGCCAGGTGGAAAGAAGAGGAAGGAAGGAAAAGGCGGACGGTTTAATTACTCATCGTAGCGTATTTACATCCTCATTCTTTACTCTGATCCATGTCCGCGACGTCCGTGTCCCCCCACGTGACCGCATATTCCGTCTGATTCCTTCTTACCTTCCTACCACATCTGTGTTGTGGAACTCGTTACTTTTTATTCCCCTTCACACACACCACTCGTTTTATAAGACATTTGATCGGACGGTCTGCACACAACCACACCAGCTATTCTATCCCGAGAAGGAAAAGGGGGTACGGTACTATAAAGGGAAGCTGTGGCTGAAACAGGTTGTCTTACAACACTCCCTCTCAGACTGCAGATCGAATTTCAGTTGCCGTCGCAGTCGCAGTCGCCGTCGCCGTTGCCGTTTGCAGTAGCTCTGCATTCTGATCTCATGGAACGTTCCGCTCTCAACTTCCGCGATCGTTTGAGTCCAGCGAGGAATAGTCGCCGGGCTCGCGGTTCACTCTTCAAGTCACCTTCAAGTCACGATCGCTTGAGTCGCCAACTCGCGATTCGTTCTTTCGACTTCCCTATCGCTTGAGGTGTAGCCTGGATATGGGCACTCGCATTCGTTCTTTCGACTTCCCTATCGCTTGAGGTGTAGCCTGGATATGGGCACTCGCAATACGCTATCATATCGCTTTTCAAGTCATCTTCAAGATGAAGATTCCCCAGTCTGTCCGCAATCGCTTGGGGCAGCCCGGAATAGGGGCAGTCTCGCGGTAAGCATCCAATATGTTGCTCTAGCAATACGTTGGTCTAGCGGCACTACGCTACCGGTGATGAAGCCACAACCATGATGGATCTGCTTTCTGAAGAAGACTTCCATTACTTCACGCCGCCCACACACCTCCATCTCTGCTGAGATCCGATGATTATGGGTGAAAAAATGCGTGCAATGCATCAATCTCCCTATAAGCGCATATTGATTCCCACATTTACATAGCTTAGCTTTTTGCGAATCACTGTGGTTGGACTGCGTACGTAGGGAGGGTTAGTATATAGCGCAGTGTAGCGCTTGCCAACTTGACATACTGTACTTTGCTGCCATAGCCGTCACTCGCCGTCACTCGCCCAGCTAGCTGCCCTGGAAGCCAGCCTGGAAGCTACCCCACATCCTTTCTGCTCTGGACGAGGAACGTAGTCCTCTAGAGTGTATGGACGAGGAGGAGGTTGCTGTTATTTATTCACTCGAGAAGAAAAATAGAGAAGCTTACTAAGCAACCTCCGAACGGAGTCCATTACACGCGTGTAAAAAACGTGGGGATCCCCACTCTACTCCTTCAACCCCCTTCCTTCCCGGCAATCCATCACGGCAATCACCTGCAACACCTCATCTCGATGTTATGGACGACGCGCCCATACCATAAGCTTACCTACTGACAGCCGCCAATGTCAACCGCCAAATGTCAAACGCCAATGTCAATGTCAATGTCAGTGTCAATGTCAGTGTCAATGTCAATGTCAATGCCACTCCCCCTCTCTCCTCTCATTTCGCCAATCCTCTTGCAATATCGCCACTCCTCCTCTCTCCTCTCATTTCGCCAATCCCCCCTCGGCTTCTCCACACCCCCCACTGCTTCCCCATAGCCAGCAGCTGTAGCAATGCTCTCTACGCTCGCCACGCACGCTCTAGGAGCATAGCTGGCGCCCCCCAGTCCCCTCTTGTTGTTGTTGTTCTCTGATCTGCTGGGTTGCCTATCTATAAATAGCTGGCCTCTCTTTGTCTATTCCCTTCCTCCCCAGCAGATCAACACCAGTTCTTCTCATCTCCTGTTCTAGTCCTTGTTTCTTGTTTCGCCAATACAATCTCTTGTCGCCCATCACACTCGCCCTGTCTTCTCTACTTCGCTTCCGCCCCGTCGTCGAGATCATAACAGTTTGATCTGCTCCAACACTGCGAAGTTCAGAACCTGTCCAGCCCTGCATCCGACAAACCTTTTTCGCCATGTCCCAACCCGAATCCGTACCTTTCACCGCCAAGCAATGGAACGATATGTGCCAAGCCATCACCGCCTTGCAAAGCCAAAACGCCAACTTGCAGGCCAACCTAGCGCAAGCCCAAGCCGCCGCACAAGCTGCCCAGAGCATCGCCGCCCAGGTTCAAGCCGATACGTACACCCGTCCCCAAGTCGCCAACCCTGCTCTGGAGCCAAGAATCAGCTTGCCCGAGAAGTTTGATGGTACCCGCAGCAAATTCCGTGGGTGGTTGAACAACATCCGGTTGATGTTTGCTCTCCAGCCCGACCGCTACCCCAGCGACATCATCAAGATCCAAACTATTGGCACCTACCTCACCGGCACTGCGCAAGCCTGGATGGCGCCCCTTGTTATGGACGACGCGTCCATACCATGCGCTTACCTCATGACAGCATCCCAACAGTCAGTCAATGTCAATTCCCTGTCAAAACCTGACATCTGCCAAACCTCGCAGCCGCACGCAGCCGCGCTACCCCACACCTGCCACTGCCTTCATTTCTCCACGCAGCCGCACGTAGCCACACCTCCCAACACTCGGCGCTTACAAACCCTTCTCCATACTTCCCCACGTACCCGCCCACAGCCTCAGCGTAGCCACCCCATCCCCAGTCTTCTGTTTCTATGCTTCCCCACCCTTGGGGCTTCTCTTGGCTTCCCTCTCATTCCGTACCCTTCTGCTTCCCCACGCTTCCCCAGCCTTCCCAGAAAAACATAAATAGCCGCCTCCCCTGAGCTCCCCACTTCCTGATCCCCCAGCAGATCAACACCAGTTCTTCCTAGTCTTGTTCTAGTTCTTGTTTCGGTCTGAATACCATTACCTGTCAACAACCTGCACCACAAGTCGCCTCTATTTCCATCGGCTCTGCCCATTCATAACAGTTTGATCTGCTCAACAACCCCCAGCCGCTGTACCTCCACGCCAAATCACCATGTCCGACGCCCTTCCCCTCACGGCCGAAGCCTGGCAAGCCATGTGCAATGCGATTGACGAACTTCGAGCGCAGAATACCACCCTACAAGCCGAACTAGCGCAAACCCAGACCACTGCCCCTGCCACCCACGCCGCCGAACCCAAAATCAGTCTCCCAGACAAATTTGATGGCACCCGAAGCAAGTTCCGTGGGTTCCTCAACCAGATCCGGCTCATGTTCGCCCTCCAACCCAAGCGCTACCCCAACGATCAGACCAAGATACTGTTATGGACGACGCGTCCATACCATGCGCTTACCTCATGACAGCATCCCAACAGTCAGTCAATGTCAATTCCCTGTCAAAACCTGACATCTGCCAAACCTCGCAGCCGCACGCAGCCGCGCTACCCCACACCTGCCACTGCCTTCATTTCTCCACGCAGCCGCACGTAGCCACACCTCCCAACACTCGGCGCTTACAAACCCTTCTCCATACTTCCTCACGTACCCGCCCACAGCCTCAGCGTAGCCACCCCATCCCCAGTCTTCTGTTTCTATGCTTCCCCACCCTTGGCGCTTCTCTTGGCTTCCCTCTCATTCCGTACCCTTCTGCTTCCCCACGCTTCCCCAGCCTTCCCAGAAAAACATAAATAGCCGCCTCCCCTGAGCTCCCCACGTCCTGATCCCCCAGCAGATCAACACCAGTTCTTCCTAGTCTTGTTCTAGTTCTTGTTTTCGGTCTGAATACCATTACCTGTCAACAACCTGCACCACAAGTCGCCTCTATTTCCATCGGCTCCGCCATTCATAACAGTTTGATCTGCTCAACAACCCCCAGCCGCTGTACCTCCACGCCAAATCACCATGTCCGACGCCCTTCCCCTCACGGCCAAAGCCTGGCAAGCCATGTGCAATGCGATTGACGAACTTCGAGCGCAGAATACCACCCTACAAGCCGAACTAGCGCAAACCCAGACCACTGCCCCTGCCACCCACGCCCCCGAACCCAAAATCAGTCTCCCAGACAAATTTGATGGCACCCGAAGCAAGTTCCGTGGGTTCCTCAACCAGATCCGGCTCATGTTCGCCCTCCAACCCAGGCGCTACCCCAACGATCAGACCAAGATACGAACTATTGGCACCTACCTCACTGGCACCGCCCAGGCCTGGCTGGCGCCCCTTGTCGAACAAGACCATCATTCCCTTACGAACCTGGATGATTTCATCCAGCAAATGCAAGCAGTCTTTGGAGACAGCGACAGGATCCGCACGTCCGAAAACAAGCTCCAGAACCTTCGACAAACCCGTGCAGCAACAGAGTATGTAGCTGAATTCCGACAGCTGCAATGCGATGTGTCGTGGAATGACCAGGCATTGATTGCCACCTTCCGTCGCGGCCTCAAAGAAGACGTCAAGGACTTAATGCTCACGATGCCCCGTACCGCCTCAATCGACACCGTGATGGAACAGGCCATCCAATGTGACAACCGATTGTTTGAGCGCCGTCTAGAGCGAAGCAGGAACCGACAGCCATATGTGCCAGTTACCACTAGCCCCACCCTCATGAGCCCCGACAACCGCCCAGACGACCCTATGATCATTGACGCTGCTCGTCCGCGAGGACCCCTCACACCGC